GCAGATGGAAAAATATATAAATATAGATGTATCTGCCGACCATACGGAGTAGATTGACCAGGGTTTAATAGATCTTACTCGACCCCTATTCTCACATTCTTTGCCACTCCAAGCTGATCTCAGCTGGGGAAAGAAAATAATATAACCTTCATTTGTGTGTTCACTCGCCTCCATGGAATTTCTGGAACAAGGTTTAAAGCCCCAAAACACCAAGCCCGCTAACAAGGCTGCAGGGGGGGCCAACGGGCTGGAAGCCGACACGCATGTTTCCTCGGCTGTAGGAACATAACCTTGCACTGGTGCACGGGGACACATCTTTGTACACCGTTCCCCCTGAGCGAAATAATTGGCTCTGTTCAATTTATATCCCGTGCTTGTACGACTCGCATAGGTAAGCTTAGTATGGGGGGCCTACAGGTAAATTATTGTATTCATATCATGGCAGCGGTTTAACGGCTCAACATCCTTGAGTAATGTTTAGGGTATACTATAGGGGTAAACGCCTACGGAGAAGATGCCGTGTGGGTACACCGTACTCCGTACTCCGCCCGAAAATAATTACAGCACCCTGGCAAACTGCGGATTTCAATGTGGGATTGGGCAATTTGTTTTTGATATCAAGCCCGCCAAGTCCGGATGGACAGGGGAGTGGTAATAATAACTCACTTACAAGCACCTACCGCTTCACCCCCTAGCCATCTAATTAAACATGCACGCACTAGACAATATCCATAAAACTATATCACATCAGGCACCCCGTACAATATAGTTTGCAACATCCTATATCACCCCTTGCACGAGCGGATGTCGGCTTTGCCGGAGAATCAAAACAAAACCTTGATCTCATTTTAGTGTTTGCTAGAGGTACTCCGTATTCTAGGCCCGGTTGGAATACTAGCGGTCGGTGAGATCCTCGAGGGTAATTGGTACGTGTGTTATCCATAAGCTTTTGTATCGAGCTTTTGTGGTTTCATTGTGCGTGCTGATCAACTAGGGCTTGGATGACTGCCCTTGCCCTGTGCCCTATAACATACTGCGCAAGCGCCGATAGGTCTAGTTTTGGGTAGGTGGTACTTTTGTCGTTGCGCCGTGGGGTTTGTGATAGAGGGACAGGGCTTGCGTTGGGTTGCTGCGGAGTATGCAGTGGTCCTTTACCTGTTTTTTTTTCTTACTTTTGCGCATACTTCTAGTTGGAAAGGTCTCGGGTTGGTTATCTCTTGAGTGGCTTGGTCCAGCCCCTGTTATTCGGCCTTTGGGCTTTGAATAGAACGTAGATTCAATTCAGTACGTGTTACGAGGGGCTTTTTCTAAAGCGGCGCAGATGATTGGGAATAATTGCTCGTGAATGGTGGGCGAACGGTGAACAGGTTGATTCCTGGGTTCCCTCCGTGGACAATATAATATATGTAGTCTATATTTGAAGAGTTCTCTTGATTCAGCATTAATTCAATAAATATCTAGATATGCATGAAATTCTATTTAGCCTCTATGAATCGCGGAAAAGAAGAGCAAGTATGTACAACGCATATGGCATTGACAGGAGGCAATATTGCTGCATATAAAATGAATGGTATCATGTTTGTCAAAACCCAACACGCGAATCGCTGATCCTCAAACAAAGTAAAAATCCAATGAGTCCGTCCCACCAGAATGCTGTAAAGCTGGAAACCACAAGCCAGTAGCTCGGGCAAAGATTAGAAAGAGAAAATGTACAAGATAAACCGTCTATGCAACCATGTACTCCCCGTCCCCTCGTTTGGCCAACATAACTTGGGACCAACGGAAGGCCTGTGACGAAACTGGCGCCCTGCCACCAGATAGCGGAGGAGGGGGTCCGAAACCGCTAGGATAAACTGGGAATGAAGATTCATCAGAATTATCAGCCCAAATTCGTTCCAGAAGCTCTAGGCAGGAAATGTTGTTGATAAAACCAGAATCCTTGGAGATATCCTTGCAGCGATTGCGGATGATGGAGCGGTGATCGTCCTGGACACACTCCGAGCCGACAATGAACAGTGGCCAGAGAAGATATACGTCCGATTGGACGGTAATGATGCAATGCATGGCGAGCTGGACAAGGTGCTGGATACGGCCATGACACGATGGAAGGGTCGGCTCGGCGAGACGTTCGCAGTATAGAAGGGCAGCATGACGGAAGCACTCCGAGATCTGGTAGACGTCCTGGAGATTCTCGGGTGCCACTTGGTATGCTGATGAGGAATTCTGTGGCGCCATATAGGTAGTAGAGTCCCACGTCATTGTGGACGCAGATAAGGGCGGAGATGGGAAAGCGGCCTGAACAGGTGGGTCAAATCGCCAGGATTCGAGTCGCTGCCTGAGCGAATACCACTCTGTCCAAAATTCTGGAGAGGAAGGACGACGGCATGAGTCACTGCTTTGCGGCGGTGTGGGAAGAGAAAATGCGTATTCTGGTACACACCCCATTCCTGGATTGGGCACGACTGTCTCCCATCCAGGGAGAATCATATTAGGAGGGAGGGAAGTAGTGGAGACAGCGGCGTCATTTGGGCGCGATAGATTGGGCTTTTGATCCTGACTGAGGAGATTTAAACGTCCCAGCTGAGAGATAAGCTTGAATAAACGACCATCACAGCCGGCCAGATTCTCTAGGCCCCATTCTCCATCGGTTATGGAGCTGATCTCTAAACACGTACCGCGGAGTTGCACATCACGGTCATTTGTGGTTGCCGTCAATGTATCAAACCACGAGAACATGCGGATGAACCACTTGAGGTCATCTGATATGACACGAGAATGGCGCATTCGAATCGCAAGTAGTCTTGTCACTCCAGCAAATTGTTCACGAAAGCTACCAACGCCAGTATCACAGCTGTGGAAAAGGCAGAGCATTAACAAAGTTGCCAGTACGGAGTCTGACATTCTGCGACGAGGGTCGGCCAAATCAGCATTCAAGGCCTTGACGGCCATCCCTCGATGGTGATTTTCTTCTCTCATATACCCTTCGACCATTGAGATGCCATATCGATCTTGGAAATCTTCATCGGTGAGGGCGCGGTGAGCCATTGATGACATACGTGCGGGCAGAGTTCGTTCTGTGGAAAGATGATTGTGCTCTCGCCTCTGGCGCAAGTTGCTTGTAGACAACGTCGCAATAGCCTCCTGCAAAGCCTCGCTCTCCATCGCCAAGCGTATGACATGGGTTCGGAATGGATTTGTCGGGGTATCGAAGGCAACAATCATGGGGGCAATGACTTCAGCGTAGTAACTAATGAGATAACGAATGCGTGGGGTCCGCCCCACAGATCGTGCTAAAAGCAGCTGAGAGAGTGATGGAGAATGGGCGGCATTCCAAAGTATATGATAATTAGAATCACGCTTGACATCCTCTTCATCCGTGTCTTGTGAGGCGGGAGGAGTAGCAGCCTGGCGTGAGTATGGGGCTGCAGTCGGCCAAACCAGAGAGCCAAAATTAGCTGTCGGGCTTTGAATGGGAGCATACAGCAATGGCGGCTCCGGGGTCATATTTTGGCTCTTATTGTTTGGAATGATCGGGCGACTGGGTAGCGGGAGCCCTGAAATCGCAGGCGGAGCAGCAAGCGTGCTAGACCACGATTGTGGATCTGGCATGTCCATTGCCCAAGCCATGTTTGAGGACATGTCAAAGGGAGCTGGCATCATGAGTGGGCTACCTTCGAGTTTCACACTTGGCGCCCTCGCACCAAAAGATGGCATTTCAGGGCCAGTTGACGAAGGCATCGCGACCGAAGCATTGCCCGGAACCCGTGAAGACTGGCCGCTACTACTTGAGGTCTTCGGTTGTGATTTCGCAGCATTTTCTGACAATTGTCCTTTCGATTCCATCACCGGAAGCTTCTGACCCCGGAGTTTCCCTCGACTTGCGACTCCAACACCCCATGTCAGCGTCGTCTTGTATCCGGAACATTCGCGGCCGAGGTCGAGGCACTGGGAGCAATAGGGTCGGCGCCGGTCACACCGTGCACCTCGCTTGGAGCAGGCGAAGCAGTCGTCTGGGGCGCCGCTGACCACAGTTCTCTTGCGGCGTTTTCGGACCGGAGCATTTGGGTCGGTCTTGCGGGATTTTCCTTTGGGCGCGGGGTCTGGCGCGGGACGATCTGCACTATTGGCGGCCATCCTGGATGGGCGTGGGCAATGCCCGCACGGATTCCATCCGTTAGACCCCAAGAAACGTGTTTGATTGGAGTAATAGGTGTTCCCTGATGTAGGCTACTCGGTTTGGGGGTTGGAGATTTGTAATGGGGGCGGAAATATCGAATCCCACAAGATCGGCAGATTTAAACAGGGGTTCGGGGATAAAGCTGCACTTAAATAAGAATAATAGACTCTCCGATCCTGCAGGCTGAAAAAGAAGGAATAATATGACGGAGAAAGGTGTTGGGGGGTGGATATGCGATCTTCCCGGTGGAGGCTGATCCGCGCTCTAGTCGTTTTGAAAGAACTGCCTAGGTGGATTGGGGCGCTTTTTCGAAAAGCAAATCGGGAAGTCGTTCATCTCATTGGAATAAAATCCTTCAAGGTCTCACATGTGTTTTGATTCGATCTTGTTCCATATTTGACTGATGTTGGCCTTGTAACGTATGTTCAAACACCTCGGCTTAGGTGTAGAGTCGGGGTATTTCGGTGATCTCGTGACTCTTCGGGATCAAATCATCCAAAAGATCCAATATCATTGAACACATATAACAATATATGTAAATGATGTCGGTTCAAGTCGTGGGATGTATGATGTTGGATACTTGAGTTGTTGCAGACTTCGTTGCCAAGCCCAGTGGGCTAATCTTCTTTCCGCCAAACCCGCAGACTTCCTGGAACAATGCGCCACAGCCCCTGCAACCCGACCATCGTGCTCCATCAATCCGGCAATATATATGCAACCATTTCTTCTTCCTTGACCTGGTGAACAAAGTCGATCGGCGTGCCTCTGCGCCGCTCCCTGAACCCCTGGATCCAAGCGCAGTAAACCGGACTATCTAGCAATAATGAGTGCTTTTCGACCTGCGAAAGCGAAGGCGCTCGTGCTAGCGATGCTCACTTTGATTTTAGTGTGCACTGTATACTTTTACTGGTCTCCAACAACTGCGTCCTCCACTGTACCCCTAGTCCCAAACACAGCATTTGAGGTCCCCCTCACAGAACGCCAGAAGGACTTTTGGAAAGCCCTTCGACCCATAATTGAACGCCACCGGCCGAATTGCCCTTCCCCGGAAAAGCGAGGCGATGTCGAAGCCCAACACTTCGACCCCACAAAAGACCAGCCAAGACCCGACCTAACGGGCCTGAGCGAGGAGAATGTACGCAAGATGGAGGAAGCCCACGCGGCCTTCATCGAGGATGTCAAGAATGCAGACAAGCAGTTAAAGCCGATTCATACCCCAGGTAAGCGAGGACTGGTATCGACAGCTGGCGCTACGTACCTCCCCGTTTTCGTCTCATCGCTGCGGATGCTCCGCCGCGCGGGGTCAAAGTTGCCGGTCGAACTCTACATGAAGGATGCCACCGAACACGAGAAACATATTTGTAAAGATGTGCTTCCCAAACTCGATGCGCGGTGCTTGATCCTGGCTGATGTGGTGGGTAAAAACATCATTGAACACTATCAACTCAAGATCTTCGCTGTTCTTTTCTCATCCTTTGAAGAGATTGTTTGGATGGATGCCGACTGCTTCCCTCTTGGCAAACCCGAGGACCTGCTTGACTCTGAGCCATTTAAAACCAATGGTCTTGTCACATGGCCCGACTTCTGGGCCTCTTCCGCATCTCCGTTGTACTACAAAATTTCACGCCAAGAGGCACCATCCATGGCTGCTAGACAGTCATCAGAAACCGGCGTATTCTTAGTCTCAAAGAAAACCCATTCTCTAGCTCTTTTGCTGGCTACATACTATAACTTTTATGGCCCCTCGCATTATTTCCGCTTGCTGAGTCAAGGAGCTCCTGGCGAGGGAGACAAGGAAACCTTTATCCATGCTGCCTCAGCTGTAGGCGCGCGGTTCTACACTGTCAGTGAGAGGGTGCAAGCCATCGGACATGCGAATGCAGGTGGACTCTCCGGATCAGCTATGGCCCAGTCAGATCCGCGGGAGGACTTTGCCTTGATTCAGCAGGATAAGCGGCGTGTAAAAGATGAGTCCGTTGCCCCCGCACCGCACATCTTCTTCATCCACGCAAACTATCCCAAGTTTAACCCCGGTGACCGCATTTTCGGCATGGGATGGGAAACAACCCCTACCTTGAAGGAGGACGGTTCGGATGGACGTGCCTGGACGGCACCCCCGGAGACCATCAAGCGATTTGGATACGATGTCGAAAGGGCTTACTGGGAGGAGATCAAATGGGTGAGCTGCGAGCTCGAAACAGCGTTCAAAACGTGGGAGAACAAACTAGGCTTGTGCCAGAGAGTCGAGGAATATTGGGGCCATGTCTTTGCTGAGCCACATGACGATGACCCCAAGTTTACTTTAGATGGCTGATCTCAGACCTCACTGGCGCAGTCTGTACCTTAGGCCGCTCTTCATCTTGCCTAGCCTCCCCTACCCTCCCGCCGAACAGGATTTCGGTGTTTGCCTTAGATCCGACTGCACTTTGGCCGTACTCCTCCCATTGGCTCGGTACTAGTGGTGATAAATACTTTTTTGATTGGCAGAGATGTGCCATTTCATTCTGGCTCAATAAGCCGTTCAACCTATTGGAAAGGTTGCAGATAGCTGATGCCTGTTTCTTTGGGCTTTTATAGACTGCCGATGCCTTGTACAATAATTCGGCCCTGAAAACTGGGGTCTCGTACATATCACCTAATTTTGTTTAGAAAGCCAATCTCATGACAAACATTCTATTTATTCCTACGGTTCATGATGGCATACCTGGGTTGAACCTACATTTCACTGTTTCTCGCTTATGCGTAGAGAAATTTTACACATATGACGCCAGAGGTTCCGAACGACAATGATGAAAACCTCTTGGACCAAGAAAAGATTCCAAGTGGTTGCGTTGAAAAATCTGAAAGCATCTCAAATAGCCATACTTCATTTGTATCGCGGTCAGTTGGGCATATCCAAGATGCATAATCGCTGTATACATGCTACGCGGTCCCAGCATCAATATGCTGTGTGTAATCTTCAATATGTGTATTCATTCAGTGGCCTCGCAACCCATTTAGGAGCGTCGACCAGATATCGTTATTATCGTACATCATGTTCCATCACCAACCCGTTCATCCTGGGCTGACGAATGTTCAATTCCAATCAGATGACATGAGAAAGTATTTTGTAACATCAAAAACCAGCATTAAAGAATTTAGTGCTTAATGCCCTTTTCCCGCAGACGCTGCTCATCATCAGCCTGGAGCTCAGCATCAATCTTAGCACCCTTGGAGGGAGCATTGCCGTGCGACACAGCCTGTATCAAAAAGCAACGTTAGTGAATGCGTCTTCATCAAGGCTCATGTATACCATGGATAAACTTACGGGCTTTGTAGGATTTTGCTTGCTCAACTCGGCCTCGGCATCGTACTCGCTGCGGTGCTTCGAGGGGTCGGGCTTGTTCTCCTGGGAAGCAAGCTTATTGGCAATGGAGCGGCCGTCCTTGGAATCAAGGTTCTTGTGGCTATGGGGCATGCCTTCGGCGTAACGGGCGCGCTCTTGAAGATCGGACACGGGGACGTTGCGCTGGTCGCCTGCTTCGTAGACACCACGGTTTCCGACGCTGGATTGGCCTGACATTTTGTATAGAGGTAGAGTAGAGTTAGGGTTTGTTGAGAGGCTTGTAGAAAGGATTTGAGGGTAGTAAGATGGATGATTGTTTGAATAGAGATCTTTCTCTGCTGGAAAAGCTCAATCTTATACTTGGGATGCTCGATGTGATGTCATGCTGGAGTCACTGAGATCATAGTGGGGCGTTACCCAGTTTGAAGGCGACAAAAGATCCTTGTTCAGTTTCTGATCGCTGATCGCACTCTGGGCCCTTCCTTGTGGTTCTGATTTGGTGAAAATGGTTGCAATCAAGGCATTGGCGCTATGACATTGATGCTTTAGGGTTCCGCTGGCTAGTGCCTGCCCCACTTTTATACTTGTTTAGATGAAGTTGGAGCTTTGCTATATTGTATAGTACCTGTCCTTGTATGAATTGTCTTCATATGATTCAATACTTATGGGTACATGTCGACTTCATCTTGGATATGATTTTTGTGGATGCCAAGTATGCAGCCCGCGATTGGCTTACAATTGTACATTTCTTGATTACTCAATGTCAGATCCTATCAATTGTCTAATAGTCTAAGAGGCTTTATGGTATTTCCCCTTGATATCCATGTTTCTACTTCCCTAACAAGTTTCCCGAAGGAAGAAATCGACGCATTGGATTAGGATACCATACAAAATGCTTTGGGTCTGCAGTGACCCACTCCGGCCGTCGGAGTGCACTGCGATTGATGGAAAGATCGCAACTTAATGTTGTATCAAACGCTGTACAATAGATATATGCCATGTTCTCTCGATTACCAATCCGAGCCAGCAAGCTGCAGCTGAAGCCCAACCCAGTCCTTTCATTTCTTCTCCCATTCCACCCGCCAAGAACAAACATGAGTTTTTCCACCACAGCAGAAGTCCAGCCCCGCTACCACCAACTTTTCACCGAGTTGGAGAACCGCTTCAAAACCACCAGTCTGGGCAAAGACAAATGGTATATCCTAGCCATTACCACACTAGTCGCTAGTCCAGATCCTGAACGGGCAGACCAGCTCTACCTCCACCTCACCCAGCAAGCAGACTATGCAACCTCCGCAGCCCGGCAAGCCTTGGTCCGGCGGCTGCGCGAAGCGCTCGTCAAATCCGTGCCTATAGTCGGAGTATGTAAGCCCATCGAGGCAATCTTGGCCATTAGTGAGGTCGAACGCGACGAGGACAAGGATTACACCTTCACCCGCGAGGGATGGCAATGCGACCAGGCCAATCACGAGCGCGGCACGGGGTGGCTGCAAAAGCTGTACGCGCGCAACACGACAGGCACGCTGGATTTGTTCGATGCACACAAGGACTTTTCTTGGATCTCCAAAGAGATTACTTACGGATTGTTTTTGTCCGATCGTCAGGTCTTGGATGATCTTGATACTCAGCTTGTTGTGCTGCCGGGCATCATGAGTCAGAATCTTCCGAAGGAAACACATTGGCATATTCGCGGCACGAGACGAATCGGTGTTCCCCAGGAGGAGGTCAAGGTCATCTGGGATTGTGTGCAGCTCGTCGCTCAGTTCTTTGATGTTAAGCTTCATAAAGTGCCAACCGTTGAAGCGGTCGAGTATGATGTTTAGACTTGGAGACTTGACTTAAAAGCAGTGGCTTTCGGGGTCTCATTGAGAATTACACAGTATAAAAATGGACATTCCTACGAAGCTTCAAGCTTTCTAATATTCCAGATTTAGGTTATGTATTCTATGTTAGTCTGATATTTATATATTAAGCGCAAGTATATCAACATATACAGCCTTAGACAGCTTGTCAACGAAACCTGAAATATCAGCAAGAACTCTCCGAAGTCATTCTAGGACCCCGAAATAATATATAGACCTTAGTATAGACCAAGTAAAATCGATGGGAAGCCCCGGGGCACCTGAAGTCAACAATGACCTATATCGGCGATAACAACCGATAAGGAAAAAAGTTCGAAGGCGGCCGAGCGCGGGGCCAAGAGCAACTTTTGAACTTCAATTCTACCCAATCCCAGATAAAACATACAATTAGCACAATATGGTTAAGCGGAAAGAACTTGGTGATGTTACCATGGGTGGCACCAAGCCAGAGGAGTCCGACTCCGACGAGGTAAGACTTGTACCCCGGACTGTGTGTGTGCCGTCGGATTGCTAACAATAATGACAATCGCAGGATATCGACATGGTCAATGTAGATTTCGAATGGTTCGACCCCCAGCCTATCGACTTCCACGGCCTGAAGAACCTCTTGCGCCAGCTATTCGACAACGATGCTCAGATTTTCGACATGTCCGCCCTGGCCGACTTGATTCTCTCTCAGCCAACGCTGGGATCAACAGTGAAGGTTGATGGACATGAATCGGATCCCTATGCATTTTTGTCAATCCTCAACTTGCAGGAACACAAGGTTCGTGGTTTCCCGCTCTTCGTCTCTACGTTGTACTAACTAGCTGCTTCTAGGACAAGCCTGTCGTAAAGGACCTGATCAACTATCTCAAGACCAAAACCGCATCCAACCCGTCCCTCGCCCCCGCTGCCCAGCTCCTTTCTCAAACCCCAATCCCTCCCATTGGTCTCATCCTGACCGAGCGGTTAATCAACATGCCGTCTGAGATTGTCCCTCCCATGTACAACATGCTCCAGGAAGAGATTGCCTGGGCTGTTGAGGACAAGGAACCCTACACCTTCTCGCATTACCTGATCCTCTCCAAGAACTACGAGGAAGTCGAGTCCAAGCTCGATCAGGAAGAGTCGCGGCCCCAGAAGAAAAAGAAGAAGGGTGGTGAGCAGGCCGAGCGCTTCTTCTTCCACCCCGAAGACGAGGTTGTGGAGCGCCATGCGCTGTGTGCTGGCTCTATTGATTACACCCATCAGTCCGACGAAGGCCACTCAGACTCCAAGCGTGCATTCCAGGAGTTGGGTATCCGGACGAAAGGTAGCTTGATTTTGATTGAGGCGGCTCAGTTTGAGCCTATGGTTAAGGCTCTTACGCAATATATGTCGTAGCTAATGTGAAGACGTTGTCTGATGCATTTCATGTCCAGTTAACGACAAAATATATTTATTTCTAGCTTTTTTTACTTTTGTCTTTGGTCTTCTGTACATCTCATGCACAATATTGCGTCTGCCACATCACATAATTTTCATAAATGTTGAGATTCGATGGGTCGATCGTATTGTAACCTCACCTATGTTAAGATGCTTCTTATTCCCATTGCGTTCCCTTGAGTCTCTGCATGAGGTACTCGACCTCGACAACCTTGGTCAATGGAATGACACATTCCTATCAAAGTAGCACATGTTAGCCATCATACACCCAAAGGTCAAACTTCAAATATTTTTTTCATACCTTGTACATAGCAACGACAGCATCGATGTTGATCTTGGGGCCATTCTGATCAGGTAAAGCAGGATCGGTGCCATAAGTCTTCGCCTTGAGACCGAGGCGCTCAAGAACCTTGAGCTCCACAGCAGAATTGGTAATAGCAGCATCGATTCCCGCCCGATCCTCAGCTTTAATCAGACGCACGAAAGTCTCAGGATCCTTCTGGAACTTCGATTCCGCAACGAACTTTCCAAAATGAATGCGACGCGACAGCGCCTGCAGACAAGCAACGTCGCAAGTCGCCGAGGAGCCGTAGTTCTCCTGTGTCTCGCCACGGTCCTCCCGTCCAAACGAGGGACACACTGTTGGCAGAACTTCTTTGATGTACCGTTCCTTGATCACGTCATTGACGCAGACATCGTTCTCGTGCAGGATACGGGGGTATTCGAGCGGCTGCAGAATCGGGTCTTCGAGCACGTCTGGGAAAAAGGGGTACTCATCGGGTGATTGGTAACGGCGTACTCGGGACTGGACGCGCTCTTGTTCGCGGAGCAAGTAGTCTAGCAGACTGAGCTCGCTGTTGGGAATCTTAACTCCGCCGGGAGCGTAGATGGTCTTGTTCAGCGGAAACTGAACCCGTTCGATCATATGAAAGGTGATCGTGTCTTCCATGCGACTGGGAGCCTATAGTGTCAGCTAGCAGCTCTCATAGTGGTGGGGGCTGAGCATTCAAAGGAAATGTAGTATTTCGTATGGGTATAGTGCGGTATTGAAGATTATGGCGGGGGTGGGGGAGGGAAGTCTTGCGACTGGCGGGCAGAAGCTCACATCAACTGGAAACGAATATTAGCAAGGTCCAATGCCTTGGAGGCATCAGAGAGGTCAATGGCGGCATCCATGGCTAGAAATGTGGTGAGTTGTAGATGGAGAGAGTCTGCGGGACTGACGGATACGTCAAGTCCACTCCGCTCGTCTTTCCTATTTATACATAGAAAAGATGGGGAACAAAGAAATATTCAGGAGCTCTCATTCTCATATGCAGGCCAATTTATAAATACGAAAGCCGGTGAGCAAGGGAGCTTTCCAATGATCTGGTTTACGATGTAGGCTTTGGTACTTTTGGATATGCGACCGAGGCACTTGCAGAAACACCACAATCTGAAATCAACACAATTGAGCATCCTTGCATTCTGAATATTGATCGAACCCAACCAAATTTGTACAGTTGAAAAGCGAAAGCACCTGGGCTGGTTTCACTCTGTAAAAGTACCATACGGCAGAACCCGGGGGAACGCGGTAAACTCGCGTGGGACACCAAGTCTCCTACTTCCACCTACCGCAAGCTAACTTTCCCCTCCTCGCATGGGTTTTGGTTGAGCGCAAGAAACACTTGGCATGGAGAACCAGCGCCGCGATGACTCGCCGTCGGGTCTGTCAGATATCGTCGAGGGCGATGGCCTTTTGGGCACCGGCTTAACGGTAGGCTTTTTCCCTTCCTCCGATGACGTCCCGAACTGCAGACTGACTGGATTTCATCTGCGGTGATTGCAGTCTCGTCACATCGAAGCATTCGGACGAAAAGTCACAACAACCGCAGGACACTTGATGGGACCTGGCGAACAACATACTGCCCACTTAAACCATGCTATGACCGACATCCACCGCGAACTGCGGCGACCGGCCACGCAGCGCAAGGTATTCTCCCTAGCACAAACGACACCAACCGACCTTGTCCGTTCGAAGCTTTCGACTTCCGAGATCCAGTCCCGTGCCCTCTCGTCCCTCCCGGATGATCTTCTCGCCAACATCCCCGAAGACAACAGCTCCTACTCCCTTTTCCAAGGCTTCCAGGCCTCCATTCCTGAAGACCAACATGAGAAGAAACGACACCGGAGGCGCAATTCCAAGGGGAAGCTTCTCAAGGATGTCGAGAGAGGTGGCACGTTGACTGCCGGCCCGGCTGGGTTGAAGGAACAGCGGAAATCGCTGAGTCGCAAATTGGAGTTAATGGGAATCCGCAAGAATATGTGCAGCGCAGAGATTCATGAAATCGATAACAAAGTCGCCAACTTGCATAAGATTCGCAAGATTGTTCTCGATCGATTGGCCGGATTGGAAATGGACGAAGCGGGATTGGAACAAGAACGTGGGTTAACTTCCTAAGACAAAGAGAATCACAAGGAAAGTAAACTGATGAAGATGGAGCAGTAACGGATCTCGATAATAAGCTGGAAGACTTCCCCGAAGAGGAAGAATCACAGGACACACCAGTTGCGACGCCGCGGTCAGACGGCCAGGATTCTTCTATTGAGCCATCGGGAGATCCAGCGATGGACGCTTCGTTCATGTCAGAATCGATTTATGAAAAGCTCCCCTCACCTTCACCAAAAAGCCTACGACATCGATCTAATCGTATGGAATCCTTCGGCCCGGTACGTGAAACACAACTGACAGGAGATTTAGGGAAACGATCGATGCCGATTCTACATGAACACTTCGCCCCCGGGTCTTTGATCAAGGAAATAGAAGCGCATACCGACATGGTCACGGCCATTGATTTTGACTATCCATTTGGTACTATGGTCAGCGCGGCACTAGATGATACCGTGAGAGTTTGGGACATGAATGTTGGCCGATGCTCCGGTTTCTTGGAGGGACATAATGCCTCGGTTCGCTGTCTGCAAGTGGAGGATAACATCGTGGCCACGGGCTCTATGGATGCATCTGTCAAGCTGTGGGACCTGAGCCGTGCTCGACCCGTGACTAGGGACGGGCGCCTCAACAAGCACGAGCGTGACCAGGAAGAGGGAACTGTAGAACACAACTTCCCAGCACCGCCGTCCTCGAACCTCGAAGACTGCAATGTATTCTCGCTAGAGGCACACGTTGACGAGGTGACAGCGCTCCATTTCAAGGGTGACACTCTCGTCTCAGGATCTGCAGACAAGACGCTCAGACAATGGGATCTAGTCAAAGGCCGCTGTGTCCAAACTCTGGACGTTTTATGGGCGTCCGCTCAGGCATCCTCGTCCATGATGGGTGACTCTGACTGGCGACCATCGGGTCGTATGCCCGATGCTTCGGCCGACTTTATTGGCGCAGTGCAGTGCTTTGACGCTGCACTGGCATGCGGTACAGCGGATGGCATGGTCCGTCTTTGGGATTTGCGCAGTGGTCATGTCCACCGAAGTCTTGTAGGACACACGGGGCCGGTCACATGTCTCCAATTTGACGATGTGCATTTGGTCACGGGTAGTCTCGATCGCAGCATTCGGGTAAGCACTCCAGTTGTTTTCTTTCTCACTTGGCCATTGTTTCTAATTCCTCATAGATTTGGGATCTACGCATGGGCTCTATTCACGACGCTTATGCATACGACAAGCCAATCACCGATATGATGTTCGACTCCAAACGAATCGTGGCCGCTGCTGGGGAGAGTGTGGTCAAGGTTTATGACAAGGCCGATGGTAACCACTGGGACTGTGGTCCTGGTGTTGGACTTGACGACGACGGGCCATTCCCTGCGACCGTCGAGCGGGTCCGCCTTAAGGATGGCTACCTTGTTGAGGGACGCAAGGACGGCACTATGGCTGCCTGGACGTGTTAGACATGTACGATCTGTTCTTTTAGAAGGCGCATACCTGGGAGGTCACATCTTCTTTCACCTCAGCCTTTCCGCGACCGTTGTATAGTATTCAATCTATGTCTTAGTAGCGATCGGGAGAATCAGGAGCCAGGTTATTTTGTATACAACATAAACAAAGTCCTTCAGACAGGAAAAAGTAGCCGAAACGAAAATAGTGTCAAGATCGTAGAAGTCCGAGGTTGACAAAGAGATCTAACCAACAAAGACTATGGAAGTGAGACTGTAGCTTATAAAGAACAGTAGAAATATAAGAATAATGAGATTCCAGAATCCAATGTGCGTATACTCAAAAAGTCGACAGTTGAGATTCTTCTGTGATCTTCAGATCTCCAAGTTGCGCCTCCACCCTTTTCCCCCATCTACTTTTCCTCACTTCAACCTCCTGAGCCTCCCCCGGATTCCTGGCAACTTAGAGACTCAAATAATCGCTCTTCTTAAACAAAGCGAACAACTCCTCGACATCTTGGGTGCATGACCCTCGGAAGCTGGTAGCTGGTAGCTACAAGTCACGTTCTCGTCGCGTCTGCGCGTCTCCCCAGGGTCGCGATCTACAGGCTTCAGACATCTACACACGACCTTTAGAGTTGACAATTTTGGTCTGTTCTGTGGTAAGTCTGAGATATTGTCATGTCTTTTTTCCTTGGTCAATGCTCGTGGCAATGGCTCTGGTCCATAATACTCGTACATGTTCAATTCTCGTGACACCATTTCCAGTTCATGTCGCATTATGTTTTGATACATGAGAAACATGAATGTGAGGATGTTCTGTTTCAACCATTGAAATCTCCAATGTTTGAATTGATACATTGACCATGCCCGATTGTCCAGGGTTGTTTGGTTTTATTCAGTCCGAAGCTAACATCTCAAGTAGACACAAAACAACAATTATCTTCAAACCCCAATCTAGAGGTTAAAAGTACAGATGCCGCCCAAACGCACTACTCGCCGGGCTGGCGCGACTCCTCAGAGGACACATCTGGGACCCGAATATGAGTCCATTCTCGACCGTGCGCAAGCGCCTGTTTTGCCCAGTATACCAGTCCAAGCTTCGTTCAACTATGGCGCTGCTACCACTACAGCATTACCTCAGCGCATGTCGATAAGGCCCAACATTGGGATTGATCAGATGGCTGGGGTAGTCGATGCCCATCTTGAGACTGCTCGAAGGCGAACAGCGGCTACAAAGAAGAAGCAAGGCACTCAAACACGCAAGCGTGAGCCAACCCCCGACGAAGCTCAGCTTCAGCAGTCGTTGCACCATGCAGCAGACGAACACTCTGATAAAACTCCCTCGCCCCCTGTTCCACGTTCAGTCTCTACAGATAGTCCTGACGCTCAACCTCCATTACAACGCCAGTTGTCAAATTCTCCGCTTTATCCATCGCCACTTCAACGGATGGGGTCTCCCCGCATTAATAGCCCTATGGATAGTTCGCCATTCCGCCATAGCTCTGTTGATAATGCTTCTGTGGTATCTTGGAATCTGGAACGCGATATTAACGAAGATGACCTGCAAAGAACGCGACCAAGTAAACATGGACGCAACATCACGGCGCCACCTCGGCGAATTTCTGGCCTGGCTAATGTTCTCGAGGAGGACGAAGAAGAATACGTTAAGTTTGAATCGACAAGTTATCAAGATTTGGAGCCCGATGCTCCCAAGGAAAGCTTTTTGCGTCGATGGCTAGGAGCAGTGCGACTCCGACGGAGGGAGCCCCAGATTCGCAATGAAGCCCCCAGCGAGGCACGCCGAAAAAGCTGGGCGCAGAAGTTTACAGCAGCAATGGACGGCCCACACCAAAACTGGATTCGGGCTGCCTTCTATTTGCTTCTGTTTCTGAGCTTCATTTTCGTGCCCCTGATCGCCGCGAAGCTCCGTGACTATCTCGCGCACGATTCTCTGGATTGGGATTCACCTTCGAACATGAGCATCTCTAAACCAGAAGTTTTCCACAGTCTTCGGAGCCAGGTATCGAAAATGGATGTTCAGATGTCATCCTTGTCGAATGAGCTCAGTTCTGTTCGATCAGGGCAGTCGCTTTCCAGCGTTCATGATTCGACGCCCACAGACCCAACCCTCCATCGGAAGCCGGTCTACAAGGTAAATTTCCTCTCGGTGGCGTTGGGGGCGATGATCGACCCAGCAAAAACTTCACCTACTTTGGGTCCCAAACAGAGCGCTTCTTTCCGAGCACTCCTCTGGGCGAGTTCATTTGTATCCAGACGCACCATCCGAGCACCACAATCTCCTATGTCTGCGCTAAGCACGTGGGAAGAGGTAGGCGACTGCTGGTGCAGTGCCCCTCGAAACGGAACAACCCAACTTGCTGTACTTCTTGGCCGTGACATCGTGGCAGAAGAGTTGGTAGTTGAGCACATTCCCGTGGGTGCCTCTCTCGAACCAGAAGCGGCACCTCGAACAATCGAGCTATGGGCTCGCTTCAAAGTGAATCCCCACAAAACACCGATCAAAGCCAAACCAACACCCGAGGCCAGACCTGGCCGTGGCTTCCTGAAAGTATTTGGTGATGCCACCATGTCACAACCGCCACCGTCAACACAGGCTCCTTCATCTCGCGAAACAGGTCTTGGGGGATTCCTAATCCCTGGAATTGGCTCGCTTCACGGGTTGGTGATGGATCTATTGCACCGGAGTAACCCATTCGAACCCCCAAGCGCTTACTCAGACGATCCAATCCTCGGACCCAACTTTTATCGCATCGGGAAAGTGGAATACGACCTCCACAGCCCAGACTACGCGCAGACATTCAAGCTGAACACCATCGTCGACGTATCAACTATTCGTGTTGACAAGGTTGTTTTCAGAGTGACTTCAAATTGGGGTGCCAACCATACATGCATCTACCGATTCAAGTTACACGGGCACATCTAGGCCCGGATACGGACTACAGAGATTCGGCCTTGAGCTTTGATCTGTCTCTCACAACTCTCTCATGTATTTACTTCCCAAGAGACCAGGTTCTGGCTGGTCTAGAATTTGGAAAATGTGCTTTGCGATGATACCTTGCATGGCTGCGGCGGCGTTAGATGGGTTTCTTTTGGGTTAATGCCCTACTTTTTTGCCTTGCAATGCTTACATACGTATTATTTAGAACCATATCATATGATAGCCATGCTTTTGTTTATTTCTGCTTCTCTTCCAGCGATTTGCTTTGCCAACAACACGGCTGTCGCGGGTCTTTTGTCCTCGTGAGTTGTATGATCGCCCCCCATGTCATACTGCAATGGGTTGATTTACAAGAGCTCACTACCACATCTTAAGAGCCTTGCTTTTGCACTATCCGGTCAACCTGCTAGTTCATGATTCATACCATTATAAGTCTAGAATAGTGGGTGGTTACCGGTTGGTTCCATAGGTCCTCATCGTTCATAGCCTGATAAATAATTTCATATTTCCTCATCACAAACAATCTCGTCCAATGTGAGCTCAAATTGTTGTTCAACGAATACATTGAGAATGTCCGTCGAACTCTACTGTCCAATGATTACTGCACGTCGAGATGTTGTCGCTTCGTCTGTGTGACGGTTGACCTTTGCGTGGGCTGCCTTGTATATATGGATTTGGACAATATAGGGCGACAGAACGAAGGATACTCTTATCACATTATCGAAAGTCACTATTTCCTACTTTCCTTCTTATTTTCTTCCTTCACATCCCCGATTCCTGTTGGGGCTCAGTATCACAGCTTACATATCTCGTGTACTATGCCCCTAGGCGCGTAGCGGATGGTACACGCCGACTGTTGAGCTTCTCGGTTCTCTAATATTTTTAGTATAGAAGAACATGTGTTATCTGTCAGACTACTACAGGCGACGGCCCAATTGTTGGAGATTTGAGTCATGCCTTGTCGGTCTTTTCTCTAAGCGCGTACTCTCATCCACCGATTTGTTACAATGTCATATCTCGCAACTTATATCAAACACAACCAACATTGGAAACAGGAGTAACTGAAACAGTTGGGTATGCATTGCCAGTCAAGTGGACGCTAACTTGCTACGTAAATGTGATAGACGATGTGATGTATTGACTCCTGATAGATGTCAACAGCAAGTTAATTCTGGACGACGTCCCCAGAGGCTTATAAATGGGAGTTAATCCCCGAGAGATTCTTGATTAGCAACTCAAATTTCAGTTACTTCAAGATTCTCAACACCAATTTATCATTATGGGTCTCACGAAGTCGGAAACCTTTGAATGGCACCATGCAGGCTCTTCCACTGCCTTGGAGTCCGGCAAAACAACAGTTGAGGAGGCAAAAGCGGATATCGACGAATTGTACAAGACCGGCAAACCGTTCTTTCCCAGGGAAAAAATCCAAGACCTCGAAAAGCAGATGAATGCTTTGGCCGACAAGGGAGGTAAACTCACAGTCGAGGACCTGAACGGTGATATACTCGAGTGTGTGGTACCAAAGGCTGAAGGGGAGCTTGAAGGGTAAGTCGCACGTCACATTCTGGGGTGTCAAGACCCCCCAGGTCCTATTGCAACCAGAGCTAATAGGATTCAGCTTCAAACTTAGGTTGGATTACCGGGACGCAGCAACACTCAAATATGAGATAGACATTGGGTGGTCTTCAAGAAAAGGGCTGAAGGCTGAGGCTTTCTGCCCCCTGCAGCTGATCTACGCAATCTATTATGTAGAAGACGACCCGACCCGCAAGCCTGAGACTGTGGCTCGGGAGTTCGAAGCGAACACACAGGTGTGGGAGGCAAGTGAAGCTTGCGAGAACTTCAAAAAGACATTGTTTCAGAACGCCAGTGGTCATAAGATCAACAGCATTGTCGGGTTTGCCTGTGGTAGTCTATCACGGCCATACAATCCTCACACTGACTTCCAGCACGCGCTCCTTATCACCCTGAAGGACTGGCTGAAAAAGAAAGACCCGGGCAAGGAACTCTCTTGCTACATCCAGGACGTGCTTAACACCTCGGCGGACAAAGATTTCCTCGCCAAATTCGGCTTTGAGGTGGTTGATGATCCGGCCGGCTGGTCCAAAGTCGATGAGCAGTCAGTTGTGCTATCTATAGCACCTGATGTGCCTATCAAGCAGATCATCGCGGAAAATGCTAGACCTGCTATTGTGATCTGGGTAAAGGAGAAAGAGGAAGAGGAAGAGAAAAAGGATGAGGAGAAGAGAGCAGAGAGGGCGAAAGTGAGAGAGAGACAGAGGAAGGAGAAGAAGGAAGGGCTGAATTTAGCCGAGTGAGTATTTTCTTGGACATTGTGGTGCACCCCTTGGCTGTCCGTTCCAAAGCTAACGTGTTCACTAGTATACTCCCGCCCACTGGTACGGACCCTGATACTTCCCGTACTCGAGAAATGATGAAGGGCTACGACATGCATGAACTCGGAGACTCTCAGCATTTCCGGGATGCTGTGATCTATATCCGGAAGATGTAGGTTGTCACAGCCAGGGACTTGGGATGATTGGCTCACTGCGTTTTCTGGTCGTATTTTCTTATAGTTGAGAGTATGGAAACATGTCATTTCAGCGCCTTTTGCCGAGGAACTACCAGTAAGATATTACAGGCTATACAATAACGTAGTAGATATTATGCCGACTCTTGATCGAGTGTTAGTTGCCCCGCACATGTCAGCGCAGGTACGAGTGCCCAGGTGTGATGGATGCGCTGGCTTGTTAGGCGCCAACCCCCAATGGCTACATTATAAGCACTGTCCCCAATGTAACCAAGTTCTTTTCTATTCTTGATCTCTACTCAGATGACCAACATGGACGACCCAAATCAGTCAGAGCCTATGGCAGAAAGATACTCGCGGTTGGACCTTGATTACAAATACACTCATTCTCGCTTGATTGAACCTAGGGACATACCAACCCTCGAGGAGGCGAAGGCCATCATTGACACACTATACGAGTCCGGAGTGCCATTTTTTACCAAAGATATCATTCAAGATGTGTGGGATCAGATCAAACGGGAGCCAGCCCGAGGTGACAAAATCCTTACGAAGGACAAGAGGCGCGGTTGTTGAATGCGATGTGGAGACGGGTAAAGTTCAGGAATGGAGACTGGATGATGGTATGAAAGTAGAATTTATGTGGTGAGTACATACCGGCAATAAATCCATGTGTGTGTGCCATGGTGGGAAGGGAGAACTAATATCATCCAGCAAGGAGCTGGTCCTCACTTATCAGTGTCGAGCATCTCTCAGAAAAGAGCTTGATTGGAGGGACTGCCCGTTATCCCACTGGGAGCCATGCCCAGTCAAAATCATGCATCAAACGCCCGAATGGGATAGTAAACTTGAGAGAATCGTCCCACGGCGTGGCCCCCTGGCTCATGAACTTGTCGCGAAAATGTTCCAAGACAAGACTCAAGAATGGAAAGAGAGTCCCGCCTGCGAGAAGCTCAAGACGATTCTGTCATGCTCGGCGAAGAATCATGAAATCAACAAGATTTTTGCGTTTGCTCTTGGTACGATGTCCTATCAACGTTTTAACGAGGATGGCAGCCTACACACTAGTACGGGGTGGTCCTCTGCATTGCAGCATGCGCTACTCGTGACCATAATAGAATGGTTAAAAGAAAAAGACCTTCAAGAGAAAGTCTCATGCTACTCACAGGACCCAGCTTACACCGAGGTAGATAAGAAGATTCTGGATGGGGAAGGCATCGAAGTGATTGATGACCCGCGTGGTTGGCTCGAGGTGGACGAGCACTCGATCGTGCTCTCCATAGCACCGAATGTGCCTGTGAAGGAGATTATTACGGACATTGCTCGACCTGCGGTTATTCTTTGGGGTCGAGTGAAGTTCTGCGATGGACTTGATCAGGGATAGTGAGTATCATACCATCTAACTTCTTTTTCGATCTGCTAACCTCATTAGTACGGATCCTGACTCTCCGCGGATCAGAGCAATGATGGAAGGTTATGACCTGCATGAGTTTGGCCCCGATAAGGATATGTTCTATGATCTTGTGCTCTATATTCGGAAGTCCGTTGCTGCCCCGACTGCCTCCAATGGAAGATTTACCTAGTTGAACTAATTTGATATTCATGCCTGAGGAACCAGGTGTCACGGGTCGTATACATTGAACAAGGATCATTCGAATGTTTCCCGTATAGCCCGCGTACTTGCAGCTCCCCCAATCATTCGAGAGAAAAAAATAATTAATTGAATGTGATAATCTGGTATAGAATAAGAAAAACCGAAGTACATTATTTTCATCTCCTATTAATTTCTGATTGCGTAGGATATCCACCCCCCACATATCGAAAGGCGGAAGACCCTCGACGTTGGGACCTTCATCTCCGGTCACGCGCTTTTCGTGCAGCCCATCCTCGTACCTACGCCCCTCCAATGGCCTCCGAGCGAGCGATCGATCGGGAAGAGCGACAGGGCCTTGTAAGTCTTTTCACTTTTGCTTTTTCAAGGGGGAGGGACCCCTCTTTATATCTGACGTTGGACATTGTGAACGTGTTGCATGGACCAGTCACCAGATCACGGAATATCCAGATCTTGACTAACGCAAACAGCGTGCCATTCGCAATTTCCTCAAGGCACGAAACTCCTACGATGTCCTGCCGCTCAGCTTCCGACTCATCATCTTCGATACCTCGCTTTCCGTCAAGGAGAGTCTGAACATTCTGATCCAAAACGGTACGCTCTTGCGATTGATCCCACCTCCTTTTCGACCAAATTCCCGAACATTCCCCGCTGACTGCAAACCCGGGAATCGGGAAGTACAGGCATCGTTTCAGCTCCCTTGTGGGACTCCAAAGCGTCCAAGTTCGCAGGTCTTCTGACCACCTCCGACTACATCAATGTCATCCAATACTATTTCCAGAACCCCGCGGCGCTGGACCAGATCGATCAATTCCGCTTGGACAGTTTGCGAGGTGCGTTGGGTCCCCTTCCGTGTCGCAGTCCTGCAGGTACACCCCGCAGCTAACGGGAATACACAGATGTTGAAAAAGCGTTAGGCGTGGCGCCGCCGGAGACCGTCTCCATCGACCCGGAGCGCCCTCTCTACGATGCCTGTCGGCGCATGTTGGAATCACGCGCCCGCCGTATCCCCCTCGTTACCAGCGATAGCCAGACCGATCGGCCCCACGTTCTTAGCGTCATTACACAATACCGGATCTTGAAATTCGTTGCTGTCAATGTTCCCGATACGCAGCAGCTGCGTCGTCCGCTGGGCGAGCTCTTGCTTGGATCGTATGATAATGTTGCCACGGCTTCGATGGATACCCCGGTTATTGATGTCATCCATATTCTGGTCGAGCGCAGCATATCCAGTGTGCCGATTGTGAACTCGGAAGGCGTGGTGTATAATGTGTTTGAGTCGGTCGATGTTATTACGTTGATTAAGGGTGGTTTCTACGATGATTTGAGTCTCACAGTTGGAGAAGCATTGAAGAAACGTTCGCCGGTTCGTGACTCCCGTTCTGAGCGATATCAGTTCTACATACTAACCTCTCTACGCAGGGTTTCCCGGGTATCTACACATGTTCATTGAATGATGGCTTGGATACTATTTTTGACACTATCCGCAAATCCCGAGTGCACCGTCTTGTCGTTGTGGATGAGCACTTTAAGCTTAAGGGTGTTCTGACTCTGAGCGATATTTTGCACTACATTCTTCTCGAGGGAGAGAATGAGGAAGCATGATTGGCTTTTGAAACTGATTTTTCCCATACATATTCCGTTCTGCATGGTTCCGGCGTTTTGATCTGCCCTTGTCCTGAGGGAAACCTCGAAAGACAAAAGACACTGCCTGGGAACACAAAGGCCCGGCGAGGTCATGACTGTTCTGGGGGGGTTTTCTCGGGCTTTACGAATGTACAGAGGTAATGACATGGTTTTCCAAAACCAGCTTTGTTTTTTCATTGCCCACAGAAATAGAGGAACTTTTGAATGTCAATTTGAAGCATTATCTTTGTCTTTTTGATACCCGGACATGACATTTTGATATTTGACTCAATTCAGACATATAGTTGAGTCGCTTTGGTGGTCTTTGTAGACCTCTTTTGGTAGTTCAAGACGTAGCTTCCTCATCTCAGCTCCTTCCACGCAAGTTCCATTGTGCAAGTCACAACATCAGTGCTTGTCCTTACTTCATCCCCATCTCTTCCTTTCGTATACATTATCCCACACGTAATCATGCGGCGTCTCAGGACTGTATTTCGGTCCAGGTCCGACCCACCTAACCCTGCTCCATCTCGTACTATTTGGCCACGACGGCATCCAGCGTCCGAGGGAGACGCATTGAAGCCCCAGCCGGAAGCGGTTTCAAATGAAGTACAACGCGATGAGCCGGCTGAAACGGGGCCTGCAAGCGCTGATGCGAATAACCCCCCCCTACTCGGCCTGCTCGGCCACAGTAGACCCTCTTGACAATGCCGAACCTGGGTCGAATGCCCCACAAGTTCACAACACTGGCGAGCTTCCTCGGTCTAAGAACGGCACCAAGCGTCTGAGAAAAATGTATGCTCGCTTGCGAGGCAGCTTATCCCAGGAAGATGATCCAATCACGGACACACAGCCTCAAGCCGCAGTGGAGGATACCCGCAAAGAGAGGCCACGATCCATACCCTTGTCCTCCAATCCATTCGACCCAGATGCTGCCGCGGAGGCATCCACAACCGCTTGCAAGTCTGTCAGATTTGATGAGCCAAAGGATAGGCGGAAAGTCAGCGCTCAGACGACGCTTTCTCAGGAGTCTAACCAGACTGAAGATACTGTTTGTCGAGACCCGGCCCGGCATATCGCGATGCCCATCCAGGAACCATTGGAGTGGGAATGGCCTGGGCTAATGCTTTATGACGCTGATACTAGCACCAATACTCATGCTCTTGAGGGTTCGGACCCCTTCTCAGATGGGAAGGCCACCGACCGACAAGTAAAGACGGGATCTTCGAGGCATAGTGCAGGCACAAGCCGAGAGGAATCAAGGACTTCTGAAGGTACACTGGAGCCTATCGTTGAGACTGATTTCGACACAATTGAGCCAGTTATCGAGCCAGCTCAGCCAGAAGGTGCGGGCTCCCAGAGGGCAAGTTCGGCGAACAGCCAAACAAGCTGCACTAGCACACTGGACTCACCAAAGGCTATCTCGGCCTTCAACCGGATGGCGTCTCAGTTCGGTATTCCGATTGCGATTCCACTTGATGATTCTCCACGTACGTTTGTTTGTGTTTTTCTTTGCCATTATGGACTGCCACTGACTAATTCACAGCAGCAGAAGGCAATGCCGAGCAACAAGGCTCGAGTCGTCGTGAAATTAGATTGTTGGGCAAAGTTCGCAAGGTGCGATCCAGCCTGGCCCCCGACACAGCACCTTTGGCACCCGTTCCTAAGCTGCGACGAATGAAGACTTTCGCCAATCTGCGCCGTCCCGATCCGATGACGTCGTTGCAAGGAAGATCGATCGAGACTTTGGCTCGCCTTGGAGGACACGGCTATCTTATGCTGACGGAGCTGGCCCCCTGTCCCGTGCAGCTACCCGCATACATTGTGGCGACGCTGATGTTTCTGCATAAATATGGTTGGTGGTAGGCGTGTCTTTGTCATGACGTGGCTGACTCGGGTTCCTGCAGGTCTTGACACTCCCGAGATCTTTATCCATTCCGGCGATCTGAAAGCCGCCATTCGCTTATATGATCATTTTGCTAGCCAAGTGCTCGAGGCGGAGAAAGATGAATCTAAGATATCCCTTACTATGCGTGTGGTTGCCATGCCGCAGCTTCGTGACGATTCGGCGCCCGTGCTGAGTGTGGCCTGGGCCTTGAAAGCCGTGCTGGCGGGGCTTCCAAACGGGATCCTCGGGAGTGTCCGGCTCTACCAGACCCTCAGGTCGATGTACTACCACTCGATACCCGATAAATGCTATCACCTCCGTGTGCCCGATTGTATCTCTGAGGCGAGCCCAACGACTGCCGCCCGAGTACAGCTTATGTGTCTTGCACTCATTGCCCTTGCGACTGAGATGCAACGGGATCTTATCTGTGCGATCTTTGGACTACTTTCCTTACTGGTGAATCCGGATATCGTCCAGGAGCAGCCCGGGATGGAGCTCCGTGATCCAGTGGCAAGTCCGAACTTCCACGAGTTGGTGCGGGTGTTTGGACCGCTCCTCCTCGGATCCAGACAAGACCGAGATGGCACCGAAGTGGAACAGGAGATTGATGACCAACGTGTAGCAGGATTGATGCTCAATAATTGGCATTTTGTGCATCGACAGTTGCGATCTTGGACGAGAGGACGCTATGTGGTGGGCAGGGAATAAGGCCATAGAGACTCTCTGATTGGACTATTCTAGAAGCTGTATACTTCCAGGGAATGGGTTTCCCAACCCTGTTTTTGTTTTCTTTGGGTTTCCTGGACGGCATAAAATCCTGTTGGATACCGTTCTTTCCGTTCTTTCTGACCTTTTTGCTTGTTTTCATGTGTTATTGTTTAGGTGTCTCTACGGCTTATTGGTCTAGGTCTCAAGGGTTGGGAACAGAGGGGTATTAAATATCCAACCATCATTCTTCCTTTTTCTTTTTTCCCTTTACATTCCTCTCTCTTTGGTGACACTAAACAAAAATTTTTTTTATCTGTGCCATTCGGATCTTCTGGACGGAAGTCTTGTCCGACCGTGGCTCTCAACAAGACCATAACCTGGACCTTTCACATCTTCAGGCACCAAGGAGCCTTCAGAGACTTTGTTTAGGGTTATTAGGGCAAGAGCTGCTAAACTTCCTTTCTTTCTACGGAAAATAACTTTCTCTTCTAAAGCTTCTCTACCCCGTGACATGTCTAACCTCAAATCTGCAATGCCATCAGGGCTACCATCAGGGCTACCATCAGGGTTACCTCCAGGCCTTTCAGATATCAATCTCGGTCCATCCCCATTCACAGGTTCCTTCTCAGGTGATTTCTTAGGTCTTCCAATACCAGACGACGACCAACTCTGGGGTCTCAGCCCCGTCTCACCGATGGCTACGGGCTGGGACAAAGACTCGGCATTTGCCAATTCCGCGCTCGAACGAGACCTCAAAAACGCCCAAGTCCGAAATGGTCAACCAACTCCACCCCCATACGACGATCAAAGTCGGGATCATCTCTCTCTAGACATGATGGAATCCGCCAGCAAACGACGGCGCGTGCGCGAATACAAAACCGCCGCCGCTAGCCTCAGCCCGGACCTTGACGATGCCCCACACGAACGCGCCAAACGGGCCAAATTCCTCGAGCGCAATCGTCTCGCCGCCAGCAAATGTCGTCAGAAAAAGAAAGAGCATACCCAGCAGCTCGAATTCAACTTCAAGGAACAGTCCGAAAAAAGGAACAGCTCGTTGCGGAAATTGCACGGCTGCGCTCCGAGATCCTGGGTCTGAAGAATGAGGTCCTGAAACATGCGCAGTGTGGTGATGAACCCATCAAACTCCATCTTGCGCAGATGGTGAAGAAGATCACCGATAAAGATGGGGCGCCGTCTGGTGGATTACCCGAGGAATCCCCCGTCCGGATCCAAGATCAGCCATCCGTCTCCCCGCTCGAACCAACCCCAGCTGCGCCGGTGACGGCTTCTGTGCCGGTGTCTGCGCCCGCGCCCACGGCGATGTCGTTTGGTTTCGACGATCCTCTTCAGCTTGAGCCGGCTGCCGCGGCGGCGGCTGAGGCGTTTGAACAGCAGATGCGGCGCGAGTCGGAGGCCTCGCTTGTCTCCGAGGGGTCTTATTCGTTTTCGGCGGAGGAGACATCCTTTGACGATTTGATCAATGTGTGAGTGTGAACAGTGGCTGTTTATGTGATAACGACTTTTTTTTTTTTATGTGGAGGTAATGGGGGGCAGCAGGTCTGTCTGGCGTTTGTGGATTTTTGAATTGGAATTGCGATCCAGTAGGAACTGGAGGGTGTCTGGCGTTTTGATCCCGGTTTGAGTACACGGATCAAGCTGTTTGTGATATTTGGTACTGTGTTCTTTGCCCTTTCTCGATTCTAGCTGCCTTAAGGGCGATTGGCTAGGTGAATTGTTGCTGTGGGCAATTGGCCTGGAATGTATTTTCTATGAATAACATGGATGGAAATGAATAGTTTCTATCAGTATGCTTTTCTTCTGGTAGAGGATAAGTATACCAACTTCAAAACCGTCTAACGGTTGCCTTGACCTGTGCCGATGCAGTATCCTTCAGGGTGTCATTTTCCCATGCTTCTCATGACCAACTCCCATCGAACATACAATCTCCTCGAGAGACTAGCTGTCCCTCAGAAGTAAATCCCATATCCGTTCAGCAGTCTTAACAACAAGAATTTTTTTCATCCTTCAATACCAAGCCGACCGTGGCAATCATGTATATCGCCATCAACGCCACACCAGCCAACAAGGGCCTTTTCCTGACACGATGGAAAATAAGCAACGACGTTAATAGAATCAGGCCCAGCACGACTAGCAATCCTCTTCAAATACCTCCTTTAGGTAAGGATTGTACAGTAATAGTTGGCTTATTGGCATTGAGTCTCTTTAGTAGTCTTTTCAACCCTTCTAGTATCTCGAAGATTATCCCTTATAGTGCTCTAGCTAAAAGCAGGAGCGGAACATGATATAGTCCAGACTTCTGACAAGTGTATGCTTTAATGGTATCATTCTAATGTCATTGGTTTATCCTCTGACTCCGCATTGCCGACGGCCGATGGCCGATTGGCGATGCGATGTATACTTCCAGTTTAGATCTGCGAGATCTACGAGATCTAAAACCGTTGACATCTCGCCCCCTCACTTCCTCTCTGCATTCCTAAACATGACAGCAAAACGTCCCAACTTCCTCGTCATAGTCGCCGACGACCTCGGTTTCTCCGATGTAGGCTGTTTCGGCGGAGAAATCCGTACTCCCAACATCGACCAAATCGCCAAAGAAGGTCTGCGATTCACCGATTTTCACGCAGCAGCAGCATGTTCGTGAGTCTCAATTCCCCCTACTGAAGCGAGCCGTCAACCAAACATTGAACCCGCAATACCTAGTCCCACACGCGCCATGATCATGACAGGCACAGACCACCACATCGCCGGTCTGGGAAACCTAATCGAATGGACCAACATATCTGGCCAGAACGGACCGAAAGGCTCAGAAATGAGCACGGCGCCGCAGCGCGGAATGCCGGGATACGAGGGATACCTCAATGAGCGGGTCGTGGCACTCCCGGAGATCCTGCGCGATGGGGGATATCACACCGTAATGTCGGGGAAATGGCACTTGGGTCTGACACCAGAGCGATCACCGCATAAACGTGGGTTTGAACGCTCGTTCGCGCACTTACCTGCCTGTTCAAACCACTATGCCTTCGAGCCGGAGCTGAAAGATGAAGACATCCTCCCGACTTTCATCGAAGCGAGTTACATCGCTCTGCATATGGAGGATGGAGAGTATGTGCGCCGGCTCCCGGAGGACTGGTATTCTTCTGACGGGTACGGCGATAAGATGGTGTCGTACCTGAAAGAATGGAAAGATAGCGGGGGCAGCGATGGCCCAGACGGAGACGGAGATCGACCGTTCTTCGCATACCTCCCTTTCACAGCGCCGCACTGGCCGCTACAAGCTCCGCGCGAGTATATCGATCATTACCGCGGGGTGTATGACTCCGGCCCGGACGTGCTCCGCGAAAAGAGACTCCAGCGTCTAAAAGAGCTTGGTATGGTGCGCGAGGATGTCGAGCCACATCCCGTGCAAGCAGAGGAAGTCAAAGCGTGGGATGAGTATAGCGCTGAGGAGAAGAAGAAGTCCGCCGTTGCGATGGAGGTGTTTGCCGGGATGGTTGAGTGTATTGATTCGAATGTCGGGAAGGTGGTTGATTACCTGCGGTCTATCGACGAGCTCGATAACACGTTCGTGTGTTTCATGTCTGATAATGGAGCCGAGGGCGCCGCCTACGAGGCGTATCCGATGGTTAAAAATGGCGTCATGCCTCACCTGCAAAAATACTACGATAACAGCCTCGAGAACCTCGGAAACGGGAACTCGTTTATCTGGTATGGTCCGCGCTGGGCGCAGGCTGCTACTGCACCCTCGCGGCTGTATAAGGCATATACCACCGAAGGCGGCGTGCGGGTTCCATTCACATGTCGTTTCCCGACGAACTTTGATATAAACCCTGCCGATGTTGCGGCTGGTAAGGGTGGGATTACCGAGCAGTTCGCCACGGTCATGGATCTCGCCCCGTCTATCCTGGATATGGCGGGGATTCAGCATCCGGCGCCGACGTACCAGGGTCGGGAGGTTGTCGAGATGCGTGGTCGAAGTTTCCACCCCTGGGCGATTGGTCAGGCGGAGCGAATTCACCCGGTTGAGTTTATTCAGGGCTGGGAGACGTGTGGACGGGCTGCGTTGCGTTGTGCGGACTGGAAGATTGTTTTTATTCCCAAGCCTAAGGGCCCAGAGAAGTGGCAGTTGTTTAATCTCGTGCAGGATCCTGGGGAGATTCATGATTTGTCAGAGACCGAGCCGGAGAAGTTGAAGCAGTTGCTTAAACTCTGGGATCAGTATGTTCTTGAGACGGGTGTTGTCCCGCTCTGTCCTGATCTTGGGGAATTTTTGGAGGCGACTGAGGCGCAGATGCCTGAGAATGCGTGGATGGAGTTTGATTATTGGAAAGAAGGCGCGAGAGATGAGCCGGCGAAGTTTACACGGCAGCCGCCGAGGTTTCAGCGGACTGTGAAGCCTTTCTAAGCCTTGAGTGAATAGAAGTGACGTCTAGTCAGCCTTTCTATAGTTCAAAATATGCAGCTTGCCTATACTGAGTAGCCGGGTAAGTTCAACCATCACCAGATGGATTATTTGAGAGATGTCTATAATAGACATGTTTCGCCGGGGTGGAATCCCGCTGTTGATGCGTACAGGAAGAAGTATATAGCACGGTTGTCTCAACCCTTTTCGAGATAGCGAAGGCTTGGATCAGACGGTTTGGAGGGGTTAAGTTAGTGATCTGCAGCGAATGTGTTTGCGGACTTTGGGTATATGATATCCTGGGGCTATTGAGTGGGGGCTTCTTCGTGCCCAGTGTGTATAGTTTTGCTGGTTACTACTTGACCGGAGTATTGGAACGGGATTGACTGTACGAAAGGGCGAGACTGGGTGTTTTTGCAGATGCGGTTGATATTCGGCGGGTGAGAATCGGGTTTCTAGGCATATGCGGGCGACAGTTATCCGAGTTGGGCTTTTGATATTCATTGGGCGAGAATTAGTTCTTTGGACCCTGGAGGATCAGAAATTGTAAAAATGGCATGTCTGTAGGAGGATGGCTAGTGGATATTCTAAATGAAGGATGTCCGATATATATAAATGTTGAAGGGTATGAAATAGAGTATGTTGTCGATCAATATTCTGCAGTGATCGCACCCTTGTATACCTTTAGCTGGTTTCAAGCTTATTATGTGACTCTTACTGCGTAGATCATGCACTCCCTAAGTATATAAGTGTATAGCTCATGTTGTCTCCGTCTATCGAACGTGAAGAGGTATTCGCTGCAGATCCCACACCAATCACAGTTGTATATATTAATATGATCCCAAGTATCTTCTCCCTTTTAAACCTCTGAATCTGACTTGATCTTTTTGATCTTTCAAGGATTCTCAGTCGGACCACGATCGTCTCCGAGAACCGGCCCCATTGCGGGGAAACCGTCGGGTCCTTTACTGAACAGAACGGACAGAACGGACAGAACGGACAGCACAGACTAAACAGACTAAAGACACTAGACAGACTACTCTCTGTATCTAGTATGCTTTGGGTTTAACTCGGGGCTTGATCCATGGAGGTAGTGTTATTCCTCAAATCACCTTCCTGAGACTAACGTCGAATTCCCATAGGTGCCAAAAGCCCGGGGGACTGGCAGGTCGGGCCCGCGTCGTCGGACAGGGTGCCTAACATGCAGGGCCCGTAAGGTTCGGTGCGACGAGACGAAGCCAACTTGCTCCAATTGCGACCGACTCCGTCTACGATGTCACTACAAGCCCCCTATCGCCCCTGGCGTGGGGTGGGGCTCACCAACTCGCCCAAATGATCCAAGTGCATCACCAAATGTATCGCCTTTAGAGGGTTCGAGCTCATCCGCTACAGCTACTGCATCTCGATCTCCCGACATCAACTTCTTTAGTACCGTGCTCCGTGCAGACGGTCACACAATACCAGCGACAACCACACTTCGGCAGCTCCCGACAGACCAGGACTCTTATCCTTCCGAGTTTGACATGCTTGGATTTATGGGCGGGATCACGTCTGAGTTGGAACAGAAGCAGAAACACCTGGATTTGACAACCGGGCTCGCCATGGGCTTCACCGCTAGTCCAGCCGCGCAGTCGCTACCCGCGACTATCATACCGGGCATGGATGAAGGGCACTTCTTAGCAGACCGTCGGATTCCACTCACCCCAGATACTTCATCCTCCCTAATTGATGGGACCTCGGTTGGAAGTGCTTCCGACGCCGGCGGTATTTCGTATGAGGACCAACTGCTGCAGCACTTTTTGACTATTGACTCGCCAGCTACTCTTTTTGCGCCGGTAACCCTTGAGTGGAAGTATATGCGGCCAGCGCTGCTGGCGCATGCACGAGACTCTAGCCCGCTTTTGAATGCTTTGTACTGCTATGCAGATGTCCATAAAGCGATGATGGAGGGGAAAAGATGGCGCTGGGCCCCTACTTTCTATAGATTGTCCAGTTCGGAGATCCAAGCTTGTATTCGTGGCGAAGTGACGGAACCCACACTCATCAACGTTTTTGGTTCTATATTTCTCTTGATGATATCCGAGGTATGTGCTACTTGGTTCCTAGATTGAGTAGACTTGGCTCATATTGTCCTAGATTCTCTCATCCCCCGAAATATGTACCGGAACTTCTTATATTCACACCGGGTACCTTATTCTACACCGATTCCATGATCGCACCCGACATTGGACCGGTCTCGGCCATCTCCTGGTATCATGGGTCTCGTTGCTCGATGTCAAATCCCTGATCGCAGGCCGAGATGGCGATCCTCTCGCTGACCTCGGCAACATCCCAGAACATAGCATCCCACTGAAACCAATAGATACACAAACTTCTCAGATACCTCACCCAGCAATACCCACAGACAACCTCAAAGGAGAAGACAGCATCGAAGACCCATTCCGCAGTCCCAGCTACCTCGTCTACGAATCAATCGTAGGTCCAGCATTCCGATTCTTCGTACAAGCCCAGCAAGTCGTCCGACGCATAGTCTGCATAGACCTCCACCACCGCAGTCGTGGAACCCTCACCGACGAGTTTGAAGTCCTCCAGCTCGCTCACAAAGTTGGCGCAGACCTCGAAACACTCTGGCACAGACGTCCCTCGGTGATAGACGTCTACGGACGACCAGAAGCACTAACGGATATCCTGTGCGCCCCTGTGGCGTTGGAGATCTGCCGCACATTTAGGCAATACGTGGCGAACTTCTTAGCGAACTTCATCTACTTGCATCGTGTTGCATTTGCAATATACCCACGCACAGACCGCGTCAACGGCGCCGTTGATCAAATCATCCAATTGGCTGCAGTTGACTCGACCGGCCCAGACCACCTGCCTGTTAGCTTTCTGTGGCCGCTGTTCATTGCTGGGCTCGAGGGTACGGAGGACCAGCGCAAGTGGATTGTTCACGAGATCCAGCGTATGGCTGCTGCTCACGAAGCCGACTCGGCTCCTTTGGTAACCCGCCACCCAACTGCTGATAAAGTCCTCTTGCTCGTGGAGGAGATGACTCGACGACAGGATGTGTCGCGCACATGGGCAGATTCGAAATGTGTGAGGCGGGAATTGTTTTCGGACTTTTTCGTTATAATTTGATCTTCATTTTTGGCGCGAACTATATACGATGTCTCAATAGCCTGGCGTTATGTTCATATATCCAGCGATTTTGCTTTTCTACTTGACTTTGATGACAATCTCGTTCATACAAAGATTTAATGTTCCCTCATGAATTACGATACAAGAATTTACAACCACTTCAAATCTCCTAAACCTCCTCAGACTGAATCTCTCGATATGACACTTTTTCCCCACCCATACACCGTGATCGATGCAGTAAATGCCCTCGCTCCTTGCGCACATACGCCGCAAAGCATGCAGCAGCAACCGCCACAGCCCCAGAACTGATCAACACGGGATACCCGAACTGCTCCGGCAGCGGGAAAACAATCGTCGATGCATATGAAAGCATCTCGAAAACATTCTGCAGGGCCACTTCAGTCGCTGAGAAACGTGCACGAGCATGTTCGTTGATATTCTACATAACATTCGTTCAGTATGTGCAACCCCACAAGCCAATAATCCATAAGGAATCCACTTACCTCCTGAACAAGAAACTGAACCGACAAATCGAACCCCCAAAGTCCAACCCGGCTCAAAGCAACACCCGCAATCAGCATACCCGCCACGAACTGCGAACCCGAGTCCCAAGTAACGAACGCCACGGCCGCTCCAGCCACGCAGACAAATTGCCAATTCAAGAACCACAGTCCGGACCGGATCGGGCCAATCCGTCTCATGATTATAGGTGCTGTCCATGTGCCGGATAGCTCGGCGGCCACGGCGCCGATGCGCATGTAACTAATCTGGAGCGAGGTGAAGCCCGCTTGTAACAGGTATGTGACCATTGTTGCGCCGAAGGATAGGACTGTTAGGTAGAGGAGGCTTAGGGCGAAGGATGCTAGGAAGACGGGGCTGGCTATGTATTCTTTCCAAGGTGCCAGAGACGACTCTGGCAGTGAGGGGGATATCTCTTGGGATGGATTGTGGAGTGGTGTGGACTCGTTGATTGTATCATCTGTAGCAGCTTGTTTCTTGGTTAAAGCTGGGACTGATCGGTAGACCTGGGCAATGGCGATGTATTCGACCAGCACCGATGTGGTGTTCAGGGTGAATACTGTCCAGATTGCGTATTGGGTTGATATGCTGTCGATCAAGGAGATGAATACTGGTGCTAGAAGTTTGCAGAAGAGATCTATTCGTCTCATTGAGGCGTTCAGATCTGTTGTTTGATTGAGGTTAGATGTCGTAGAGATTTAGTTGGCTTTGGTCTTCTCACCTTGTCGAGGGATATTGATACTCTCCGAGATCACGATTGCCTATCAAATAATCAGTTATGACTCTTCTAGAATGATGTTGTATATCGGATGCACGGAAGAAATTGAACAACCCAAATACGATTTCCGTACATACCCAGTCCCGTTCTACAGCCACTGTATTAGCCGTCGCGGCCAATTTCTCTAAACAAGCCAGCAAGCCCTGGACAGCGAACAAGACAATCTTAAGCATCCATGAGTCGATGGACAGAGTCGCTACGAAGAACAAGCACGACACTGCGACAGGGAGTCTTTGCCACACTACTCACTTTGGTTAGCTATTGGTCTTGAACGATAACATGATGACAGAATGGAATACCGCCGCGACAATAACATACCAATCGAATGCCTCACGGCTACGAGCCGGTCCGATCGATCAACTTGCGCACCCAGCCAGGACGATAGCGCGACGGCTGAAAAGGCTCGTACTAGAGCGTATATCGAAGCATACAGCAGTGTACCCGGGAATATTGACGCTAGGAAGAGCACGGCGCCAAATTCGAACATGCGTGAATTCCATGCCGAGAGAGTGTGTGAGATATATAGGCGTCTTAGAACTGAACGAACTTCTGGTGCTGGGCCATTGCTGTGGGTTTGTGAAGCATCATCCGCCGATGTCGGTGGACCAGTGTTTGAGGCATTGGTGATGCTTTTTGATGGGGGTTGGCTCTGCTGTTGGGAGCTGCTCTCAGGCTCCATATTGAAGCGTGGCAGTTTATAGCATATATGCAAGAATGTCGTTGAATTGTTATGGATTTCAATGTTGATTGGGATGGGGTGTCGGGATTTACAATGCCGGGGGGTGGGCTGAGGGCCTTCGTGGAATCATTTTAGTGCGCTATTTCATGTTCTCAGTCGATCACCTAACTATGGCGTATTATAGTGCTTTTTCGGCTGGCTGGTTGAGGATGAGAAATGCAGAGAAATGCAGAGAATTGGAGAGAAATAGTATCTGGTATATGGGCCAAATTCCCAATGAATTTTAATACACAACAATAAAAATTACAAGCTATAGACGGTATCTCTCTCTCTCTAATCCACCCACTTGAGTCCTTCGGGAGATGATGTCGTCGTCCGGCGGGCAATCACCTCAACGACCTTTCGGCGCACACCCTCGCGGTGGGCGTATTTCTGGAGGAAGTATTCGACCACAGGTCTCCGCGATGGGTGGCCTTGGCGCACAATCTTCTCAATCTCTGCCTCGGAGGGAAGAGCGAAGTGGGCATAAGGGTAGTTTGCGTAATCTCCCTTGCTCAGAAGTGGTAAGCGGGACTCATGGTCGGCAATCTCGAAGAAGCTATCCACGGTCTCATCAGAGACCTCTTTGAGAGTAGCGGGCTGCCACTCGGGCTGACGGGGAGGCTTGGATACCAGACGGGCCTTGACACCCTCGACGAAATCAGGGTGGCGCATGAAGTTGGCAGCGACCTTGTGCTCGCGCTGGAAGGTCTCTGAGATAGACCACTTCTTGCCAAGACGCATCTGGCGCAGAGTCACCTTCAGAGAAGTCGGAGAGCGGCCTGACAGAGTCTCTAATGTCTTTTGTGCCCACTCCTTGTGCTCAGTTTCCTCCTCCAAAGCCTGGATGATCTCCTCGACAGTGTTGAATTTGAAGCAGCGGTCAATGGCAGTGCGCAGGCTACCAGCCATGAGCATAGGCTCCTCCTCAAGCGGGGGAGGCCAAGGGAGAACTCAGCCATGGTCTTGTTTACGATTTCCAATCGCTCGGGAAGCTCGACGTGGTCGGGGAAAGTCAGCTCGGAAAGACGCTGCGCGACACTGCTCAATACGCTGGAGTGCAGGTAGTGTGTAGCAACGCCGGCATACAGAGCCTGGACACCCTTCAGGCGCTCCGAAGTCAAAGCCAGGTATGTGCCGGTCTCACCATCGAGACGTGGGAGGAAGAACGAGCCGCCAACATCGGGGAAGAAGCCAATCGTGGTCTCGGGCATAGCAAACAAGGTACGCTCAGTCGCAATTCGGAAGGGGGCGTGCATGCTGAGGCCCACACCACCGCCCATGGTGATTCCGTCCATAAATGAGATAACAGGCTTCGAGTATGTAGCGATCAGGTGGTCGAGGCGGTATTCGAGTCCGAAGAAGTCTGTTGATGCATTTTGTCCTTCCACTCCACTCTCATTTTGCAGTGCCAGGGCGGCAACGTCGCCGCCTGCACAGAGAGCCTTGGTGCCAGCTCCGGAGATGAGGATCATGTTCGCAAGATGAGATTTCTCCCACTCCTATTCATCCAACGCTTAGTATTGTGTGTTTCTGAAGTTGCGGATATCCATTCTAACCTTCAATCGAGGGAGAATCTTGCGAGCCATCGAGCCATTGAGGGAGTTGAGCTTCTTGGGTCGGTTAAGCTCAACGCTGCGGAGGCCGTAGATCGAGTTGAACAGAACATCGTCGCGCTCATCGCCGGGGAGTTCTTTGGGGATCTCGGGTGAAGTCGACATCTAAAGATAGTCAGCGCTGGATATCGGGCTTCTCTCCGAACAGGGTGCATACCATAGCTGTTGCCCGAAAGGCAGGGTTGGTCACCTTGGCGCGTAGAGGCATTGAAGGAACGCGCGAGATCCAGCTCGGCGAGGAGACGCGATTGAATTGGCGAAGTAACATTAGAACTGGAATATGACGAGAACCAGGGAAGGTGTTTATGTGGTGACAATCAGGTGTTTTCTCCGCTTTCTTGACCTCGGGAGTTTTTCGCTGGATTTTCTCTCCGCTCCGAGGGTCAACTCTCCGCCCATAACCGACAACCCTGGGTATGGGGAATCACCCCAATTGATGTCACTTTTTTTCTTTAGAAAAAGTAGTACAAATGGAAACAATCAGTATCACTCTGATATTATATAAGAAGCCGCTTGGCTACTACATAAGCTGTAGCCCTTGGGCTGACTCAGGAAAGTGATAACGTTCGAAGTATACATGGTCTATTTGTACATAGCTAGATAATGCCAAAAAAAAAAAAAAAGAATAACCAGAAGATGATGCAATTAAACATTCTCCCATGTAGACGCCATCCGGCTAAAGGTCAGCGGATAGACCTTCTTTCCGTCTAGTGAAGGCGAAAAGAGAGTGTCCACTTTCGCCAAGTCCGTCGTATGCGAAAGCAGAATCTTGTGCAGTGCATTCTTCTCAATAACCAATCTTGCTGTCTCCAAGACATTCTTAACATCCAAATCCTCGACGCTGATAGTTCGTGCGTGGTTGCCGAACTTTTCGACCGCATCAGAGAACATCTCATTCGGCTTCAGTGTAATGAATGTAGACCGGCCCTTCTGGTACCAGCCATGAGCTTGAATGAGGTTCTTGATGAAGAACGGGCTAGAAGCTTCATCCATCCCGATGTCATTCTCAACGACAATCAACTCGCCGCGTGACAGCCGGTGGCTAAGGGCAATGCGCCAGGCTTGGTCGTAGATCTTTCGTGGAAGATCGGTCGAGAAGTCGCGAGGATGAGGTCCAAAAGCGACACCACCACCTCGTCGAACTGGCGACATCTTATCACCCGCACGCGCACGACCGGAGCCCTTCTGCGCGTACAGCTTCTTGTGACTACCGTGCACATCGTCCCTCCACTTGGTGCTGGCTGAACCTTGTCGGGTGCTGTCACCCTCGTAGATGACTGCGCGGTGGAGGATATCGTGACGAGTGGGCATCTGAAGTAGCCTCCGGGAGTAGTGGACCAGACGCTGGGGTTGCAGGTCAGGCCACCGGTAGGTCATGACTTGGACAGGGGTTTGGCCACCAGGACGTTGTGCTTGTTGGACCTGAACGGCATCCTGAGTTGCCACTGGGGCTTGTGGTTTGGCTTCGGTTGCCATTGAGCGTGTAAGGCATCGTTGCTGTATAATTCGACGTGCTGTCAATAAATGCGTCCTCGAACCGGACCGACAATATTTCATGGAGTGCACTTACCGTCACCTGTTTGGGGCCTGACATGAGTCCAGCTGAGCTGCGTGAGAGCAGCCTCAGCGACCGAAGAGCATCGTTACCTGCCATTGTGAAAGGCACTGCGTGATCGACGTATCAGTTGGTGATATCCGGAGTGTTGAACGGAGCAAAAGTTGATGCGGGCGGTGGATGCCAGCAGAATCTTGGCGTTACAAAGTATAGACACAACTTGGTTTATTATCCCTGGCCAGCTTTTCAGAGTAATCTTTTAATTGTACCTCTGAGATTATTACATCCAGACTAGTGGAACCTGTATTGGCATTGTGAATGAGCCACGCGCGGCAGAGAGACGGCGGGCCCTATCAAGGCAGTTCATTGACTTGGTAGTTTACCTTGTTCGTATCAAGAAACACGAGAGGCGGCAATGACATAAACTATAGACACATCTTTCTGCATGAACAGGAATTTTCAACCTTAACATGTCCATGTTGATGTTGATTCGCAATGGAATGCCCGCAGAGGAACTCCGTACATAATGCAGGACTGGGAGACATCACGTGATAGACTAGGTCCGAACAGAAAAAGTTCCCCGGGAAGACAACAACATCGGATCCTCAGGCCAAGCCCATTCTAACTCCAATTCCTCAAAACATGGCCCACTGCGAACGGGCCTCGAAGCCTCTGCTTCAATGTCTTCGCAATACCTACTCTAGAGGCGTAGCTGGAGTCCAACTCCAAACACGAGCCTTCCAGTCTACCGCCAGCGTTCGCGAGCCCGAAGCTGAAACTCCGAGCCAACCTTTCCACAAGGCACCCGATCCATCCCTTGTCACGAGCCCCCGTCTCGAAAGACGGTTGCTGCGACAAGGAACAACTCCCATTGGATCTCGTCGTCGCCGTGCCGCGCTCCAAGATTCAGAGAACCTTCCTTTCGAACAACTGCCCTACCAATGTTTCCAAGAAGCCCGGAAGATTTTGCTTGCGGACCGCGAAGAAAAGTTGAAGGAAATTGAGGTGATGAGACAGCGTCTTGCTAGACAGGAGGCTTTAACCGACCAGGAGTCTGGGGGAGCAAAGGCGAAGAAGTCCCGCGTCACGGCGATGCAATTACACCTGGAGCGACTCAAGATTCTGGCCGATATTAACGACCCTGCAGTCAAGCGGAAGTTCGAAGATAATGAAGGTAATAATCTACCGGTCAACTGATCAAATTGGAGTGACGCTAATGGGTTGTTTCTTTGTCAATTCAGGTGACATGTCCAAGCCCATCTACCGCTTTTTGGCCGACCGCAAATGGCGCGAATACCGTCGCAAGATTCTGGTCCAGCGTATCACCCAGATGAACGTCGTTCCCGACGTCCTGCCTCACTGCGACCCCGTCGTCGACACAAAGCTGTACTTTGGCAAGCGACAAGTCCAAGCTGGTGAATTCGTCGATGCCAAACTCAGCACAAGCGCACCTAAACTCGATGTGCAGATGTTCGAGGGTGGTGAGAAGTTGGTCACCATTGCAGTTGTCGACCCCGATGTCCCGAACGTTGAGAACGACAACTTCGATTATAAGACACATTTCCTGGCCGTCAACGTCCCCATCTCGGCCACTTCGACCAAGGTTGACCTTGCGCAGCTCTTGGAAGACTCCCAGGTGGTTCTCCCCTGGCTCCCACCTGTTGCTCAAAAGGGAAGTCCCTACCACCGTCTGTCTCTCTTCATCATGGAGCAGAAGGATTCCCAGCCTCTTGACTTTGCCGCCGTCAAGGCTAAGGAGAACAACCGCGACACTACCCTCCTTCGCTCTCTCCAATCCCGCTACCACCTCAAGGCTATCGGTGCCCACCTGTTCCGTACCCAGTGGGACGATACGACCCTGGAGGTCATGAAGGATATTGGATTCGACAATGCCAATGTGGAGCTGCGTCGCAAGAGAGTCGAGCCTCTGCCATATAAGAGACGTAACCCCTCTTCGTTCCGCTGATCGTGTTTGTCTCCACTGTTCTATGTTCAAGCCGGGTTTTGTATTGTACAATTTGATATATGTATGAATATGCACACTGTTGTAATCCTTTCAACCAAACTCCATGTGTATGCTTAAACGAAATAAACCCGAGTGCCCCGCATCGGCAAACTGCATTCCCCCCTCTCTGGTATAATGTACACTGTATAATCCTCAAATGTTCTGGGCCTCCAGTTGCGCCGGTTGCAACGGATTGGTCACCCACCCCATCTTTGACAGAGGCCAAACCCTGGCAATTATCTTCCCATTAATGAGACCCATAGGTACTGGACCGTAATTCCTTGAATCCCTAGACCAGGGAAGATTGTCGCCGGCCAGAAAGACGTGACCTTCGGGAATCTGCACAAACATCACAAGTCAGCAATTAAATCCAACAGAACAAAATCAAAACCCACCTGTATCATATTCCCCTCCTTGCCAATATCCGTGCTAAGCGGCTTGTCTTGACAGACGAAATCTCCAGGCATGCCAACTACTCGCTTGGCCACATGCACGCCTTGAAAGTTCGGATGACCATATCGCACAACATCTCCCACCTCAATTCCTTTGCCGTTGCGGTGCATGCGTGATATCAGGAGCCAATCTCCTCGCACGTCGAAGGTAGGGTACATCGACGGGCCCTCGCTGAGCTGGATGGTTATCAGGTGCTCCCAGATGAGCGCACAGGCGCAGAACGTGCTAGTGCCATTGAGCGCGAGTCGGCCAATTGTGCGCGGGTTGAAGCCCCTTACTAACGACCGGACGAAGTGCTCCATGTGTATTGAATTGGAGGCATGGTCTTGCTTAGATCGAGCTGCATCAAGCACTCCGCGGTCGGGAATGGTCATGTGACTGTATGGAACCTTTAAAACCCATTTTTTTGCTCCACATCTTCCTCCTCTCCCATCATTCAATATGTCCTGTGTTCTGAACCAAAGAAGATCGCCGTCGCATTGGATTTCAATATCTAAGAGCCCTCTAGCTAAATCAGCTGCCCATTAATGCTTGTGGGTGCTGTGCTGAGAAGGACCTCGGTTCTGAATCCATGCCTCGACTATTTTTGAGCATTTTCAGAGATGCTCAACAAGTCGATGTTCTTTACATATACATACCCTTACCCCCATTCCCTTTCGGGATGTTCGCTTCTCCAGCTAGAGCTTGCCGTCGCCAAATACAAACCCCGGACGAAGCAGGTGTAGAAGATCTGAAGCAATATGAACACAACCAGCCTATCTTGTTAGATACGTTGTCCTCCAGTGTGCCTCAACATGACCCCATTTCATTATGGGACTGGGTTATTGAGGCATGTGTAGCGGGGAGACATCGCAATTAGACAATCCATTATCATTTTCAACCTCCTATGCCCTCTATCTTGTAATTTTGGTCAATATCAAAAAGACCTCCATGCGTTAATCAAGTTGACTTATTTATTGTACATTGAATCAGCATCTAACAACCATGTCAGTCCAAATTTAAGCAAAGACAATCAACATTCACAATACATACCAGGATGCTTCTCAACTGGCTCAATACCCTCCCTCTTCTTTGCCTTCTGCCGATGATCCACCCCAAACCTCTTATTCCGATCCTCCAACAACGAATCCAATCCCGCAGGGTGTGCAACCTCCACACTCTCATGCGATGTAAAGCTACCCATCAACTGAGGCTCACCCATAGGCACAGGGTCTCCACGATCAACCTGCCAGAAATGATACGTCTTGCCATAGATAGGCGCAACATCCTGCATCTCTGCCGTCTCCGCAGCTTCCCATACAGCATCGGGCACACCAGCCGGTGCTGGCATGACCAGCATGCCGCTCTTGACTTCAAATTCGTGCGTGTGCCAGAGCTTGCGCTCCTCGGTGGGAAGAGTCGCGAAGATCCGCGGCGAGATCATGTATTCCACACCGATGAGGCGGGCGTTCTTCTCAGGTGAGTCGTAGATCAGACATTGGCGGACATCTGGGTGAGATATTAATGTGCGACACGTCCACGGATGGGTTATTTGGTTCTCTGGGTATAGAAGTGGCTGCTGTTACATACCCTCTGTCAAATGGGTGCAATAGTGATTGGCCTCGACGCATCGGGTTGGATCACTGGCGTAAACGTGGAATGCATTGAGATGGGCGCAGATTTGTTTCACCGGTGTGAAATCTTGGATCGTTGAGGCTCCGGTCTCGAGCACTTGACTCTTCAATGATCGTGGATCGCCTGGGATTTCATTTCCTTTGCAGCAGGAGCTCTTGTTGTCGTTTGACATTTTGTCGTATATTGAGTTCAGGATGGTCTCCAAGGCTTTGATTCTGAATTGATGCGTGCTTGTTAATACAATCTACAAGTGACACTGGAACTTGTATCTGGGTATATAAATTCTTGAGGGAAATTTCTTGAATTCCGTTGAATTGACGTCACGATGATTGCAGATTCCCTATTTGGGACTATTTACTATGACAGCTACATTGAGATGTACATGCAGGTTTAATTCCAATATACGTCGGAGTATATTGTATGCTAGTGATGGCGCATCAGTTGCCCTTATGATATATTGGACTTAATCTGCCTCAATAACTCAAGCGATGATCTCCCTTTGCTCAAGCAGGTCATAAGTAGGAGTCTTTCTCATATCAAAATTGCCCTGACCATCAAAACGGTGCTGTTCTATCTTGCGTTCGCAGTAAGCCATTGCTATATTCCGCACTATGCTCCACTCAAGCATGCTCGTGCCTAAAGCCTTGTTATCGGCCTGGAGCGTTTCCAACGCCTCCTTTACCCACTCGACACAATTCCATCCTGGTCGATTTTGTCGAACAGGCGTATTGCGCATAATTTCCGCTGTATGGTATCCGTCCAATACCTTCCCAATCATGATACGAACGAGTAACATTCTATTAGCGGTAAGTGAACACTCCAGCTCTTCGAAGTGCCACTCCGAGCCCCCTCCCAACTTCGGACTCTCGTTTGCATGGTAACAGAACCCAGTGCTATTGTCTGTCTCAACTTTGGGCCCTACAATCAGGGACCAATGGTACCTAGTCAAGATATCGGATTAATCTTGCTGGTTACTTCCAGTTAAACATCATGGATGGTAATCTCACGAGTCTTCCTTGCCTGGCATAGTTGATTTGCCCCCTCGTGCATGGAGAACAACATATATCCGGTCTTTGTTAGAGGGCATTGCAATTGTCGTTGACCACGATGGCTAGATGTTCTGCTAATTGGGCCGATTGTTGAAGGGATGGTCGTAGTGGGTCCCCTAAATCTGGGACCGGGTCCTCTGGATGTCTTTATACTGGGTAGGAGCTTCATCCAACGCTATAGCCGCTCTTGGGTACGATGTGATGTGATTCGGGTTGCAGTAGATCTTCCGATCCCTTAAAATAGAATCGAATTGGGCACTTTGTTCGGATGGGTAGAAAAGGGGCCAATTGGATTTGTAGAAGTTCCAACCAAATCCCTGCGAGTATCCTAGGCGTAGCGTAAAAATAGAAATTTAAAAGACCAGACAAGCTTAGCGGCTCAGCTAGCGTTGTGTCAGTGCTTTTTGGGTTGATTGGGCAGATAGTCATGTGATGAGCATATACAGCACGTGAGATGTGGCGTACATATGTGGTGAGACCCTGGAGAGATCACCTGATAGGCACCTAAAGATACACGTGATACTAGGCACGTGACTGCACCCGACCACGGGCCCAACCGATCATGATATCGAGGCGAAAGAAGGAATCGGAACACACGGTTGTTGCAGCGGTATATATTGGATCCCGGGTCGAATTTCGACCTCAACTGGTCGCAAGCTTTTCAAAACCACGTAATTACGCACTCTAAAACAGTTGGCCTGCGCCCAAGTCCGTTCTAGTCACAGACCACGCACCTTTCAATCATTCCGGTCTTTAACAAGGAGATTTCTACTCCATACTGAATCAGCAGTTGGAGCTAATCAGCAGCTGAAGCTAGTGCAATTGCCTTCTTATTGACTTGAATTGAATCCTAGAGAATTCTTCTCAGAAGTAAAAGCGTTTATTAGACAACTGGGTGCAGTATGAAACACCAAGAACAATGGCTCCAAACTGTCCTCAAGCGGCGTATTGAGATATTCGTGACTTGAAAATACATTCAGAGTGCTCATGAATATTTCCAACATTCTGGCGGGGTCTTCGGGACTCGAGACTAGTTCATAGGGTTTGAGGCGTTGTGGTGTTGATGCTTATACCAACATAAATATATATACCAAAGATTGCCAAATTTGCTCATTTCACTGCTCAGTCTCCTTTTTATTTTCCTGTAATTGGGATATCGGCATCTACTAAAAGAGATGCAATAGATCAAAGTGATCAAAGAGGCCAGAGTCTATACTGGCACCTTCTTGCACCTTCCCATACATTGAATAACCATGCGGATGGCAGTCGTGTCACTCATCCCAGAAAAAGAATCGCTCGCTTTGATAAATTACGAGGAGCCATGTTCGCATATATAGTAGATTCTCAACCAAGAAGAGCGAGGTAAACCTACGTTGGCGGTAGACCTCGCCAAACCTGGCCCCGGGCCTGCTGACTAAGGGCCCGTCCGCGGGTCCTCACTACAACCTTGGAACTAACTTGCACATGCAACTATGCTCCTCCATTTACCCCGAGAGCCTTATTTATATGTAAAAGTGGACCGACGAATTTCTTGTAACAATATATATATATATATATATATACACGGCAATTGGACACGGACTGTCTTACAAAGAACCAAGATCATCTATACTTACAAGCCCCAGAACCAGTGCGATCGCACTAATCAAGCTTCATCGACTCCTCATCCAAAGCCTGTATCTCCTTGTCCATGTCCGTCCCAGTAATGCTAGCAACTGCACGCAGACCGATCTTTGCCAGAAAGACAGACGTCTTGCCGGGCATCCATTTCTCTGTGAACTCAAAGTCGGACTCTCCCAAGCGACCCTTCACTGTGAGCTCGAATGCCTGCTGGTTTGACTTCTTTGCGGTTATCATACCCTTGAACTCCACCTTTTGAATATCAATCATCGCATCCATGACAGCCCCCACGAATCCCCGGATTGCCTCATATGCTGCTTTCTCCAATGCACTGATTCCCTCCAGCACCTTCTGCGCTGCAATCAGGGCAATGTTGTTTTTGCGGGCGAATTCGACCGCTTCGCGCAGTGCAACAGTGCCCACCTGACCAAATTCTAAGAGCATCTTCTCTTTCTGCTTGTCCAGGACCTTCGACCGAGCTTCTGCTTCACGTGCGAATCGTTGGCACTCCTCCTCGGCGTTAGCGACGATGTTGTTAGCTCGCTGCATGATGGAATTGAAAGAGAAGTCCTCGTCTCGGATTGCTTGCTCCAGTTCACTCAAGCTCCTGCTTACAATTCGGCCAGCAGTCTCCAAAGCAGATTGGATTTGATCTCCGATTGTGCTCAGGTATTGTTCTGCCGATTCCATGGCCTCTTTTAGTTCGCGAAAGAGCTGCGAGTCAATAATATCCCGAGCTCCGCACAGGACACCCTTGTAGACGAGGAGCCCAGCTGTTGCGAATGCCTGGGCATTACGAATGGCAACGTATTCAACTTCCTGGGAGCCATTTTGTCAGCTTGTCCCCAAACCAGCGTATTCAGGCTGTGACACCTACAAGATCAACCCGCCACCACGAATCACTGATTCGGTGCTCTAAACTGTTTGCTTCCCAATCCAGACGGTCCACTTCTCCTAAAGAGTGGCGAAATCAGCATTCATTTCTTTGACAATTGTGCAGCGCATCTTACTTTGCGCGTTCTCCACGTCCCTGATTGCGGCCTGGAGCGCTCCATGAGCATCTCCAAACCGTCCAAAGAATGACCCGCGCGATTCGTCGCGCCTTCGCTGGGCCTGCTGAATTTGATGTGGCTTGTCACGCTCAAGCTGATCTCTTTCTTCTTCGGCGCGACGACGAGCGGCGCTCATAGGTTCCAGTCTTGCTGCGCGGTCCTTCTCGCTTTGCGCTCGAATGGAGCTGCGTTTTTGATTTTCCCCCTCGATGCGGACTTGATTAGACCGCTTGACTTCTTCTAGATTGTCCTTTGCCGCAGCTATCTCTTCATTGAGCTTATCAATCTCGTCCTGTTGCTCTTGATACTTAGCCTGCAGAGCGGCCTCAGCTTCGCGACATCGTCGATCATATGCCTCCTGCTCACGCCGCACCGCGTCCTGTGCTGCGCCAATGCCTGCCTCCAATGCTTTGTGGGTATTATCAATTGCGCTCATAATGCCCTGTTTGACCTGGGCAATAATGGACTGCTCCATACAAGCGTATAATTCCCAATCCGCTGCTGAAGGATGACGCTGGATGCTGTGCCGTCTTGACAAAGCTGCTTTGTCGGATTCGAGAGCTATGTGGTGCATCTGAGCATGAACCTTGATCCGTAATCCGGCTGACCACACGAGCTCGAGGTCCATCTCGAAGATCGGATCAGGCATGAATTGGCAATGTATCCAGCAGACACATGATACGTTGAAAATGTCGATTCGGCCCGTAACGCGGAGGGATTGTATGATAGGATTCAGAGTCAGTTCTAGCTCGGCGTCAGGCTCGTTCTCATGAGCTCCGCTCACTCTTAAAGGCCCGATCTGGAATCCTTTGATCTTGGTGAGCATGTGCAGACCTATCGCAGACACCTCGGCATCCATAGACGCCTCAAAATCCCAGAGCTTGATTCTGCCTTTGATTCTGAATCCCTTGGGGTAAAAAGTGTCAATCCAGGTGCATCCGCGACTAGCGTAGATATCAACATCGTGTACTTGGATTATGTTGATATCCGGAATAGGGAAATCTTCCTCTGCGAGGGCGGAGACGAAGTTGGCTATCTGACGGAACCCTAACTCGCGTGCCTTGATGTTGACCAGGGTCTGTTCAGGATTGATACCCAGACGCATCTCACATGTGTATCGATCCGTGTCAATAGCGAATTGGCCTCCAATTCCGAAACTACTCAGAGTCCCCGATGAGAGGAGCATCTCCCATTCAGCCTCCACGGACCCTTTGAGGTTGTCTGTCGGACATCCCGATGAACGTTAGTATGCTATTTACAAAAGCAAAAGTTGGAGGGAAAGCGGAGCGATATCTTACAAATAACGATGCGGTCGCTGAGTCCCAGCGGACCCTTCAATCCATCTTTGGCGTCCATTGATCTGTGTTTCCCACCGTCATTAAAGATCACGTTTTCCAAACTATGCAGGTTATAAGACCTACAATTGCAAGGAGCCACGGACATGATCTGCGCCAATGCCGAGCGTGAATTTAACGGGATGCTTCGCGTCTTCCTCCATGCGCATGTAAAGCTCCCCATAGAATTGACAGATCGGGTTTTTCGAAGCATCTAATTCAAGGTATATGGCACCAGTGTAAAAGCGCTCACCAAAATGAATCTAGCATTGAATATCAGTATCCGTGGATTCAAAGCTGAGAGAAACAAACCTTGAAAGAAGGCGGCAGGAAAATGGTGACTTTAGGAATTTTGTCTCCTTTCTGGTATCCGATTCTCAAGTATGCTCGATCGGTGACTGTGCTCTTGTGTAGGAGTTTACCGCCACCTTTCTTGTCTTCTACCAAAGGAACTCGGTCGAGCGTCGCACAAAGGAAGAAGCCTGTAAAAAGGTCAGAGGAAAGAAATCATCCGCAATCTTGGAGACCGATGTTCGGGCATACCTTTCTTGGCGGGAAACGTCGAGATCTCACGGGGAACATAGCAATTGTCCATATTAGTGCCCAGGAAGGTCAGATCCGAGAGTTGAGCATCTAATAGACTGCCGGGTTCAATTGCCTCCCCGATAATGTCTCTCAGCGAGACGCTCGTGCGTGCCTTGCCAGCCACGAGGATCTCGAACCCTCGCTTATTGTGCCATCCAAGGGTGACTGTCACAACGAACTTAAACTTGTAGTCAGCATCGGGGGCTGAGTTTTCCTTGGGACCGTATGGCAAGACAATCGTGCCGGATACTTTGCATAACGTGCCCCATGAGAATTCGGTTTTGGGCGGCTCCCCTGCCGTTGCAGGCATTTCTGTGTCTGTCGTGTTAGTCGCTGCATCTTTGGCTGGGACAGCTGCTAGCGATTCGTTTCGCTTGGCCTCATCAGCAGAGCTGTTACCAGCACCAGCAGGGACTGCTTTGGTACTATCGCCACTATTCTTGACCTTTTTCTTTGATGCACTATCTGTGCCTTCCGATGGCGTCTCAACCCCCTCGGCAGCGGTTTCGGAGGTATCACCAGCCTGTTCTTCTGTCCCTGGGATCAACTTCGATTGCCAGGTAAAACTCAAATCCAAACTGGCGTTCTTGAGAACAAATTCTGAACCAGGGATTTTCCACTCAATGGCTGTTCCCGAGATATAGATACCATGTCCACTGATCAGGATCTTTGCATCAAAGGTAGATCCATCATATTTGATACGCCCATAGAATGCGAATTCGCCTTTGCTTACTCGGAGCCGAAGAGATTCGAGCTCTATCGCGTGTTTAGGGGGCTGGACATTGTACCCACACAGCTTATTTGCCGCAGCTATGATATCTTCGAAAGTAAGCCCCTCCAGTATCGCCTCGACATACGAGGATTCTGCCAGTTGATGCAGTCAGAATTTGATCATGTAGTAGAAACATTTGTTATCCACCAGGTACTTACTCTGCGTTTGTGTAGCGGCGTATATCTCCCCTTCAAGTGTGACATGGAACTTGGAAAAGCTCCAGGTCGCTTCGATATGACACCCCCATCCATCATCTAGAGCCGCTTGCGCGGCCTTGTCCATATGCGCTTTGTTGACAGACTTTGTGGGCACGTCCGCCGTAATGAAGATGTCTGCCAACTAACGTATGGTCAGATTTCAGAAATTTAGGCTAGCAGCGATAATGGATTCACATACCTCAAGATTCTCAATGCCGAAAGAGTCTTTCCACGTCTTGTGTCGTGATAAAACCATGTCAAAGTGGATGTTCTCTTCCGTGTAGTTCGCAGTATACTCCAATTGAAGAGGAACAATGGACCCCTCTCCAACGAAGAGCAACAGGCTACCGAAGAGCTCCACATACATTCCCCTTTTAACGTGCTCGGGCTCTATATGTTTTCTTCCTCTTCTCTTCTCCGACTTTGGGCTGGTTGTCTCAGGCAGTGGTACCTGAGATGACTGAGAGGCAGCCTTTGAAGGAGCCGGAACTGCTTTACCACCTGTCATTGTGCGCTGCTTCGTCGGTCGATCACTCGCGTCGCCTTCTTCTGCCTTTCGCTTCTGTGGCTTCTCATCCTCATTGATAAACGTGACCCGCACGCCAGCGGAAATGATCTCCAGCAGAACGAATTTAGGTGGGTAGCAGATCTTCACACCTGCGAGGCAGCCGGACATCACAATCTTGTCGAAATGCAAAGGCTCAGTGGGCTTCAGCTCAAAGCCCAAGAAGGCGCTGAGCCGGATGACGATGTACGACTGATCAAGGAACATCTTCATGAAATCCAAAGCGCCATCGAGGACTCCTCCCAGAACTAAGTCGGTTTGAAAGTAGAGACCTGGTTCCTTTTCTCCCTTCAATTCGGGGTAGTAAGTCAAGGCGCAATTCTGTAGAGAGAGATCTTTGAATGCTCCGTTCTTGAAAGAGGGAAAGAAGTCGACTAGTGCGACCTTATCGAAGATTTCAACAACCTGAATGTCATTTGGTCCTGGGCGATACCCGAATACATCTCGAAAAAGAGGATCGGCCTTGTAGTCCTCGAATTCCTCTTCTGGCGTTTTCGCCTTTGCTAGAGGTAAAGGGCGTGCGAACCAGGATTTTGGAGGGCGGGAGATAGGAGCAACCGCCTGCACTGGCCCTGTCATTTGGCGATAGCCCTGAACATTGGGTGAAGAGGGTGTGAAGAGGTCTCCTACCACGGGGGGATTCTCAGCGACAATAGCCATTGTACCAAAGAGGCCTCACACTTGGTCCGAGTAAGACAGTGCGTACTGAAGGAGGCAGAACACAAGTTCTTATCTGGTAGGGGTTGAAGATAGGTAACATAAGTAGCAAGCTGGGCGCTGAACACGCCAAACAAGCCGATATTTATCATTTTGAAATTTATTAGCGATGACTGGCGTGAGACCGAACAAGTGCCTCCATCCAAAGGCCGCATCATCACAAAGGGGTTGTCTGTGTTGAACAGAGAAGGGTATTGTTTCCGAGGGTAAAAAAGGAGATATCCATCTTTCAGCTGCGCCTGAAGTTCCTCGCTTGGATTAACCCTCTGGGTTGGCGCCCCCGGCTAAGCTGAGGAACTCCAAGCGGTCCCCACAAGTCCAGGCAGCTCAAGCCGAGCTCGGGCTGGTCTAATACGCTTCTTGGCAGAACTCATCACATATTACTTGATTATATAGTTTGTGTTGCTCAGCTTACATCTGGCCAGGACGAGAACTTAATCAAAGCCTTTTATTTCCTTAAATATCCAATGACACAGATACTCCTACCATAGCACAACCGCATCGCTAGGAGGAAATAAAATGGATCCCGAGCAAGATATCGTGGGCACTGAGGCGACGAAGAAAGCTGACGAAGAAAGAGCAAATTTCAAGGTAAGACCAAAGAAGACTATACTACACAAACACCATCTCATAACACTTGAATCACATAGCCGATCAAACTCGAAGACACTGGTTTCTTCCCTGCGTTTGCATTATCCCAGAAACCGAGGTCCCAAGTGATCAGATGGCAGCAGGATTTGAACGATCGAGAGGAGTCGTACACTCTCGTTGTATTCGAATATACCGGAAATAGTGCGTGGCTTATAGAAAGACTATAAATTTAGGCCTGAGCTAACTGTGTGAAACTAAGGCGAAGACAAGACACCATGTCACGCCCGTCTCTTTATTTCCGACTCCGCAATGGCTCAGTTTCAAGCGACATTGCAGCCTGTCGTGAACCCGAGTTCCTCAACCCCATGGCACGCGTTTACTGTGACCAACGATTTTCAATACGGACAGCTGAACGAAGCTGGTGAAGCTCGCTTTCTCGTGTATCATAAAAAGGAGAGCAAGCCATACCAGGTCAGAGTTTTTTTTTTTCCCGCTGAGGCCTGAATCGGAGCAAGAATACTAATATATACTATATAGCACCGGTTTGTTAACTCGAGATGGGTAAAAGCCGGGAATCTGACTTGCGAGCTGCTTCACAAATCCGGATTTGGATCGCCAGCGGGACTGGACTTTCTGGATGAGCAAGGAAGGAATTACTTTGGCGACTTTCTCCATAATTTTGACGGACAGGTGGTGGAAGCTAATGTGGATGTGATGGATATTATCTCCGAGATATTTGAATAAATTATTCCGAAGGCTGAATTTCTTCCATTGTCCAGTAGATATAGAACGAGTCATTGAAAACATACTCATAAGCAAAGTCCTGGCAGATCAAGGCCCAAGGTAGACAGTTATCAATATAGTTAGATCGAAACCCTTGAGGTATAGGTCGGGAGTGGTATAAGGATTAGATGCTCTGGGTAGAATGAAAAGACTATAATTGGAAACTGACTGCTGAGAATATGGCAGGTACAAAAGCCCTAAGATTTATAAAGGCAACTTCTTCAATAATCATTTCAATCTCGTCTGATCAAAGACCTAAGCTACATGATACGCCTGGGATGAACAAGTGCACCCCCACACCTCGGTGTCATCTCATAGGGGCTTGAATGGCTCCAACCGATCTCCCCAGGTGCCCTTGATAGCGTCGGTCACAGCATTGAGCTCGTTGTAACCAAGCTTTGTCAATACATCTTGCGCGGCCTTCAAAGCATCCGCAATTGCGCCATCCGTAAAGCGATGCTAGAGTGAAGGTCAACAGTCTGCATCAGGCCATAGCTTGAGAATCCGTAAACCAGGGGATGACAAACCTGAAAGATGTCTCGTGTCTTATCATGGAACACGAGGAAGCGGCCCTTTCCACCTTTCTTCTGCCCGTACAAAAAGGAATCGACCGACACGGTAACAGTGCATTTGTCATTGTCTGTCTTGTCCTGATCGAGAGCTTTAAAAGCTTCTGCCTTCTCCTCTGAGATGAAGATAAGGCCCGAGCTCTCTGGTTCGGTATCTGAAGCTAGTTAGTATACCAATCGGGCTGGACTCCATCACTGGGATCTCGTACTCGTTTTATTGACGAAAGAGAGACGGTAGTATTTCCCGTTGTGTTGTTGAAGTTTCTGTCTCCATTCCACCTTCTGGACAGATTTAGCCCATTCTGGGACTAGAGATACTTCAATCACGTCGCCTGTGTTCACACCCATGTTGAATACTGCCGTAATGGTCTGAAAAAGAGCTGATTTGTCAAGAAAGAATCGTGAATTCTTGATTTTCCTGAGTATTCATTCTGGCTCATTACCAAGAAAGATTATATATGAATTTCTCGCTTCTTGTTGCTGATGTTGTCGGCTACAAATACCTACTAAATCTCCGTTTCAGCTGTGCTTGCCATTCACAATTTTTGACTTTGATCTAAGAATGGCCCCATACGCAAAGCCCAGGAACCTTCGCATGACCAGGCTGAGATATCGGTATCAGCTTGAGGAGCCACAGGTCAGGTCTAGAACGCAGTATCTCAACAATTCGCACTTGCGTTGACATCTGAGGAAGTTGTACTGGATTAGTGCTCGGGTATATTGACCGGTTTCAACTTTTAGACGAGTGTGATCAGACAAGTTTGCTCCAGCATACTTTCTTTTGTCCAAACAAAAAGTTACAACGCCAGCGTTGAACGATCTGTGGCTGAAATACCCGGCAGTTCAAAGAGCGCTTGCATGCTGATTCTTGTAATAGACTGGCTAAGCCCTTGGCCCTTGGCGGACTCTTCAGGGATGTGATTCGACGAGACCAGTTCGTCAGCTGGGATTAAAAGCTGACCCCCGACATTATAAACAAGCCGAGCCGGTCGCGACCACTATCTACATCCATTGTTCACGCAGGAACGCTATAATTTTAGAAGGGATCAGGGGCGATGGCTGGGGAGGCTGAACGGGAAAGCCACAGTTACGGTTTTATTACCGTTTTCTACTGGTATTAAATCCATTTCCTCGGGAAATGTTTGTTTTCTTTGTGTATTCAATGTTTCATGCGGGCTGGTGGTGCGCTCATCTATCGTTGTGGCTTTCATCAATCACCAGCACCCTCACGACCCACACAGGAGTTCGTCTGACCATCGATGTGGCTGGCGTAAAAGTCGCTTTTTCAGCAACACACTTGCTACATTCTTACACCAAGCTGAGAGGAAGTTTGACGCTTTGGGGCCAGGCCAATCGAAAGGAACAACAGCCTGTGCGCAGGTACACGCTTGAGAGTGGGGAGGACGAATTTCTCCACATGACACTATCTCTCTCGTGTTCTGTCAGTATCGATAGTAGTGCTATCACTGGCTCGACTAATTTTACCAACTTGAGTCTGCTCAGTGTATACGAAAAGGGTTGCGTGCGATACTTCGGTCATCGCCTAAGTCGGAGATGCGTCGATTCCTCCTCATGGGGTAACCGCGTTCCTATTTTTTGTCTATAAAAGCAATGAAATGACCTTTGGAGAACACGAACTCTACCTATTTTCTTCAGAAGGACGGTCTAACAATACTCAACAAAGCAAAAAGCTCCTAAATCTGTGGGAAGATGGACGTAAAGACGAAGGCACTGAGGGGCGCAAATGCTGTCCGCCAGGTTAGTCTACCAACACACCAGATTCTATCGTTCATACAAGCTCACTCAGGGAATATAGCTCTATAATCTTCTTGCTACTGCTTTTGTGGGACCTCAAAATCCAAAAAAGGCCCAGGAGTTGCTTCAGGCGTGCATCCAACATCATCCATTCTACAGCCAGAAGAAACAGCTATCGACGGGAACTTTTCCTGAACTGGCCTCTGAATTTGAGGACCCCGACGTTAGGAAACCTCATCAGTGGATGGATGATCAACATTTGCTAAATTCTTATTTTCTAGTCATCGTTGATGAACCCAGGGGTCGAGGTTCGTTTTCACAATTCTCTTCACTCGGGCAATATACTGAAATATCTCCATTGGATAGGACATTCTTGTTCTACGAAAGGAGAGAATGATTAAAACCCTGTTCGACATCCTATATTATGATCCCATAATAGATGCCTATGTGGCTGCAGCACGCGGAACAAAGGGTAACAAAGACTTTGTGCATAGCACAGGCAAGGATGGTCTTCTTGGGACTATTGGAAGTCATGGACATGACAAGCTTGTCACTCTAAGATCCATAGGTATCGATTGGGATGGCTATATCAAGCAAAGTACCGCAGAACTTTTGACGCGGAAGGAAGATGAGGAGGAAAGTTTGCTTGAACAGTGGCTGCGTCGAATCAAGAACTGTGAAGAAGGAAAAGATCTATATCTCAGCGGCCATAGTCTGGGAAGCGCAATCGTTCAGGTCTACGCCATTCTCGCCATTCTCTCGGGCCGTTTCAAGACCGTGTATCTGGATCTATATGGCACTTTCCCCATCTTTGACCAAGTCGCAGCCGATGCTTTCAACAAAGACACTCGAATTGTCTGCAACAATTTCCAGTACCTTTCGGATCCTGTGCCACTGATGAAAAGTTTAACGACCGCACTACTCTACCGCAATTTTTTGTCGTTGCAGATGGTTCAGGAATTCCAAAGGAACGATCCCGACAAGCTCACAAAGGTATTTAGCCAAAAGAGAGACTTGATGAACAACGCTAATTGGTGAATAGCATGTGGGAAAGATTTGGTACGGCAATTTCGCCCCAGCCCATGATATATCCATAAATATCAAACCTAAGCTTGAGTTTGTTTGGGCTCATAATCTTGACTCCTACATGGATGGCTTTCTTACAACCGATATATGGGCCGCATGGAAAGAATTCCAACAAAACGAGGGCATGATCCAGGTTGTGCGGTCTAGCACTGATGAAGAGAGAGACAAGGCTGTCAAGGATGCAGAAGGTCAATACCTGAAGTCAAAGTGAAGCCTGGGTGTAGTACGGAGTGCATACCTGAAGAATGGCAACGAAGGTCAAAGAACTATGTCTTTGATAGTGGATCCATATTAATGAAATCAATGTTGCGACTCCATTTGTTCTAGTAATTTCTTTCAATGCACACACACCATTATGCGCTGTGGATAGGTGGCATACAACATAATAATTTCATTGTTATTGCACCAATTATATAAACCATAGTTGTGATCGGCACTTAGTATACAGCTGATAGCTCGTTTGATCAAGCTATAATACTTCCCTTAATATAGGAAAACACTGGGTATACGATACTGAAAAATCTTCAAGGCAGGTAGACCTGGCGCCACTGGTCAGACGAGCAAATGCTAGAGCGGCGGTTTACCAAATAATCATCGCGATGACGGGCTAGTCAATGATGATCGCGTCAAGCTTCTAGTTCATATTCTCTTGCTCCACTCTCTAGGAACGCACACACTGCTCGGTCAAATCCGATATTGAAGCCACACATAGAGGGTCATAATAAGGAAAGGATATAGCTAGAAAGCATTCCTTATGGCCTTTTTTACACGCTAGCCTATCTATGCATCAGGTATAGTAGTGGCTTTGTGTATAGAATTGGTGCATGATATCCATTTTAAGATTTGTCCGTGCCAGATGAAGAATGGTACGGAATACTCTCTAACAATAGTGGATAGCCCCTGAAGAGTGCGTCTAAGTCCCTGCAGCTTTTGATTGCTTTAAAGTTTGACGTATTAGACTATAGATGTCATCTCGTGCCGCGTAGGCAGTTCTATACCACCTGCCTCAGTGGCTATTTCCTGAAAGCGCTAATGCATCGGTCTTCAGGTAAAGTGGGGTCATTCCTTCAGCATTGATCAATGTGACATTGTAATCGCGACACTTCACCGAGTACCTTGATGAATCTTGCATTGACCACTTATATGTATGCTTAAAAACCCGCAGTAGAAGCACGGAGTAGCTGATTGTCGATCCCTATTACACATTACAATTATTTAACCTTCTACTTGCTCTATATAATGGTTTACCATCAGCTCGTCCATTCTTTATCGTCCAAGGCTATAAATTTAGCTATTATTAAGACCCATCTGTGTGTGATATGATAGCTGGCTGCCTGCAGGGCCTCCAGGCCAGGTCCGAGTTGGTGAAGAGAAGACCCGGGAAGTGGGGTTGGGGAGTACTATGTGAATCTCCCAGGAGAACTGATATGCGAACTTCCCTTACAAACAATTGGTTCGCTTAGTCCACCGTGCTGCGTGGTGATCCACGGATAAGCACCGTCATCGTGCGGCGGTGTCAAGCCCACCTGCCTTTTCCAGTAAGCTGGTGTCTCGTTTAAAATTACTATGGATATATATTGCTATGCATGCGCCACTGTGGATAGATGGATTTCATGAATCAATTGGTTAGGTATTATGCATAGCGGTACGGAGCTTACCCCGAGGCTTGTTTTTCGCCAAGCATAAAGGTCCCATGTATATGTGTAATGTACTCCGTAGTATCATGCCAGTCCACTAGATCCCGTGCGGGTTTCGAGACAACTGGTGCCAAGCCTCGTTACAAGCTACCAAGTAGTGTAATAATTTTCTCAGTATACGGGTAGACCGATCAGAAGAGCTAGGAGAGATATAACCAGAGAGATACAGTCAATTTAAATGGTTAGATGGTCCAGTGGTGAAACTCCACACAAAGTGAACTGTTGCGAGTAAGTATGGGTTTAATTAAATGTACAAAATAGGAGTACTTAGAATCACTAGCACATTAGTAGTAAATAGAAGTACCTAAGTACCTCTAGTAGTGATTGAGTATGTAGTAAAAAAGTAGTACTCGGGGATACGAGTTAAATATAAGTAAAGTACCTAAGTACCTTTAATAGTAAACCTGGTAAAAAAAAGTACCGTAGAAATAAAATAAAATTTTATGCAAGGAACATTATATTAGCTTATCCAATTTGTTGAGAATATCCATTGATGCCCCTTCAATTTGAATACTATGGAGTATTAGGAGAGTATCCATAAATAATATCTAGCATTATACCGGATTTACTTATGAATGAAGTGATGGTAGAACACGTAGAACAGGTCGAAATTTAAAAAAACGTATAAATCCCCCAATACCCTTTCTATACCCCTGTACGACCGGTATTGAGGTCTTAAGAAACCCCGGATGTGGGCAGGCAACTTTGATCATGGAGGTATATGTGATGTAATTCAGGGCACCAACGTATTTCATATGCGAGCTGCGCACATAAGCGAGCTGCACAGTCCAGTACACATTGTTGATGCGATAAATTACACTTGGATGTCGGAACAATATTTATCTGTAGAAACTTTTCTCAATTGTTTAATGCTTTTTCTATGGTATCTACTCATTATAAAGAGCTCAAAGGGTTACATTAAATGAATAGGAAAAATATATATATATCTCTGGGGTTCAACAATGAATATTACAATACTACAAGAATGGAAGTCTTTGAAACTGCTTAAAACTGATAAATAGTATCAAAATACTTATCAATAGCTATCGGCAAATAAAAGAGCAATAAAAAAACATTGATTGTTGAGATATAAATATAGTATAGTGTTCATCGCATTTACGAGGTATGTTGTTTCAGTTGTGCAGCTCGCATATGAAATACGTTATCTCGACTTTTCTGCCATACAAAATCAAGGCATTAGGCCACTTTTACATGCATCAACGCCGAAAGTAACCCTGGCCACTGTGCCCCCTATATTAACCGTATCATTGCTAAATGTTATATTGGGAAGGCAGATTATGAACGCAAGGAGGGAATAGTAAGAAATGTAAGGCTGTAAAACTTCCTCCAATCGAAGGTTGTGCTAAGCGATAATTATATACTAAGCGGCAAGATAGGTAGGCGGCCAAGATTGTATGGCGCATTAGTGGGTAGTGCTGTACTGCCTGAAGTAGAATGACTACGTAGTTGCAGATGGCGTCGAAAGTGTGACTGTAGTGTGTTGCATTCTAGCCAATAAGAATGGACCGTTGAAGTCGGTTCGCACTTCTATATTAGTGCTTGCATAACATTCCAGCCGATATCGGGCGAGGTCGATGACCACAATGCACAACGTATAAATTTGGGGTCAGTAGTGTTTTCGTAAAGGACCTCAACGGCCATCGCCCTCATCAACTGCCACAACCCAGTTTGGCTTTGCCCTGGTGTGGTGTGCTAAGGAAGTGGCTGGGGGTAGTGTGTGTGTGTGTGTGTGTTTTTTTTTTTTTTTGCCCTGCAATGAAAATAGAAATAGGGGGTAAGCAGTGAAACAGATCGAGATACGAAGAAGACAGGGATAGACCCATTGCTTACATCCGAATACCGCATTTGCCTTAATTGTATGTATACATCACTGGCTCAAGCCTTCATCCCCGCCCGGTCAAGCGGGTGGCTTGAGATGGAGCCAAAAGGCTTAGGCGAAAGCCAGGACTGGGTTGAAATCCTGAAGGATTTCAAGCTTTGCCTTGGATAGTAAGATGAGCGAGTTAACTCATATGCTCACCTGTCCCGCAGATCATCGTGTCCAGTTTGTTATTTCTTTCCATTCCTTCCAACTTAATACCTCTATTCTATATACTTCAAAAACCTCAATGGCTAGAGACTCGATCCGAATCACTCGACCGGAAAAGCTACGATCTAGTTGTGATCGATGTGGTACGGCCAAAGTAAAATGCGACAAGGAACAACCAGAATGTGGGCGGTGCATCTCACATGGCGTACCCTGCATCTATGGGGTTTCGCGTAAGATGGGAAAGCCACCAAGACGTATCAGTCTATGTCAATCCACAAGCGACACCGCCACGACTACTCAAAGTAGCAGCGAAACCAGCAGTGGTGGCATGCCCCTGGATCTGGAGCTCTCCAGCACTGATATGAATACCTGGGATCATATGGATGAAGACAACAACAGTCACACATTCAAAGATATCCTAGACGCTGGAAGAAGCTTTGACCACGAGCTTCCAATACCGATGATACCGAATCTGCCGATGGACTACAATGAATGGGCTATCTCCGACCAAGCCAACGCCAATATCCTTTTTCCTCTTCGATCCTCTCAGCAATCCTCAACACAAGGGGAAGATTTGTCGTCCATGACTTTCCAGTGGCAATGGGACGGGTGTGCAAATTTCGACCAAGGGTCAATATCTCCAGAAATTGCTAATAGCCACGACTGCCAGCAAAAATCTCACGGGATCCTTGAAAGTATATCTGCCTACAATATCCACAAGTCTGAGTCCGAGGAAGGACTCCCACCACCGACTGCGCTCGCTCCAAGAACAGAGACTACAGTCAACGGAGTACCACTAGACCTAGTGCTCCAGCTTAACCGCGAGGCAACCGAGCGGCTCATTCAACTCGTTTCTTGCCCCTGTGCACGAATTCCCTCTGTTGCATTACTGTATGCATCGATCATCTCCCGGGTCTTAGCGTGGTACGAGCAGGCTGCTGCTTGCACACAAATGAACTCGCTGCCACTTTCTAGTAAGGCAGCGGGGCATAATTTAACACCCAGTAACTCGAGTAGAGGTACATCTTCGCCACCTCTGCAACCTCCAGAGGTGTCGGTTGCACCGTCACAAATGATGGTCGGGACATTTAACGTGGACGATCCTCTTATCCAAACTATGATGAACATACACCTCATATCTGGCGAGATGAAGCGAGTGGAGGATGTTATCGACCAATTTGGTTCACAGACCGGCTGCTCAACCCCAGGGACCGAGCAGATCGGAGGCCTTTTTTTGACTCTCAATTCATGGCTTAAGCAAGATTATTCACGGATTTTGCATATGATGCAATCGGAGCTGAAGAAACTGACCATTTGAGATAGACTAATTAGAATCAATGCTTATACTATTAGCCAACTTTTAAGCTGTGGTCCTTTACGGAGATGAAGATCCACTGTGATTCGTATCCGACCCGGGTCCGTCCCGGCCCGCCTCTTGGCGGGTCTCGGATCCGAGTTCTGTCCATCGGTAGATGTTTGATCCGGGGCCCGCTGTGACAGCTCTGGAAGGCGGTATGTGATCCATTTTCACACGTGATCGGTTTGGATCTTATACTCCCTCCGAATTCATCCCGCTGTTTTATGTCCACAAATCTCGGACTCCTATGGTACCTAGCATTTCTACAGTGCATCTTCGTACTTTTTGTGGCTTGGTTTGTTTTCCTTTTTTGCTTTTTTGGATCGGGTCTCTCTGTTTCCGATACTACCTGACACGTAATTGCGCTATCTTACAACTTCAGACGCGAACTACTCGTGTGTCAACAACCCCTCTCTTCATTGCTGAACCATTCCGTTCAGGTCAACCGAAATACCGCGCAACTCGTATCCTTCTTGCATCGCGACTTGCCACTGATTTTTGACAATCTCAAGCCTTTCTGCGCTTCTGGGTACGAATCTAGCGGCAAAGGGCTTGGGAATGGTGAAGCCACCGTCGGGATACGCATTGTCACTCAAGTCCACCTCTGCTTCAACGCCATCTACCACTGGCGGTCGAATTTCAAAGGCCCATAGCATACCACTGACAGCGATGTCTAGCGAGCTCTCTGCGAGGCGAGCACCGGGACATGTACGTCTACCCGTGCTAAAGGTAAAATGATCTCGCTTGTACGGGTCACTCATAGCCGCATACTCAGAGCTGAACAGCTTATGCTCAAGGAAGCGCTCCGGCATGAATTCGAACGGCTTTTCGAATCGTGTCGGATCATAGTGCAGGAATGCCGTGTTAGCAAGAAGCACGGTGCCCTTGGGAATGACATGGTTTTTGTATACAACGTCTTGGTCTGCAAAGTGACGGATGCCCGGGGCCAGGATTGGGTTCATGCGAAGCATCTCCTTCACACAAGCGCGGATATAAGGTAGATTTGCCATGTCCTCGAATTTAGGAAGGCGATTTGGCCCAACCACTCTCATCAGCTCATCGTGGGCGGCTTTTTGCGCACGTGGATTTGCAGCAAGCTGAAGCACGAGACTATTCAAAGTCGCGGCGGATGTCTCGAATCCTGCCTCGACAAGACCGCCAGCAACCCAGGCTAAGTCCTCGTCATTGAGGCCTTGACCATACCAATAATCCTTGTTTTCAATGATGCTTCGTGCAAAACAGTGAGGTGCCTTCCCCGCCTCATACTGTCTTTGCAGACGGCGCCATAGCCCCATCTTGATGTCAAGGACTTCCTTGGCTGCTTCAATCGCATCTTTTCGTCCAGGCTGAAGCCAATTTGGCAGAAGAGCCAATGGTGGGAACTCATCCACCAGGAAAGCGCCGGGCTTTGATGTTCGTCGCAGGATCGCTTGACTGCGTACTGCATTTTGCGCATCAGGATGATCCCAGTTCTTCACGCGCGTGCCGAACGTGTTGGTCATGATAATGCTAAATGCAAACCTCCGCATATGCTGGTAAAAGTTTCGCTGGTTTTCATTGTCCATGGCAAGGTCGAAAAGCAACTGTTTTGTCTCGAATTCTTGACTAGGCACGAACGTTGCTGTCATAGGGACAGTCGTGACTTGGCGCACAACCGATCGCTGTGCCCGCCAATGCGGTCCGTAGGGCATAGTTGGCATGCGCTTACCACCGGTGACAATGTCGTGGCCCATAGGGGAAGGCGCCTTGGAGGAAGTTTTGACGGCTTGCTTCTCGAGAATCTCCCGTACCGCCTCAGGGGTGTTGAGCACAACCCAATTGTACCAGCCCACACGGATTTTGAAAACGTCGCCATGTTCCTGAGCCCATTGGCGAAATAATGCGGGCGCTTTGGCTGGTAGCTTGTAACCCACGCCGACAAGGGGGTACGTTCTGGGCCCCGGGATGGAGTCTAGTCTTCGATCCCGGCGTAGCCATGCTATCACAGCGATGATAAGCCCAGAAATAGTAGAAAGAATAAGCAATTGGTTGCTATAAAGAAGGGGTATTTGATCCATATTCATTTCCGAGATCGAGGATGACTGGTAAGATATTTCTGAATCAAATAGATTGCCATTATATGTTCTTCGTGCATGAAACCAATAGCCACCCGATGAGTAAAAAAACAATGTCTGTGTTCTTACTTAGGGCTGGTCTCGCCGGGATTTCCGCGTTAGTTTCGTGCTGATCGGGTTTCAATCGGGTTTCAATACAATTACCGGGGTTGAAAAGCAAGGCTGACGTGAAAAAAGACTTGCCAATCATGATAGTAATAAGGATAAGCCAAGAAACAACGCATCGGCCACGGCTTTCCCTCGAAGAAGCCACTGAGTTCGGGTTAATATCCTGCTGCACCGGCGGGAGGTCAAACGTAGTCGATCAGGCAAGCCTTTCGGGAAATACAGATAAATTAGAATAACCTAAGTGAGAAATTCCCGAATACAGTATCCTACCAAGTGAGAAAAGTTTCAATTTCTTTCAAACAACTATGGGCAGCTTAGAGCCATCCAACATCCTCATTGTGGGCGCAGGCCCCGTCGGACTCGCCTTAGCCTTAGATTTAGGTCGACGTGGCATCCGTTCAACCATCGTCGAACGCAATCCTAGTGCCGAAGAAACACTCCAAGCCAAGGCAAGCGTAATCGATGAACGAACTATGGAATTTTGCCGGCTACTCGGCGTTCGTGACGATGTTGCCAATGCAGGCTATCCCGGTGACCTTCCTGGCGATACTGTCTTCTGCACAGCAATGAATGGTCACTATATTGGCCGTCTTGAAATGCCCTCTGCAGAGACGCGGGAAGTTCCAGAACAATCTGCCGAGATGCTGCGGCGTTGTCCGCAGATCTGGTTCGATCCGGTCTTTGCGCGAGCCGTGCATCGCCAGGGAATGACAGATATTCGCTACGGCACGGAGCTCGTTGGATGTGACCAAAATGACAATTATGTGGTCGGTCACCTGAAGCATGTTGCAGATGGCACCTTGGAGGAGGTGCGAGCACAGTACGTTGTCGCGTGCGATGGTGCTGGTAGCACCGTGCGAAAGCAACTCGGTATCCCCTTCGACGGCAAAAGCCTTGGATATGCCATCAGTTCAATTGTGCGAGTCGACCTCTCGAAATACCACTCCTGGACTGCTGTAGAGCGTTTCATGTTTATTGGCCCCGACGGGACCTGGGGAAACTTCACGACAATCGACGGTCGGTCGCTCTGGCGGTTCTCCATTGTCGGTGGGAAGGAAAAAGTCGATCTTTCAACCATTGACATGGACGCCCTCCTGCGAAAGGCTCTTGGAGGGGATGCACCTGAGTACGAAATTATCAAAACGGTCCAGTGGCGACGAAGCCAGTATACCGCAGACACGTACAACAAAGGACGGATCTTTCTTGCTGGAGATGCCGCTCATACAATGTCTCCCACTGGCGGTCACGGCCTGAATACGGGCATTGCAGATGTCATGGGTCTTAGCTGGGTATTGCAAGCCCTACTGGAAGGATGGGGAGGGCCGGGTCTGATTGACGCATACACTGCCGAACGACGACCCATCGCCCTTCGCAATGGAGCGGGATCTACTCGTAACTTGGGAATTTGGCTCGACACAAATGGCCGTGACAAAGTCCTTGACGAAGGACCGGAGGCAGATGAACAAAGAGACAGCCTCGGCAAAAACATGGCTGCGAACATGCGCCAAGAGTTTCAGTCACTAGGCCTGGCTTTAGGGTACAGTTACCCTGATTCGCCGCTCATTATTCCCGATGGCTCTCCTGCGCCATTTGATGACCCGGATATTTACATCCAAACCGCTCGTCCAGGCCATCGGGCACCTCATTACTGGCTGAGCAAGGGACGCTCGACAATTGATTTGTTCGGGCGTGGTTTTGTCCTCCTTTGTCTTGGTGATGAGGCCGAGAGAGACGGCGAAATCATGCGATTTGCACGGGAGCTGCGTGTTCCGCTTGAGAAGATTGTTCTCAACCAGCCAGAGGTTGGCAAGCTCTATGAACGGCGGCTTATTCTGGTTCGTCCGGATGGGATGGTTGCTTGGCGGGGAGAGGCGCTTCCTGATGATTCCAAGGCACTTCTTAACCATGTGAGGGGAGCCCTTTCAGCTGTCATGTAGAAGCAGAGATGTGGTCTTTTGTGTTGGAGCGATTGCAGTATCAACTTGTTCGGATTTTGGGAATATGAAACTTATCACAGAATTGATATAACTTGATCGTCAACCAAGTTTACATGCCTTTGTTACTTTTAAATAGTCTTTTGAGATATCTTCCTAGATAGCATTTCGTATAACATCTCAGATATTTCAAATATCTCTTTTGTAATTTATCTACAGATTTCTCCCTTCAGTGGGCAGCTTGAAAAAACACAAGAATGTCAAACGTTATGATGCAGTAAAAACGAATGGCTTCAACTGGGTAAAATGAGTTTTCCATGTACATTTTGGATTCCTATCACCGAATCCGACAGTAGCATATTCATCTGGGTTAATTCTCCGGATCGAGTCATTTGTTGACAGTCATTTCGAGGGGAAGGTGTGGAATACAACTTTGGGGCTATCTATATTCTGTCAACTAGCGTATAGCAATCTCTCTCGGAGATTTCTGCAAATTGAATGCGCACAGGTCCCGGAAATCACAATGGACGAATGGATATCGGGTTTCATCTCGGGGTTGGTCTCGGTCTTGCCTTTCCTTACGTGAGCCTGATAGATCGCCAGTGGATTTCTCCTAACCACATGGGCAACGTCGATCTTTAGTTGACACGGGGCTTATGCTCATTCACATATCAATATATTCGGCATATGACATGTTTGACCTCATATACAATGTAGAAGTACCCGGAATTCCGATACAGGTGTATTGTTGGCCTTGATGCCGATTTGATACCCGGCTATCTTCAATTTGAGCCCGAGATGGGACTGGGCTCTGTGGATGACTCCGGACACTTGATGGGCGCCAGCTCTTTTAAAGGAGTTTAAATCGTGCAAGGGAATATCTCAAGTCGTCCAGCTGCGGCGCAAACTCCTTTCAAACCCACCCACATGCTCCCCTCGTTTTCGTGCTGAGTTCAAGTGTATCCATAATGGCTGACCAATTGAAATTATATCTCTTTGGAGACCAGACCTACGATCTTCAGACACACCTGAAAGACCTGCTTCAGAAGAGAAACAACCCCGTCGTTGAGAGTTTTCTCGTCAAATCCTATGATGCTGTGCGTGCCGAAATTTACAAGCTTCCGCCCGTTCTCAGGGATGCTTATCCGCGTTTAACATGTGTCGACGATTTGATTCTGTGGAACCAAAGTGGAAATAGGCTTGTTCCTCTCGACATGGCTGTTACTATCATCTATCAACTTGGGATGTTCATCAGTCAGTCCGACCCTGGTGACTTCTTCGCGGGCAAGACTCTTGCGCTTGGTCTTTGCACCGGATCCCTAGCAGCGGCGGCCGTAGCATGCAGCCATAGCGTGGTAGACCTCGTCCCATTGGCGGTCAATGCTGTTGTTGTAGCTTTCAAGACTGGCGTACTTGTCAATGAAGTTGCCCACCGCGTGGCTTCCCCGGAAGAATCTGATCGGAGCTGGTCAGTCCTGATCCCTGGATCTAAGAGCTCCGAGGCAATTCATGAATTCTGTGCGCAAACTGTGAGTTACCTCTCCTATCTAACTGAGATCTGAAAGCTCATATGGGTCTTGTAGGCTATGCCATTGACGAGCAAGCCATACATCAGCGCCCACTCTCCCAACGGGATCACCGTCAGTGGGCCGCCCAAATCTCTCGCACGCCTCAAGGAATCAAGGCAGGGCAAGGATCTGATATTCAAAGAGATCCCCATCTATGCCCCGTACCATGCACCGCATCTGTATTCTATGTTCGACGTCACCGAACTTATTGGTGAATTTGCCTCTGACGAGGTTTCTCAGTGCTTGGAACAAGTTCCTGTCTTTTCAAGCACTGGAGAAAGAGCCACTACACGCAATTTTGGGTCCCTCCTAGAGTCCGCTGTGAAGCAGATATTGCTGCAGACCATTAGTTGGAGTGATGTGCTCGGAGAGCTTCAAGCCTATCTTGAGAGCGCGACCCCACAGTCATTTAGCGTCGTTCCTATTGGAAGCACAGCTCATCAGCTGATCTACACTGCACTGAAGCAGACGTCGCTACGGACTTTGGTGTCCTCCGGTCAGGCTTCGAATACATTGGCTTCCAATTCTACAACCTTCAATGCCTCACATGACAAGTCTAAGCTGGCCATTATTGCAATGTCAGGGCGATTCCCCGGCGCCAAAGACAACGAGGCATTCTGGGATGTTCTCTATCAGGGCCTGGACATGCACAAGCCAGTACCAGCTTCTCACTGGGATGTCAACACACACTTTGACCCCACTGGAAAGAACAAAAATACTAGCGCATCCCCATTTGGATGCTGGCTTGATGATCCAGCTGGATTTGACGCGCGCTTTTTCAACATATCTCCGCGCGAGGCTCCCCAGATCGATCCTGCCCAGCGACTAGCCTTGATGACGGCGTACGAAGCAATCGAGCAAGCTGGACTTGTTCCGGATGCTACCCCTTCGACCCGACGTGATCGTGTTGGTGTCTTCTACGGTGTTACTAGCAACGACTGGATGGAGACGAACAGTGCACAAAACATTGACACATATTTCATCCCTGGTGGGAACCGAGCTTTTATCCCCGGTCGGATCAACTACTGTTTCAAGTTCAGTGGTCCGAGTTACGCAGTGGACACTGCCTGCTCATCCAGCTTGGCTGGTATTCACATAGCGTGTAACTCCCTTTGGAGAGGAGACATCGATACTGCTATCGCCGGTGGTACTAATGTTCTGACTAACCCGGATTTCACGTCTGGTCTTGATAGGGGTCACTTCCTTTCGCGAACTGGGAATTGCAAAACATTCGACGATGATGCTGATGGCTATTGCCGTGGTGAGGGTATTGGAACAGTCATCATCAAGCGGCTGGACGATGCCATCGCTGACAAGGACCCTATTCTCGGTGTCATTCTCGGCGCTTCCACAAACCACTCTGCCGAGTCAGAATCTATTACCCGGCCTCACTCTGGAGCCCAGCGCGCAATTTTCAAGAAGATTCTGAACCAAGCCGCTGTGGATCCATACACCGTCAGCTATGTGGAGATGCATGGAACGTAAGTCATCCCAGCCCGCATGTGCGATACAATACTTACTATAATATAGCGGCACTCAAGCAGGCGATGCCGGTGAGATGACTAGTGTGTTGGACACTTTTGCCCCGGCGCTCTCGGAAGTCCCTAAGGGCCGGACAGAAGAACAAGCTCTCTACTTGGGCTCAGCAAAGGCAAACATTGGCCACGGCGAGGCCGCCTCCGGTGTCTCAGCCCTTATCAAGGTGCTCCTAATGATGGAGAAGAATATGATTGTCCCGCACTGTGGAATCAAGACCAAGATTAATTCCAAGTTTCCAACTGATCTCGAGGAGCGCAATGTCAATATCGCCCTGAAGCCAACAGCATGGGAGAGAAGCACCGACCCTTCCAAGCCTCGCCGCGTTTTTGTGAACAACTTTAGTGCAGCCGGCGGCAACTCAGCACTCTTGATTGAAGACGCCCCGATTCCGAAGCAGCTGCCACTCGCACCTGCTGATCCCAAAACTGTGCATCTCGTCGCCGTATCGGCCAAAGCTGGGAACTCTCTCCAGGGCAACTTGAGCTCTCTTCTTGATTACTTAAAGCAGAATCCCGAAGTCTCTTTGGGTGAGCTGTCTTACACTACCACAGCCCGTCGGATGCATCATAAACATCGTGTTATGCTTTCTGGCTCAAATGTGACCAATATCTGCACCCAGATCGAGACTGCACTGCGGGACAATCTGGGGATGACCAGGCCAAAGAGTGCCCCGAAGGTTGTGTTTACCTTTACTGGCCAGGGCGCCCAGTATCCGGGAATGGGAAAGGATTTGTTCGAAACATTCTCCATCTTCCGCACCGAGATCGCCCGACTCGATCAGATTGCACAGAGCCTCGGATTCCCGTCTTTCCTACCTGTCATACAATCCGATGAGACAGACATCGGCGTATTTGGCCCGACTGCTGTCCAGTTGGCCAGTGTCTGTATGCAGATTGCGCTTAGCAAACTATGGGCATCGTGGAACATTTTCCCCACTGCTGTTGTTGGTCATAGTCTCGGTGAGTATGCCGCGCTGAATGTCGCAGGGGTACTTTTGGATGCAGACACTATCTATCTCGTTGGAAAGCGAGCTGAGATGCTCCAGGAGAAGTGCACCCGCGATACTCACGCCATGCTTGTTGTCCGGGGCTCAGTAGAACAGATTGCCGAAATCCTCAAAGATCAAGACTACGAAACGGCCTGCATTAACTCCCCTGTTGAGACTGTGCTTGCTGGAACAAAGGAAAAGGTTCTTACCTTCAAGGATGCTCTTACTGACGCCAACATGAAGTCCACCCTGCTGAAGGTCCCTTATGCCTTCCACTCCTCGCAGATCGACCCCATCATGGCCGATTTTGCGGAGGTCGCCAAGGGCGTCACATTCTTCAAGTCCAAGATTCCAGTTTTGTGCCCATTGAAAGGAACTGTGGCTACAGAAAATGAGTTCAACCCTGCTTACCTTTCCCTTCATGCCCGCAAGCCAGTCAACATGTTCAAAGCGCTCCAGGCTGGCTACAACAGCGGTCTTCTGACTGAACAAACCATAACCATCGAGATTGGTCCTCACCCGGCCATCTCTGGTATGGTTAAAGCTGTTTTAGGATCGCAGATGATTACTCTCGCATCTGCACAACGTGCGCATTCAATGTCGCAGGTCCTTACAACCGCATTGAAGACTCTTTATACCGCAGGTGCCGATATCAATTGGGCTGATTACCAGCGTGATTTCAAGTACTTCCACAAAGTCCTTCGTATTCCAGCATACAGTTGGGATCTGAAAGAATTCTGGATGCAATATGTGAATGACTGGTCGCTACGCAAGGGTGACCCGCCCATGACGGTTACCGCTGGGCCAAGCCTGGAAAGCACAACCATCCACCGCATTATGGAGGAGTCTGGCGACTCGGTCAAGACCAAGATTGTCGTCGAGGCTGATATTGCACGCAAGGATCTCAGCCCACTGGTTCAAGGCCATGAAGTTGATGGAATTCCTCTCTGCACGCCATCAGTCTATGCGGACATTGCCTTGACCCTGGGTACCTATCTTCTCAACCGCTATCACCCTGCCCAAGAGAATAATTTGGTTGATGTATCGGACATGACTATCTCGAAGGCTCTGATCCTCAAGAATGGAGCAACAGAGCAGCTTCTCCAGGCCCATGGCGAGGCGGACTGGGCGTCTCAATCCGTACTGGTCAAATTCATGTCATTTGATGTGAGTCTTCTTTCTATGCCCTGACTTCATTCACTGTAAGCAAATTGCTAATTTGGACACAGAGCAAGGGGAAACTTCAGGAGCACTCCCGCTGCATTATTCGATTCAAGGACCGTAGTCTTCAGAAGTCTCTCCAGAATGCCGCTGGGGAAGTCAAAGCTAAGATGCAAGCTTTGCGGGATGGTATCGCTCGTGAGACAACTGCCCGCTTCAACCGTCCGATGGTGTATCGCGCTATTCGTCCTCTCGCTCGCTTCCACGATGACTACCGAGCTATTGATGAGGTTGTGCTCAACAGTAAAACCCTGGAGGCTTCATCACGTCTCAGCTATGGTACTGTCAAGAGGGGTGGTCAGTACCACACTCATCCAGCTATTATTGACTCCCTCACGCAGTCTTGCGGTTTTACTATGAACTGTAATGACCGCACAGACCTTGACAACGAGGTATACATGAACCACGGCTGGGGCTCGCTCCAGCTCTTTGAGCCAATTGACTTTGACAGGTCGTACACCACCTACACCCGCATGGAGGAAGGCAAAGATAAGTTGTGGCATGGTGATGTTGTCATCTTCGACGGTGACAGAGTCGTTGCTTTCTTCGGACAAATTTCGGTAGGTTGCTCATCCTTTCTCTTCTCCAATTCACAAATACTAAAGATATCTAGATTCAAGGCGTTCCCCGCCGGGTGCTGAAGGTTATTCTGTCTCTTGAGAGCGGCGCAAAGTCACAGAAACCGCAGCAGCCAGTCAAAGCAAAGCCAGCTTCTACTACTGCTCCAGCTCCTATTGCCGCTAGCGCCCCTGCGCCCCAGCCCTCCCAGTTCCTAGCAGCGTTAGTGATTATTGCGGATGAGAGTGGAATCTCTATCGATGACTTGTCCGATAGTACCGTTTTCGGTGATGTTGGTATCGATTCCCTTCTGGGGCTCACTATCTCAGCCCGCTTCAAGGAGGAGCTTGATCTTGACCTAGACTTCAATGCTTTCTTCTTCGAGTATCCCACCGTTGGCGATCTCAAGAGATTACTGGGCGGATCCAACTCTAGTCCCACAGTCCATCCCTCCGCACCGTCGACTGTGTCCAGTGAAGACGGCATAAGCACACCCAACAGTGAAGGAACAGGCGCCACTACACCCATTATATGTGAGAATAAGGTTGATATGAAGCATGCGCTGAGTATCATTTCCGAAGAGAGCGGTGTTGCCATGGATGAGCTTACTGATGACACCAACTTCGCTGATTCTGGTGTGGACTCTCTTTTGTCTCTCGTTATCGTGAGTCGGTTCCGAGAGGAGCTGGATTTGGATATTCAGCATGAGTCCCTATTCCTTGAATGTCCTACTGTGGCCGATTTGAGACAGCTGCTAGTGGGCGATCCAACTATCAATGGGCCTGCTCAGGAGCAGTCATCGACCCCTATGCCTCCAATCCAACAAAATATCGAGCCCATAGTCCCAGATCAGCATCAAGCGCTTGACCCAATTGCCCTGGCTGTCCGGAGAAAGATAGTTACTGATTATGTGGACAAGTACACTGCTGGCTTTTCTGTCCCTAAGCCTTCTTCTTCAGCCGTTGCACCATCACCAGACAAGAAGATTATCATGGTGACTGGAGCATCCGGTAGCCTGGGAAGCAACCTTGTTTATCACCTGGCTCAGCTTCCAGATGTGGCAAAAGTTGTCTGCCTGAACCGCGAGAATCGAGCTGAGCCCGAGATTCGCCAGCAAAAGGCTATGCGTGGAAAAGGAATCCGATTCCCAGAGGCCCTCAAGTATAAGCTCGTTGTTCTACAAACTGACAGTGCCAAGCCTATGCTGGGACTGACAAAGACTCAGTACGATGACCTCACAGGCTCTGTCACTCACCTTATTCACCAAGCGTGGCCCATGAGCGCTAAGCGTGCGCTATCTGGGTTCGAGTCACAGTTCCAAGTCATGCGCAATCTGATTGATTTTGCGTGCGACAGCAGCTCCCAGCGTCCTGCCTCTTTCAAGTTCAGCTTCCAGATGGTTTCCTCTGTCGGTGTCGTGGGTCACTACCGCCTTGGTGACAAGCAGGAAAGAATCATGGTCCCGGAAGAAAGTGTCGACATCGACAGTGCTCTGACCAACGGCTACGGAGAAGCCAAATGGGGCTGTGAGTTGATGCTGAGCCGTACTATCCAGCAACATGCCGATCGATTCCGCACGATGGTTGTCCGTTTGGGACAGATTGCTGGATCTAGTACCAGCGGCTACTGGAATCCCATGGAGCATTTCGGATTCCTTATCAAGTCGTCCCAAACTCTCAACGCGCTTCCTGATGCTCCTGGCACGGTGTTTTGGACCTCAGTGAACGAGATTGCAGGCACTTTGTCTGATCTTGTCCTCGCTGAGAACAATCCCCATCCAATCTACCACATTGAGAATCCGGTTGGCCAACCCTGGAAAGAGGTAAATGCCATATTGGCTGATGCTCTGGGCATTAAGGATCTGATTCCCTTCGACGAATGGGTTGCTCGCGTGAAGGCTGCACCTCAGCGCAACAACCCCGCTTCCACACTGTTGGAGTTCCTGGACAGCAACTACCTTCGTATGTCCTGCGGTGGACTTGTTCTGGATGTTAAGAACACGCTTGAGCATTCCAAGACCCTGGCTGCCGTGGGGCCTGTGAGCGAGGAAGTTGTGAGAAAATATATTCATATCTGGAAGGAGATTGGTTTCTTGAGCTCGTGAGGTATATAAGAGTATACAGTGTATCTATTTGCTTTGGATTTGTGCTTTTCTGATGTCTTTGTCTTATGCGTCTATTCATATTGTCAAATTTCTTAGTCTCTAGAACTTGTTCCCTCTCAACTGCTCAGTCAATTATCTCACAATACGCCATCCTTCTACAGGTCTTCGTAGATTTCTTCCCTCACATGTTTACAAGGAACTGAATCAAGAGCTTCAACTTTTGATTATTACACATAAAGCTTTTCAAAGATTCTTCATAGATTCAAAATGAACATCGCGTTCCTCCAAGTCGATGAGAAGAGCGCAAGATGGATTTATACAAGCAGCATTAAGCTAAGAGGCAAAACAAGTCACACCAAATACTATCAAGGTCTGTTCACTAAGTACAAAATGCTTCTATAAATATTATCATAGCTCGTCTACGCTGATGGTGGCATATTCAACCTTCAACCCCGATAGCTCCTCCAGTACCATCTCATCCTCTGTGACTTTGGTGCTTGGCAAATTGACCCTCTCTATAACCTGCCTAACCATATCTGCGATCTTGTTCGAGACCTGCGTAGAGCGGGGGATATCATGCCCACCACCATGATCGAACTCCATGGTATCATCGCAGAATTCCGCCAACTGAATACCAGCCGGCCACCTTGGATCTTTCGATCCATAAATATTCACAGTGGGGATTTTGATGCGTGCGTTTTCAGGAAACTTGGTAAAATCAAGACCAAATACGTTGTTCCGTTCGGGTCTTGACTCAGGGTTATGCAGATTGCGCTCTGCGGCATATTCCCACAGCCCTAACCCACGTTTGATCAGACACAAGTTCTGAGCTAGCACTGTCAACTGCCCGGCTGTATCATTCAGCAAGGCCCCAGTGTACCTATTGACCTCATGCGCCAACGGTGAAACCTCTAGACCCATATCTTCGAGGGCTGGGAAGGGAACACCGCCACATATGAAGATGGCTGCGCGAAATGGGAGGGGTTCCAAATCAGGCTCATTGATGTTCATGGCATGGTAGAGTGCCATCGTCGCAGTAAGGGAACACCCTTGGGAGAAGCAGCAAAAAGCATCGTAAGGTCCATTTTCGCGCGCATAGTCAGCTACCCACTTGTGGGCGAAACGGATTGACTCGGGAGTACCCTGAGGCCACCAGGTGTATGTTTGCGTCTTGTAGATGGTTTTTATGCCGGGTGCGCTTTGGCTATGGAATGGAGCGTCGATAAAGTCGAACACATAACTTTCATCGAGCTTAGACCGGAATGCGGCCGTTTGGGATTTGAAGATCGAAGCACTCGTTCCGTGGCCATGAAGGCAAAGGATACGAGGCATGGCGTTTTTGAAATGCCTGTGGGGTATAGATGTGTTCTGAGAGCAATGATGTATTGTATGACTCTAAGCATGCGACTAGACTCACCTCAGCAATTATACAAGCAGTGCATCCCTGGCGTTGGGGCTAATCTTACTAGGTATGTCAAAGATCCTCCATGAACCCGATCGGTTCCCGAAATTGTCGCTTTTGGTCTTCGGCTCCCGAGGTAAATTCTGGTATTTTTGTGGTGATATATTTTACAATTTCATTATCTCTATTTTCTCGCAAATGGAGTATCCCCTAGTCCAGCAATATGACCCAACCAACGGCAACGACTGTTATCTTGTCTCCAGAGACCACTCCAGGCCATGTTCATGTCGATAATCTGACAAGAGAGAGCGCACTGCTTGTATCCGAATTGCTCACCAAGAATCATACTTTATACAAGACGCGATGGAAGCTCACTCTCCACAGTAGGTTGAACGTAACGCATATAATAATTTAGGGTGAATAGCTAACCTGTATCAAGACCATCTCACTCATCATCTTCTTGCAATGTGGGCACTGGGAGCGACCCCAGCTGAGATTCAGGATATGTGGGATTACAACACACCTTATCAAGATGACATGAACCCCGGATACCCGGAGGCATCCTCCAACGATGGTTTGCACGACCCAGAGATTTTCAAAAAGTGCCTGGGGATCGATGACTGTTACCCCGATTTCCTCAAGTTCTTTGAGGAAGAAATCACCGGCAAGGGAATGCAGGAAGTGGTCAAGGAATATCTCTTCAAGGGAGATGAGCGAGCAAATGACATCCTGGGCCGCATGTTTGCGGGTGAGTCGACATATCTAACCGCTACGACGACAAGATGCTCACTTATCTCCATCTTCCTGTCTAGATCTTGTCCATCCTATGATTCATCTTGGGTGTGGCATTGAATTCAACCAGCCGAGTCTTGTTGCAGAGGCGCTGGCCGGAGCCTGCGTTCACGATAACTGGCCCTCGAGTTTCCTTCTCCCCACAGAAGAATATGTGCTTGCAAACCCGGACATACCATCCAAGTCGATGCTTCAAGTTCTGGATTCCCTCCAGGCTGATAGCCATATTTCCACGGGAACGAGAGAGGACGACCCATTCAACAAGATCCCCGACGGCTTCCTCAAGCGCGTCACGCCTACACAGCTTGTACCCTACCTCAGTCAGTTCCGGGTCAAGGCCGAGCCCGCGGACCTAAAGCTCAAACTATCGGACATGATGCACACCTCTGCATACATGCTAGGAGCCGCTCAGCGCCCGGGTAAACGCGAAGCCATGGACTTTGTGACTCTCCATGCGGCAACGCTGGCAGCATTCCTTCCTGCAATCCTGGCACAGGATTGGCTGTCGAACGAGGACAAAGCACGAATACTTGAAGCCACAGTACGTGTCGATGCGGTGATGTATGCTGGTACAGCGTGCCCCCCGCTGTACGCCGACCGAGTGGTTAACTACATGCCACGATATCCCACACATGGGTGGTCCGAGTTGTTCCATCGTGCAAACGTCTACCGGGACGAGGGTCACGCTGTGAAATTACTTCGCGCTCTGTATGCCCTGGAACCGCTGGAGCTAGGGTCGGACTTTCCGATCACCAAGAGTGATTTTCTCAAGATTGCGCACATGGGAATTGACTCCATTGAGCGGGCAATGACCGAGAAAGATGGCAATTATGTGCCTAAGGAAGTTGCAGCTGGAGTCCTGCAAAGGGTTGGGCGTGGAGGCGAAATGGTGGTCGGGAACATGACCCGATGGGTGTTTTATGGCGGGTTGCCCAACGCTTGGAGACATGTACCTGCAATATAAGTCTTGTAGACCACCCGGTCAAATTTTCTGTGGAATCCTGAACTAACCATGCTTGTTGTGACACTTACATATCTCGATATATTTCAGATGAAGCAAAATCGACGAGATTATCATTACAATAATGGGTTAGTGTTTAGGTACATTTTCCTCAACAAAGATCATGATTATGGTTTTTAATCTCTTTATAGAGAAGTAAGAGAACAGGAGAAGAGACAGAAGGAGACGAAGAGAGACTCTAGTTAAAACAAAGATGAGGGCTCTTGCGGGCACGTGATCATATCTCACCAAGGGACAGTTCGACCGAGGTAGTCGAGGTATTCGAGTCCAGGTCGTTCTTTTTTGCAATAAGTACGTCGACCAAGCTGGGGATGCTTTCTTCAATGGTGAGCCGAGCATCCGCTCCCCCCAACTCGGTTTTGACCCATCCTGGAGCCATCAGCACCATCGGACGCGATGGGACCTGGCGAGCTGCAAAGCTTCGCATGTACATGTTGAGCGCGGCTTTAGTGCCACGATATACCTCTCGCTGGCCTGTTTCATTGTTGCTGACGCTTCCCTGTCCAGAGGACATCACACCGATCAGACCCTTCGGGGCCACGTGATGTGCCAGACTTTCAACGACACGCATGGGACTGAGCGCATTCGTGACCATGACATGTACAAACTCCTCGGTTGAGACGTCGCCAATTTTTTGAGTTTGGTCACGATTCGTTGTTCCAGCGTTGACAAAGAGGATGTCGAATATTCTGCCCGACAAACGCTTGTCTAGCGACTGGATTTGATCGGGTTGGCAAATGTCCAAGGTCTCAATGTCAACCCGACCGGTGTACTTGTCTGCTAGCTCGTGGAGTAATGTTTGCGACCCTCCGCGGACTGTGCCGACAACGTTCCATCCCTTTTCTAGGAATTCCGCTGCCATGGCGTGGCCAAGGCCACGCGAAGCGCCGATGAGAAGGATCGTGGGTGGTGAAACGGACATTGTGCAGGGTTGTCTCAGTGTTGATCATATTTGAGCGGGTTTACCTTTTGTACCCAGCGTCGGCGCGGCATTTTCTGGTTATCTCCGGGCCGAAATTCCCCTGGAAAAAGCCACTGATGCTTGTTATCGATCGGTACGACCTTGCCACCTTGGTTCCCACATAACTACTTTGGCTTCCTATAGCTCGTCGATCTCCATTTCCTGAAACCTGTCTCACCCTCTACAAAATCCGTGCTTAGCAGTATCGCGGATTAAAACGTATTGAACTCCGCGTCGAGGGCCCCGGGGAACACTTAAAATACCCAAGGGATCTGCACGGGCCCGCTGATGGGCGCACCAAGCTCACTAGCGTAGCGGAGCTCGGGCATCAAACCTCTGCCCCAATTGGCTGGACGCCCCTCGTTTCTTTTTCTTTGCCTTCCTCCCATTCACGGAGTAGATCAAAGTCACATATTTCAATGACCTGACGCGTCTGGTCTGTGGTGTCCTCCCTGGTATCTTCTTGCTCGGCTTTGCTATCCTGGGAAATGGTGAATATCCCCGAGAGACCCTTACACACAATATGCCGGGATATAACCTTCGTGGCATCCGCCCAGCTCTACTACGCACCAACCCTTACTTGTATTGACCGGAAGAATGCCGGCTGACGAGAAGAGCTCCGGCATGACCGTCAATAACCTCAATCACGATGTTGAAAGGTCTGTCACAGAGGCTTCGCCCTCTCAGTCCCTGAAGTCTGTAAACAAAGTGGAACCAAACGTGGACACTACTCCATCAGGGATTGTTGTCCTTCCTCGCTCAGATCGGCGAGGCCTGCTGGCTCGATTCTCCGTCATTCCTGAGATCACCAACCCGCGTGATTATGGTAATGGAACCAAGTGGGCGATGACAGTGATTGTCAGCTTCGCTGCCATAACATCCTCCACGGGCTCCTCTATCTTCTTCCGTGAGTACTATGGTTTAACTCCCTATGGATAATTTCCCATTGACCAAATTAAAGCGGCCCTGGCCGAGGTAGCGCATGACCTCGACACGACCCCGACGGTCGCCAACTTATCAGTGGCACTTTACTTGCTCGCCATGGCTTTCACCCCTATCTGGTGGTAAGTATACATGCAAGAATTATCACCTAATGACAAGCGAGAGTTCAAGGACTTTTCTAACCACAAATTTTAGGTCCGCACTGTCCGAGAAGCATGGACGGCGAACAACGTATCTCCTCTCCTTTTTCCTCTTCCTGGTTTGCTCCTGCATCAGTGCCGTCAGTCCCAACATCGCAATGTTGATCGTTTTTCGAGTCCTCAGCGGCGGAGCCTCAGCTTCCGTCCAATCTGTGGGCGCGGGAACTGTCGCCGATATCTGGGATCCGAAAGCAAGAGGCAAAGCTATGGGGGTCTTCCAATTGGGTCCTCTCTGTGGACCCGGTGTGGCACCTGTGATCGGTGGTGCTTTGACTCAGGGTCTCGGCTGGCGGAGCACCCTCTGGTTCCTCACCATCTTTGGCGGTGTAATGCTGCTTCTGATTTTCCTGTGTTTGCCGGAGACGATCCCAAAGCGTGAGCCAAAGCCGCAGACCGAAGAGCAGAAGAACACCAACATTCTTGTCAAGATATTCATGGCAATCTTTGGCCCGTTCAAGGCATTGGCGCTGCTCCGCTTTCAGCCTGTCATCGTCGTAATTTGGTCCGGTGTGATCGCCTTCTTCACCATGTACATCATGAACGTCTCCATCCAAGCCGTTTTCGACAAAGCTCCCTACAACTTCAGCGTTTTGGAGGTGGGTCTTGTATACCTGGCACCGACAATCGGGTATGCAATCTCGTCGATCTTTGGTGGTCGCTGGATCGACCACATCATGATTCGTGAGGCGACCAAGGCCAATCGCTACGATGAGAACGGCAAGCTAAAGTTCTTTCCCGAGGACCGTATGAGAGAGAATATCTGGCTGGGTTTAACACTGTACCCAGCCTCGTTGATTTGGTACGGCTGGACCGCTGAAAAGGGTATCCAGTGGGCGGTCCCCTGTGTTGCATCCATATTCTTCGGGCTTGGCATGATGTTGGTCATGGGCACTGTGCAGACCGCACTGACGGAGTTCACTCCAAAGAAAGCATCCAGCGGTGTCGCTGTGGCAAACTTCGTGCGAAACATCCTCGCGTGCACCGGCGCTGTCGTCACTCAACCTATGCTCGATGGTATTGGCAATGGATGGATGTGCACTACGGTTGCTCTGATTGCGTTTGCCACGGGTATTTCAGCTATTGTTTCACTCCGCATCTGGGGACCCCAGTGGCGCGTGCTGATGGATCAGAAATTGAACGCCCCAAAGCCGTAAATATATGTGCTCGTTGCTTGGTGGGGAGCCAGTTTCTGTCATTTTCGGGATCGGACCTAACTATCTCCATCTGTATAAATCCTTATATCTTGGCGCTCTAGTATTTGTGTTTACTCGACTCAAAATGACCACTCTGGGCTAGATAATGGTAGCGCCCAGCAAAGCCCACAAAGCCCAACCCACAGCCCACTGTGAGTTGGGCCGTGGCTGTGGGTTGGGCCGTTGGCCTAGAGTCCAGGCTCATTTACGGGCTTTGCGGAGCGCTAGATGATAGTCCTCAAATTTGGCAATAATATTAACGTTTTGCAAGATATCGACTCGACTTTCTTGAAGACAATATCTCTTTGGCAAGAAATTTCGATGACATCACTAGTCAAGGTCGAAACATTGACATCTTACGGAATTTACTTTGCCCAGCCATAGCGATTGGAGCTCTCCCTTAGGTCTTGTGTTAGGCATCCCATGATGGAAGTGCTTCATTGCCCGGATACTGGAGACAACTATAGGCTATTCTTTAGGGCTGCTGTAACAGTGACCATTCTATATTTTCAGATCGCTTGGCCAATCATGAGCCATCGTTGATTGCCGACTCCGTCTGGTCAGCACGAGGGAGAAACCCCGGTGCAGGAGATTTGAAAAATAATATACCGAGATAATTCTATGAGATGCCCGATGTAAGACATTTATACCTGCGTTAGTCACCTTTTATGTCGACTAAAGGGGAGGGAAAGCTCTCTCCTTTTGATGGCCGTTTCTCATGGATCGTGTATCAACTTGGGGTGCCGTCACATTGTTCACGGCTCTTTTTTTCGTGTTGCCCGAATTACAGCGACTATTCTTACCCTACCAGTCGAAGTACTTCGATATTCCCGTTTTAGCAAGAATGAGTCACTGGGACAACAATTCATGGAACCCACGCTGGGAAGCCGTGGACACGTATGCAATGTCGCAGGGACATCCAGACACCCGGCCAAATACCCAGATGCTGCAAGATACAATCTCGGCCTCCGATAGAGCGGGCTTACCAAGCTATGCGCTCTCAGCTGCGCAGGCCAAGTTCCTCTCGCTACACTGTCGGACCGCGAATGTGACGCATGCACTTGAGATTGGCACGTTGGGCGGCTACTCTGCCATCTGGATGGCTAGTCAAAATCCACAGCTGTACCTGACAACTGTCGAGTACGACAGACACCACTATAATACGGCCAAGATAAACGTCGAGCGTTCGGGGCTGGCGGATCGTGTCGAGGTCATCCATGGTGCTGCGCTTGATATTCTCAGCAATTTACGTGGGGAGGTTCAATCCGGGAGACGGCCTCGGTTTGGATTTACCTTTATCGATGCAGATAAGGTAAATAATTGGAAGTATTTCCAGATGGCGAAAGATATGTCGAAGCCGAACTCGGTCATTTGTGTTGATAATGTTGTGCGTGATGGGCATCTGGTCAGCTTTGGCGACGATGATTCGTATCTGAGAGGCTGTCGAGAGGTTGTGGAGAAGGCAGGCAAGGAGCCTGGTGTGGACTCTGTTCTGTTACAGACTGTGGGTGAGAAAGGGTATGATGGTTGGCTATGGGCTGTGATCATTTGAGCTGGGAATGAGTCCAGGGCTATATGTATGAGATTCTCTAATAGTATCTTTGGTTCGTCATTTTGGCGGCACAACCTCATTGCTCCCAACTTAGCTAATGCTGGTTGATATGTCTTTGATAAAATCGGACACTGGTATCATCCGCAAACTTTGGTGTCGCATCACACAATCCGGCCGATCGATCAGTGGAAGGCTTGCGTGAGCAATGACCTCTCGAGGCCATCTGTGAGCTGAAGACTTTGGACGTCACGAATAGATTCTGGCCATTGTCACAATGGACTAAGCAATGCGATGCTGTGCAACGCAGGCGAGGTTGTATGGTGTGGACCGAGGACGGGAGAGCATCGCGGACAATGTCCCGCGGTAAGCAGTTTGACCATTGGAACAGCCAGACCTGATGGCATATCCGTTAGTATGTTGTGAGAGATGTGGCGTCTACTGATCCTAGATTTTAAAGTCCGGCTTACTCTATGAAAGAAGACTAGGAGAAGGAATAGGACGTGGGCTGTGGGCTATGGGCTTCGCTATGAGACAACATCGGATGGTCAAACTCTCGCACTCATGCATCACTGGGCAGCTTGGATGGAGTTTCAATGAATATCAGACCGATGCTCTTGGAACTCTAGTTGACCCTCAATAGAGAATCCGACCTCTCTATTTAGTGTTGGAGTTTGCACCACGCGTGAAGTATACAAGAACCCAGCTGCTTGATTTGACCGGCGGTCTTTTTTCGGTGAAATAAACCCTGGATGGGAACAGACATATGGTAAGTATCAAGTGTCTGTGGGATGAACAACCGCTGACTTGTTATGGGCGATAACGTCTGACTGTGTTAAGACGACGACTATTCGTCCTTTAGCCCTTCATGAGATGTTACGAATAGCGTCCTTCCAATTGTTGAACAAATACTTCATCCGCTTCTATTGGCGGCTATGTCCAGTCAATGCGTTATTGGTCCGCTCTCTTTATGACTATTACGTCAAAGAAACTACAGCATGAGAACCGACCATACCAACAATGGAGTCTATTCGCAATTTCCAGACTCGCAGCAATGCAACTACGGAGCCAAACACCCAAGAGCCTGTGCGGCCTGAAGCTGGCCGATTCGCAATGTTGCTGCCAATGAATAGAATCGGAAGACCGGATATTAACGCAGCAGATAGTTCGGGCTCTGAACACCACGAGAAGTCCATCAAGGAAGCAGTATTTGACAACAAACCAACAAGATATATTGGACTCTCTTTTCTGCAAATGATCAGGCCATTGGTATCTTACGTCTCCATGGTTATCAATGTTCGGACAGGATAACCAGCAGCAGCAAGGCGATTTTCAAGTCGTGAAGAAACGCAGGGGCTGTGGAACAAGGTTGAGAATGTCTCGGCGTGTCTTTGAGTTGACTGACGGTAGTTTTCAATCTCCTGCTTGCCACTTCCGTGTCTGACTTGAAGGTCCAGCCACGACTCTCAGCCCTCGTCCGTGGCATCACCGAATAGGCAACCCCTGGCTGAAAAGACAAGTCAAGTATACCTAAAGATATACTTTATCTTGGGCATCTGGGCTGGAATAGGGCTCTGTTTGGATCAAATCTGGTTGCCTACCTTGGACACGGACATCGCCTATGATAATGAAACAGGCACTGAACAATACACCCGAGCAGGTCGAGGGCAAAAGCCATAATCGCCCCGTTAATTACTGGGGCTGCGGTCTGATCGGACTGAAGCTGATTACAGGGGGACCAATGAGGGCGAGGATCGTGTCCGGCCCTACCTCAAAGAGTACAGGAGGTTCTTGCGGATTTACAGGAAAAGTCGCCGTTAGCCAGGATTTCCCGAAACCTGCTGAAAGAAGCTCCGAGCTCACGGATGATGGCTGCTGATGCTTCGCTCTGCCTCGACACACCGCAAGAAGGAAGTCAAACCAGAGCAAGAATAGATACCATGCAAGATAGTTCATATGTTCGAGTTTTGACCTAGTCAGTCTAGGTCTGCCAAGTGCATATTTCCATTGACTCATTCTACTCTTCTGTGCATCGATAACTTGATTGCGTCAAGAAGACCAATAAGATTCCAGCAAATGAAACTTAGTCGCACGCTCCCCTAACTAGGGAATTGTCCTATTAGAGATACCATCTTAGGCAGCTTTGACTAGATCGGTTTTGATAGAATTAGGCATCTTCAAAATAAAGATGGAAACCATCGCAACGCGAATCACCTCCGCACCCCGTACTCACCGAGTGGCAAAAACATGTGTCTCGAAATAAGCACAACGCAACACCGCAACGCCGCAAACCCGTAATTAATGCGCAGCAAGCTCCATCCACACCAAGACTCTGTACTCCACAGTCCGCCCGTGATCTACGAGATTGCACTGGAAAAGTGCCCGTCTGCAACAGCTAGTGCCCGAAATTCAATAATGTGCTCATGACTCTCATCAATAATGCGCTCATCGCTCTCGGCAACACCCACCTCTATTTCGTATCCACTTCAAGGGCGTCTCGCTGTTGGAGCGGGCAAGAAGCGGGAGAATGACCCCGTTAGACCATTGGTCCGATATGGAAATGATACTCGTTTAAGTGGGGGCTGTGACTCCGGTAAACTGGGTCTCTTTTTGGGGCTGTTTCCACTAATAATCAAAGTAGTATTTTGCTGGGATCTTTTTTTTGGGTGATCTTTAAAGTGGGAATTCGGATGGAGTTTGTATGGAGCCAGACAAAAATAGGTGTGCTGGAGGTGCATATGTAGGGGAGTTGGAATGGGAGATGAAGAAGTGATGTGGACTCGGTGCATATTAGTACACATACAGCATCTAGTATACACATACGTTGTACACTGAAGCAGGCTTCCTGTGGGGGAAGTACATCCGGAAGCACTGTATATCACATCTGACCTCGGCATACAGTTGTGGAACACCGATTAAATTGGAAATGTGTGGATGGAGAACGCGGTGAAAAGACAAAGCGGATGTATATATCCCAGGCACGGAATCGAATCGGAGCATGTGTGATAGGCATTTCTGTCTCAAAGGCCTTAACGCGAGCCCGGGCATTTACATTTCCTCATTGGGACTAGTTTATTAAACTATTATGGGGAGCGCGGGAGATGACTTCAGGGCTTGAGCCCCTCTCATTTTGTAGATGGACGGAGAATGAGTGGAGATTGTTATGTGCCGTTTAGCCAGACGGCGAAGCTCTAATCTCAGACTCTTGTCCCGCTCAAGTAGGGTCCGGAGCAAATCTCTTCATCACAAGCACAGGACTGAGAAATCAAACGATGGTTGTGTTCCCCGATACCCTTGAAATGGTGTGCAATCTCACTGCAGCTGTTCGTTGCATATACCCCCTGCTATAAGCTGCACCGGACTTCTTCTAGCAATACCTTGTTCAAAGTATAAGTTCGGCACTATTGGAGAATCCTGTACGGAGTACGAAGCGGAGTCTCATAAATAGAAATAGCGTAGTAAATAGTCCTACCAAGTGAGAGCTACGTAGTATACGAGGGGCAAGCCCCTCAGGATCAGCCCCTGCATGGTATGGATCCCTAACTCATTGACTTTCCCTTGGAAGCAGGATCAGCGCATGTTGTACTAAAGAGACGGAGTATGAAAAGGGAGTAAGAATGTGGAACCTGTAGCAAAGGAAGCGCGAGGTCGAGGAAAAGGAGAAATCGAAAGTTGCCCAATTTCAATTCGGGAGAAAGGAGACATGTGATTGGTCCAACCTCTCTGAGAACGTTGACCGTCGAACTTCCCAACTTGTTTCTGTTTGACTTCCAGACGGATAAGAAATGTTTTCTTCGGACCTAGACCTTACGTGGCGTTACAAGGCCTGCTGTGAACGAATGCAAATTATAGAGTTGAGTCGATGACGAAGGATACCCGTGAGGCTGCAGCCTTCATCGTGCATCGTGCATTTGACCTTACGTGTCTGTATATAGGTGTCACAGGGTTTGAAGGTCTAGACTAGGAGCTACCTGAAGCTGATTCTAACAGTGTAGCCTGGTGGGAAACGGCTGGTTGCAATGATCTGGGATAATCCCAACGATCGTCGAGATGAGCCCCGCCAAAAAATAACCAACATCTGATTAAGGAGATCGCGACCGAGGCAACCGGGATTTTTTTTTTCTCTTACCTCCGTTCCCCATCTATATGTCGTAAGGTACAGAGTCCATTTGTATCCCTGTTTCTGGGTCTCATCACATTTTCACCATATCAGCCCCAAGAAAACAAAGAACGCACGGGGATCAGGGTGACCCAAACGTTTGCATCCGATGCTACACCGTAAGGAGCTGATGACATGACGCTAAAGCAAGCCAAATTGACCTGGCCCGCAGCTCCCGCTGCATTCTTTGGGGCTAGGAAGGGGAACCGGGCAATCATAACCCCCGACTTGGGACGTCTGGAAGGATGAAGGAAGCTGGGATCGGCTGTGCCCCAATAGTGGAGTGAGTGGATTTCTTTGGAATCAAATGGGAAGTTCATCAGTGTGGATATAGAATCCTGTTAGATGACCAACAGAGGCTGATTTGAGAACGCCGTGACCGCTATACTCCGTGGACTCCGTTCTTATTACTAGTTCATCATAACAAAAGTAGATTATATTGAAAGGGAAACATGGTAGGTACAGAGTACTGGGTCTCGGATCTTGCCATGCAGGGTTCCTTTAGGTATCTCGTATTTATTACTCCCTACTCCGTCCAACATGAGCTGAATCCTGCCAACATAGTACCTCTGTATATTCAAAGGAGGGGGGTGACCAGACTAGGGCTGGATCCTTTTCAAGAAACCCGACTGTGCCATAGCCGTGTTGTTACGGTGTGCTCAGTGCATACCAAGATCGGCAATTCTCAGGTTGTGTCAGCGGTTCCACTAAGAGAACTCTGATCAAGACAAATCAGACACATCTGGCCTTCTGGAAAATTGTCTCCAATTATTTCTCCTTTGCTTTTTTTTTCCTTTTTTTTTTGTGGCCCCTGCAATGTAGTGGGTCTTTAAATGCTCTCCGGTTACAGGCTTGAATGCCGCGTGATGGGCTTGATGTGTTTTGCATCAAGATCGGCTATTATTTGTATCTTATATGTACGATATTTACTATAAACAATATGATCCTCTCTCCTCCATAATATATATTTCTCAACAGGTCCTCCGTATAGTCCATTCAAATGGTTCAAATCCTGTAATATAGATTAGAGAAAAACGCCCCTGACCAAAGACCCGGGCTTGGCCGGGGATTGGTCTGTTTTTGGCTTTGGCAGAGCCCTAAGCACGATCCGATCCACCTGGCCACGTTGTAAATGGCCCTCCTTTTCCGTTTTTGATTTTTCTTGGTTTAGTTCACGCTAAGTTCTAGACATTGGCGCTAATGAGTGGAATTGCCCTGCAACTTCCCTACGGTATAAGCTGCAGGTGATATGAGATTGACCATACTGATCACATTCAAACATCTTCAGTGAAAATCCCGTTGAAAGCGAACTCAAAAAAAAAAGGTCAAACTCCACTGTTCAACACTTGGGATAGCCGAACTTCCCGCTCCATGTCCCCATTTGATGACTAGGCTTTTCTAACTCTCCTTTTGGTGGCGTCTGTGATGGATGTCTGTACCACGCTCCCGATGAAACAGGCCCACAAAACGTTGAGGCAATCGATACGCTACTTGGTATTAGCTATATTTTAGTTGGCGCCCCTCTCTTTTTTTCTCTCAGGTGATACTAGAGAATGACCTCGAAGGTTGATCCTACAAAAATGCAGGTAGCCTAAGCCTCGCATGGTCCAAGTTTCCGTTTTCGATTCAGCCAAGCCTTGATTGGCTGTGAACCTGACGGCTCTAGGCTCGGAACATTTATGGAAATGAGAAAAGTCAAAAATGGAAATAATTAGATCCAAGACCAGAGCAATGATGCATCTCCTGCATCATGTACTCCGTATTCCGGTAGAGAGAAAATAGCAACCTCACATCCGGGTATGCACGGTACAAAGGGAGAGACAGTTCTTTAATCTAAAGAGTTCAGGAAAGGACGGTAATTATCTTTTTCGTTTTCAACTCCACTTATACCCCCTGTCGAAATCCAAAAAAGGTAGATGTGCGTAGTCGATCTCTAGCCCATCACATTGTAACCCTTGCGTAACGGGCTCTGTAACGCTATAAATGGGGAAAGGGAACAGGGGAAGGACAAAGTGTCCTGTAGATTAATCCAAATCCGGTCGCATTCTGATAATTGGATCAGATCGAAACAGACTCTATTGGGAAAGGCAGATCAGCATTCCCAGCGGCTAAAGAGTCAAGGTTCACTGGTTTATGGAATTTTGGAAATGTAATTTGTTTTGAACCTAAATGGGAGTAGAAGTATATCATGTTTTATAGGTGTATATCAAAAAGAAAAGATAATAAAAATCTCATAAAACGGGAGCCCCATTTTCTATACACGTGTGAGAGGATTCTATTGGATGGCATAATATACAATTTACAGATACACGCTATACACGCTGTACACACACTATATTATACTTATTTTAATCTAATTTCTTCCCCATGTTCGCCTCAAAAAGCATGTTCCATGTTCCCACAGGTCCGATCCCCCCATTTGCTGCACTCCGGAGTATTCCCTATGGGTCGAAACGGTGGAACTGCCCTGATTTATGGATTCGGTTCCAGGTTGCGTTTTTCTGTCAACGTCGTGTCATCTTAGCACATCGTAGATCCTAGGCCCTGGATTCCCTTATAATCCCGCCCTACCTAGTTAACCGGGATCGTCACTGGAATTACTCTTGAACGGCTTTTATTACTCTTTATTCGCTCACTACGTAAGCTATTTGCTGGTCTAACATGATTCTGACTATATACTAACGTGATTCCCCCTCAGTTCCTCTCCTCATCTTACTTTCCACTTTCTTATATGGCCAATTATTCTTGGCAATCTCAACCCCCTTCAACGGGCTCTCAATGGGTTCAAGACGATGCTTCTGATGACCAATCCACCATGCAAGATCTAGCCCGTGCTTTCCCTCGACCGAGGCACACTCGCGTCATGAAGCCTCGTAGTGCAGGCAACAGTCCTTCGTCAGCAACCAGGAGACGATCGACAGTGAACCAAAATATGATGCATGGACTACCTACTCAATATCAGTCATCTCTGGAAGAAGCTCTCATCGCCTCAGCTGCCCGGAACTCACGTCCGATGAGCTGGCATCCTTCATCAGCAAGAACTCGGGGTCTTTCAACCTCGTACATCTCAAATTTCCCTTCGGATAGTTATGCCGGTATGGGACCCATGTCTGATCAGTACCTCAACTCGGCCGTCTACAACGAAAACATCATGTCATATCCCATGACCGCCGACCCTGCATTCTCTCCTAATGATTACTTCCCTGTCTACTCAACCATGCAAGACAATTTGTCACTTCCGCAACAGACCTCGTCGCTGATGACCGGCTCACAGCTCGACCCGATGGGATGGGATTTCAGCGCCATGTCCACCGATATGTTAACAATGTCGCACCCTGCCTCCGACAACTGGAACCTCGACATGCTATCGATGGGCACCAACATCCCCCCCGCCAGAGACAACATGCCCAAGCTACGTCAACGTCCCTTCCCCAGGTGAACTGAGTGGCCCATCAACACCGGACTTTCTCCCCATTCAACAATATGAGAATCCCTTCCAAATCATCCCCGAACCCAGGAAGACCGGAAAGGCAGAAGAAGAACTCGTCGGCATGGGCCTCTACAGCCAGCCCAACGGAACACTAGCACGCGCCCCGCAGAGCAAATCAGGCGAGGGCCTGAAGCTCGAAGAAACATTCACTCCATCCGACGAAGACAAAGACGCCGAGGGGGACGAGGTTGAGATCACCGAACAGAATCAATTGCCCCAGCAACCAACCTACCACGAATCTGCGCCTACCATTCGCCAGTCAAACTTTCCCTCCAAGCAACAGCCCAAACAAGCTCGGAACCTTCTTCAGCGGTCTTTCTTCTTCGATCACGATGGCACAGATCAGCAACCGATGGCTGCTGCACAACCCTTTGCTGGTTTCAATCAGCCTTGCATGAATTATGGTTATGGTTGGATCTGAGATCGCCTAGCGTAGGACTTTTCTATCTGCTTCTTTGCGCATTTTTTATTTTACTAGCGGCATAGCGTGGAGTTCTCTTGCTTTTCTCTTGGAGTCGGATAAACGGAAAGGATACCCTGGGACGAGATCTACCAACATTTACCTTAGGTGTACTCGTACACAACCTGATACAAAATCTACCTCAATATTTGCTACCTATCATTATTTTTCTTCTTCAGTCAAAACTAAAAGCACAGTGTTAAGTTTCTCGAAGTATACAAACCCGCCCTCTGATTGGCCGCGGAAGGAATAAGCGTCGGCCAAACCTCCTCGAAGGAACAACCATCTCCCGAAAATATTTCGCAGGTTATCAACGAAAAGTCCAGCAAGCAAAAGGTCACTTAACCAGCGTCGGATTTAATTTGAATCTCTCATTTGAATCTCAGCACCGGGAATGGCAAAGGTCATTTTCACGGCTTGGAAAACCAAGTCTCAATTGCTAGAAGTGCGGGACGAGTTTTATCCTCCGTCTGCGTACACTGGACCGGATTTGCGTTCCCATGGCTGTGCGGTGGTATGTTACATATGCATGATAGAAATCAGTGGTGTCAGCTGTCTACGTGGTTTACTAACGATATCCAAATTGAAGGTCGAAGCTTGGAAGCTACGCGGCAATGTACCGCACCATGTTGAAGCTACAGCGTTATTGACAGATGCCATTCTCCATGATGATGCGCAGAGAAATTCAATATTCTCAATTCGTGCTACATATTCCGCAGCTTTCTGTCGGTGAGTTGTGCCGTGCCTGATTTTTGTTTTGTTTTTTTACATTGATGGGAGAGAAAACCTACATCTAATTCCCTTGGAATGATGTCTCAAATTCGAATTTCCTCTTTTCACATAGCATATCTTGTTGTTCAAAACTAACGCCCAAGCTCAGCTTCGTAACTGGTCTCGTGGACACCAAGATCCACGGCGTTCGTCGAACAATGTTCCAGCGCGCCACAGACCTAGGCCTCCCAGCCTCCTTCGTGGAACTTCGCCACGAAGCAACCCACCGCGAGCCGCCGTCGCTTGTCGTACTGCGCAAAGCTTCACAGCGCTCGCTCGAGTGGCTGTGGGACAATTACTGGGCCGGTGTTGCTGATGACTCTGGTGCGTCTGCATTGACCCATGACGACGGTGCGTCTGTCAGGGCCACCTTGTGCGACGCTCTGCAGCCTCTAGCCGGTGGATCGGCGGATGTGCCCAAGAAGCGGAAGCGTGATCAGGCTGTTTCGGTTGCTATGCGACTTGTCTCGGTTTGCAATGTCTCGGGGACGGGTGTCAGGCTTTTGTCTTCTGTTTTACTCGAGCAGGGGTTTCTGGTGCCCAAAGGGCGAGAGTGAGTTTGCGTCCCCCCTTTCTTCATTGCTTTTGTCTCGGATGTGTCTGAAGGGATACATCTGTTGTCGGGGAGTACATGCTGACTGGGAAATTTAAGACTTGGTGATTCACTGAATGATACATTCAAAGAGTGGAACCCAGTTCTGCAAAAGGTTGCAGAGAGTCATCCTGCGTTTTTGAGACATTTGACGGAAGATCTGGTCAATGATCTAGCTTTCAAGAATACAACCGATATAGAGACAGATGCGCCTTCCGAAGCACTGTATCTGTGGCTCGCACATATCTTGACATCTCCTTCCTGGGAATTCCACAGGCAATCCTGCCCGCAGAGCTATGTTCTCCGAGCTTGTGATGAAAGTCCACACCACTGGACAAAGATGTTGGGAAATCAGTTAAGAAGGGAGGCTAGCAAGCCTAAATCAGCTCTCGCCGCTCGACCCGCTGCCAAGAACCGAGTCTCAAAGCCCAAACATGTTAGGAATGACTCGCACCATGCTCCAACCCAGCTCTCGGATAAGCTGTTGGAACATGGATGGGGATTCCTAGAGAAATGGGATAGTCGACCCTTAGGCGTGGTATCAAGTAATTAGACGGGCATATCTCCAATTTACAAAATGAAAATCACACGCTGCTGGCAGCGTTAGAGAACCTCAAAGCCAATATTCCCCTACACAATACGGACATACCTACATAGTAACGAGCAGCCAATCAAAAGCGGTGGCATTACTAAAAGCTACATGGGAAGATTGTTTGTCCGGATGACGTTCGTGATCCGAGAGATCCACCTAGGCAGTGTACCTCTTCGAGAGCTCCCCGCACTGTTGTGATTCATCTTTGGTGATGAACTTTCTAAGAACACAGTTATTCGGAATTAACTCCCGTCTACTCAGACCACAAGCCAGAGCCATGCATATCCAATCAATTCCTATGTGTATGTTGATCTCCGGCCCGCGATATATATTACCAATCAACAATGGCAACCTTGGTATATTGTAAGAGAAATATTTGCTCACTTTAGGTCAATTCTACAGGGACGGGGAAGGGCAACAACTATGCCTACCTCGTGACGGATGAACCGACCAAGAAGTCGGTTATTATTGATCCTGCCAATCCTCCGGAGTGAGTTGCATCATTAGATCAGGTTGATGCCACTGCATGAACTGAACTGATTATGTGGATTTACAGAGTTGCGCCAGAACTTGAGTCTCAGATTGCCTCTGGCAAGATTGACCTGACGGCCATTGTTAACACTCACCAGTATGTAGATAAAACTTTCATGGGCCGGTAACAAGAGGACAAAATTCAGATTTGCTGACATCTACTAAAGCCACTGGGATCATGCGGGCGGTAATGATGACATTGTATGCATAGTTTGCGGGATATTGGGTGCTACTTCGCGCTAACATTTGCACCAGTTGAAACAATTCAAGGGCCTTCAGGTCATTGGTGGCAAGGACTGCGCGTCTGTCACCAAGACTCCCGCGCATGGCGAAGAATTCAAGATCGGAGATCGTATCTCAGTGAAGGCATTGCATACTCCTTGTCATACACAAGACAGCGTTTGCTACTATATGCAAGATGGAGACCAGCGTGTTGTTTTCACAGGCGATACTCTCTTCATTGGTGGTATGTTTATTGTCCTTTCGACCTTATACCTGTCCATAGAATATCATAGGCTAATTTTGAAATTAGGATGTGGCCGGTTCTTCGAAGGAAATGCGAAGGAGATGCACAAGGCTTTGAACGAGACCCTCGCGGCTCTGCCTGATGACACCAAGGTTTATGTACGGCTGTCTTTTCGTATTTATACACGGCTCATGTTGACTTCTTCTAGCCCGGTCATGAGTATACCAAGGCCAATGTCAAGTTCTGCATTGCAGTGTCGCAGACAGAGCCCATCAAGAAGCTCCAGGCATTTGCGGAAAAGAACCAGCAGACACAGGGAAAGTTCACCATCGGTGATGAGAAGGTAAGAGGTAGACAAAATCAATATTTTTGATCGAGACTGACAAACATCTAGCTCCACAATGTGTTCATGCGCGTCAATGTAAGCTAATTGTCCTTTGCCTTTGTATATGCAGTTGCTCACTTAGAACACACAGGACCCCGAGATCCAAAAGGTAACTGGCAAGACCGATCCTGTGGATGTGATGGCAGCATTGAGAGAGATGAAGAATTCGATGTAAAGTATAGGAATAGTTTAGCGTGCGAACCTATCAGATCACCTTGTGTCCTGAGATATCTCCGTAGAAATCAGGTGTGTATTCCGGAGCTAAACTGAATCGCCAAGACAGAAAAGTCTGTAGAACACACATATGAGCTAGATCTACACAAATCAAGCCATCTGAGATATTCACTCCGGAAAATCGGCCATGTGTTCTGGGAGCTGTATCTGGGTGGATATGTCTACGTCATAGTCGTGCCAAGCTCAGACCGGTGTTCGCCAAACATTTACGTATAGAGCTGTTTTATATGATACTTATTCCTGCATATCGTGTATTTAGGAACAATTATAGATTCAATCCCAATATGCCAGACTCTTATTACAGATCAATGCTATTACTCTTTTCTTTAGCTAGCTCGGATGCCGAGGAGAATCGATGTGGTGCATATGTACCTTTTGTATGGGAAAGCCATATAAAAGATACCTAATTTTTAGATTTTTTGTTTGCGGGTGCACCGAGGTGGTGGGGCATGGTTCCCAGTTACCCACTTTCTTTCATGCCACCAACACCCAGATAACTTGACCATGACAGAGTGATCAACAGTGAACCTCGAGTACTTCTGTGCGATGGATAAGGCAGCTACGGAAGATGTAAGTGCGGATGGAATGGGATATTGCAGTGACTGACCAATGCCATCATAGAACAATGGAGCGGCGAGGGATGCAGATGCTCAGAATCACCTAGAGGTAAGCACCGTGATTCTTATGAGAGTTCCATACTAAGGCATGTCACAACCTAGGTCGTGTTTTATCCCGACTCCAACCACCGTCGCAAGTCCTCCCTTGTTACGATGGACAAGCCAAGAGTCCAACCACACTCAGCCCATGATGACCAGATGACCGCCTGCTATGTCCATTCCCTCATAGCGAGCGAGTGGACCGCACCCCAACACCACATCAAGCCTAAAGCAGATACAGAAGATGTGATACAGACACTGGATGAGGATGAGACGAAACCCGTGGCAAATACCAAAGGCATCCAACCAGAGGAATTCGTCACAGTGGTCGACGACAGCAACAAACCGCTACCTACAGTCATCGAGTCTCGGCATCTTACAAAGAGACAGCTCTCAGATATGGCTTGGAATGTGCGAAAACTATCCAAAAAGCTGGGCAGCATCAAGCTCAAGCTCACTGTGAAGAATATCTTCATTGTAAGCAAGGCGCAGGACCAGTCGCTAGTAAGCCTGACTAGAAAGGTTACAAGGTGGCTACTCTCCAAGGACCGGGACTATATGTACGTGGTCTACGTCGAAAGACGGCTCGAGACGCATGCGGACTTCGGTGCATTGCAACTGGTAAAAGACGAACCCTCCGCCGAGGGCCGGCTCAAATACTGGGATACCAGGCTTGCACAAGAACAACCGCATTTATTCGATTTTGTGATCACGCTTGGCGGAGACGGAACCGTTCTCTACACGAGCTGGTTGTTCCAGCGCATAGTGCCGCCCGTACTCTCGTTTGCGTTGGGCTCCCTTGGCTTCTTGACCAATTTCGACTTTGCAGATTATCAGAAAAGCCTTGATAATGCTTTCCGGGAGGGTGTTTTCGTCAGCCTACGACTTCGATTTGAATGCACCATCATGCGCAGCAAAGCGCGGCTAAGAGACCCGCACTCGCGCTCCCTACCGGAGCGTGACCTGGTGGAGGAATTGATCGGAGAGGAAGGGGAGGACACTTTAACGCATACACCAAATCAAGTGTTTGAGATTCTCAACGATGTAGTCCTCGACCGGGGACCAAACCCAAGTATGTCTTCCGACTTCCGATATCTGATTGGGATTCTCCCCCTTTGTGTTACATGTTGGGTTTCACGACAGAAGCAGACACGCAGCTAACGAATCTCCACTAGCCATGTCTCAAATCGAACTCTTTGGAGATGACGAGCATTTCACTACTCTGCTTGCCGACGGAATCTGCATTGCTACCCCAACCGGGTCGACTGCTTACAATCTCGCCGCAGGCGGCTCTCTTTCGCACCCTGAGAACCCTGTCATCCTTGTCACCGCCATCTGCGCCCACACGCTGTCCTTCCGACCGATTATTCTACCAGACACCATTGTCCTGCGAATGGGTGTGCCGTACGATGCGCGCACCAGCTCATGGGCTAGCTTTGATGGACGAGAGAGGTGAGTTTCTTACATTTGTTACATACTATATCACCATTGCTTGGGTCTATTATCTGACCTACAACCCCCAGAGTCGAGCTACATCCTGGTGACTATGTTACCGTGTCAGCCTCGAGATATCCTTTTGCCAACGTCCTGCCTCCTGGCGGGCAGGGTGAAGGCTGGGTGCATAGCATCTCCAAGACTTTGAATTGGAATTCGCGACAAAAGCAGAAGAGCTTCAAGTAACTGAAGTGGAGAAGATCCTTCTTCAACATGGCCCTTGACTCTTTTTTCGTCTTCCGCTTTTTTCTTTTATGGGCATATTTGGTGTTATTTGGTGTTTACTTGATTCGATTGCTTGGGTTTACAGCCACCGGGTGCTTCATTTTTGGGTGTAAATATTTGATATCAAAATCTACGAAAACTATATGATTTCGGATGAGCTTGGAAAATCAGGATATTATTCTATTCTTTTAGCTAATAATTAGTGTAGCTACAAATTCCCAGCCATTTACATATTTTTTTCCCAAGTGGACACTACTTTTTTTTTTTTTTCGCTAGTAGCTGCGGCTCCGCTCGGCCCTATAAAAGGCCATCGCCCAGCCCGAAATTTCTTCTTCTTCATCTTCCTCAACCAACTCGGTTCGAAGTCTTGATGTTGGCTTTGAACTTTGTTGGAGGAAGACAACCCAAAGAGTATATGTGAACAGACTCACATATACTCTTCCTCACCGACTTGGTAAGTTTGTGACTTTTTCTTGCATTGCATTCATTTTCCCCCAGCCAACGGCCTTGCGCCGTTCGATGATGAAAACTTTCCTACATTCGCAGTTTCCACGCTAGTTGTCGTTTGAACCCAATCAAGGCAGCGTTGAGCGGAATATCTTCCTTGGATGTCTGAGAATTATTTGGCTGTCCCTTTATGAATTTGCATCTCAAAATTTGGCAGTCGAGACGGTTGCTAATTGTCTCTCAGAAATAGGATCCCTTTTGGTTGAAACGTTCGATCTTTGATATCACATTATTGCTTCACAGTGTGCAGTGTTCAGCTTGATAACTAGTTGGGCTTGCTGGAGTTCTTGCTGCTGCTTTGCACAACTCGACCTAGGGATATATCGAGTGGTATGCAGGGAGTAGGAGCTTCAACAGTGTCGAATATCCAGTATATCAGTATCAAATGAATCACAGTTCTGTCGAACAATATCCTCCAATCATATCTTTTAGAAGTCTTCATAGCCAACCTGGTGTAGTTCCTCTCAGCGTACAAGTAAAATCTCGCAGTATTTGCACCCGAGGTAGTTGTGCTCTGCCGTACCGCATCCACTGTTGACCCATACCTCAGACCTCTCATAGATACCTCAACTTGACAAGATCAAGCTCTTGAATCAACATTTCTCGACCCTGATTCCAATCGGAACGCCATTCTCATGGCGGCACCTCGACATGCCACGATGCAATCCATCAGCAATGGCGGCACACAAGGGAGCGACAGACCACAGACACAGCAATCACAGCAAGCCCATCAATCACAACAGTCCCCTGGACTGCGTGTACCTTCCAATCGCAAGACCATCTACGACCGACACCTGAACCGAACTCGTAATGCAGAACTCAGCCGGGCAAGCTTCGCCTTTCTATTCGGGGAGATGGTCACATATGCTCAACGACGAGTAACAGGTATCCAAGATCTGGAGAAACGGTAAACACCCCTAATTCAAACTTGGAATTCTCTCTCCAATCCTCTCGAAAACCATTATCGCCATGTATCTCCCTAGTCCATAGCTAACCCCTCGATACAGGTTAAACGAACAAGGCTACCCCCTCGGCCTCCGCCTCCTCGACCTCCTCTTCTACCGCTCAACCTCAACCTCCTCCTCAGCCCTCTCAAGTTCCTCAACCTCCTCTTCACCCCCAAATCGACCCCTCCGGATCATAACCCTGCTCCACCTTATCCACGGCCCCCTCTGGCGCCTCCTCTTCGGCCGCGCCGCAGATGCTCTCGAGCACTCCGTGTCCCCAGATACCCCCAACGAATATATGATCACTGATAACGACCCGATGGTCAACACATATATCAGTGCACCCCGCGATATGAGCATGCTCAACTGCGCTGCCTATGTTGCCGGCATCATCGAGGGTGTCTGTGACGGGTGTGGCTTTGAGACAAAGGTCTCGGCGCATAACCAGCCCACGGAGCTCTGGCCTAGTCGTACAGTGTTCTTGGTTCGCTTTGGGGATGCGGTTATGGAGAGGGAGAAGGTGCTTGAGAGGGCGGGCGTTAAATAATGAATGACTTTTTCGGGTACCAGGGTATCTGGCAGGCTGCAGGCTGATGTGTGCTTGTTAGCGTGGTAGATTTACGGCATTTGAGATGCTCTGAGTGTGGTTATAGAGTTCCTTCGCCGTGACTCTTGGGTCTTTGATTTAGACACCAACATCCTCTTCACGAAGTCATGCAAGTACAAGTCTGGACGGTCGATCCGAGGAACTTGTTAACAGTTCTTGCAGTCAGCTGTGGATCTTGTACAAAATTCCTCGATTGTCGGCCAGCAGATATCATACAATACAATTCCTCCAGGAGAGGATATGCTATATTACGTATATGTACATACACAGAAGAGTATTGGCACATTGGTTGCTCAAAATTCAAGATATCACAGAAGCAGATTCCACCATGCACATGCACCTGATAGACTCGCGCCCCAACGCCAATAGCAAAGTAGGATATCAACATCGCCATGACAATCAAGCTGATCACGAACTATCCACCCGCCGACGTTTCTCCCTATCGTCATAGGGCGACGGGCTCCGCTTCCGTCTCTCCCTAGACCGACTGCGCTCAGCCCGACCTGAGTCTCTATCGTCACGCCTGTCCCGCCTCGGCGAACGAGATCTCGATCGGCGCCGAGGTCTGACAGCACTGGCATTAGCACCAGTCGGTCCACGATCCCCATCATCACCACCGCGATGATGATCAGGCATAAACCGCTCATCCGTAACACCCTGAGGCGGCCCATCCCTCCTCCTCCTATTGTCCAACCCATCTCCAAACCGCCCCGTATCCTCGGACTTAAGATCCCTATAGCGCGTCCGACCCTTCTTTCCAAGCTTCGTCATATCCCGCACCTGCATGTACTCCGGCAACGTATCACGATTGACATCGTCCTCAAAGCGCGCACCCATAAGCTCCCGGCGATCAAGACCCTCTGCTTCAAGATCTCCTCGGAAGAAAGCACCCTTGTGGAAATACCGCTGCATAAAGCCCGTCTGCCCACGCGTAGCATCGCGGTCCTCCTTCTGCTTCGCAATAAACTCGCTATCCTCTCGCTCCCGCTCTTCAGCTGTAAGGTTCCGCCGACGCTCGACCTCCTCGCGCTCTTTCTCGCTCGCTTCGATGGCTTCCCGGGATCGTTGCACGCGCTTAAGTTCCCGGAGTGTCCAGGCTGCACGCTCGGCTTCGGGGTCTAGACCGTCTGTGTCGTCGATGGCTTCTTCATCTTCGGCTTCGATGAGCTCGTCGTCATCCCAGGCGCGATTCGCGCTGGAGCGTGCTATCGCTTCTTTCTCAAGCTGGTCGCGGATTAGGTTGTCTGCTTTTTCTCTTCGTTGCGCGGCGCGCTGGGCTTCCCGCTTCGGCGGCGCGATCTGCGTCGGCTTGGGCGTTTGTTTGGCCGGATGCTGTGGACGCGGCGTTGCGTTTGTCTTTTTTAATGAAGGTTGGACGTATGAGCATGCGACGTGGCGCTTCGTCTTCGGAACTGCTCTCTTCTTCGGAGTTTTCTTCTTCTTCTGATTCCTCTTCTTCCTCTTCGGCGTCTTCTGCGGCGGCTGCAGTAGGTTTTGATTCGTCAGTCGTAGGATGCGGTACTGCTTTTGGCGCAGGTGCGGCGGGCTTGTCATCTTCTTCGTCTTCGGTGACGAACCCTTCCTCGTCGTCCTCCTCTTCAACCTTTTGACTGGCTACTGCAGACGCTGGGAATGAGCTCGCTTTAGGCGCTTTTGCTCGGCGCAGTGCCTCGGCTCGTCTGCGCCGCTCTTGTTCTCGTCGCGCCTCCCGTTCAGCTTCGTGATCTTCTTCTTCCTCCTCTTCCTCGGATGAGTGCTCCTCTGCGATTGCCTTTCCAGGGCGGTAGCGACTAGGCCTGACGGGGTTTTTGGTCATTCCCCGATGGGACGAGGGGAATGGGGGAGGCATTGTGGTCGGATGTGATGAGTGTTGAGGTGGGGTAGATGTCGGTCAGGTAGATAAATCTAGAGCTCCGTTGCCTGGCTTACTGTCCTAAGCCAGAAGATTGCGCCCGGCCTGCTCCGTAGTATGGTTTGGTGATGACTTGTTGAATTGACGTATCGGGCCGAAGCTTTTGCTGGAGATATGTGATCACGTGAGGATATCAAAAAGCTACAGGAGGGAAGAAATTGGAATTGACTGCGTCAACTGAGATATTGGTTTATTGTATCTAGGTAGGTTAGATTCCCGCTTAGACATGAAGTGGATTCCAGGTTAAATTTATACTCCCATAGTATTACCATATATTTATCTCCATAAGTCCACTTTGCCATTTGATCCATACAATTTAATCACCACGTGACCACGCGTTTCCGCGCTTCGCGTCGATCAACCTTACTCTCCCCGCCGTTTTCCAGCACCAAAGCAAACTAACGAAACCCCATCACCTCAACAATTCCAATCTCAAACTCTCAGCCGCAGTCGAGAAACACAAAATAATCAAAAATGTCCTTCCAAACACCCCGCATCCTCCCTTCCCACCTCCACGCCTTCCACCCCTCTGGCGCTAGCTCACACACTGTCCGCATACTCGGCACCGTCACCGCTCTCCATGGGGCCACCGGCACACTCACCTGCGGCAACAATGGAGATGTCACCCTTATTTTGAAGTCGGATGCGCGCTTGCAAGTCGGGAAGCTGGTCGAGGTTGTGGGGAAAGTGGCTGATCTAGAGGGTGGACAGGTATGTGAACATGGGACCCGAACGGAGCCCCGAGAGTTATGGACCTGATATTTTGAACGTGGACTTCCATGGCTATGTAATGTAGTGGTTTCTAACGTCTTGCGCGTCTTATAGGGATACGGAATCCGTATATTGGGCTCGACGGAGTGGGGTGACCCAGCTGATTGCGGTATGTGTTGAATGTTTCGCCCTCTGCAAGGTACATTGGCCTAGCAACTGACGTATGTGGTGGAATTTTAGATTATAAGATCTACGAGCATGTTGTCAATGCTACGCATAAGTTCAAGTCCATCTTTTACGATTAATGGATCATGAGTTGAGGGATTTGAATATATGGCCATTTTTCTGAGGGGTCTGTCCCTGGTCTGATATGTGTTTAGAATTTACCAGAAGAACAGGTCAGCCTGGCTGTTGTGACATTGTCAGCACCATCCAGTAGGTAGAGCCTAAAGAGCAGATATGCCTGTTTGAGCGGGCCTGGGATGTCGATGCTGTCACTGCGATTCTCTGTGATTCCCCGGCTTTTGCGTTTTACATATGAGGTTATGATCAAAGCTTCTTCCAATCAATAATTTACATTGAGTCTAACATATCAAGCACTGGAAGTAAAATGGATGTATTCGGTGGCTATGACTACCTAGGTGACTGACTGTACAACGAAAGAGGTGATTAGGCACCCCCAATGTATTCCGTGGGATCTGTCAAATGGCTATGGAACCCGAAAGCCCAGCCATGACTTGATGCAAAAACATCCACGAGAACTCCCAATTTGATGTAGGCGCGGACCTGCACATGGACCTCCACAACTTAGTGATGTCGATATCCTGGTGTGTAGGTAAGGCACAGCCCTCTACGCGATCTCAGGTGGGCTACGGAGAGATGGGGGTCGAGAGCTGGGGGAGGAAGAAGAGAGGAAGAAAAGAAGAGGTGGGACGATGGGGGGAGGCCTTTTATATGGTCACATCATGCGTACCTTCCTAAAATGGATGGCCCTTCGCTCTTGCCATGTCAACTTCCCAGGCAGAGTCTCAGCTGATTTGGTACAATGACATCAATCGATATAGCACCCGTCTACCTGAGACATTGGTTAAATATATCTGGTATGATATTCCTCATTTGACCTGAATATTGCCCCGAACACACTCAGCACCGTAAGCGATTTTATGTATCTACCTTAAGTGACCCTCGACATCAATCCCACATAACCATGGATTGGCTAATATCTCCGCAGGTGAAGGTCCCTTAGCGGGATCATATTGCAACATCTATCGAATGAGCGCCTTCACTTGCTGAGCTTCCTCCGAATCAAGCTCCAGACCTGCCTGATCGAATAACTCTTCTATGGATTCCTACTCCAACAGAAGCGGTTGCTCCTCCGGCGGAACTCCTCCAAGCTGACAATTGAAAAGCTGTTTATCGGGCGCAAAATAGAGTGACGATGTCATCCAACGCTCGAAGAGCTCGTCAGGAAGAGCACCAAGCTCGATAGTAAGGGAGAGAAGATGATCATCATCCTCTATCTCGGACCAAGGTACGCAGAAGAATGGCAGTCCGGTGATACGTTCCAAGACATTACAACCAAAACTCCAGATATCGAGGGTTTTGTTCACAGTCCCAGTAAGAATCAACTCCAGAGCTCAAAGACCCAGTGGAGTGACAGGCTTTTTAGGCGGATCGTCAAAGAAATATACTATTCCAGGCAGTGAGGTATAGGCCTACTAGAGACAATTGAACCAGATAGGCTAACCACCGCCCATATCGCACAATTTGATCTTAAACCCTTCGGTGTAATAGGTCAAGGGGGCTAGTGGCTGGGCAATGCAAAGATATGGAGCCCATTAATCTTCTTTACCGTCGAGTCTCTGTACAGGGGACGAGATCGAGTGGGCTTACGCATCTCTCTCTTGCCGGAGTAAGTCCTGGGGTGTCGAGTCGATATTCTCAAGAGTGAAGAGTATGTTTCCCTGCTGAAAGTCTCCATGGGCGATACCATTTTCATGTAAACTTGGTTGTTTTTATACTAATTACCAAAGTGTACAGCCAGGACATGTTTCTTGTGATTTTTGTTTTGATTTAGTATTTCGTGCTATCGTAAAACTAGTCAGGATCCATAGGAAAGGTATCGTAGTTAACAAAGACCACTTCAACTTCAATGGGAATGATTCCACGAAGGAAAATAGCGAATGCAGTATCGGAGTTCTTTCAAGATACTCCGGGTCATCAGTTCGAACAAATAAGAAAGGGGCGTAAATCTCAAGCTGGAAGTCAGGATCCGCTGTCTGTATGTAACGAGACCAACCCATAAACCAAACGCCGTCGCTAAAAGAACAGCAAAAATAAGAATAGAAAATAAGCAAACATTATTGGTTTGACATGTGGGAAAAGTTCCCGGTCTGAGACAAGAGAGGTGGCCTAATGGCCTTCAGGTTCTTCAGCAGCAGGATGGCCCTTGAGTGCGTCGGCTGGGAGGGTGTCCGAGCTGAAGAACCCAGAGTCGGGAATGACAACATCGTTGAAGTTGAAGGGAAGGAGATCGGAGTTGAAGTTCTCTTTCTCATTGGGGTTTTCCGAAAAAGAGCGCTCAGCAGCTCGTTGGCAGGAGTTTCGCAAGATCCAGTAGGGGAAACGTAGTCCGCTGGCAGCCACTCCGCCCAATTGTCCCCAGCGAACTTGTCGTTCTCCATTTCGAAGAAAGTTTCAGCCTTGTCGGCGTCATCGAAGATGTCGAGCATCATGCCATCAAGGGACTCGAATGTCTCCGGAAGACTGTCGGAGGTAGGCTGTGGTGCCAAAGACTGTTGCTTGGGCGGGGACTTTCGTGGTGATGACTGAGGACTTCCGTGAATTGATTGGATACGCTGTAGGCGTTCTGCGGACAGACGAGCTGGAGTCATGACTGAGCCTAGGTCCTTGCGTTTGTTAAGACTTGGGGAATTTGCCGGGAAGGACAAACGCTTGTCAATCGCGTTTATGCGCGGGTTACGTCGACGGGGTGTAGGGCTTGCTGAATCAAAGCCAATGGATGGACTCTCAAAAAGATCATCGAGGTCGTCAAGCGGGGTAGGTACAAGGTTCCCCTTTTGCGGACCCGGCTTGTCGTCTTTCGTGGAGGCAATGCGAGGGCTACGACGTGGGGAGCAGCTGTTCACCATAGAAGGATCAAGCTCCTTCAGAGGTCCATCATTCTGGGAATTCTGGAAAAGGGATCTTCTCAAGGGCTTGGGAGTGAGACTGTTGGCATCTGTCATTGGAGCAGAGCGGGCTTGCGTACGGCTCACTGGGCTAGACTTGGTGGCACGCGTCAGTGCCTCTCTGGCGTCCTGCTTGGACCAACGGCGTCCCGGGGTATCGAATGTTCCGTCCAACTCGGCACTAGTATCTCGAGGAGACTCGTTGGGGGAATAATCTGCTTCGCCGTCCTGATCGTCATCCTCGTCATGGTCCATTTGGGGGGTCTCCCCGTCGGGGTGGACGGAAGAAGCTTCAGTAGGTGCTGGAGAGGAAGCCGAAGGTTTCTTTGGTGCGGCCTTGCTACGGGTTCTAGTGGCAGGGCAGGAATTGACCTGGCTGCGGTTCCTTGAAGGACGCTTTTTGTATTTTTTGGCCGGCTGCGCTGCTTTTGGCTTCGTCCACTTGTCTTCCGGGCGCATTTGTTTGAATTTGTGAAGCCACAAACCGCAAGGATTGCAGAAGGTCAACTGCGACCAATCATTATCATCCTGCTCGAGGGCTTTTTTGTAGATCTTGAAACTTTGCATTTCGCCCTTGTCGTTTCGGTCCACGGTCTCCCAATAGAGCATAGGGGATGTCTTCATCATATCTTCTGCAAGGGTCTCGCTGCCCTTGACTGTTTTCACCCACGCTCGCCGCCAGCTGGCTGTTTCGATGGTGCCGCAATTCTCACAATACGGGGGAATCTCCCCATTGAGAATAGCATTGTCCAGGCGTGCCTTTATGTTCTTCGGCACCGCCTTGGATCCCTGTTTCGGTAATGACCTTGGCTTTGAGGATTGCTTTGGCTGCTTGGAACTGGAACTAGCTGTCTCACACGGCAAGAAAGTGACATCCACAGGTGCCACAGGCACTACAGGCACAGCAGAGCGGGGAGGCAGAATAGGGTCGCTAGCGGGGATTGCGCGATACAATTGAAACTCATTGGGGAAAATCTGTGGTGCCGGCGCGAGGGGCTTTGGCGCCAAGCGCTGTGCTCCGGAGCTCGAAGAAGGTCTCGATACGGGAGCTGTGGCTGTTGCGGGACGGGGTGTGGGTCGGGCTTGAGTGGGACGAGAAGAGGCAGCACGAGATATCGGGCGCGGTGCCTGCTTTGCAACTTGCTCTGTTTGAGTATCATCGACGGGGAGAGGATCATTGTTGGTTCCCTGGGCAGCACTGACAATGCTGACTGGAGAACCTGCCTGCACCGTAGTACGAACTGAGCACTTGTCTCGGGTGATTCCACGAGAGGCTCCCGTTCGGCGATCATCTAGGGGCACATTGGTGTCCTCGTCCATGAGTTCATCCGGTCCTGCGCTCATGAAACCAGAGTCGTTGTCCAAAGACATGGTAGGCAAGACAGGGCTTGATCTATTTGCCAACCGGCTATCGAAAACTGGAGGTGACGATGGCATGTTGAAGGATGGCTCAAAGAGGCCTTGGTAACGGGTATCCTCGGGAGAGGCACCACCGGCATCTGTGGTAGGGATATCATCACTCATGCAATATGGGGAATTGTACGAAGCAGGACATGAGGCAATGCTAAGGCTCGACGACTCCCGTAACAAGCTACCAGTGGGTCGGCTTCGGCGGGGGAAATCAGACGGTCGAGATATGGGGGTGGGTGGACGGACAGGCTCTTCGTGGGAATGCTCGGCCGTGAGAGCAGGGTTCACGGGAGTTGGGCGGTGGATTCTTACAGAAGCCGCCGTGCTAGCTGCGACTCGTAGGGAACTTGGTTGTCTTTCGATGTTCATACCTGACTTTCCAGGCCAGTTTGCTTGATACACCTTAGCCCTCTTCCGGGCTGGGGCCTCTGTTGATTCTTCATCACCACTGCCGTATCCTGACTGCATGGACCCCCTTCGAGCGTTGTTGTGTGAGATGTGTGAAAGCTGGGTCTGGTTGTCGCAGTCCCGCATAGAGGCACTTGAGGACGGGCGAATCATATCACTATGAGGAATGCTCTGTTTTGGGTAAGATTGATGATGAGCTGGTGTTCGACATCCACCGGGTGTTGACACTCGACTGCCGGCGTATGAGTGTGAAGGTGATACTGAGCGGACCGATCCATTGTGGTGGAATGTAGGGAACTCTCGTGGCGTTGAGCCCTCGCTCAAGAGCTGGTGGAATCTCTCAATTCCAGACTGATGTATCGGAGATCCATGATCGTTGTGGCTCTGGCTTCTGGATGATTCCAATAAGGCGGGGCTTTGACGAACGAAATTTGCCCATGACTGCGTGTCAAAGTCGCCTGAATTGCCATTGGTCAACTTCCGATGCTTTTGCATGCTAGCGAAGTACTCACTCTGAGTGACAGTTGGGACAGGCACCAGCCGTAATTTGACCTCCAAGGTCTCTTGGGCGCCTTTGGAGAAGAGACCGCTGAGGGGACTCTTGCAAACTCGCCCAGTAATCATGGTCTTCGACTGGTTGTTGGGTGTCTCGGGTGCCGATGAGAAGGTGGCCAGCACCCCAGAAAGCATGCCTTGCCCGACAAGAGGGGTTTCGAATTCTGAATAGTCATAGGCGTAAACGGTGTAATCCTTTCCTAATTGACCCACAAGCTCCGGGCTAAACAAGGAAGTGTGTTAGTATGCTATCTTGGTCTCCAGGGGCGAGGGAATCAAACCTAGCAGAAACGATTGCCTGGATGCATGTTTTCAGTTCGATCACTCCAACCGGAGTGTTCTCGTCTAAAAAGGCGGTTTGGATGTCGAGCACATGTGGCCACCGAGCAAGGCAATTTGTCTTATTTTCGTTATCGAATGTGTAAAGAACTTTCACTGTATAATACCCATGTTTAGTTGCCACTCATTTGCCCTCGCTAAAATGGTAGTGGGAAACATACGCCTCATAGGGCGGACATCGATACCGTCCTGAGACTCCATCTCATCAGTTTGTTAGCTCACCATGCAAGACGGTAGATCAAACTGTGGGTTGAAATGGAGAATAGAGGAGGAACGGTAATCAAGCTTGGTCGAAAGTATGTGGATTCGAGGTTCGCAAATGTTGGCGGGTAGGAAGAGGGAGGAACGAAATTGTCGATTAAAGAAAGGCCTTTCACTCTGAATCGGGAATGAGCCAGAAGGTATTAGCGAGCAAGTCGATCAGCGGTGCATATCCAGAATCTGGTCGGCCGGAGAATGGACAGATTTTGCAGCAGGTAGTGGAGGGGTCTTTTCTGCAGGCCTTGAATGTTAGCAATTGATTCGCATGCCCTCGCAGAGGGAAAGGATAGGCACCTGAAAGGGGAAAAATAATTCTTACCAATTGAAAAAAGAAAAAGAGTGATAGTCTCTCCACTAGCTCTGCATGAGCAGACAAGAGTGGGAGAGAGAAGGGTGAGGAAGGGAGGAAGTTAAGAAGCCTTGCATGCGCGGGTCAGAGCTATATTGAAAGATCTCCAAACAAGCGTGACGCGACGTGACTGCAACCAATCGCGACCTCGGGAAATGGCTGGGACTTGGCGCCCGAACTATAAGGTGTCGATATTTTCCGAAGGTGTTTGCGAGAACTTCCACGTGACTTGAGCTCTCCGTCAACTTCAACTGTCACGCTGCTGCATCAACGGCATCTCTCGACTTCAACGATCCTTTTATACCCACCATGTCGACCGCTCCCGAACCCCAGATTCAGTGCGTTACTCTAACAATGACTCATAGCTCTCTCCAGGACCAATCAGCTAACAATCCGAATAGAGACCTTCTTAACAAGCCGAAGAGCGAGCTCACGTATGTACACCCGTTACATTTGATTTGACCCCCTCCCTTCCCATGCGGCATTTCTCATCCTGAGTAATCAATGGCCCCTTGCCCTCGGGAGTTTCCGCCTGGTCATCAGACTCGCGGGGTTTTGCTACTACGCCCGCATCTCGGAAACTTTGCGACCGACACCTTCACATCCCATGCAAGCTGCGCAAAGTACCTACAGAAGAGAAAACTAATCTTGCATATTGCATCTCAATAGAGAATATGAGGTCGCTCTCGTCGAGGAGCATGAGCTCACCGCCGGCCCCCTGTCTCTCCTGCAGACCGCCACCCGCACACACACACAGGTCCTGATCTCCTGCCGAAACAACCGCAAGCTGTTGGCCCGTGTTAAGGCTTTTGACCGACACTGCAACATGGTTCTCGAGAATGTCAAGGAAATGTGGACCGAGAAGCCCAAGGGTGCCAAGGGCAAGGGCGTGAACAAGGACCGTTTCATCAGCAAGATGTACGTGCAACCAGACCGTGGACGGATATTCGTCCCTTTGCTATCTTTGAGACAACCTCTAACCCCACTGTCCAATCTTTAGGTTCCTTCGTGGCGACTCTGTCATCCTCGTCCTGCTCAGCTGAGCAACTCATCACACTTTCCTATCGCACACTTCAATCCCCACTTGACATGATCCTGATATCTTCGATCTGTGGGACGGTCGATATCCTGATATCTGCACAGCATCTCGAACCCATGAAGCATACCCGTGGGCGATATATCATGTAATCGATCTCGATACCCTTTTTTCTTTTCTTCTCACATCCCGCTTTTCCTCCCTTGCTTCTGTTCCCCGCCAGAACTCAATTGATCGATGATAGTACTGGCTTGGATTGTATGGTTGCTTGCCCTAAAGTAACCGTTGCATGTACAAGACTGCTCTGTCGATCTTGTCCTGTTTTTTTGATCTTTCAGACTGGGGATGGACTAAAAAAAACCTGTTGGCGTTCAGATCTTTGCGCGGGCTGCTAGGCCCGTTGTTTTTTTGTAGAGGGAATCCTCGGGCGGCGTCAACCTGGAGCAGAGCTGGTTAGCAATGAATGTTTTAGAAAGATTTGATCAGAGCTCAATAGATGTTCGTAAGCTAATAAGTTACCCCGGGGTTTCGTAGATCTTGTGGTCCTTATCCCCCCTACGAGCTCGTCATTCGGACATGTCTCACTCTTCCAAGTTAGGGCTTGTACAACCCCAAGGCCAAGATCAAGACCAAAAGAGATAAATTGTAGGTTATTCTCCGCTATCTGTTAATCACTACCTAGGGACTCATATATCAACCAAATAAGAATATCATTATCATCAAATGACCGTATCAAGACACAACCATGAACAAGAAAAGAAGTGACCAGGTATGTCGCTATATTAAACTCAAATTCACCCCAGAGTCCGCAACTCTAAACACCCTCAGCAAGCCCTGCCAGGAACTCAGACAACCCGAAAGCCCCAGGATCAGGAATCTTCCCAATCCACTCCTGCTCGCCGCCAACATAAACACTCCTCCCAAGACTCGCCTTCATAGCCTTCGTGGACTCAGTCCCCTCTTGCGCCGCCGTCGCCGCAACCCTCACATCGCTAGTCTCAAGCAATGTATCCACAAACGGCGCAAGCGCATCAATAAGCGTCCGATCACCAACCTTGGCAGGCGTATATGTTCCAAGTGCCTCGAACGAAGATTTCAACGCCTTCGCCCACGTCTGTGTTGTGATTTCCGTTGGTGAGGAAGTGTCCTGGGCCAGTAGCCCATGTGCTAGTGCGTTTAGGAAGATCGCGTAGATTGCGCCAGATGTTCCGTCCATTACGTTCTCGACGACTGTCACGATCCGTGCGACAGTGCTCACGATGTCGTTTGTAAGAGGAGTATTTGTGTCGTTGAGGAGAGATTGAATTGCTTCAGCGCCGCGCTTTAGACCAATGCCACAGTCGCCGTCCCCGACGATCGTGTCGTAGCGAGTTACTTCGGCTTCAGCATTGATTACGCGCTGCAGACCAGCGCCGAGGACTTTTTTGACTACGGCTGGATCGACTGGGATATGGTAAGTTTTTGTTTATTGAAATGGGACGAGGGGTTGATGGGATGGAAACTTACGTTGGAGATTGCTGTGAATGTCTTCGGCCAGATTAGATGTCTTTAGATCGACGGGGCCCGCATTACGGTTGTTTTCCCAGGTAGAGGTATTGATCGGAGCAGACCAGCCGACCGCTTCAGCGGGGGCGTCAAGAAGCTCGAGCATAGTAGCTTTCACACTTAGACCTGGGTCGACCAGCTTCATTAGTGAGACGCTAAAGCCGAAACCGTTCAGGCTGGTCAGGAATGTGCCCTGGATCACGCGGACCGTGTTCACCTGGTAGTCTCGCTGGAGCTGGCGATAGACTTCGTCTGTGATACCGGCCAATTCGAGTGGGCTGACACCACCGAGGTTGTTGATTAGCAGCACAAACTCGTCCTCCGGTGTGTGGGTCACGTAGCATCGGTCTGGGTCGTTGTGGTCGAGTAGCTGGAGCAGCATGCTCTTGACTAGCTCAGCGAGATCGAATTTGACTCGGTGCGAGCCAGGCTCGTTGTGGATTCCCATGCCGACTTCGACCTCGCCGTGCGGAATTGTGTCTTCGGGAACACCGCGGCCTGGTACGTGGACGTGTTCCAAAGATGATCCCAGTGAGACTAGGTTTGCGTTTGCCAGCTGGGCTAGAGCGTAGACTTCATCTAGGGAACCACTGCGGAAGAGGATGTCAGCGTTGGTTCATTTTGTGTAAAAAAAATCAGAGCATGTGAAACATGGGATATCAACTTACCCAGCTTCGGCCAAAGCACCAACCATCTTCAGAATCAACACACCACCGCCAATACCACGACGACCGACCTTTCCACCCTTCACGCGACCAACACCAACATCATCATTGATAGCGAAGAACTCCGTCTTAATACCGGCAACACGGGACTTCTCCGTGGCCATTCCAAAGTTCAGCACATCACCGGTATAGTTCATAGGAATGATCAGCACGCCGTTTTCAGTGGGGACGCGATCGATCACCGCTCTGCGGATCTGCTCGGCAGATGGCGAGGCAAAGATCGTACCGGCGACTGAGGCATCGCACAGTCCGTGGCCGACGAAGCCTGCAAATGCGGGTTCATGGCCGGAGCCGCCGCCCGTCACGATGGAGACTTTGTTTGCTCTGCGGGGTGCATCTGGACGGCGGAAAATGATCTTATTCTGTCGATCTAGGGCCAACGATGGATTTGTGATTGTAAGCGAGTTAAGCGCGGTGAGAACCAGGTGGTTTGGATCGGTAAAGAAATGTTTGGCTGTAGGGGGTCAGATTTGTGGGGAAGATCTGAGATGGGGTGGAGCGTACTCTGCATTGTTGATCAAAAGTGGACAATTCTCGACTTTGTATGTTCGGCTACAGATTCAAATGGATTTTGATCTGGAATTAGGTGGAATTCAGGAGGTTTGAATATTTCTCCAAGAAAGAGAGACTCCGAGGGATTGTTAAGAAATATATGGAGGCTCCCAAGATTTCCAAGATTCCGAGATTCTCAATGAGTCTTAGTCGAAGCTGAGAAGCTCTCGGATTGGACTTGCAAGCTGTAGAGGGCGGGGAAAAAGTGGGCTTTCACTGTGATCATGTTAGAATCCTTGTATAGTCAAATGTGTTGGGGGCTCTCACGTTGTACGGGAGGGATAAGTTGAATTCAGCTCCCTGGAGGGATACCCTCTCCCTCTTAAGAACATGTTGAGTACGTACATCGTACAATGGAATACGTATTCCTTTCTTTTTCCCTTTTTTTGCTGCTCACATGAACATAATCGAAGGTCTGGATCTGCGGTTCGGGTTACCCTGTAGGGATATCCCGCCAGGCACATTCCAGAAAGGCGAATTTCTATCGCCCGAATGAGCGTTTTCACCGCCAGAGAACATTCCTGGAATGTACTACGGAGGTACTGAGACTCGATGCATCCAAAGCTCTACTCTCCACTCTCGCCCGAGTGAACTTTGGTTGAACCTCAACTTAGTAGGTATGCCGGCATGCCGGCATACCTAGTGCACCTACCACCTCTTACTTTGCTGATGTATACGCTAATAAACAATGGGTGTTCCCGGGATAACTAGCTATCAGTCTACTTTCCTGTGCAGATTTCCAATGAGATGTTCCTTGCCGTGATTTATTGTGATATCTCAATACCATTCCCACTCTCAACCCAATTGCCACTAAGGCAAATACTGGGATACCGCAAGTCAAAAGTGGAGACATCATGAGACCTCGAAAAAAAAAGATCTACAAGATACATACGAAAGGGACATCCGGGTTCGGATCTGCTGTCAGATCCAGGGGGTGCTGTGGGGTCGATGTATATCTCTAGGTCATGTGGTGTTGCTTTGATATTGATCTCAGAGGGTTCAATAGGGTTATAACTATGAGCCGTGAATGCATTCGGCTGTCATTTGGAATCAATCTCATGTATTCATCTTATCCTGGTATTCCATCATATCCAATATCACTATTCTAGAGCTGACTAGTCTCGGTGGGTACAATATTCAGAATTCCTCTTTGGTCTACCCCTCTACACAAGCTCGAATTTAGTGAATTTAATAACTTCCGTTGCTTTGATTAAAGAATCTCGGCGATGCCCGAGGTAAAGCTCGGTATCTCTGCACTTTGTACTTTAGGTGGCTTGGTGGGATCGGAGCTACTCCGAAGTTGTTTCTCCAAGGCATTTGCCAAAGAACCCCAGGGCTAGGAAATAAATGATTGTTAAGATCTGGGGAGCGGGTTTTATTGAAGTATCCGAAATCATGCATGGCCTAGTCTAGGTAAGCTTATAAACAACGTCAAAGCCCTTACACCACACTGATTGGCAGATTAGCAGTTGCCCTTCAAGTTTGACCTTGGAAGTTCCCGACCTCGGGAGGTCGGGAGGTCCACGGGTCCTTCCCAACTATCTTAGTCATTCGGACCTCACGTCCACGGGTGTGCACAACGCACTTTTGATCACTAAGCAGTGCTTGCGACCTCACATAGCCATGACTGTTTCAGACCCAGGCAAAAATATGAACTAGCCCTAAGTATTCTGATCAACATCACCATGATCTGAAGAAAAGTATTCAAAAGAAACATGCTATGTATATTCACAAAGAATAAATCTGAATACATCAAGAGAAAATGTATGAAGTAAACACTTCAATGCCATATCCATCAGTACCATATGAATCCATAGCCTATGTAAGTACTGTTACTTGCTACCAAGAAAAAAGTACCTGAATTTTCTCCATGCAGCGCCATCCAAAGGGTTCTAAACATACGTTGGGTTTCTCCCTGGTACCTTCATAATCTGCGGAACTGCCGTCTTTCAGATTGCTTGTTTTGATTATCTACAAAATTGAATAGTCATTAATGGGAGATACTGTCATTTTGGACGCAGAGAGGCAGCTCAATTGGCGCCTAATGGGATTTAAAAAGGCATCCAGAGGAATGGCACTCTTGATACTTTAACGTCATATTACAACAGAAAACGAGACAAAGTTGTTTTGACATGATTGGTTAGAGGTCATCTTTCTGACTTGAGGAATGATCCGACATGGGCAATGAGGGCTGACTATAACTCAACTCTCTATGTAAAGCTCACAGCCCCATAGGCCCCACCAGACCAAGGATGGGACCAATGGCCTTATCATTGCCTCCGAACAATATATATACAAGCGAGGCAGATATCTCATCTTCTGCTCCCTAAATTGTTCCAAGCATTGTCGCCTAGCAAGTGGGCAGGCTTTTGTGGACCAGGGGAGGGAAGAAGGGGGGGAGGGGGGGTACTCTTATTCAATGTTATCATCACCTGTCTTCTCAATTCTGGCTACAATGGGGTGTACAAGTCCTAAAGTTTTGAAGTCTCAGAGAGATAAAATATCACCAGAGCTTGCTTATCTCATTCTTGTAGATCTACGGGCTATCGTGAACTATTACACAACTACCAATGAGTGCTTCTTCGATTTTCAGTTCATCATATAATACAACAGGCGGCCTAAGTCTTGCTAGATGGCCCCGTTGGTACCTGGGTAGATTCCCTGGCTTGCAGATTCCGGAGACGCTCTCATAGAGTCAGAACGGACATAGCTCGCAGCGAATCAGTGGGCATCAATCAGCTTGTAAATATGAGCCATAGCTACGTAGATATTTGATTGACTATCCTTGGTCCTCCCGGGTTGATCATCCGTCCGAGGGCGAGAAGTAGATAGATAGCTAGCTACCTATGATATCCATTCCAAGTGTTCATAATCTTCGTGATTTGAGTTAGGTGTTGTCGGGACGGGCCGAACCTTACTCATACTCAGTGTTGAGGCGACGTAGTCCTGCTAGATTTGAAGCGGGTTCCAAATTATCATTTGATAGCCCGGTTGAGCCAAGAGCATAGTGGATGGAGTTAGTGTCCTTTTCACTCTGTAGCATGGATATCCGGTCAATTTCGAGCAAATCGCGTTTGAACACATTTTGGACGGTCGTCTTCAGTCGTCAGCAACATCGCATTGCATGACATTCTGCAGCATAACACCTATCTGCTAATACACACCACATGTCATATTTGAGATGTACAAATCAACTTGGCAGAGTCTCGTGGCACTGTCTCTGAACTCAGTTTAGTTGACTTCTAAGATCAGACGTACGTCAGGATATAGTGGAAATAAGGGTGGGATATATAGTTAGGATTCCGGCCAGCGCTGGCCATCAGTGAACAAAGGATGTGGGGAAGGGACTCAAGTAATGCCTACACAGTCGAGTTCAGACAGACCGCCAGTTCGCCCCCTCAATGCGGCCATTCTGCCCCTTAGCCCGGTCCTACAGTAGGCTTCATACTAGGCCCATGACCCATCGGTGGACCTGAAGATAGGACCCGAAGCCCAACCTTTTAGTGGGCTGAGTCGGGTTGGGCTTTGGTTTTTTGGGCTTTGCGGAGGTCTACACCTGGGAAAGGCAATAGTTCTACTGTCTAGATTATTATCCAAGGATATAGACTCCCATGTAAGATAACCCAAAATCATGAACCAAATAATGTATGCATTCAGTAAAGTACCTACTCTCAACAGGTAAAAATAAAAATTATGCCTATGACACGTAGCTGTATTGATTAGTGCCTTCTTTGCGCTCGATGTATTCTTTCTCGATCAACCTAGAGGGTAAAGTAAGCAATGTTAAACATGATAACCGGGGACGGCGGTGTAGTGGTATCGATACATACTTCTCAATCTCTCCCTTAATCTCAGCAGGCTGAAGAACACCCCGTGTCTTAGTGGCATTGATAACCTCCGCAATCAGCTCGGCATGACTGAGGTTTTTGCGGCTCTTCATAATGCGCACGATGGCAGCCTGCGTCTCGAAATGACGATCAGCCGCAACCCGCTCGTGCGTGGTCTTGGTCTCCTCTTTAGTCTCCTTTAGCTGAATCTGGTTGATCTTGATGCGCAGTTGCTTGTCGCTGAAATTAGCGTTGTATGAGAATTGGTCGCTGGAGTTCACATCCTTGCCCTTGGGGTTCTTGGATAAGACTCGGTACTTGGCACATGCGAGAGACTGGAGTGTTCGTTTCAATTCCGGGTCCGCTATGTGTCATGTCAGGAACGATTCAACGTTGGGATGCTGGGGATGTCCAACTTACACAATCCAGTTGCCTCTTGGATCTGGGGATACGACATGCTCTCGCCATCGGGGATATCGTTAAAGAGGAGCAGTACAATCGCCTGGAACGAGCTGACGACCAGGTTCTTCTTGCCCTGGGGGAAGTTTGCAGTCAGCTGACAATGCGCCAGTTGGTGTTTCCAGGTGAGCTTGCGCCCTGTATGTTTGCTGTGGTAGAATGTCTCGAATTTGCTGATCGAGCGTGCAATCTTCGATGGAATCCGTACGGGGACGTCGGGATATGTCGGCCAGGAGGCGGCAGAGAGTACGGCGACTTCAAATTCAAACCGGCCTTTCCGGTCCTCCTGCTGAGACCGTCTGAAGGCCGCCATTTCATCGTTAGCTGTGTCCATGTCATTGAACATGGACTCGAGGTTATGAGTGAAGCTAGACCCGCATTCTGATCAAGCATTAGTCGAAGCACATCAAAAAAGGGCTTCGATGCGACAAACCGTTCTTCAAACGAGCTAACATGCTCTTTTCCGCATCATTGCTCGCGCTTCGTTTCATCAAGAGACGTCGAGCAAGGTCGTTCTTGTAGAAGGCTTCGAAGACAGCCTTTCCATGCACGAAACGGAAGAGATCTAGAACTTGATCAAGCTGTCGATCGAGCTCTGCATCGTCGGACATCAGGGTTACTTCCTCCGGATTACGGCCGGGTGGTAGCTTATAACCACCCTTAAGCAGCCTATCCACGTATTTGGCGATCATTTCACCAGACTTGGGGTTGTCAGTGCCACCCGTGGAGTCCATCTTCTTGCCACGGTTCATAAATGCACCAAAGGCTTCGCGAAGCGTGTGACCCAGTTCCTCATTCGACTCGAAAGCATTAGACAAAATATCATCAACCTTTTGCTTAAACTGAAGCAGGTGGACGACCATGTCGACCTCCTTGTCTTGGTCAAACACAATGCTCTCACCCTCCTCGATGATATACTTCCTAAATGCAGGCTTCAATCGGAGGGTAAGATCGCGCCGGTCAAGCAGACCGTATAGTTGTTTCAAGGCGTTCTTATCACCAGCTCGCATCAAGCCAAGCACTTCGTCTTCGTTGGTCAACACGTCTGTTTGTTGTGTAACTAGAGACTCATCCAAGAGCTCGGATAGTTTGAGCTTTGTGCTTCGGTTGAAAGAGAACAGCCCACATCGTTCTACTTCGCCTTCGATCAACCGGTGAGCATTTTCGACATATGAAGCCAGGGATCCTGCTGCTTGTTGTACCGACCACTCCTTCACAAACTCCTCGGTCTTTACCATGAATAAAGGCTCAAAGTCACTTCCATAAACATCGAGGCTGTGGAAAAGCTCGATGGCCTCTCTTAGCAAAGTTGAATCGGCCAATGTCTTTGTAGATCCGCCTCGATCCGCCTCGATCAAATCATATGCTCCCTTCAATATCTTCGGCTTCAGACTGGCATCGGAGAAGATGTGCGACCGGAATTGAATCAACCCCATTTCACGGATCACCGGTTGTTCTTTGGAATGCAAGAGGAATGACTGGTCGAGATAATAGAAGATCCAGCGAACAGTAACCTGGGGGAGAAGAAGAGTCAGCTGCGAACTCCATTCAAGATATTTCCTTGTCGCATACTAGTTTCGAGTGCCAGGCCGACCATGCCTCAATCACTGCCCGCAATGTAGCGACGTCAGTGCTACCTCCAGCTCTCGTAACAAGATTCGTCCGCATTGTCCCACTAACAAACTCCCTGCATCGATCCTGAAGCTTCTTCGCCAGCAAAGCTGCCCGCTCCTGGCGACACACATTTTCCCCGCCTTTGTATAGCTCTTCCAGCGAGCTCTCTGGTTTCCTGCCATCAAAAATAGCCGTTAAAGCCGCATCCAACTGCGACCACACCTTATCGAAATATGATTCCTGGTTCAGCCGCGGTCCGGTACGAAGGTTCTTAACGACGAGCTTTTTCGCACCGGTATGAGGAGAAAAGTTGTTTTGACGGGCATTAGTGTTCAAGCCTTGGGATCTGATGGGACCATTTGGCCCAGACACTCCCCGACTAGGCGCGCCGTTTTTAGCCGGGGAACCGGAGATCGGATGCATCGTATGCGGGTTGGTTTGGGTTGAAGGGCGTGAGGGAGACGATGACAGGCGAGAACGCTTATGGGGTTGTGAATCAAGGCGGTCGGGTGAGTGACTCTGACAGAGGAGCTCGGAGATGGTTTGTTGCGATTCAGAAAGCTTCCTCTTGCCGATCGATTGGCGCTTACCGCTCTGCTCGGTGTCGCCTCTCGAGTTCTGCTGCATCTACCCGGTTCAATCCGACTGGGATTTTGAGGTTCGAAGAAGAGAAAGAATGTGGATTCGGAGAGGGGAATTGACGTTGCGCTTGGACTTTGGCTCCGCACGGCGATAAGATACGGAACTACACCGGGATGAAACTGCCTGCCTGGACTTTTATAGCTTCATACTTCTCTTGTATTTGTTTAAGTAAGTCTTGAATTCGCCTTACTATGTAGCATGTGGATGAACAGCTCAGTCACCTTGCCTCATAGCTACATAATCATGAAAACAGCCCATTATGTAGCTAGTATATACCGGTTTACCTGCCCTACTTGATATATCATAAGAACTCGATATCTACATAGTGTAATGAATCACTAATCCTGAATTTAACAAATATACCGGATTTTAGACCGTACGATATAGCTTCCTTCTCCCACTTTAGTGCTCAGCCCTTACCGCTCTTTACTGAATAACGCTAAGCACCCGTCCACGGGTAGACGCCCAGGGTTATATAAGTATTAGACTCGATATATAAGCTGGGAAAATCTATAACTGACTAGCTGTTTCTGATACGATAAGATATATGATGATTAAAACGAAAAAAGACATTAGTAGAATAGGAGGTTCTCTATAGTTCCGGCACCCAGCTTTAAGAGTCCAGTAGGCTTGTGCTTAGCAACGACCGTAAAGTGAACCCGTGCAGATGAAGACAAGATCTTTGAGAAATCTCCGAAGCTTAAAAGGCTTCGCAGTCAAAGGACCCAGTAAGCTACACCCAGACCGTTGTCAGACCTAGTCTTCCGATCAACTGTTTCAAGTCGGGGGGAACTTGAGGCTGGAGAGGAAGTAGATGCTGTGGACCGTCGGGTCGGTGGCCTTGGTGGCAATTCACTTGAGGGTATGTAGCGGTGAAGCTCATCACGCAAGCAGAATCGTCCAGGTTCATCAAAGGCACACTGACTTTCGAGGGACTCGATCTGTTGTTCCTCCTTCCGCTTTCGTTCGCGAGACCGTCTTGGTGCTTCCGCCTGTTTGCATATCTCCAATAAGTCTGGTTTGTGGTCAATTTGTGCATTCAATTGCAAGAATATCTTGGTTGACAAGTTTTTCCTAGGATTTCTGGGCGGATGAGACGCGCTCTCACTACTGCAGAGGATCTTGGGTGGGTAAAGAGCTTCCATGATTGAGCAAGTTTTTGATGTCTTCTTGCCCGAGACCAAGCGATTTAGAGGATTATTGAGAGGCACAAAGCTATCGCAGTTGGCAGGTACTCTGATCACCTCCGCTTTGCCTTAATGCATGCTGTTTCGAGTTGCCCTGAAGGTAATATAACGTTGAAAAAGTCCGCGCCTAGTGACATGGGTTTGACTATTCCTATTTTTCTGGTCCTCTCAAATCATATGTCTCCATACTGAGGAATGTCCCTTGTGAATGATTGTATTGCCGCTCACGAAAGATCGACCATATGATAAAGGAGCTCATGGATGTGGCACTGTTATAAGGTGGCATAGCGGCCGCTTGGCCCCACTTCTTATAAGCCCGGACCACCGAAGGTCGCTCTCTCAGAGTTACCTCAACTCTACTCCCTAGCAAAAAGCAGTTAGTTATAAAGCCTTAATAGGTAAGAGGCTTCTATAGGCAATGAAGCTATAATCATAAGAGTAGAGCGATATTAGGGCCTTTTGAAGCATCAAGTCATGTGTACATATAGCTAGCGAGACGTAAAGTCCTTGAATAAACCCAAAGGGATAAGCTTATAGAAAGTATATAGTACAATACACCGTTTTTATGTGTAATTCATGATACGCAGTCAAGTAATGCAACGCTGGTAAGTACACGACTATCAATGTAATGTCCACAGGTGTTTGACGAGGCTTTGTCTTTTAAAAAAGAATCTGAGTGTGCAAGGAAGCATAAAGAAGACGTAAACTCATAAGAATAATCAAGAAAAGAGTCATCAATCAACCCGGGGAGGACTCCTCGATTTCTTTCCCATCGGACTGGCGCTGGTTCTAAAAAAGTCCCAAGGTTAGCGTTTGCTTCTGTTTCTCCATTGCAATGTGCAGCTGGAGAGACCAAGGGTAACATACGATCGTCGGCGCTCGCCTTCTTTCCGGAACCCTTCGATGATCTTCGCCATCTCTTTACGAGACGCACTCGCATCAACTTTCCGCCCTCCAAGACTCATACTCACCTTCTCATGTGCGCTGGCCATCAGCAGTCGCTTCATGAGAAGATGTCGCATGTTCATACACACGTAAACGCCGCAGTCGCTGCCGCCGTCTTGCTGGGGTGAGTCGTTCAGATGTAGGAACCTAATGGGCATGTTTAGGAGATAGCCGAATTTGCGAGTCACCGTGTCTGCCTCCCAGACGTTTCCTTGATATAGCGAGTCATAGTGGAATGCGATGCGGTCGACGACGGAGATCAGCAACAGGGACCAGTGCGTGCCTCCTTCCGCTTGGGAGACATTGCGACAGTCGTTGATGGGGAGGAAGACATGGGTGGCTCGACTGAAGTCTGGGAGTGCTTCGCGCAGGGTGCGTGGGTCCGGGGTTTGGAGGATCATGAATGACATGCTAGGGCGGAGAAGGACGATATTGGAGGACTTGTATCGTGTGAGAAATTCATGTTCGAGGTATCTAGAGTAGCAAGTTGAGGATCAGTGCCATGTTCGGTACTGTGAACTATATCGGACCGCTTGTACCAACTTACTCTTCCCAAAACGAAATGATCTATGATAAATTAGCTCAAATGTCCCAGCTCAAAGGATTGTTTCGCTATTAAAACCCACGTTATCTGTGAGCCAGTCGTTCTTGAGAGTTTGCATGTCCTCTCTCGTCACTGAATGTTCGTTAGCCACCTAGAGCCTTCCCTCGCTTCGGGAGTGATTCCATACATCGCACGTCATAATCTATGAGTACCCAAGGGCGACTTGTGAGTACACTGTCTTCAAAGTCACGAAAGCGACGGTATTTGTTCCAGACTTACAACTCAAAAAAGCATCATCTGGGTTCAACTGCGCAGGTCAGTACTCGTGCCGCTAGTCCCGAATCAAGCCAAACTCACCTTATCGCCGAACCGCCCGCGTACTTTGCGCAACATGACAATGTGCTATATGTGTTGAAGTTGATCACAAAACCGAGTTCAAACCGCTGGAATATGAAAGCCGTGGCAAGAAAAGCTATACACTGCGCCACAGTCAAGAACGCGCAATACGTCCTAGGTTCCTCAGATAGCCAAGACAAACCCCACAAATCGCGGTTAAGATAAACGGGGCAGATCTTTGTGCAGAACTGGAGAGTTCGGGATGCCCCGCGCACAATCTAAATGTGATAAACTCTGTGATCACGGGTATGCAGTGGCGGACAAAGTCGGAGGCAAGAGAGGTCGGCACTGTTCCGAATAACAGGCTCGAATGTTTTCCCCGTTTCTGCACTGGCGGCGTGCAAGTGGGACCGGTCGGGACCTCGGGATTGGGCGGCGCTTCGGAGCGTGAGGCCGTCAGCCTTATAAGTGGCGGAGAAGGGAAGGGGCGGATGATGAACGGAGGACTTGAATGCTAATGCTAGTTTCAATTGTGCTTTATGGACATGAGCTGAGTGTGCCGAGTGTGCCAAGGCTGAGGACGAATAAGTCAGGCAGTCGCTATGCAGGGGAGGGTTAGACCGAGTCCGTGGATTTGGATCTGGAATGATGCAATCTCGGACACAGGAACAGGAGGTTATGAGAACACAAGAGGGACAAATCCCCAAAGGAACTGGACTCAGGCCAAGGGTCGATCAGGCTGCGTCACAGGTGGGGTCACATGATGCTGCCCTCCAAAACTATGCTAGACAATGTTGTATACTGTTCAATGCCGATGGGAATTATGGGAACATACACAGAGTGCGATCATTATATAATGGTTTAAATAAGCAGGATTAATTAAAGAGTTGAATTCATAAGAAAGAGGGGTATCTAAACGTGCATCCCAGAGCTCCAGTAGAAGAAGAAGTTCAGAACATGCGCAGAGATGGGTGGAAAGAAACTGAGCAAACTGAAATCAAGAAGAACAGGAATAGGGAGAGCAACTGAGATGGACGGAAGAGAAAACGACCATAAGTCATCAACACGAGATGACACCAACTGAGGTCAAAGCAAATCAAAGCAGCAAAGCAACATCATTGCTAAGGTAATAGCTTTTGCTTTGCTTTGGTCTGCAGGTGGATTAATTCGAAATAGAATATGAAGACAGATCAGAAAAAATAAATCAGGCGAATGAAACATCAAATATGATCCTGTAGATCCTGTAGTTAGTACAAAACCCTTGTGTGTTGTGTCCGTCTTTTGTTCTGCAGGTTTTTGAGGGGAAAATGATTGGCGAATACATGGCGTGAGATTGTTGATTCAGCTGCTGAGTCGGGCAAAATGCTTGTTCCAAATCCAACCAACTGTCCTGCTGGCATCATCCTGATTGCGGGCAAGCCAGAGCTCGCCCTTCTCGCCTATGACGTCGAAGATATCCCCCGAGGCGTAGGTCAGATAGGGATATCCACCCTCGGTGCGAGAGTCGATTTCAAAATCATAAACACTCGCCGCGCAGAACAACGTCGCAGGGCCTATGGGAGGGGTGCTGCGTTCAAATTGTCCATTCGCAACAGTATCACTTGGCACATCCGACATGGGCATGGCAGATGAGAAGAATCCGGAGTATCGATCAGTCGGAGAGGCTGGCACATTGCTCGAATGCGAGGAGCTGTTGATCACATCCTCCAGGAACGGTGTGTCCAGGCTGAGTCTCGGTAGGCTTGGGAAGGGCTCGACATCGCTCGTCCTACCAGGTCCGGGAGAGCTGGTGACTTGCTGCAGCAGTTGGTTGGGAGTGCCTGGGGCGATTCGGCCAGATAGAATAGAATCAGCCCGGTAACGGCTGCTGCGGCTGGAGTGGCTTTCCATCTGGGGAGATTGGAATGACTGGCTCCCGATGCTGAAATCCCGGGACATTTTTGGTGAATCATCGTTCAAAGACCCAGGTCGCGCATTCGAGCTGTTCACCGTGGAAGGACGACGAGGTGACATGGGATTTTGCTGCTCACTGGGTGAAAATGGGACCAAATTGAGCGAATGAGCCATCATCGCCCCGTTGCAAGAGCTGAGCTCCGCCATTCTTGCCTCCATCAAAGTGTGGTCGCTATTAAAGTCGCTGATGAGCCTCTCGAGGTCATTGGGGAATAATTCCACATGAACACCAATCTTTTTCTGTAGGACACTATACCACACAGTCTGAATCTCGATAAAGTTCTTCAGACAGGCTCCCATCAGTTTGGCAGTCAACGCATAGAGTTTAGGCAATTCATCCTTCAAGGTATCGTTCAAAGCCAGAAATTGCTCGCCCTGTTCGATAGTCTTCTTGTCAGGTTTGTCACCACGGTCTTTGATGGCTTTATAGCGGGCATATTCCGGGAGCCGTTTGTCGCGCTTTCGCATAACACGCTGAGGTGCATTGTATAGTCCTAATAATTCAACCATCGGATCGATAACCGTTTTGCGGACGACAGCAAGCTGTGTATAAATGTTAGCATTTTGTTCAAATTGTCGGCACAACACAACGTACATGTTCTGGCAGAGCAGTCGTAACAATCTCCTGAACTGTCATCTTGAACTGATGCCACTTGCTCTCCAACTGTGGATACGGAGAAGGCGACATGCTGATGATCTCTTCAATCGAGTCGGCATACTCGTTGAACTGGTTCACGTAGAGCTGCGCATCCCGAGTATAACTCTCCGCGTCACGCATGACAACCTGCAACTGGAAATAGCCGTCACTAAGCCTTTGTGCTAGCGAGTCATATGTTTTGTCCTCAAACAAGTCAGAGAGGCCAACTTGCTGTCTGAACTTTTCTGTGCGGCGACCAAATGCTTTAGAAAGACCGGTACGCACGTCGGACTGGTTCCGCTTTCGATTGACAGCTTGACCAACAAGGTCTACTCGCTTTTTCAGTTCGTTGATACGATGAGAAACATTTGTGACCTCTTCCAGGGCACTGGCAATTGCCGCTCGGTCAGGGTGGTCGTTTGGCGTGGACTCCAACAGGTCGCGGAGAATAAGGGGATACTTCAAGATTCTTTGTACCGGTTTGACGAGCAAAGAGTCCAAATCCCAGGCAGTCGTGAGATCAATAGCACCCTTCTGGCATTCGCTCAGCCACAACCGCACTTTCGGATTACGCTGTACCACCTGGAGTTTCTTGTTTGCAGCATCGTGGTTCTTCAAGTAGTCGGTATACACCTTTTCCATCTGCATCATGTGGGTGACAAAAACCTGGCCAACAGAGGTCGCGCGATCCTTTTCAAGTTCTGACATTCCTGCAAGCTCCGCCACTTTACCGGCTTCCGGGGTAGTGGACTCGGCAGGCTGATTGTTGCGCTTTCGCTTGCTGGTCCATCGCAAGGCCTTTGGTATGACATAGATGCTTTGAGCTGCTTGCTTTAGATCATACAAGAACTTGTCGGAGAAGGCCGCGACTTGATCTGAATTGGCGAAGAGAACCTTGACATCATCGGGATCCAACACAGGAAGTGAGGTGCTCTTGTAAATGTCCTCGATGATTTGCATATCATGACCAAAGGTGTGTTCCGTATCGACAAGTTCTTTGATGATGTGACGTCGCTTCTTGAGACGTCGTTGTTCCGGAGAAGGTGAATCCTTCGGCTCAACACGAAGAGTTTGCTCAGTGGACGGAACAAGTGAAGTAGCGGAGGAATCAGCAGCCATAGAAGATTGTATAGACTCCAAATTTTGGAAAGAGGAGTCCTGACTGCTGCCCGGACTGTGTCCCGCACCTCTAGGAGCAGTGTGTATACCTCGATTTAGAGAGGTGTGACCCGATGGCTTAAGCGGATCTTGACCTCCAAGATGTTCATTATCCAGCGATTGGCTTGTTGAGTTCGGGGGAAATGATGACAAAGGAAATGCGTTGGAAGCTTCCATACCAACGGAGAGTCCAAGACCACTGTTTGTACTAGTTACGCCTACGTCGTGGACTGCGGAAGGCACCACGCGGGGCGTGAGCAACCCTTCAGTACGCATACCATCGGTTTCAGTGTCAGGGGTCATCACGTCATCTTCAGCTGCGACCTGCATCCAGTCCATGATAGATGGAGATGCATGTTCCCAATCATCACGCCCAACCAAACTAGCCGCGTGTGAGAGTTTATCCGAGGCACGGAACTCCTGGAATTCTGGAATGACGACTGGATCGTCAGTTAGACTATCGGTTCGCCGGTCTGCATGTGAATCTGTGGGATGAGATCGAGGCTCGGACGATATTTGAATTGCTGAGCCAGGATATTGGCTCCTGCCTCGTGTCAACTCCTCCAGGTAGAGCTGAGTGGCACGCTTCGAATCCCATTTGCCTAATCTAGCCAAGCTTGGGGGAGTAGAGAAAGCATTAGGTCGAAATTGATCAGATGCATGAAGTGTATTCGGTCCCATTACTCCGTGATCCTGAATTGGACCCGATAACTCGTTGTCTGCTATTGAAGCTGGCCTTGTTGATACTGCTGAACAGGTTTCGGTTGGTGGTTCTGTTTCACGGTTTTGTAGCAGAGAATCATCCCCACTCTCGTCGCACTCCTCGTCACAGGTGGAATGTTGGTTTTGTACAGAGGACCATGAACTGATGCTCCATCGGTTGCGAAGATGGGCCATATTTTGAGCCTGGTTCATTGAAGAATGCTCCGCTTCTTGAGTATTAGTGCTACTAGACGAATTGTAGTAGGTCGTATCTCCAAGCATGATCTGGATGGATTCTCTGTCGTCGTTCTCTGAAAGACTGCAATCGGGTTCGTCGCACGAGTCGTCGCTTGGGCTGTCACGGATCTGCATTATTTGTTCCAGAATAGTTCGATGAGAAACGCTGGGGTTGTGCTGTAGCAACCCGGACTGCGGCTCTGGGTCAAAAGTAGTGACATGAGTATCGCCGGAGTCTGATGTGGCAGCGGAGTGTGTCGTGATACCGTTGGTAGGACGCCCTTCATCTATAGTCGTTGGGTTCACACCCTGTGGGAGGCCAAGAGTAGGGGAGTCCATTGTTGTGTGGGGCGCTGCCGTATCCGATGCTGGCAGGGCAGTATTGAGGTGCAGTCTAGGAACAGCATGAACCCTACTTTCTTCATACTCCACCGAGTCGGCCAACTCTTGGACCATTGTGGCCATCTGATCGGATGACAGAGCGTTGGTCATGGGCAGATTGGGGGTAATTTTAGGTTCGTCCGTCGGTTGCTTCAAATCTTCATGCGTCTCCTGTTCTCGCGCCGAAGCGTGACGTCGAAGCTTTGCGGCGGTTGATGTGTCCAGTCCTCTATCATTCTGAGTCTTTCCAACACCCGAACTTGAGTGCCGATTGATTGCCTGTTGAATGTGCCGGCGACGAGCATCAAAATCAACGTTGCCTAATTCAGGTAATTTGCGTTCAGAACGAGACCGCGAGCTGCCGTGACTGGCTTGTTTTTGTAAGTTCAAAACTCTATCTCCGATTTTAGAGCGTGGGGAGACCGCAGTACCATGTGAGACGGGTTGTCGAGGTCGTGAACTGCGCAACGGAGGCGATTTTTTAGGCGGCGGCTCAGCGATGTAGGCCTGAAGCCGTCGGCTGGATTCAGATATTTGATTGCGGGTTCGGCCAACTGTTAGATCCCGTCTACCACGGGAGGTTGTTGCGAACGAAATGGGATCGTCTGCTGGCATGCGGGGAGGACTTTGTTTAGGTGACGGAATAGGAAGGCGGCTACTCCCCTTGGGCGGCGAGGTAATGGCAGCGGATCGACTGCTAAAGGTGGGATTGGAGGATGGTGATAAGCTTTCGGGGCCGGAAGCAGAGGCAAGACGGTGCGAGAAGACAGGAATGCGAGACTTGGAATTTGGACTGTCCGGGGGCGATCCATGGCCGGGCTTGGTCCGGCGCAAGGGCGCAGGTACCGCCATTTCAGGATTCCACGGTTCTGCAAGGGGCTCTCTTATTTTATCCAAGTCACTTTGAGCTCGACGATGTTTGCCAGTTGTATTTATCCCGGCGTACACTGCCTCTAACGAAGTTGTGTGTCCAAGATACCATGCAGTAGGTGTGAGTGGTGATTTTGCGGGATATTGGTCGTGATGCTCGAGGAAGGCTGGGTTTGGGCTTGGAATACTTCCATCCGACCCGCGACGTTGTTGTAGGCGCGATAGGACTCCGTTGTGAAGCTGTGTATTGATCGGCAGCAGTTCACCAAACAATGGCCGGCGAGGATACGACACTGGAGTCCTTTGAAACAGAGGCGGAGGAATAACACCGTTTGTGTCTAGGGGCGGCCCAAATCTCTCTATCTCTGGCGACGATGGGGTCGAATCGACGAGCGCTCCAGGGTTGTTGGTGGTCGCTTCTGGTAAAGAATCACGATACTGACGGCGCCGTGGCAATGCCCGATTTCGCTCTGCGTCAACACTTCCGGAAGGGCTTGGTGCCCGTGAGGTTGGACGAGAAACAGATGGCAAAGGGAGGATCTGATCGGAGGTTTTGTTGAACTTGTTGACAAGGTCTTTGAACGACGGCTGTCGTGACCTTGGGTTCGTGTTTGACGGGGGGATGTTGGCAGAAGGAGCTCCTAATGTTGGAGAATCTGAGGTAGAGCGATATGGTTGACGTCTAGCGTGCGATGAGTCCAACATGTTTGTTGGCAGGGGTGACACTTTGTCACCGACTGCAGGATAGTCGGCCGCAGCCATGCCCGTTATTACATCGCCGAGCCCCTCTCTTACATTGGACGAGGTCCCTGGCAGGGATCCACGCTGGCGATAATAGTCAGCAGGGTCTGGAGACTCCCCTCTACGATCTTGCAATTGATCGTCCGGCAGGTGATTCGTGGAAGAGGAATTATGGGTTCGAATAGAGCCCGACGGTGGATAATACGTGGTTGATAATTCTGCCTGGGGGGAGAAAGGGACGGTCGGCGAGTCATCTAAAGACGTGGTAGTATGATCATTGACAGATTGGCCAAATGCCGGGGCCGACGACTGTCGCCCAAACAGAGGCGGCTCGCGAAACCGGACATCAAAACCCTGCTCGTCACCGCCAGACATCTTGCATGCTTCAGGCCGACAGGTCGACGTGGACTGGTCGCGGCCTTTCGGTTCTGGGCGGGTTGAGCTGGTGCGTTGTTCCGGGATGGTCGCCCAACGGGAATGTCGCAGATAAATCGATTCAGGCTACAAAGCAATCCTCTCGGGTGGCGCACACCCATTCAACATTCATGTTTGAGACACTTGCAAAATAAAAATAAGAAATCAACCGATATCGAGGGGATATGTCCCCCGTCTAACCTAAATTGAAAGGTTGAATGGAGTTCGGATCGGGGGAATCGGAGAATGGTAGAGTGGGTGAGATCGAGGATCGGCCGGTTGCCGAAATTACACTGTAGTGATAGAGCGAATGGGACGGTCGAGCTCACTGACGTTCTGTCTATTAACAGTGGGCGCTGATAGGTGATGAAACCTGGCTGTTTGAGGGGTTTGAAAGCGAATCCTGGCGGTGGGCCGGTTTGTTAGCTTCTCCGGGCCAATCCGTCTAGATCGGGCTGACTTACACTGTTGAAGTCAAGTCGATCTATTTTTGAACAATATTTTTGTTGGATGGAATTACGAGTTCGAGGAAGTTATAGATGAAAGAAGAGATAGAAGAAAGAAATTGCCTTTTAAAGTGAAACTGTGAAATTTCATGAAGTGGGTTTTCTTTGTTTTTTTTTATGTTTTTTTCATTGTTGGAGAGATTTGATGTCTGGTACTTTACAATTTTACAAGATGGGGTAATCAAAGCTTGGGACCTCTGGACCTCCCTCGGGATATATCTTAGTGTTAGTAGGTTTCTATATGTGAAATACCTCTACCTATATAACAGCTCTACAAAATACCGTAAAATATAATTTTTGTACCTCGACATCTTCAGGATGACGCAGTGGAGACGCAATGGCCCAGTATCTAGACCGCCGGGTTCCATGGTTCACCCCGATCTTTAATTGGTAGCTTTGATTGGTTCCTGTCCTGGTTTCACGTGTTTACGAAGTCTCTTCTATATTGGACATCTATATTGGTCTATATTGGTCTATATTTGTGTATGTTGTATGTTTATATCTGTATACACTCTCAACCGATAAAAGCTACTGGTATCAAGTGCCTGAATGAGGAAAGGCACATTCCCACATCCAAACTTCTGCCGAATCGACGCGTCGCGTGTTATTGGAAAATCATCCCGTCTAAAATTGACATGGAGTAAACCACCTGGGAAAACCATACGGCCCTGAAAAGCAATTATTGAATTGCTTAACATGGGTAAAAAGCGGAAAAGACCCATCAAGGACGGTCCCACGTCGTCTCACATCGGTGTCACTACATCTCCCCGTTTCAGAACACCCGCCCCAATTTCCCTGGGAACAAAAACAAGCCATCCCGTTATCTCCCTGTACTACCGAAATGTTGTACCCTTGCGGGAGTACCTGCTCCAGCAACTTCCCGTGACTTCCAAGTCACGTCGGCGCCGCATCCTGACAGTGGACTCGCGGGAAGACAATGCGCAATCTCAAACATTGGCGGAGCTGCTAGACTCCACCCTGGTGGGTGTGCTGAAGGAAACTTCTCCGATCCTTAATTCGGAGCGACAAAAAGAATACTCGTCTTTTAATGAGTCTCAATCGCGATCGGTTCTCGCCAGCACCGATACGGGACCGACTTGTCCGCAATCTGAGGTGCGTCCATGGCCGAATCATTTCTAGGTACTAGACTGCTGACCCTAGCTGTAGGTGGTTGATTTTGTGATTTGGAAACTTTTTAATCAAAACAATGGCTCCTACCAAAAGCATCAGCATTTGTTGATGTATGGCTTCCAACGCCAGTCCATGGGGCGGAATGCTCGAGCTACTAGTATTCCAGGAATTGCGTCTCAATTTCCGAATCAGAATGTCCAGGTACTCACACAGGGTGCATGGACAGAGATACTCGGCTTGCTTGGTAGCAATGGAGAGGATATTATGATGCAGCTCCTTTTCGATTGTGGAATTTTTGCCGCTATCGACGCTCGAAAGGGCATCTACTACCAACTCAGCGGTATGGGGTCGTCAAGATATGGAGAGAGACTTGACCTAATGCGCTGATGTTTTTATAGGATTACCGCTCTCAGGTCTCGAGCCTTTGAACGATCCCTCCTTGGGGGTTAATGGGCTTTCTGCCACAGCACAAGACCCAGTGCCTCCCACTGGTCAGAGACATTCCAGAGAGAAAGCGGAACGCAGGCAAAATTCCGATCAGACAATCCAAAGACCAAACGACATTGTGTTTCTACGGCGGCATATTCTCTATGGACGTGTCGAGTCCAAAAAGAAAGTATCCTCTGGACTAGGAAAGACGCGTACGTGTCTCGCCGTTTGACTGTCGGATTCTAGATTTAAGCTAATTTCCACTACAGATGTTCTTAGCCGTTTTTCATCGCTTGATTCGATCGCACAAACAGTCCATGTGATGAAGTACATCTTTCCCCGTCAATTTGGTTTGCTGAATGTGTTTATGTTGGGCCCAGATGCACATAAGAACATGGATGTCTCCAAATGTTTCATGTTTCGTGAGAGTGAGATATCTCGTTTGGAAGAAGAGAAACGAGCACGGCGACCCCGGCTCGAAAATGAATTCGCAGACGCAGATCGCGGCGGCGCGAGGGGTACCCAGGTACCTAAAAGGCTCCGCGGAATCACCATAGAGCTTGTCCGAAAACTCCGGAAGCGCAACGCACAATGCTCCTACGGAGAGTTGCTGCGATACTATTGTCCAACCGAAGTGAGACACTTTTGTTTACAATGGCTAGGATCGTGTAGCTGACCTTTGATAGCAAACCGGACCCAGGAGACTTGGCGCATTTGCATCTACATCCACACCTGATGTCCCAAAAAACCATCCTTTCTCCTCTCTCCAGTCAAACTTAGTAACACAGGTGCGAACAGATCACCCGTCAAGCAACAAGTCGACGCTGCCTTCGAGTGATGTCTCAGGATTAGAGGCCCGCGTAGCTGTCGACGTGTCTGGGATCAATGCAATTAAACCGCTGGTTCGAAACCCTCAAGTGAGTCTAACCGATTATGCGACTCCGGCGTCCTCTGTCTCAGCATTTTGTCGAGCGGTAATCCAGAAACTGATCCCTCGGCAATTTTGGGGGATTGGTCCGGATGGTATCTTGAACCTCAGGCTTGTTCTCAGGCATGTTGACCAGTTTATCAAATTGCGCCGGTTCGAAAGTCTAAGTCTGCATGAAGTATGCAAAGGTGTCAAGGTTGGTCATTGCACTGAAAGCTGATCGTCTGAGACAACATACTGATCCACACGTTAGATAACAAGCATTCCTTGGCTGGAGCCACCCCAGGTCCAGACTACTTCATCTGAGACAAGATCGAAGATCGCTCTGTCTGACTTGCACAAACGCACTGAAATATTCCATGAATTTATGTTTTGGATTTTCGATTCCATCCTTATTCCCCTCATTCGTTCGCACTTCTATGTCACCGAGTCACAAACGCACCGAAATCGCCTTTTCTATTTCCGTCATGATCTGTGGCAGCAATTGACCCAGCAACCGTTCGGTGACTTGAAGGCAACCATGTTTGAGGAGCTGGAGCCAGCTCAGGCCGAACGTGTGCTGGCACGACGCTCCCTTGGTTTCGGTGCTCTCCGTTTGCTTCCCAAATCTACAGGCCTTCGGCCCATCTTGAATCTTCGCAAACGGGCGTTGAAGAAATCATGGAAAAACCGGGGCATGTACCTTGGCCCCAGCATCAATTCGAGTATTACACCCATCTTTAGCATGTTGACGTACGAGCGCCAGAAAGCTCCTGCCAAATTGGGCTCTTCGATGCTCTCCGTCGGAGACATGCACCGCCGCTTGAAGGCGTACAGAGCACAGCTGTCTAAATGGCTGCCCTCGGGTCCTAAGCGTTGGCGATCCAAGCTCCCACCAATGTACTTTGTCAAGCTTGACATCAAAGCTTGTTTTGATACCATTCCTCAGAAAAGGTTGCTTGATCTTATCGAAGAGCTGGTCTCCGAAGAGAGCTACCGCATCTCAAAGTACATTGAATTCCAACCGCCCGCTCCCATTGCGCAGCAAGGGAAGCCCGCCCAAAGATATAGGAGCCGCGCTGCGTCTGCCATGAGACCGCAGAACCTACCCGATTTCGTCAATAGCGGAGGCGCAGCGCCCAAGGTCAACACTGTTTTTGTTGACAATCAAGCTCCACAAGAACGCGATGTTGATAGTCTTCTAGAACTCCTCGATGAACATGTCCGGAACAACCTCGTGAAGATAGGCAAGAAATATTTCCGCCAACGCAACGGCATCCCTCAAGGGTCCGTGCTATCCAGTATCCTTTGCAATTTCTTCTATGCCGAGCTAGAGCGAAAGGTACTGGGTTTTATCAAACCCGAGGATTCTCTACTCCTGCGACTCGTGGACGACTTCCTTTTGGTAACACCAGATGTAGCCGTGGCAACGCGATTCCTGGAAGTAATGATCCGAGGCCAACCATTGTATGGCGTGCAGATCAATCCAGCGAAAAGCATGACCAATTTCAGCGCAGCTATTGATGGTATTTTGCTCCCCAGGCTAGAAGGGAGCCCATTATTCCCGTATTGCGGTAGTCTCATCGACACACACACGTTGGAATTCCACCGTGATCGAGACCGCATCCTGGAGGGTGGCGAGTCAGCTGCTGCTACTCTCTCCAGCACCTTGACCGTGGAGGCCACCCGCCTTCCGGGCCGCACATTTTACCGTAAAGTGCTTTCCTCATTCCGTTTGCAGCTACATCCCATGTACATCGATGACGGACACAATTCGCGTGCCGTTGTGCTGGGCAACATCTACTGCAGCTTCATCACTTCTGCCATGAAGATGTACCGCTATATGAAGTCGCTTCGGGGCCGTGCGCACCCCGGCCCTGCAATCATAATGCAGACTATTCGCGATCTCATTTTGCAGACGGCTGGAATGATCCAGGCCCGGCGTGCTGGTAGTTCGGTGGCTTCGTTCTCATGTTTTATCCAGCAGTCTCATCTGCGGTATCTGGCTTCTGCAGCGTTTCGATTTGTTTTGAAGCGCAAACAAACGCGATATTCGGTGGTACTGCACTGGTTAGACTCGCTGACAAAAGATGCTCGACCTGCGTCAGATTCCGAGGCTTTCAGGATGACGCAGGTGGTGAAAAAGGGAAACGCGATGTTTGAGGAATGGCGATTCTAGAAAAGTTCTAGAGTGCTGAACTGTGGAATGTCAACCCGAATCAACAGTGTAATCGTATCAGTAGCTGGATTTGTACAATCGTATATCTGGAGCCAATTAAATAGTGCATACTGTGCCACATCTATTCTCACGGTACTCCGTACAAATCCGACTGAATCCGAAAATGATCATGGTTCAGGGGTTCAGATGATATTCAGAATCTTTCTAGGCTGTGTAGGTATATCCCTTCCCATCTGGGAGATCAGGTTTCCTCTAGAAATGTATTGAATGCTTAATATACCTTGCCGGTACTTCTCCAACCCCCTTTCTGTACTAGTGGCTTGAGGTATCACCGAGGTACCCCCCTGTTCTCGGCCAGCCCGATGCGGCCTGAGGCTTTTCTCCGCTTGCAGTCTTCAGCATCACCGTTTCTTCTTTTTACTCTCTTTGGATTTTGCTCTTCGTCTCTCGTTTGAATCTTCTACTTCTTCTCTGTTTAGTTTCCCCCACATTCATTTCTCGCCTTTTTTTTGTTTACATCCACCCCCTGGCCCCCAATGGTCAACCCATAATATCCTCTCATCCCTATTTACACGACTACACCTGATCTGGATCTCATCAGGCTGCGGCTGTGCCTGCAATTCATTTCTACATTAATCGACTTCTATTGTGGTGTTATTGTTCCTCTCTGGCCCTCGCTCTACAAATACACCGGTCTTCGCGTTTGTTTTCGACCCCCTTCCGGCCATCCCGCCGATTTCCTCCCTGTGTTTTTTTTTCCGGGTAGATCAGAACTGTGGGGGATCCATAAGTCTGGATAATCACATGAGACCATGACCACCGTTTGCCCAACACCCAATTCTCCCCCCGAGCTCTCCGGGTCCAAATCCTCCAAATCCTCCTCTTTTCATTCCTCCTCCCACCCAGATGGTCCGGACAGTATCTTTACGGACATCTCGAATTTCGAAGACATTGGGTTGGAAGATGATACCGATCTGTCGTACGCCGACCAGCCAGGATCCTACGGCCGCCCCGGGGTAGTCGCGCGGTCGCCTGCCGCCAGACTGTCAAGCAAAGTCCCTGTGGCCTCGACTCGCGATTTGACTGCGACCCTGAATTCTCGCAAGCGGACCCCCCTACCCCCGATTTCGAGTGGGTCAGCCAGGCCACCTCAATTGGCAGGCTCCCTCTCAGTGAGAACTGGAAACCGGAGAGGCTCAGGAAACACATTGCATTCACCCGGCTTAGCACCATCGCAACCTCGCCGTTCAAGATCTGTCTCACCACTACGACCGACATCCAGCCGCTCTGTTTCGAGTACCAGCCTAGCTTTATCGCCGCTATCCGCACGAGTGCCCATCCAGAAACAAACCTGGCAACCGAATCGCAAATCGCTCAAAGACCTGGAGGAAGAATACCATGACTCGGACGACGAACTACCGGACGATGCAAGTCTGTGGAACATTCCTATCTCTCCGCGCCCAGTTCAGGATCGGACTCCATCACGGCCTACTAGTCCGAATGGTCGCAGTCCCGGGGGTAGTCGCAGTCCCGGACGGCGACCTCTGCCTATTCAGCATACCGTAGCAGAAACCGATAAGCCAGCGTCACCCGGAAACACCGCCAAGGCATCCCGCATGAAGCGTATACAGCGATCGAGCTCCGCAGGACCGGAGCGTGGACAACTCTCGCCACGCAACCCTCGCACCTACTCGTATAACAGTTTCCTATCTGACTTGTCTGAGGAGGCAAAGATCATCACTGAAGCTCTGGAGCTGCATGCTGATGATAGCGATCGGAAGCGGGAGGAGCATATTCAAGCCGGCGCTCTGCGGAAGTCCAGTGAGGACTCACATCGCGCATCCCGTGATACTGTCGCTTTACCGCCTCTGCAGAAGTCCAATATTATGATTGATCCGCTGCCAATTAGCAAGGAGAAAGAAAAGGTTCTGACGCGGACACGCCCAAGCTGGCTTCCGCCTAAAGACCAGAAGGAGGAGAAAAAACACCTGAGGCAGTATCAGCAAATGATGGCCCAGTCTCGAGAAATCGGTATGTGTTGAGCTAAAATTCTTGAAGTCTTGTCAGCCTTCTAATTGAGATATCAGAGAAACGAAAAGCTACTAAGGAAGCAAATGCCCAATGTGAAAAGGACAACACCCGAGTAACACTGCAGAACATTTGGGATGAATACGTGTGTCCTAACTGGGAGCGAGCCCTCCGAGAGCCCCGAATTCGTGAGCTATGGTGGCGCGGAATTCCGCCTCGCAATCGGGGCTCCATATGGAAGAAAGCCATTGGCAACGAACTAGAATTAACAGAGGAAACCTTTACCAAAGCGCTGCGCCGAGCAAAGGATCTGCAAAGCAAGAAAGATGCAGAAAACGAGAGCAGCAAACGACTACTAGACTGTTTTGAAGCAATCGAAACAGACGTGTCCAAGGCCTTCCCAGATCTGAATCTGTTCCAAAAAGGCGGTCCACTACGAGAAACCCTCATCGACGTTCTACAAGCATACTGCATGTACCGCAGCGACGTAGGCTATATCCACGGCCTGCACACCATCGCCGCTCTGCTCGTTTTGCAATTCCCTACCCCCGCTTCCGCCTTCCTCGCCATGGCCAACGCTCTCAACCGTCCTTTACCCGTCGCCTTCCTCACTTGGGATCGAGGCGCCATGGCCCGCTCCTACACACTAGCCACAGACACCTTGCGCTACAAGTTCCCCCGTCTATACGCTCACCTTGTCGAAACCCTCCACTTCTCCGAGGCAGAAATTTGGGAGCCGATCTTCCGCTCGCTGCTGACAAACGGCCTGGACCTCGAGCGCATCTCCCGCGTCTGGGACTGCTGGGTCTTCGAGGGCGACCGCATCATGATCCGCTCCGCCGTCGCCGTCTTGGGCTGTCTTCAAGCCCAGCTATTCTCCTTCCACCAAACCGATGACCAGTCTCGTCTTGCTGTGCGCGACGTGCTGGGCTGGGGTCCCCGCAATCTCGGAGCAAATATCCAGAAACCCAAAGATCGGCACAGCGCCCCTGCCGCAGCTGGCTTTGGCGGTGGGCAGATCGAGAACCCTGGTGTTGCTGATTATTGGGTCCTTACTGCTGCAGGTAACGAAGATGGGTTTATGCATGCCGTTCGAGAGGCCGGGAAGGTTCGTCAGCCAATCTCATAGGCTTGGATATGACACGGACTATGTTTGGTTGCGTCTTCAATCTCTGTGTGCTGTGTGACCTGTCAGGTCCTCACTTTTACGCTTATCTTTTTTCCTTCTTTCTTGTCATACCCCTTGGATGCCTCATCACTCATGATATCCACTCGTTACCCAAGAGAACACATAGCACGATGTCATAGCCTGGCTAATGTGTCTGCTTGCCTTACTATCCACTTTCTACCCCGTATACGCACATGTCACTCGCTGAACAGCCCTCTTCTGTACTCATTCTCTATATCTTGGAATGAGAACCGCTCGTTTCTCTCTTATTATATCTTCTTTTTTTTCAATCAAGAATTCCAATATTCTTAGCTCATTGATTGGCCTTTTTTTCGTCTGCTTTTTCCCCGCTACTTTTTCTCTCTTGTATTCTTAGCTCGACTTTCATGCCCTGATGCATCGCTGTTTTTCACTGGTACGTACTTGTTTAGTCGTACTACAAGCAATACAGGTTTTTCCTTGCCATGAGATTGTTTTTGACTAGAAGAGGTATGCTACATTTAAATAGTTGGGAAATAGGTGATGTTGGTATTGGGTAGACGACTACTGACTACATTTACGTTTCTCAGGAATAGAGCTGTGCTATGTTTTCTGAAAGATAAATTCTAGGAAAGAAAATTGTAAACATAACACTTTTTTGATTGGTAGCTATGTTCAATAAGGCCATGAAATCATCGTAACGAAGTATCAACATTGAGGTATTGCATATAAATGATTAAACAAAAAGCCCCGGGGGTAAGGGGCGGGTAACAAAATAACGTGAACACATCTTTAGGAGGTTTCTTGCAGTGGGTATATTTTGATGGGCAATCATATCCAAAGTCTGTCTACCACGAAAGCCAGGCAACAGGTCCCTTGGGGAAGAGTCTGACAAGGAGCTTGCGCAGTTCATCCATGCAGAGGACGCCCATTGCAAGACCAAGCGGGATGCACCAGTACAAGATGGGGACAGAGGCTGTGCCGAAGATGTTCTGGATACCGGGGACTTCAGTGACGAAGATAGCGATGATGAAGGAAATGAGGATGGACAGGGGGGAGCCACACGTTGCGACGGGCTGGACGGATGGGATCCGCCTGGAGGAGGGACATGCGCTTGCTACGGATAGACAAGACGTTGCCCCATTGCATGATGACCAGGCACACGAAGTAGACGGACTGGCCGACGGCGACGAAGTGGTTCAGCTCGTCTGCGGTGTATCCGTGGAAGCCCTCGCCGTAGGACTCGAAGGCGAAGATGAGGTCGGAGAAGGAAATACCGGCGTGACGCCACATGTAGAGGAAGAACATGGCGTGGGCACTGAATGCTTCCATCACACCGACAAACAGGTATGACTGGCCGTAGATGCGGAGGTTGATGAGGTGGTCTTTGGTGGGACGGCGAGGGGCAATGCTGAGGAGGTCGAATTCTTCTTTCTCCATAATAAGTGCAAGAGAGACGAATAGATCAGTGAACACACAGACGATGATCATGAGGAAGGTACTGAGCGGTGCAGGGCAACCGAAGAAGACGTTCATGAGCACAGGCCAAATCTCAGACCAACTACCTGCTGGGAGGAGGTAGGCGATAACCTTCTGCAGGTTCTGGAAGACCAAACGACCAAGACGAATAGCCTCAATGATAGAGTCAAACTTGTCCAAGAGTACGAGATCGGCTGCCTCAATTGCAACATCACTGCCAGATCCGACTGCAATACCGACATCTGCTGCACGCAGGGCTGGGGCATCGTTGACACCGTCACCTGTCACAGCAACGACGGCACCACGAGCCTGGAGTTCTGTCACAATTCGGAGCTTTTGCTCAGGAGTAGTGCGAGCAAAGACAATCTCTTCGTAACCGCAAACTGTTTCCCAATCGTCCGTAGCGAGCGATGACAAGCCGGGTCCTTCAAGAAGCAGGCTGTGTCGTGACCTGGGAACTTTGGTCTCCATTGATGAATCCAGGCCGTCCTTGATATCATCGATGGTGTCTGGCTCGACTGCTCCGTCAAAGATTCCAATCTCACGAGCGATGGCAGCGGCAGTCAATCCGAAATCACCAGTAACCATGAAGAAACGGATACCGGCCTTGCGACAAGCTGCGACAGTTGAAGCCGTCTCCAGGCGTGGGGGGTCGACAATACCAAAGATACCGAGGACGGTGAGATCCTGCACACCATTCTCGTTCATCTCATTGGTGAAATCGTTAGAGCCAGGGACAGACCGGGGAATGTAGCGACGTTGGCAGATAACAATGACTCGCTCTGCGCGGCGTGATAGTTTAGCTTGGTAGTTGGAGAACTTCTCGCGTGCCGCAGCATCCAGTGGGCGGACCGCATCGTGAGTAGCAGACCAGTAAGTAGCGCAACGATCCAACAGCACATCTGGAGCCCCCTTGACGTAGAGAAGGAACTCTTTGGTAGATTTGGGATCACGGTGCAGGGTGAGCATCCACTTATTCCTTGAGTTGAAAGGAATCTGATGCACACGTTCATATGGAGCCAGGGCAGTTGGGCTGGTCACTCCAACACTTTCACCGAGTCTTAAGACTGCGGCATCGGTGGCATTACCATTGACGGCACGTTCAGGAATGGGCAAGTTCAGAGTAGTCGGGTCGAAGACAGCGTCATTGCACAAAACAGATGCGCGCAGCATATTTCGTAGGCCTTCGGGAAGATCAACGGTTCCGAACTCGCCAGGAGTCAGATCATCGAGGCTGTATTCCCAGTCGACCATTCCGAGTGACTTGACAAACATGCGGTTTTGAGTAAGAGTACCGGTCTTGTCAGAGCAGAGGACATTCACACAGCCCAGAGTTTCAACGGTGGCCAGTCCCTTAGGCAAAATGTTGTTCTTCTTCATTCGCTTGGCAACCATCATGAGGGTCAAGGCGACAGCGACAGGTACACCTTCGGGGATGAAGGCAACGACACTTCCCATGGCATTGTTGAGCATGGCGACAACGCTCATGTAGGAAGGGTGATCCCGGTGCAGCCATCCCAGCCAAGTGAAGACGATGAGTAGCACCAATACGATTGTAAGAACGACGATAATGGTAACGAAGCGATTGATCTCGCGTTGAATCAAGGTTGGCTTTTGCTTGACACCAGCTGTCATGGACGCAATACGACCCATGACGGAGTTGGAGCCGGTTAAAACAACAACACCAATAGCATTGCCATTAGTGACACCGGTTCCCATCAGGGCAATGTTGCGAGTCTCCAAGAAGTTGTTCTCGGTGCAATTAATGGCACCTTCAATCTCGTCCGATTCACCAGTAAGAATAGCACGGTCAAAGCGAACATCGCCCGAGCTGGTCAAGAGACGCATGTCCGCTGGGACCTTGTTTCCAATTGTGATTTGAACAATGTCACCGGTAACCAGGTCCGAGGCGGGGAGATGGATGAGTTTCCCATCCCGCATCACCGTGGCTTCTGCGGGAAGGAGGCCTAGGATGGAGTTCATGACACGCGCGGTGGACCAATCTTGGAAAGCTGAAAAGCCTGCCTGCAAAGCAATGACAATGAGAATGAGGACAGCCATGGCAAGATTTTGAGGCGAGGGTGGGTCGCTGAGAGGCTTCCAGCAAATAAAGAAGACGATGACTCCAACCCAAAGAACAGAGCAGAAACCACCAAAGATATACCAGAAGATCTTCTTGAGATAGTTCTCGCGATGGTGGGCGATGACGTTCTTGCCGTCCCGCTGCAAACGTGTGGCCGCAGCGGACGAGCTTAATCCAACACGCTGATCGACATTGAATTGTTGACAAAGCTTATCAGCGGAGATGATGTGGTAGTCCAAGCTCTCGAAATAGTCTTGGTGGGGCTGCTTCTCCTTTGGGACATCGATAATAGCCTCCTTGGGGGCGTTCTGGGATTCCGAGATCTGAATGGAGAGGGTTCGGAACTCAATTGGCAGTTCGGCATTTCCCTGCATGCTGTTTCTAGTGCTGTGAATGGTATCACGGCTTAGCGAGCGGGTCCGAGTGACCTGAGTTGGCTGGTAAATCGATCGAAGTCCTTCGGTGGGAGCGCCTTTCTCGAAGGTGATCGTCTGGGAGCGTCCGGTGCGCTCATCATCTTTGAGCTTTTCGCCCTCCGACTCAACGTCGACATCGTTCTTATCTGGATTCATCGATGAGGATGAGGGGGGGAGGATGGGGAGAGAAAAGAAGAGGGAAGACAGAGACTAAATAAGTACACTGCAAGAACCCTCAAAGGAGACACAGCAACAGTGAACCTTGTAATAGAAGCTGAAGTGTCAAAGATAGATAGAAGAGTCAGAGTGTGCGACCATCCGGCCTTTTATGTAGACACCCAGGGTTCCAGGATCCGATATGCCTAAACCGAAGCTGGTTAAGCTTATAGGATGAATTGGGAAGGTTCTCCCTGATGCAAGAAATTTCACGCAACCACGCGACTCCACGAGGGAACTGCCGATTCTGGGAAATCGGATTGGCGTGAGGGAATAAAGCACAGAATAATATCCATACGGAGGAGATCCATCAGATCCATACTAGTAGGGATCGAGTCGAGAGGGTATGGATCCACAGAAAATGATACGTTACCGGGGGTACATGGTTCACTGTGGATAATTGTATGTTAGCTCAGGTACCATCAGCTTAGTACTTTTTTTTCCTCGAGCTTATACTTCCCAACCTCGGAAGGGTCCTATGGCTAAGGATATGACAGCGATATTACATATACATATCCTGACGTAAGATTACCACCACAGAGGCCTCATCGGACCAATCATAACCTGGCGGTTACCGTCTTGTGACAATACAAAACTCTGCCCTAACTTTTTCCCTTCACCAGTTTCTTCTAGGCATTTTAAACGACAATTCTTGTTGGTAGAGTTGTTAGTAAAAAAGATAACAAATGCCGCATGTTTCCTAAACAAGGTAAAGTCCAGTGAAAGAAGAAAAAAGAAAAGACACAGCCACAAGTTGAGGTGTTATTCCCCGGCCAGTGAGGGATTTTTCTACTCCACCGATTCACCACTCAATTCGGACCTCACACTAACACTATCAAATGATACTCCATATTACAGGCTTCCGTATTTTGAAAAAATTTTCATCTTTCGCTAAGAGCGGCTTTAAAGGATTAGGAAAATATTAAATCGCTCTTGAACTGAGCAGTTTGTCCCATCCAATCGCAGAATAATCCCCGAGAATTGGATGGAATTGAACCTGATGAGCTACAATGTAGGCATTGGAATCGAACAGCACATTCCCGCTTCCTTGCTCTTGAGATCTGTAAGGAAGGGATTCACTTTCCCGTGTTATAAAAGGGCATTGTCTTAGTAGAAACAATGATGTTTCCCTCAATTCAATGTTCTTGTGTTCTCCCACGCTATCACCACTGCAGTGGCCACATACGTGCAGGGAGGAAGCTACCACACTCGTACAATGATAGCCATACGTTCTCATCAGACTGTCGATCACCACCACACCCTGATACGAGGGAAACTCTCAGCTGAACACCACCTGTCCAACGGTACCAAAAGCAACGAGCTACCCCTGTTGAAATCAGTCCCCACAGAGCAGCAGCCCTTGTTATGTCGAGACTCAACACCATCAATATCTACTCAATCAAATTCTACCTTTCCATCGCCCAATCTTTCCTTCATAGACAAATATGGCCGGTATCGCCAGATGGTACACTATGGCTCAAATAGTACAACCCGGCTCCACGAAACCAAAACAAACGAGCAAAGGGGTAATCAATTGGTCGCCATCAAAGTCTACAGACGCTCCATCCTCAGAGGTCCCCAAAGCTCTTCCCATGCAACAGCCCTCCATCCAAGCCACCCAAATATCCTCCCAATCCTGGATATCCTCCACAACGAACACAACGAGCTCTGCATGGTAATGCCCTATTGCGCCGGCGGCGACCTCAACACCCTCCTATCCCGAAAAGGCGCTCTCCCGGTCCAAGAAGCAGACTGTATAATAACCCAGCTCTTGCGAGCGCTCGCCTACCTACACGATCACGGCCTGGCACACCGCGACGTCCGTCTCGAGACAGCCCTGCTCACTGCCAACGGAGCCGTAAAGCTAGCCGGGTTTGGCGATGGACATATCCGACGCGTCTGGGAGGAATCTAATGGGAAAAGAGGAATGCTTCCCCCACGACCACAGCCTCCACAGTCTACATGGTCGTTCACACTACCGTGGCCGCTGAATTCATTGGGTCGTCAGAACTCAGAATCAGGCAATGACAGTAAGTCTGTCATTGCGAACTCGCCTACCGCTTCGTTCGTGGGTATGAGACTTCCTTATATTCCTCCGGAAGAGTTCAAGCTCTATTTCCAATCCCATATGCATCGGGATGATAGACATGATGATCGTGATGAGTGCGATTCTCGTCCTGCGGATGTATGGGCCTCTGCTATGGTTTACATGGCGCTCGTCACAGATCGGATGCTATGGCGAAGTGCGCGTCCGAATCAGGAGGATGCGCGGTATTTGGATTATCTTGATGCTCGAAGCTCGTTGGATGGTTACCCGCCGATCGAGACTCTGGGACAGGTATGTCATGGTATCCGAGGAGGTCTGGCGCGCAAGACACTTCACTAACATCTGGTCTCTAGAGACGGCGCAACGCTATCTATGCAATGTTGCATCCCTACTCTTGGAAGCGTATCACTGCTGCGACATTGTTGCGATCTGAATGGATAAGCAGTGTGGCGGTTTGCGAAGCAGGAGAAAATGGAGACTGAAGGCTGTGATTTGGATATCCCCTTACAATACGTGATTGGTGGTTTGAAGTTACTACCTACACACACACAACACACATTGGTGTACGTCCTCCTCGGACCTAAAACAAGACATGCATTTTGGATATGTTATTAGCGTCCTTACATATACCCTCAAATACCAAATTCATTATACGCTCTCCCCATCATCCACCTCTCACACGGACCCAGCAGCAAGAACATACCCCCCATCCACAACAATACTCTGCCCATTCAAATACTGATTACAAACCGCAAAAAGTACAGCAGCACCCATATCTTCATCCTTTCCAGGCCTAGCGGCAGGAACCTTCTCCCGATACTTCTCAGCAGGGATGAAACTCTTCTGTCCCTCATCACTCTCCCCGGCAGTCATCTCACTAGGGAAAACCCCAGGCGCAATATTGTTGACCCGAACCCGCAGCTTGGACGAACTGACCTCATGCGCAAGCATCTTGGTCAAATGAATCGCCGCCGCCTTGGAAGCATTATACGCAAAATGATGCTGTGAGACCTTCACAATACCAGATATGGAAGTCGTATTCAGCACCGTGCTAGACCAACCATGTTCAACCTCCGATCCACGCTGCAGCAGCGGCAGGAACGCCGTCGTCATGAAGAAGATCTGTGAGACATTCGTGCGGAATACCGAATCCCATTCGTCGAAGGTAGCGTTCGAGTCATCGAAAAGCGTTTCTTGGAGCTTCGATGCATCTTCTGGCTCAGTTTCTTGTGATGAGCTGGATATTCCGGCGTTGTTCATTAGGATTGAGAGGTGTCCTTCGCGTGTCGTGATCTCGGAGACTAGTCTGCGGATCTCGTCTTTGTTGGTGACGTCGGCTGGGAGGGGGATGATCTGGCCGCTTATGTTTTTGCCGTAGAGGGAGGCGACGCGGTCGAGTTTCTCTTCTGTGCGGCCGGTTATGTATACTTTGGCACCGTTCACGGCTAGCGCTTGGGTTGCCATTAGGCCGATTCCTGAGCCGCCGCCTGTGATGAGGGCCACTGTAGCTGTTAGAATGTGTTGGACTATTGGGATAGCTGTATTTAGCTTACCTTTGTTCTTCACATTGAATAGGTTTTCTAGCTTGAAGCTTTGGTTACTTTCGTTGGCGGCCATTTTGATCTTGGTCGAGATGGGGGATTTTCTGATAGGATTTATTTCAAATTGACGAGATGTCAAGGGCGAAAATCTTGGTAATCGGATTGATTGAATTGATTTTAAAGCTGTTGGGCTCTTGTAAAGAGCTGGGGAGAACCGCGACATGGCTGTATATATAGGTGATTAAAATGGGGATAGGTCATGACTTTTCCAAAGAACAAACATTTGAAACTTGTTCTGGTCATATTTGCCTGGTCATGTTTGCCTGTTCACGCATCATTTATATGTCATTAATTGCACTGTGTGAGTGTCCAATTCCTGTCTGAAATCTGTATCATTCCAGGTTGAATCTTGAAGGGTAACAGGGGCTCATATGTATCAGAATGACGTCACCTCATTATACTCGACTCCCACGAGCGAAAGACAAATGCAATATCTATCTTAATATCAATCAGAGATGATCTATACGTTTGGCTTCTTGCCATTGAGCTTTATACAAATGACCTGGTTGGTCAATGTAAAAGTGACTTTGGTTATATATATCACTAGTGACTAGTGAGATTCACTAGTGTAAGTTACTTCATAGCCGAGCTTATCGATATTTAACTTGACCTGAATTAGAGACATAATTTTATTTGTTGTGCTATATCATGCTACCAAAAACCAGAACCCCGAAATGTGCGTTATGTTCACAGCTTGGCCTTTGCAGCCAACGCCTCACTGACGGGCGATACCTCAACCATCATTTTACCAGTGTTGGCCCCAGCATAGAGATCAATGAGACCCTGAGGCGCCGCCTCCAAGCCACCAGGCACGATATGCTCTTTACGCTTGAGCTTACCCTCAGCCAACCAAGTACCGAGCTCCTTGAGTGCAGCTGGGTATTGTTTCGCAAAATCGAAGACAATGAAGCCCTTCAAGGTGATCCGTTGCGACTATCACCAGTTAGCCCAAAGCCCATCAAATAACCCAAACCCAAGAGAAAACTCACAATGACATTCATAAAACTGCCGGGACCCTGCGGCTTCGCAGCATTATACTGACTGATCGCTCCACAAATCGCAAAGCGGGAACCAGTCGCCGCTCTCGCCAAGCAAGCATCAAGAATCTCACCCCCAGTATTATCAAAGAAGACATCAATATACTCAGGCGTAGCAAGCTTAAGCTGCTTCCTCCAATCAGCATCCTTATAATTGATCGCCGAATCAAACCCAAGCTCCTTCACCAAGAAATCACACTTCTCCTTACTCCCCGCCAACCCCACAACCCGCTTAGCGCCCTTAATCCGCGCAATCTGACCAGCCACCATCCCCGTAGCACCCGCAGCCCCAGAAACAACAACCGTGTCGCCCTTCTTCGGCTGCCCGATCTCTATCATGCCAAAGTAGGCTGTCAGCCCGGTCATGCCGAGCACGGACATAGCATCTGTGGGCCGTCCGCCGGTCGGAACGATGATCTTTTGAGCTTCTTTCGCGCTGACAATCGCGTATTCCTGCCAGCCGGAACCGGCCACCACCCAGTCGCCTTTGCGGTACTTGGAGGTCAGATCGCTGCCTACGAGGAGGACTTGGGCGATGCTCTGGCCGCGCATCACGGCGCCTTGTTCGACGGGTGCGATGTAGGAACGCTTGGCGGTGAGCCATTGGCGCATGGCGGGATCCAGGGACAGGTAGTGCACTCGTACGAGGAGCTTGTCTGTTGGTACATCTTTAGGGATAGGGAGGGTGTTTACGCGGAAGGTACCGCTGGTAAGAGAGGGGTCGATGGCCGGGGCCGGAGGAGTGGTATAGATGATTTGTTTATTAGACATTTTGGAAATTATTTGGGGGATGGGAGCAGTGGTGTAGAGAGGGAGGCAGAGTGGTAAAAGTATCTATCTGTAGGATCGGAGATGCTCCATATTAGGAAAACTGCTCCTTGGGCCTCGGCTTCCCCGAAGTCAAAAGGTCAAATGTTGAATAATCAATTTGCATAATTGTTTCGTGGACACAAAAAGATATACAGATGTTATACAGCATATATCTGCATGTATCGGCATATATCGGGATGTACTAGGAGAAGAGGTTCGATATCCAGAACTTGCATCGTCCTCATTGTGACGTCATTGGGAAGTATAAACCGGATCAAAAGAACTGCGAACATTTCCTCAAACATCAGACTCAATATCAAGAACTCAAATATATACACAATGTCACAGACCTACCAGAGCTATGAACACGCCGATCCAACCCACACCTCCCGGGGCGCAGTAGGTGGCGGTTCCTCAACCGGCGCTCAAGGCCTCCCAACCGGCCTCCACGATACCCGATCTGAGTACGACGGAACCAAGGGCTACAATCCTGCTACAGGAGCCAGTTACTCAAAATCATCGGCGGGGGGACCATCTCAGACCCATCAGCGACCGCTCTCACCATCACCGTCTCGCAGCGATGATCGGATTGTCGGGGATGCGCCACTCCCATACACGGCTAGTACGGCGCAGCGGGCGCAGATGGATCAAGCCCATGAGTCCAAGGCCGCCCAGGCTGGGGAGGGGCTGGGAAATAAAGTGAAGGGTGCTGCGGCGACGGTTCATGTAAGTTGGAATCTGTTAGGAATGAGCAATAGGATTTGATTCTGATTATTCATAGGGTGCTGGGGAGTCATTGCGTGGAGCGTTGAATACGGCTGTTGATCGGGCTTTTGGATCGACGGAGGGCGCTGAGAGAAATGAGCAGATTGCGAATCAGGGTGCGGAGGAGATCCGATCTGGTCAGTTTACTTCAGGGAAGAGATTTGCCAAGTAGATTTAATATAAAATAGATTAGTGCAGTATGGAGTATTCGGTACTAAAACCAACTCACATGCAAAAGCAGAGGCCTTCGGTATTCAGTGTCGATGTACGAAGTAGGGAGTACTGACATGCACAAGGGAACAATCATATACTGTAAAGCCAAGCATTAGCTTAAATGTGCTTAGTATGTCTTAGTAGGAATTCTTCATGGTTCTTAGTAGTTCTTAACTATTTTCCATACAAAGATCGAGATGATTAACTTTTTATACACATCCGACCGACCCGAAGGGCTGTGCTGGTCGATCCACCTTGTTTTCCTCTTGGCCATATATCTTTGTACAATATACCATTAGAGCTTGATATCATATTTGTTTTGCATAGCTTCCTAATTATTTGTTGCACCTCATGTTTAGACTTCCAACCCTTTCTCGATCATAACCATGGCCTCAATCCCCGACCGACAATATTCTTCACGGGCAGAACCTGCACCCTCGCCACCGAAACAAACATTGGACTCCGAGACATCCTCAAATCTGCTCTCAGACTCTCCCTCCCACTATTCGTCCTTCTCCAGCTCCGATAGCGATGATCCACTCCCACATGCGGTCGAGGTGACCGACGAAGATGACGCCGGTAACATGGTGGGGGGTTAGCATTGGGCGCGAGCAGAGCCGCATGAAGGCCCGAGCAACCCCAATGGAGGAGAAGAATCGCGCGCTGGAACAACAGGGGTCATATTTTCACATACCTGATACTATAGGCGAAGATGGTCTCTTCGCATCGGAAATCACGGCCGAGCCAGAGTCAGTGGAGCCCAAGGTTGAAAACCCTCCAGCTCCAGCTCCAGCACCAGCACCAGCGCCGCGCGAACGAAGGTCTGGACATACGCCTCGGGCGTCATACCCCTCCGCCCAGTATAAACAACCTGAACCAGGTCACCTTGGCCATGGCCCTCGCAGCGATCTTTTCTCCTCGGGGACTGAGAAGACCGGCTCGAAAGATACAACCGTGAGCCAGCGGTCTGGCTTCGTCGGCGCTTTATTGAAAAATACATTGCCTCGTCGACAACGCAGCTGGTCCGGCGAGCTTAAGAAGTTCCTGCCTGACCTGACCTCTTTGAAGAAACGGCGCTCGCTCTCGTTCCGCGCCCCCAATGGCCAAAATCGAACTCGCAGCCAGACGGTAGCACCTGCAGCGAAGAAGAACTTGGGAATACCGAAAAGAACTTCATCGCTGGGTGGGCGCCCGCTGACATCACGTCTTGCCCCAAGCGGCTCTAGCGTTGACGATGATGGAGAAGCCGCTGAGCCGATACCCGAGCTACGCTCACCAGATGGAAGCTCCGCCGCCAGACATTCCTTCGCGCGGAGGCCGAGCTCAGTGATGCCCGGTCGACCCCCAAGTTTGCGGAGGTCCTCGTCCGATCAATCGCTGTATCTGCGTGCGTCGTCCACAGCATCATCCCTTGAGCAGCGACCATTGTACGAGAATGTGCACACTCAGGTAAACAGCCGGTTCAAGGCAATCAAGGATAGTCTCCAAGACTCGAGCAGCAGGCTGCTCAGTATGCCGAATCTCCATCTGCAAGATATCCGCAATGATTGGGGCTCTCGTCCATTCCTGCCAGACCTTGGAAACGGTCCATCAAATACTAGCAATAGTGTCAATGCTGTCAAAAAGGAACAATCACCGCCGGCTACAGCTCCGCTCCCACCTCCGCGGAGCAGTACTAACCCAACACATCCAATCTTGGAAGAAGCAATGGCAGAGCTCACGGGCGATGTCGTGATTCTAGGAGGCTACCGAGGATCAATCCTGCGATCAGCTAAGCCACCCCACCGGCAACTTTGGGTGCCGATGAAGGTCGGCCTGAACCTGCGTAAAGTGGACTTGGAGGTCGGCCTGAACCCAGAGGACGAAGAACGCATGGAAGAAACCATCATTCCATCTGGGGTTCTCTCCCACGTTGGCCCAGTGGACGTCTGTCGACGATTGATGAAGCGCCTGCGCAAGAGCGAAAATGCCCAGCGCGGCGAACTGCGTGTCCACGACTATGGATATGACTGGCGTTTAAGCCCTGAACTGCTTTCGCGCAGGCTCATCTCCTTCCTAGAAAGTCTGCCATGCAACCAGGAGCCTGCACCAGGTGAGTCCCGGCGTGGCGCTACAGTTATCGCACACAGTCTGGGCGGTCTCATAACCCGACACGCCGTCAACGAACGACCAGATCTCTTCGCCGGAGTCGTGTACGCAGGCGTACCACAACACTGCGTGAACATCCTCGGACCACTCCGCAGCGGCGACGACGTCCTCCTCAGCTCGCGCGTCCTGACAGCACAAGTAAACTTCACCTTCCGCACGAGCTTCGCCCTCCTCCCAGAAGACGGCCACTGCTTCATCGACAAGCAAAGCAAAAAAGAATTCCGCATCGACTTCTTCGACCCCCACACCTGGGAGGAGCATCGTCTCTCCCCTTGCATGGGTCCTGCTCTCCCCGTCCCCACATCAACCACAAACAACACACTGCTCGGCTTGAAAGACATCTCCCTCCTCGGCAAGCGCTTCTCAATGAGTCTGCGCGATGACTCCGACGAACACCTCACTCATGACGTACACATCCCCCCTCAAGAAAGCCACCCCGTTCCTGCAGTAGACAAAGACATCCACGATCGCCACACAAATGTACCACACAACCCAGCCCAGTACGCCGCACACGCAGCTGAAAAGGCCCAAAACCCAGCCGATGGTTTGGTTGGACCAGGCACACAACCGCGCAGCAGCGCCGCAACTTCCAAAATAGCCACGACGAGCACTATCCCGCTCCCTGTGGCGAGAGAGTACCTACAGCGTACGCTGGCAGAAACGAAGCGGTTCAAGGAGAACCTTGCGTTCCGGCCTTCGCATCATTCTGAGAACAGATACCCGCCTGCGGCGGTGTTGTACGGGAAGACGTTGCCGACTGTATACGGGGCGCGGATTGTGTCGCGTGAGAGTATCAAGCAGGTTGATGCGTATGATGATCTTGCTTTTGCGGCTGGGGATGGTGTTTGTCTTGCCTCGGCTGCGATGTTACCGCCTGGATATAGGATCATCAAGGATGGGTTGGTGAAGAGTGATCGGGGACATGTTGGGTTGCTTGGAGATCTTGAAGGAGTTGGGCAGTGTCTTAAGGCTGTTCATAGGGGGAGGAAGGAGGGTGTTGGATTGGGGGAGAAGGAATTATAAGGATTCGGGGGGGGTATTTTTTTGGTTTTGATGATCTTTTGATGATACCATTGGCCATGCCATTTGATGATTATGGATTATGTGATTTTTGAGGAGGATCTTTGGATATGGCACATTTGGTGACTATTTCGTACGGAGTGCATATTTAGCATTGAGTCTGGTATATTTTTGTGTATATAGGGAAGGGGAGGAAGCTATTTAAGTAGAAATAGAAAGATAGAGAAGGTTCGAGCCGAGCTCAATATACGAACATGAATAGATCTCCTTGCACACGCTATGTAATCCTATCCCATTCTATGTATGTGCTTTTTATCTCCAAAACCCATAGAGAGAAAGTCTCTATCAAGACCAAACAGAAGAAAAGGAAACAGTATCCCGGAAAAATCCATCACGGTAGATATAAAAAAAGAGAAGGATGCTATAAAAACCCCAAAAGAAAACAAAGTATCATCAAGTCTTTAATCCGTGCGCGAGTTGGCAATGTTCATCACCAAGATATCACTCGCGCCGACCTTAATCAGCTCATCCATTACCGTGGCAATGCGCTTCTTCTCCACCATCGAGCTGACGGCAACCCAGCCTTCTTCTTCGAGTGCGGTGATGGTAGGCGCGCGCTTGCCGGGGGTGATCTTGGATGCGACGGACAGCTGCTCACGAGGGATGTTGTATTGGCACAGGACAAACTTCTGGGCAGTGATGACACCGCGCAGACGGGAGGTGAGGAGGGTGAGCATGTCGCTGTTGGACTGGCGGGACTTGACCAGCACGGCTGTGCTGGAGACGACGGTGTCGATGGCCTTGAGGCCAGCGGCCTTCATGGTCTCACCGGACTCTGAATAGAAGAGTGAGTGTTAGCAATGGGTTCAATTCCTCCACACAGTGTTTCAATGAACTAGGGATGATATAAACATACCAACAAGATCAACGATACCATCCGCGACACCGAGAGCACAAGCAGCCTCAACACTACCGCCGACATACTTGATCTTTGTGGCGAGCTTCTGGCCAGCCTCGACGCCCTCCAGGTTACGGAAGAAAGCCTCGGTGAGGGCAGTGAAGCTGGTCACGACATTGCGGCCAACAAGATCCTTGGCCTCTTTGAGTTCACCCTTTTCGGGGACTTGCACCTGCAGCTTGCAGGCGCCGAAGCCTAGGTCGAGGATCTCCTCGACGTTGGAGGTCTCGCCAGCGGGGAGGGTAGCATCGTGCTCGGCGACTTGATCGCGGCCAGTGATGCCCAGATCGACGCGGCCTTCGCCGACGAAGGTTGGGATGTCGGCGGCGGGCAGGAAGATCAGCGCGATAGGCAGGTTCTTGACCAGCGCGATGTCGAGACGGGTTTCGCGGCGGAACTGGACGTCACAGCCGGAGAGGAGGTCGAGGGTTGCTTGTTGAAGACGTCCTTCTGTATAGTTGGTTTGCGTCGTCAGTCTTGGGTTCTTTATCTTTCTTGTTTATTGCTTTTTGTTCATGTCTCGCAGACTATGAGTCACGATGTGGGGGAACTTGCTCTTGGGCACGGCGAAAAGGAGACGGCCTTCTAGGCTATTGAGGATTGATATGTTAGTAGGTCTTTCAATGCGAGTTTGTAATTGAAATGAACTCACTGGTTGACGAGATCCATGGCGATAGAGCGGTCCGGCGCGGGGCTTTCACGGGTTTTTTAGGTGGGGGAATAAGCTGGTCGGGGATTAATCGACAAGCAGATTAAGTCAATTGCAATAAAGAGACCGTGAATGTATCGCGGAGACAAGATAGAACGGCTATTATAGTCTAGTTGAGTCAGAGGGAGAGAGAGACCGGAGCTTCTTGCGGCAGAAATTGGAGGGGCAGATTACTCCGGTGAACTAGTGACGGGACCCGGGGACCAGGGGAGTATGTACCGTGCCTCGCTGAACAGTATGAGCCCACGTGAGAGGATTGGTGGTTTATGGCTATTTGAAGTATCTACATATAGTTGGTGCAACCTTCATGTGGTTTTTTAAATGATTTGATAGGATGATTGGCTGTGGAAACCGAAGTTGTCTGACAGTGACGCCGAACGATATCGGAGTGTCAAGAAAATATGTTCTGCCTGAATCCGCCTGACGGCCCAGGTGTCGATTTTATCCGCTGACTCATATGTTGCCTGACGGCTCAGGTGTCAAGCTGGCCCTGAGCCCTCGCGTAATTTGCACGAACCCACACAGGCCAAATTCCACTTCAACACTCTCTTACCTTCAGCCCAACCAACTCCAACCCTCGAGCTCAACGCCCTCTCCTATCCCTCAAGATGGATTCCAGCAAGCAGCCCGTTAAGCTCGTCAAGGTGACCCGTGTCCTCGGTCGCACCGGTATGTGCTTTCCAGTTTTTTGAAGCTCCAAAACCCACAATTCGATATTCGATATTCGCGGGGTGCACCCATTGCGCCCCAGATCGCCCGATACAACCGATGAAAAAAAAGATACTTGGAGGAATAGCAATGGCTAATTTGTGGTCTATTCATTTAGGATCCCGTGGTGGTGTCACCCAGGTCCGCGTCGAGTTCATGGACGACACCTCGCGCTCCATCATCCGCAACGTCAAGGGCCCAGGTATGCGATATCGATTTCATTGAATCCGGTCGTCTTTTGGGATCACAAGAGGGGGAAATGATACATGGGTCTATCTATTCATTCTCCCGAAAAGAGACCTCATGTTGAAATTTGGAATTTTTGAAAATCGACCCAAAAGGCGACAAGAATTTGCCGAACCACATCGCTAACATCTCCTCCGCACCAGTCCGCGTTGACGACATCCTCTGCTTGCTCGAGTCCGAGCGCGAGGCCCGCCGTCTCCGTTAAAATCCACCAAAACGAAATTTCGCTCGCGTCATCTATTTTGTCTCTCTTCTTCTCTCGCATATCCCTTACGACCGGTTTTTCATGATTACTCTTCGGCCAAAATCGAGTCCCCTGTTTTTCTTTCTTGCCGTACCTTCAACCTCCTATCTTCCTCAGCCCTAAACCGCCGCGCTGCCCAATCATCCCCGCCTGCCGACTCTCAAGGGGCCGTTTCTACGATTTCCGACGTTTCGACTGGAGGTAATGGCTTGGGTGGATTGACTTTTTGGTTTTTGTAACGCCAAAAGTCCCGGAAGGTCGATTATGGAGAAACGATCGTGAGAGAGAGGAGCAGAGAGCCACAAAAAGATAATAGAAAGCCTTTTTTTTATTGATACGAGAAAACGAAATCAAGTTCTTGCGCGAGGGCTGGTTTGTGGACTTGTGGCACGGTCTGGTCTGGTTTCGATCTTGGTGTTTTACTACATACACACGTCCATTTAGGCGTGCTTGCATGGGCTCAATGCGACAAACGAGGTTGTGATGTTGTTTCCTTTCTTTTCTTCCTCGTACCAGCTTTTTCCCCATCACTGGTACTTAGAAAAGACAAACGCCGATTCGAACCAGGCCCCGATCGACAAAAAGAACAATGGAATCCCCAAAAAAAGTTTGAAAACTTCCAGTTCAGCCTTGTCGAGGTCGAGGTTTTGAAAGCGTTCGTAGAGCATCTGGCCAGTGTAGTATGTGAGTTTAGATATTGCGGGGCTTGACTGTTGTCTCGGCATGTCTACATGTAAACGGTAAATGCGCTATGCCATTTTTCTTAAGTGAAAGCTACACATCTCGAGCTTTATGCTATTTACTGCTGCCTCTTCATGTCCATTAAATCGAAAAAGGCAAAGAACATTCAACAAGGCATCCAACAAGGCATTCAAACTGGCATTCAAAAAAGATATATACAGTACAAGATATATAATCAGCCATCGGGGTTTTGGTCTCGAATCCAATGTCAAGAACAGAGGCTGCTCAAAGGCCGACTTTGCCTTGATTTAAGGTTGATATTCAAGATCGATTTATTGAAGACCATGCTAAGCCCATGCATATGTATGAGATTGTACCGAAAAATGCCTAATGGCCGGCATAGAATGTAAAAATTACAGCTGCTCCGCACTGGCCACAAGCCTATTGAGCAGGCCATCAGCATCAGCAGACTCTCCATCGAGACCACTCTTCTCATCAAGAACCCGACCAACCGCTCCTACAAGCCCCGCCAACCGCTTGCGCCGGATAGACTCCTCCAACTCAGCACTCTTCTGGCGAGCGACGTCAATAACAGCCGAAGGCAAGTTCGCCAGCCGCGCGACATTCAACCCATAACTACGATGCGCAACTCCCTCGGTAACCTCATAGAGGAACGTGATCTCCCCATCCCCTTCTTCATCCTTGCTACCCGTCTCCGTGAACCGCATGTGGACATTGCGGAGAGCATTATCAGGGAAGGAATGCACCATCCGCGAGAGATGCTGGTAATGTGTAATGAAAAGGGTGAGGGATTGGATCGACCGAACCATATAGTCAAGCACCGCCTGCGCGATAGCGACACCATCATGCGTCGAGGTACCGCGGCCCAACTCGTCGAGAATAACCAAAGATCGAGGCGTTGCTTGCTTGAGAATATCTGCTGTTTCAGAGAGCTCGACCATGAAGGTTGATTCACCGGCGAGCATGTTATCGAAGGCGCCCATGCGTGTGAACACCGCATCTAGGAGACCGAGTCGGGCAGAAGCTGCTGGGACGTAGGACCCGATTTGGCCCATGATTGCGATTAGTGCGACCTGTCGCACGTAGCTAGATTTACCGCCCATGTTTGGGCCGGTGACGAGGAGGGCGCGCGTGCGGTCGTGTTGGAGGTTTGTGTCATTCGGTACGTATGTGTCCGTGAGAAGTTGTTCGACCATTGGGTGTCGACCCTGCTCGATGTGGAGGCCTGCTTCTTCTGTGTATTCTGGCTTGACGTAGCCCGGTTGCTGGGCTATGTCTGCGAGAGATAATAGGCAGTCGAGGGTTGCGAGGGATTGGATGCAATCACGGAAGGACTGGTATTGCGCGGCAATATCCGCTAGGAGGGCTTTGTATGCTTGGTCGCAGGCTGCGGCGAGGGCTTCTTTGTGCTGGTCACGCTCGCGGATGAGCTGGATGACTTGTGGTGTGTGGAAGCGGGACACTCTTTTTGTGCCGCTGACTTTCACCCATGATGCTGGTACGCGCTTGAGTGCTGGGGAGTTGTTTTCGATCTCGATCAAGTACTCAATTCCGGAGACTGTCGAGTATTCGACTTTGCCTCGCCCAATCGTTGACGCGGCCTCTTTGCGGTGTTCTGATAGCCCATGTTCAGTGCTCCCAATCTGGAGTTTAAGGTCGCTGATCTCCTCTGTTTCCTCCGATTCGCGAAAGAAGGTATATTTGTCATTGGTTCGTGCAGCGTGCATGTTGATTTTGTCCAAAAATTTGACAACTGACGCTCTGATCGTGGGCAGAGAGGCGATAGCCTCGCTCACCAGCGATGATTGAAAGCCCGTCTCGGCAGGTGATTTGATATCTGAGAACTCCATTGCAATCATCTGCATAGCTTGCAGAACAGTGAGAAGTTCGGGTCGCTCGCACTTGGCTCAACATTAGTACAGGCGTGGTCGTCACCGCAGAAAAACCACCTACCTTTCCGTAGTAAATGCGAATCAAACTCTTCTCAAGATCACTCTTGACTTTGTGTAGCAACCCTCGCACTCTCTCCACCGGAACCGCTCGCGCAGGATCAATAATCTCCTCCACGGCATTCGTCCGCTCTTCCAGGCGCACTTTGTCCAGCAAAGGCCTTCCAACCCATTGCCGTAACATGCGTTGTCCGAATCGCGTTTGGGTCCGATCCAAAGTCCAAAACAAACTACCCTTTGTCGAGAGATCCGTCTGATTTTGGTATATTTCTAGACTGACCAGCGTGTTTCCGTTCAGAAGCATGTGCGAACGGGCTGAGAAGGGCTGGAAATATTTTGTGAGGTCAAACACATGTTCCAGCCCATACTCGGTCATATGTTCGATCATAGCAGACAGACATATAGTCACCTGCTCCGGGAGACCAAGGACGTTCTGGAGCAACTTTGCAGCTTGTGTATCCTCCTCGGTACTAGTGGACTTCATCTTTCCGGCATAGAATCCCGATACATGGCTGTGTGCCTCGGCGGCAGAGGTTTTCTTCTTCTGAGCCCGTTCGAGGCGCACGGCGTCCCCAAAAACATTCATCTTGCTTCCAGACAAATGCTGCACAAGCTTTTCGCTAGCCCGAGACATCTCTCCAACAATCAAGATCTCGCAGGGAGCGATATGCAATAGTCGTGTCTCGATCTCGCTCCGCATGAACCCGTCCTCAAAGTCATCGTAGATAACGTCACCTGTAGCCGGCTGGACAGCGACAATCCCAACATGAACTCGCTCGTCATTCCCGGGGCCTTTGGCATTGGTCTCCGTCATACAAAGCATATACCCAGTGGCAGGGGATGCGCCTCCCGCTGCCGGCGCAGGACCTTGCAAACCTTCAGCGTCATCGATATAGGTCCCTTTCGTGTAAAGGTTTGTTAGTTTGCGAACAAATGGCGCATTTCGATTATCCCCCGCAGCCTTGAGCGCGGCCGTCTCTATCTGTCGCACCACGCCAACCTTGTGGCCGGCTGTAACGAGTCGCTTCACATGTACGTGTAATCGGTGCACGGGGATACTAGCCGATGCAAACCGGCCGATATGTGCCTCGGATGGATCTGCGTAGGTCTTAGCATTAGCATGGTTTCGATACTCGGACACGTAGAAAATACATACGTTCGTCGAATCTGAACTTCCCGGGGATACACACGATGCCCAGCTCCTTAGCCGCAATGCGCGCATCCTCTCCAAAGAAGCGGAACTTGTATCCCACTTCAATGACCAAGACTGTGTTCATATTCTGACGCTTGATCTCAATAACCTGCTTCTCCATGGGCGTGAGCTTGCTCGCGGTCTTCTTCGCACCCTTCCCCTTGGTCGGGGGTGGTGGAGGCTCATCGTCTTCTTCAGCTTCTGCGGCTTCTGCCTCCGCGCTGGCTGCTTCATTCACAGCGGTTCTCCCAAGCCCAATCTGGCAATCTGGCCCACCGAGTTTCCGGACAAATTGCTGGTGCAGTTTCTCCTTCTCTTTCTTCCGTTGTGCCTGTGCTGGGTCCTCCTCGGTCAGAACTGGCGCAACTGCAGGGGAACTCTGGAACTTGAATATATCGGTGCGTTGGCTGCTGCTCGCCTGAGAGGTGTGCTCGAAATCCACACTTGTCGCAACGCGGATTGGCTCCTCCGGTTTCGTACTAGTAGTTTTGGCTCGTTTTGATGCTGGTACTACAATATCCTCGTCCTCGTCATCGTCGTCTGCTGGCCTGGTATCGTCTTGCTTGGGCTCGATCTGGTCGGCTGGGGACGCTTGTCTTTTCTTGGGGGCCGTGGCCGGGGTCGGTCCGAAGTCTTTGGGCGCCGAGGAAGCGGGTTTCTGAGTGAAGAAGCTGGAGATGCTTGCCTGCTTTCGTTTCATTGATGACGAGGGCGCGGATGATTGCGAAGAATGAGGTGCCATCTTGACGAGCAAGTATGCGGAGCGGAAGTGCGATTGGATGCAGGGGTTATGGGTTGTGGTAATAGGAGACGGGCTTCAATGGAACTCAGAGGAGAGGCAATTCATCACAGCTTGACCTTAGAAAAAAAAAAACACTTCAAATCGAGCCCCATGCGAGTCCTCCGCATTTTACTTGACCTCGACGCGTACAGAACGCGCTGGGGCGTTAATTGGCTGCTGACTCATCACTTTCGTCCGGGGCTCGTCATCTGTACGGAATAGCCCTAGTTCAATAGCTATTTCGCATTCTACCAAGGACTCGAGTCAAGGTTGTATCGCAGCATAGATAGCACATTTATATTGTTCTACATACAATGTGTGGGTTTCAATATGATTGGAGTTTGCATGAGTGATGCTTATTGTTACTGTTGATGGTAAGACATCTACGACTCACAGACAGAGTGGGAAAGTGAGAGAGTAAAAAAGAGAGACACACGCACAGAAGGAGAGAGAGAGAGATAACCATTTTCGAGAGAACTGACTGCTAAGAGACCACCTATCAAGCTTCATGGAGACAAATAAACAAAGACCGCAAACTGCCGGAGCAACAAACCATCAATCTGCAATGAGTGCAACAATTAAATACACAAACATTCAGACAGACAAGAGACCAAGGGCACAAAGGAAAGAATGATGAAAGAAGGAACCCTCACAAAATAAACGTAACCCTCAGAGAAAAAGAAAGTGTGAGAGGGCAGGTATTCATACCCCGGTGGCTGAAGGCTATATGCGAACTGGGGTACGTGACAAGTTTCGACTAAGGGGAAGGTGGCCTGCCCAGGTGACCAGGCACTTGACTAGGCAGTTTTGTATATGAACCCTTCAATCACTTCAGACTGTATGGCCTCATTCTGTCAATCTGTCTTTTAGAACATCTGCATAGTGATCTTCACTCCACTATCTGGATGATCGTAAAGAATTCCATTGACCATGTCTCGCATACTCACCATTCCCAGTCTTTCCAGATCTCTCGATCCTCTCCCTACCCACGTATCTCCAATCTGGTAAATGATATCAAGATTATTCTGGCTTGTATCAGTGAAGGTGTATTCTCACTATTGAGCGTAGACATACACGACGTTATATCATGATTGTTGGTTCGTTGATAACATCCTTCTACCTTCATTCTTCAGGGTACTCCGGTGAGGTCTCCAGGCAAGACAAAAGGCAATGGCTCTGAACTTCAGCGTTCCAATCCAATATAAGACCCATGTCTGGACTGCATTTATTGTCTTGCTCCACAGGATCGTACCGATCTATATTCCGAAAAGGATCAGCAATCCATGGGTAATTCTGCAGTCGTCTAATATCTTCAACATTTGATGACCCATCATCAAGCCAAAGACCATCGTCATTGTGTCGATTCCAATTGAATAGATGAGGTGTCGTGCTCCCGGATTGCTCATCAGCGTCCTCGGACTCTTAGGATTTCAATCTTACATGTTAATATCGAGTAACAAGCGGCTAAAGAGTTTTGACTTACTTCGGAAGGCCTGGATGATTATTTTCAAACGTGTCAGCATATTGCGCAATCTGAAAACCAGTAGGTTCAATCCCATATTGTTCGCTCGCTCAAATCTTTTTGCTAGAACGTAGAATCCAGAACTTCGCCCATGGAGAGATCATCACGGGTGGATATAATTTTGGGCTAGGTACGTTCCGCGATGGAAGTAGCAAGACAGAGGAAAGCCCAACTAGTAGTTCTCCTTCGAGTCTGTCCGCAATATAGAACTCTAAGAGGAAATTGAAAGCGGTCAATGAATCTGGTAATAAAGAGGCCCATTCGTAGCTGTTTATGCACTAAATAAGCAAAATTGCAACTTATGCTGTGTAGGCATAGCCACATTTTCTTGTCACTTTGGGCTTCACTTCGTAAAAGCCATGGCGAGTATAACTTACACCGTCCTCTCTTTACATAGGCTACCCAGCGAGGTTGTGTAATTACTTTCCAGAAGTCTTCAATCATCGAGTCGCCGATATAATGGAAACTGTTACAATGCTCGCCAGCATACTAGTATTTCAACCCATCGAGAAGGAAGAATGTAAGACCAAGCCAAGACGATGTTTATGAGATATACGGGCCGCAATTCCCGTAGTGTGAGCGTGACCCTGTATACGGATTCTTCGCTGTTGGTTTTATAGATAGTGGGCCGCGGAAACCCAAGATATTAGAGATAATCAATGGACATCCATTGCTGGCAGCAGCTAGTGTTATATGTGGTTTGAAGATGCGAGGATGACCGTAGGACCAGCGGCGACTTTCTTCCACCTCTCAAGTCGACGTCCTCGGGCGGTTTATGGAGTAAAGGGAGTACATTTTCCAACAGACCTATGAGAGAGCCTTCAAGTGCATATCGAGAGATTTGACTGCTCCGTCGTGCCTTGATGCTGCTTGATTCCAGGAGGCTAGGCTGGCTTGGTGACATGATTGGAACTGATTTTCTGGTGGACAGAAACCGTCACCAGGGTACCAGTCTTTATCGTCGCTGCTCTGAGTCAAAACACTCGATCATGTCAAGCTCGAGTACAAGCTGCATGAAAGATGGGATACAGAGGACGTTAACCGAGGGCCAAATCTAGGAACATGCATTGAATTGAAGTCATTACATGAATTCAATGTGTAGGTTAGTTGGGCTACAAACCTTACCAATGCTTGACTGCCGATCATTTCCTGGTTAAAACGAGTTCTGTGGGTGATATCATGAGAGGAAGCGCATAAGCAAAGGTGTGTGTCAGTTCAATGACCGGTGCCTTGGGGTGTTTCTAGGTTCAGGGGTCCAGGGGCAAGAGACCAGTGGTTTGGTCCTCCCTGCAAAAGTGGGAGTTGGCGAGCGTTCGTGATAGATGTGAGTGTATCTAGTTAGTACTTGGGACCTCTTAAAAAGATGTTGTCTCTACATGAGGGCACGGAAGTTTTTTTGAATGCACATTTCATATTGATACTGGCTAATCATGACATTGTACAGCATATTCAACAGCTCAACGAAGACGGGAAATACAAATGGACACCCCCATGAAAAATCACAATTGGTGGAAGATAGCAACCAACCTGGGTGTGAGCAAGTAAACGTCATCGGGCAAGGTCGTCGGGCAAAGTCGTTGAGCAAAGCTGTCGGGCAAGGGGCAAGGGGCAAGGGGAAAATCATGGCAAACATACGTTGTACCACGTCAATATTTGGGTTTTCTGTTCTTCTGGGTATCCATATCATCTTCGGGCATTTCCGGGAACGTCACGTAGCATCAGTCGTGTCAGCAGGGTTGGTCAACCTAGACAGCAGGCGAGTCCGGGGGTTGAATAACAGAGTCGTGAGATTTAGTTCGCATCGGTGGTCAGATAGCATGCTTGAAGCATCTGGTCCTCTTCCGAGACGGTTTCTTCAGATGGAGCTGTTTGCTCCATTGAAAACCAGCCATTCTGGCTTGCATCATGCGCCTTCTCGTACGGGTTGTCATAAAAAGGGTATTTGGAGGGGGCTTGCAGAGGGTTGAATAGATATCCAGCCTTGTCAAAGTTGTCGTATGCATCTCCAATATCAGAAAAGTGTGGAGGGCCGAATCCAAATGCATCAGGGTTAGCGCGTTTGGCGAATGGAGAGTGCCAATCATAGGGACCAATTCGGCCCTGAGGATTCAGAATAGGCTCGATGTTTTCCTTGTCAACGAATGTGTGTCCAATTCTGGAGGTGAGAATACCGGTGTTCATCTTTCCGTTCAAAACAAGGCGAGTGGGGGTCAATGTGTCGAACTGTGTTCTGAATCCTGGGTCCTGGTAAGATGGTTTGTTCACCTCCTCGATCTGTCCATTGTCAACGAAAACGTTGAATCCACCCCTGGGTCGTGTGCCAAAGGTGTTGACAGTCAATCCAAACTCTTCATCGTCGCCAACATAAGTGTGAGTACGGTCTGCCGCGAGCCCTGAGTGGCGGGGATAATCTTGCTCTTCTTTGATTGGTTCTTCAATGTTCTTGCGGTCTTTATCGGTCTTCTGTCGCTTTCTGTCCGCAGCACGGGGCACATTGGGATCCGCTTTGGTCAGACGGGTGGTCCTGGTACGAGTAAGAGCTCGCTTGGGGATTGGAGTCTCTCCTTCCAGGAGGCTGTGCTCCTCCACATTACCCGTAATCTCACGCTGTGTCTGCAGGCTTCCGCCTGGGGAGAAGACCATTTCGTTTGCCTCCACGAGCGAAGAATCACGTTCCATCATAGTCAACACAGCAGTATCCTTCCTCTGGTTGCGCCGACGACGCATCTGCTCCGTGGCAGAATCAAAAATATTCATGCCAGGCCACAAGACTCCCTTGAGTCTCGCCATTTCTTCAGCCTGGGACTTGGCGATCTCAGCGTCACCAGAGGTCTGAGTTTGATCTCCAGAGGCCTGAATCTGATCACCAGAGTCAATAAAAGGATCAGGGGTGTCTCTGTCAGAGATCCAGGTTCTCTCCAAGGGTTCCGGTCTGCGTCGGCGCTGTATCGGTGTCACAGGCAAAGCCAATGATCGGGCTTCATTGCCGAGTCCAGAAGCGTGCACCGGCTGCAACATGTTTGAATTTGTGCCATTCGAGGACTGCACCGAGCGAAGAGTTGGACCCATACGGAATATCGCTTTGTTGTTGGTAATGGGCAGGGGGCTTGGCGTAGTTGGGGTGAGATTTGCATTTGCATGACGCTGTTGGTCACCGTGATCAGCCAAGCGAGGATCGAGACACTCAGGGCCGGAGGTAGTTGTGGTTGCAGGAATATTGGAGCTCTCAGACTCGACATTGGGTGCTTGGCTCTTTGTGCATTTGGCCGTATTGGCAGTCAATGCTCGGTCCGACTTTCTTTTCTTCCGACGTTCTTTGCCAGCCATTCGAGCAGCTAGCTGCGTGTCATAGCCATTGGCATCGAACCAGTCGTCGTATCGCTTGAGAAGCTCGACTGCGTCAGGATCATACTTGCAGCGCACCTTGACAGCGAAGCAGTGGGACAGATGAGCCTTGGAGGCAGCATGTGTCAACAGATGGGAGATATCGCTGAAGCGGGGCTCTCTAGGACAGATGATACATTTGAGGGAGTTGTCCTCCATGATGGAAACCGCTGGGAAGTAGCCAATAAACGATAAGATGAGATGCAAATGGAAATGGCAAAACAACCAAAGTGTCAAAGCCAAGAAGATGCGAGGGAGGAAAGCTGGGGCAGGGTGATGAAAGAAGCCGAGAGGACGGATCAAATTGTCGAAAAGGCGGACGGCGGTGAATGAATAGTTTCTCATCCAGCTATTCACACAACTGGCAAGAGCGTCCGGTCAAATGACGGGTAGGTTCCATAGGTAGGCCACAGGTCACGGGATCTCATCCAATGCAAGATAACTTCCATTCACAACTGCTTGTCGACGTTATGTACACAATATGTGCCACGATGTCTTGAGGGCTCTTTGGCCATTGTAGGGGATCACAAGCAGAGTAAGGCAATAGTTATTATTCTCCAGCATCGTACCCCATGGTCCATAGAGAAACGACTGTTATGGATTGTTAGATTGCAATGGGTTCCATATGGATCCATTGTATCAATCCATGAATCAACTGACGAATTACCCCGCAAGGCATTTGGCAGTGATCGACTTAGGCATACAACTGTTCATTGAAGTTAGCAAACCACACAATAGACTGACAGATAGAAGCATTATAGCTCACTAAATAGCATCGATTTCTTCAAGGCCCTTGAACTTCAATAGACTCAGACCTGCAAGGCTGAAGTGTGTATGGTACACATCTACCATATTTCCTGGTCGATCAGCAAAACCTCCAGCATCAGGGTCCTTCAAAACGGTTAGCAAGTAATTCCACCGCCATACGACAGGCAATTGGACTGACCTGGCATTGAAGAACAAATGCGGCGAGCTTCTTGCCATCGATCCAGTGTAGACGGTCAATCATGGCAAGGCTTGATCCAACCCACCAGGTGTAGCAGGCATCTGCAAGCTTCTCTGGTCGACCATTGAAACCACCGCTTTCGATCTGACGTTCGCTAAGCCAAGCTCCGAGGCGATCCTTATTCACCAAGTCCAAGCGGCCAGCGATGGCCAATGCGCCAATGCAAGTAAACACCTGGCCAGCATGGGACTCGGCACCGGGACGAATACCATAAGCTCCATCCAAGTTCTCACAACTTTGAATGTGAGAAACGGCTTTGGGGACATCGACTAGGTCCATCAGATGCAACAGCGACAAGGCATTGAAGGCACCATATAAGAACCGGGTATCTGTTTCGCCCCACTGGTCTCCCATGAAAGATCCATCTGGATTTTGTAGATTTGCAATGACTGTCATAGTTCAATCAGCACTCCTCGATGACAGTAACTAAGAGAGTGAGCATGTACAAGACCCAACTTTCTGCTTTCCACCTCGGCCTCGCTTCTCGAGTTCATCGACAGCATCAATGGTGATGAGGATCTGAACCGCGGAGACTGTATATAACATATGGGCATCATGACCTGGGGCAGCACCAAAGCCTCCATTGTCATTTTGGCACGAAAGAACGAAGTCGATGGTCTGGTCTCGAGGTAATGTATCCGGATGCCCTAGAATATGCAGGGCTGTGAGACCCCAGTACACACCATTTAGTCGAAGGTGTTCGGTTAGCCAATATTCCAGCTCATCTTTTCTCTATGTTGGTTAATAATCCTCGTTCTCAACAATTTTTCTTGAAGGACGCACAGTGTCTAGATTCTTGATGTAAGTGACATGCTTGGAGGTGTGTAGTTCAGAGTCTGCGGGGCTACCTGCAGCCCTACCAGGGCCTGATACTAGAGCCATGTCTTCACTGAACCAACTGAAGCTGGCTGATCAGATGTCCCCTGGTTGGATGGAGCTTGGCAGATTAGTAGACCGGGGATCTAAGAGATGATTAGTGTGAAATCAGCAACAGATTCACACAGGGCGGTGAATCTAGATGCAAAGGTCTTTCCAATTCTGGAATTTGTGGCCCGTGCGCTGCACGTGATCTCCAGGCACGTGTTAGGGCTCGGCTAGTGGGTATTCAGGAATTTTATGATCGAGTGTATGTCATTATTACTTATATCGGAATCGCCCAGGGGGAAAGGGCTGGTACTAATGAAGCAATACATCCAACGTCATAAGGGTTGCATGGATTATTGTACATTTATGCTGACTGTGCTGTCGAAGCCCTATCTCCACTCTGCTCCGTGCACGCCCAAAGCACTGTCATCCCCAAGGGCGCTAGTTTGATATTTCCAGCCATGTTTCAGATTTGATGGAACCCCAAGTGGGAAATTCGAAATAGGATGGCGGTGTACAAGAGTGTCAGAAGAGTAGAAGTCAGTGGCAGTATTCCGTATTCCGTACTCCACAAGTACGTACACAGGAATTGATTGCTGTCGAGTCATATAAGAATCAATCTAAATGGCTCTACAGTATCCATAGTTATTTCCACTTTACCGGGGCTATTACCTTGGGAGCATTGTCAGCGTTGCGCTCCGAGTCTTCCCATGTTATACAAAGATCCTTTCATGCACAAGGTACGACAACTAAAAATGTTTCTCAAACAGGATCCCCCCACTTGAGACCGTGTACGCCTTGATCGGGAAGAAGATGCGTTCCAAGGTTAGACCCGAGACACACTAAATTAAATTTATAAAAAGTGGACGGAGTACTTCGGGGACACGGACATGTTTGTGCATTTAGCCCTGACCCCTGATATGAGAGCCATTTTATCCCATTGTTTTTCTTTACTCCCATCAAACTATCTAGTAGTAGGCATTGCCGAGAGATGGTATAGCCCATGTGACCAAGCAATCCATGGATAGGAAATCAGGTACGGACCTGACTTGTACCTAGGTACTAGGTATCACTGGGTCGGATTGACCAATCGTAAAGTGGCATCACAGCGTATAGCCATGGCTATCAAAGTGGAGAGCTCTGATCGCTCTATGTTCCACTATCATCGTGTCAACCATCGGACAAATAGAATCTAATCCTGTAATGTGTCCGAGTGAGTAAGCATTAAAGATAGACAGGGGACATTTATAGACACCCAAGTAAAGGTGTTCCTTGGGTCGATGTATGACCTTCAGGGGGAATCATCTTTAAAAAAAGATATGCCATGTCATACCTTATAGAATTTGAGTAGGTATCTAAAAAAAAAAAAAACGAAACACTGGTTTCAAGTTTCCATATGATTCTTATATAGAATTCTGAATATCTAATTATGACTTCTTATAATGTGGCTTGTTTGATAGTCTCTCCTCGGACTAGTGTACCGCTAAGTCTATTAGGAGACTTGCTTTTTTTTTTTTTTGTTTACAGAACTTCCTAACTTCAAAACAATTCTTCACCTATACCTGTGAACTCCTACATAATCTCTACCCTTGTGAAATTGAATTCTTTTTGATCCACCGCGACTCCTATCTCGCCCCCCTTCCGCCCTGCCGATCCCCGAACTTCGAAGCGCCCAAAAAGAGGGGGAAAGGTGAACTTGAAATCGTCTCACAAAGGAGACATCCGTCACATACTGAAACCATAATATGAGGAACTCGGTAAGTGATCAGCTGAACCCATTGTTTCTGCGATCTGGTTCCTGGCCTTGTCTATCATCAAAGAGAGTCGAGGTGTGGCTTCTTTTTAACTCGTTTGCCTGCATATGTCACCATATGCAGTCTCACCTGTCTTTTTTTTTGGCTCTTCTTCCTTTCACATGTCTTTGATTTTGCTCTGACCCTATAATTGGTGCAGATCTGTCCTCGATACTCCATTTGATCCCACACTTTCCTCATATCGGTTAGGTAGACATTGCCTATCTCCTTTCGGCCCACGGACCTCGAACCTTTGATACCCAGGCGAGCGTCTCAGCCGCATACGTGATTCAGGATTCAGCGCTGGCCAGCTGTACCAAATTAGAAAGGTTTCATCCGAAACTGGCCTACAATCTACACAACCTCGACTCTCGAACCTTCACATCCACCCTGGACCGCGTCCAATTGTCGCCCAACATGCCAAACCGAGCTTCAATAGTGCCCAACCTCGATCTGAGCTCCTTCAAGATGGAGTCGAAGAAAGAGAAGATTTCATCGCCTCTGACGCCAGGTGACCACAGTTCAGACGGTCCGACCCCCTTAACACCACGTTCGCCCAAGTCTGCATCAAGCTCTCCACTTTTCAAAGGCGCAACAATTCGCCCTGTCACAGAGGACACTGACAAGGCAACCAGTCCTACTATCCCGCTTTCCCCTGGTGCAGGTCCCTCCGAGCCCACGACGCCCGGTATCACAGCCATTCCTCAATATTTCCCTTCTCCCAAAGACTCACGACATACGCGCGATGCCTCGAAGTCATTCTTTGGCAACTTGAAAGCACCGAAATCTTCACACAAGTCACAACGGTCAGATAGCTCAGAGAACTCCGCCGAACATCCCAAGAGCAGGGGCAGCTCCAGAGAACGGAAGTCATCGATGACTTCGAAACCATATGGATCAACGCCTGATCTTCCAGGGACACTTGCCCGTGCAAATGGAACCGAAAGGACTAGTGAGTTTCCCTCCCCACCGATGCGGTCCACTTCTAACAGATCTACAGATGGACTTGCAGGTCATAAGAATGCGCAACCAACAGTCACCAAGAAAGCCGACACAGAGCTAGAGTCTGCCGCGCCGAAGAAAAACAAACAACGATTTGCAAACCTTTTGACCCGATCTCGCTCCATTCGAGTGGATGACTCCTCCGGACCCAGACCACCGCGCCGACGCCCATCTACTGGACTGGCCAAACTCGAAGAGTTCAGTCAAACCGCAACAACGGCCGCGAATCCACCCCGATGTGAGACTGCAAGACCAGAACGCGCCGTGCGGGGAGGCTTGCAACCCCCCGAACGCCAAGCTGACGCTATATCTTTACGAAAAGAGCGCAGTCACGGTAATATCGTTGCATCGGGCTCGCTGAGTCAGGTTTCTGGCGCCTCGTCTACCATCTTCAGCAATCTAAAGTCCTCAGGAAGCAGTACTGCAGATCGCATTGGCAAGGCTGGGAAAGGATTCTTTGGCAAGATCACTCGCAGCGGCAGCACCAACGAGAGAGAGATGATCACCGACGACTCGTACACATGCTCGGTGATCAACCTCCCACTCATCGAGCAGGCGAGAAAGACCCGCATTGCGAAGAAGCTCGAAGACTGCCGAGACAAGACAGAATTCTGGATGCCTGCCTTACCGTATCGCTCGATTGATTATCTAAACTTCAAGGGCTGTGAGGAAGAGGGCCTTTATCGTGTTCCCGGCAGCGGCAGGGAGGTCAAGCACTGGCAACGACGATTTGACACAGAACTCGACATCGATCTCTTCGAAGTGCCTGATCTTTACGATATTAATACGATTGGGTCTCTCTTCAAGGCTTGGCTTCGTGAGCTTCCCGATGAGCTTTTCCCCAAGTCAACGCAAACGATGATTGCTATGAAATGCGAAGGTGCCACGACCGCTCCACAGCTACTCAAAGACGAGCTCTCCAAATTACCGCCATACCATTACTACCTCCTCTTCGCTATCACCTGCCACCTCAACCTCCTTCACTCATACGTGGACCAGAACAAAATGGACTACCGTAACTTGTGTATCTGCTTCCAGCCCTGCATGAAAATCGACGCCTTCTGCTTCCAGTTCTTGGTCTGTGACTGGAAGAACTGCTGGCAGGGATGCTGGACCGAGAAGGAATACCTTGAGATTGAGAAAAAGATGGACGAGCGCGACCTGCGGGTCTCAGTGGAGGAGGCCGCCAAAAAGGAACATGCCTCTCTCAGCCATGAACGCGCTATCTCGTCTTCCAGCAGCAGCGCTGGAGAAGAACCCAGCCAGCCTACTCGTGAGTCTTCGCGTGAGCCACCTCGCCCGACAACATCACCACGCCCAGCGACAGCTCGCCCAGCAACCGCCCGCACCCGAAAGGCCCCGCCGAAGAACATCGAGACCGCACATTCCCGAAGCATCTCTCAACTTCCCGAGCTAGGCCCGCCGCTCTCTCCTATCAAAATCTAAATCTGAAAGACGTATCTCTCGACACAAACTTGTGTTGGATCAAGCGGCCTCACGTCGTTATCTCCCTTTTAAGGCCTGTTCCAACTGGGCTGGCCCAATATCCGTTCTATCTGCCGGACCAGATAGGACCGTACAAGTTGTTTCAGAGTGGCATTCCCTTCCTCCACCATTACATTATCTATCCGTACCTTTGATATGATCATCCATCGCCACTAGCCGTATGCTCGATCATATCTTCTCGTTGTCATTTTGTCCCAACCGCGTGTTGGGATCGAATTCCCTATCAATATTCCTCTTCCTTATGTACATCCCTTGCTCTCCTGGCATCTCCTCTAAATGCGAATGGCCGGCCGTTTCGTTTACTCGAGCCATATTGCTCGACTCTCGCATTGTATCTTTCCCTCTTTTCGCTGTCCCCTGTCTATTTGGAAGGGCAACAAATCTCATTCTGTGCTTTGCTTGATATTGCGACATCTCCAGATTCCCCTCTGCGGTTGACATTGATTTCCATCATCGCCACTTGCTTCATGTCTGTTTTGTGCGTTTTGCTATGGGGGTTTACATTTACATTTTGCTTTTTTGTTTGAAGTATGTATTTGGCGTATTCCTTTCGAGGATTGTACAATAAAGGAAGTGAGAAAGGCACTTTTCGGTTCGAGCAAGACCATTCTTTTCTGGTATAATACTCCCTATAGTATCACACAGCTAGACTACGACTATCGAGCTATCGAGTAAGGGCCATCGAACATATCGATAGACGCCTGGAGAATATAAAAACAGAGGGAGTTGTGGAAGCAAAGAAGCAACATGAGAGGGTAAGCTAAATAACCACGTAGCAGTAGGGTATAGAGCGCGTATCGATAGTTGAGACCTGTGCCTTCAACAAACGAAAACTCCCTGGAAGAAAAGACGACACAAAAGAAATGAAAACAGCTGAACAAATTAAACCAAAGTGTAGTCTTTGTCTAAGAAATGGTTGGCTGCGGATATAGGACAATAGTCCTTAAACATCCCCGATGTATGAACCTAAGAACTCTCTGCTTTTTGTTCCATATTGCTGAGCTACGCATTCCATCGACCATCTCGCTGATAGAGTCTTGTCCGAGGTATACCAAATGACACCGGATCCAGACCTTCCTGGATTCTAGCTGATCATCAATATTACGAGTGGAGACTGAGCGAGATGGGCGCCTTCCATAAATTCAGAGAAAATACTGTGGAGAAAGATCTCATCTCCTATCCGAGTCTCATCAGCACGAATAAAGTTGCCAGGAGGGAATGGACCCGGGGGGATGATGGTATTCTCGAAAGATTCGTTGATGAACTGCTCGCTGTCGCGAAGCTTTACGAGCGTGAGATTCGTGTGGGCGATCTCGCAGATAGGCTCATTGTGAGATCAAAGCTAGTTCTACCCACAGACTAGAAAGGGGAAGCTATCTTGAAGGTATCTAGGAAGATTGCCTGGGAAACCCACTGAGAAGACCGCTGGAAAGATCGCTGGAAAGACTTGAAAAACACCATAAGGCTGCATAAGCGGCCATCTCAAGGCTCATGTCATGGATAATGATAGATATTGTGAATTGACCCCCAAGGGAATACCTAGTAGGTACTACGATGAGGGAAAGAGAGATGAGGATAAGATAAGTATAGGGAACCCACGGCACGTGACTCCCATCTGCCAGTGGAAATGGTTTGGCCTTGCGAATCACAGTATGTCCACAATACATGAAGAATTCCATTCGACTCCTAACCCCAACGCCAGAAATGTAAGAGGATTCAAGACAGGAAAAGCCAGAGGCCATAAGATAAGCGTGAAAAAAACCGAAAAGAGATCAATCATCGACCACCGCTCATTTCGCACGAGCAGGGTTGGATCGCTTCTCATTCGACCGCTGCTTACGCTCATTGCGCTTGATACGCTCCTTGCGCTCAGTCCGAGACATACCACGGATGTTACCGCCCTGAGCATTGGCTTCAGCCTCCTTCTTCCACTTCTTCTCATCAACCTCAACAAGCCACTGGTTCTCGTCGTCCTTGTTCTTGCCCTTGTAACCCCAGCGCGGCACCCATTCGCCAGAAGCCTCGTCATACTGCAGCTTCTTGCGGCGCTCCTTGTCCTGGCCAGCGGCACCGGGCTTCTGGCTGAACTTGCCGATGCCCTTCTTGCGGGCGAACAGCTCCCATTTCGTGGGTGCCTTGGGGACGGGGAGCGGCTTGTGGCGCGGGAGGTGAATGTTAGGGGCGGGCAGGGTGAGGAGAACGCCGTCGGAGACGGAGGTCTTGATCTCGCAGGTTGTCAGAAGCTGGTTGAGTAGGACCTGGACGCCGTCGCGGGCTGTCGCTTTCAGTGACTCGTTCAGCTTTTGGTCCTCGGGGAGCTCGAGGGGATTGGGGTCGTTAACGAGCAGGTGGCCCAGGTCGAATGTGTAGGGTGTGGGCTTAGAGACGGTAATGGGGCTGGACATGGGATGTTAGTTCTGTATTTTCTTCCCATTTTTTCAGGTCGGAAAAAGGGAACCTTACAGTCTCTCGGCCTTGGAACCAGCTGCAGCGGCAGGCGCAGCGTTTGCCATCTCGATATCAGGCATTGCGATACTTGTAGTATTGGTAGACTGTTGATGTTCGAAGGGTGGGTATCAGCCCGAAGAAAAAAAAAGTGGTTATCAGATACAGCGGCTTGTACTTTTCTGCCATGACTAAGGCATCTAGACCGCCTTTACTTCTCAGGGCGGGCGGACTTCGCATCAAATTATTGACCGAAGTGTTAACTGCTGTTGTTTTCTCAACTCAATTCCCACCCACCTCTCCATCTCAACACCGGTTGTCTCCTCGCTGGCTGCGCCGGTGTCTTTGACAACAATGGCCTCGTCGTGGTGCTGGAATTGCCTCTCGAGGCTTCGACCGACACCGCGAGCGCTCCTCCCGCCGTCCGCAACGCCCCGGATTTCGAGCGCCCCCTTCCACTCCACCGCCGTGCACTATGCCCAGCCGGCTAAGAAGAAGGGAAACAGTTTGACTGCCGTAAAGCACAGACAGTCAACCAGCTTGAGAAGGAAGAAGAAGAAGGTCGCTGATCGCGGCGGACGTCCCCCGGCCGTAGGTGAGCGCAAGGCTTTGCGGAAACGCATTGTCCTAAGTAACCCCAATGCCCTCGAGATTGAGGGCATGCTTGAGCTGTCCCCGGAGACTATGGTGGACTCCCGTCTCCGTGGTACAGTTCTGGGACTGCCTGTGCCGATGATCGATCAATTGAGAGCAGTGCAGGCCTTCAAGCCTAAGCAGGGCTGGTCCATATTCCGCCGACCTGGAACGGTCCTCCGACGCGATACCATTGAAATGGGTCGTTTGTTTGAGCAGATCTCTGGGGAGGGTGATGATGCCCAGAAGGGCAAGGTTGTCAAAAAAATTGTTACTGGTATGAAGGGGTCTGGAAAGACCGTGCACCTGCTGCAGGCTATGGCCATGGGCTTCTTGAAGAAGTGGGCTGTTATCACTATTCCCGACGGTAAGTAGGACGATTTGCTGGCGTACATTGCAATTTTGCAGCTGCTGACTTGTCAATCTTATAGCTCGAGAGCTTGTGTCCGGTGACACCGCCTACGCCGCCATCGAAGGTAGCAACCCGCAGCAGTATGTTCAGCCTAGCGCGACCTCGGCTCTGTTGATTCGCACTGTCGATGCCAACCGTGAGCTCCTGGCTAGCCTGAAGGTCTCGCAGAACCACCCGGCCCTGAAGATGCTGAAGCCTTCCTCGACCCTTGAGGACCTCGCCAAGCTGGGTTTCACTGATCCCGCTGTCTCCTGGAACGTCTTCCAGGCTCTCTGGACCGAGCTCACTGCTACTGCCCCCGCCGCAGGATTGGAGAAGAACTTCCAGCCCCGTCCTCCCATGCTTGTTGCCGTGGATGGTCTGGCTCACTGGATGGTGGAGAGTGCCTACCGCTCCGCTGACTACAAGCCAATTCACGCCCACGACCTTGCCTTCGTCAACCACTTCATCTCATTGCTGAAGGAAGGCGATTCTCTGAAGAACGGTGGTCTCCTCCTTTACGCCACCTCATCCTCGAACAACCCCAACCCTTTGGCTCTCAAAATTGCCCTGGACCGCCTGGCCGCCCGCCAGGCTGGTATCAGTCCCTCCTCGCCGGAATACCCACAGCCAGAGGCCTACAGCAAGGCTGACCCTCGCGTCTTGGAGCTGCTCCAGCCCGCAGAGAAGGCTGTCAGTCCTCTCGAGTTGCAGACGCTGGGCGGCCTCACTCGCGACGAGGCGCGTGGTTTCATGGAGTACTTTGCTCGCAGCGGTCTGCTGCGCGAGATCATCAATGACCAGTGGGTGAGCGAGAAGTGGAGCTTGTCTGGCGGCGGTATCATCGGCGAACTGGAGAAGTTCGGCCGCCGTGTTCGTGCCACTGCTTCCGCCCCTAAATAGGGGGTTTTATTTGTATTTCTTTCTCTTGTCTTATGCCCGGCTTTCAAATTTGTATTTCATGTTTACCACTGTATATCGGATGCTGGGGTTTTCCTTGTGTGTTCTTCGCCCATGTACTTTACAAATCTCACTTGGTCCTTGTGTCTGTATGCATATAATGGTTTTGCTTGTTTGAAAAAGTCTTCTATCCTTCGATTCAGTCACTTCACAATTGTGTGCCATTGGATCTCTTCCGCGACGAATGAACCACTGATCTAAACAAAACCATTGGAGGTTTGGAGTTGAACCGGTCCCCACATCAAATACCCTTAAGCATCCAACTTCTTCGGCCTGATCCCCCTCACCACATCAGGATAATCAAACTTGGCCGTCATATTCATAAATGACGAACTCGCCGGATGCGCCTCAGGTACATCATCCCCCCCGGGACAAAAAGTTCATCGGGAACCCAATATCAAACTCATAAGCCCCTTCAATCTCCTTCACCTCCTCATCTGACAAATCCACCCCAAGCCCCTTAATATTCCCCAGTATATGGTCAACTGTACGCCCTCCCACGATTGGAGTCACATACGGCGCCTTACGCATCACATAAGCCAACGCAACACTGGTCAACGCAGTCCCCTTTCGCGTAGCAATATCCTCCAACACCTTCGACACTGCAATTTCCCGCTCCGTCGCAGGAATCTGTCGTCCGGGGTTGTTACCACGGGCGATCTCTTCCCGCTGTGCGGTGGTTTTGAATAGGCCGCCGCCGAGTGAAGCCCACGGTGCCAGACCCATGCCTTCGGATGCAGCCATGGGGATTATGTCGCGCTCGAAATCGCGGTTTGCAGCGTTCCACTTGCCTTGGTAAACGGAGAAAGCGCGGAGGCCGTGGTCGCGTGCGTCTGTAGTTGGGCGTCAGTGATTCATTCGGACATGCTGAGAACTATCAAACTGACATTGGTTCGCCTTGGTCACGATCCACGCGGGTGTATCGCTGATACCCAAGTACAGGACTTTGCCTGACAGCACTAGCTGGTTGAGTGAGGTCATGACCTCCTCGATGGAAGTGCTGAAATCCCACCAGTGGACGTAGAGCTATACTCGGAAGTTATACTGTTAGTAAAGATGGAATATCCCAAGAAGTAATGATAAAAGCAAGCAGCCACGTACCAGATCGATATAATCCGTTCTCAATTTCTTCAAACTGGCCTCGACAGACAGTTTCAAGCTCTTGGCATTATTGCCGACGAAGTTTGCCTGGATCTCGGACTGAACGTAAGATCGGTAGGGCGAGGTATACTTGGTTGCGAGCACGATTTGGTCACGGACACCGCGGACTTCCATCCATTCGCCGAGCCATTTCTCGGATTCCTCGGCTTGGTAATTGTTCGCTCTTTTTGGTTTGTTAGTGACTGGGTTAAGAGATATTTCAAGGTCGAATTGATTGGCTATGCATACGTGTCGATAAAGTTGCCTCCGTTCTCGTAGTATGTATCCAGGATCTGGAAAGTTGCCTCTTTGTCGCATTCGCCGAGGCGTTGTTTCCTACGTCGGGGTTAGTTGCTACCTGCACATGGGATTGATATGTAAATAAATGTTTTACGTACCAGCCTTCACCGAAGTTCATCGCTCCTAGGCATAGTGGGCTCACTTTAACGCCGGCAGTGGGGGCTAAGAGGCGATAGCGGCCGAGGTGGGACTTGGGGGTGGTAGCTCGAGCTAACATGATGGGAATCGAAGAAAATTGGGGGAATTCAAAAGTTTTCAAGAGAATTCAAGAGTACATGGAAATGATTGGGGGTTTGCCTGTTTTATAGCACGCCATATCCGGGGTTAAGCATGCTACGACGGAGTACTCCGTACTCTTATGCACGAATGTCGCCAGGCGCTAAAAGTGTTCCGGGGTTGGATGTCTACGGACAGGCATAGTGGCCAGGGGTACTTTGCCTTTAATGTAATGCATGATCAAGCAATATAAGCCCCCTGGGCTATCTATAAACAGGAACCTTGGTTTTTTGTTATGGTCTAGTGGTAAAATAGGCTGTATTTTACCCGACAGTGCATTGCGACCTGAAAGCCTTAATCTGGCAATTGAGGTATAAAGGCACTGCATTAAGACTGAAAGTCACCGTGGCCACTGTGCTCCTGCGTAAAATGTCTTAAATCCTAAATCCGGCCGCATTTGGGGCCTTAGGGCTATAAGGGTTAACTCCGTTTTGATGTGCATTTAGTTGGTTATTCAAATATCATTCGTTTGTTCAGGATTCGCAAGACTTCCACTGGTCGCTCGTAGATCTGGTACTATTGTCATCCCTATTCCCTCCCTCGGCCTTGACATCGTTGATCTCAACATCATTTGCCTCATCCCCATCAGATCTTTCCTCTTCGTCTTCCTCCTCATCCCGGGGGTTTGGGTCATCGAGATCATAGTATCTATCATAAATATCATCCACAATATCCCGATACTCTCTCAAATAATCCTGTAGCTCGGAATTATCCTGTCCAAGAACACCGCTCCAATATTCCTGCTTGGGGGGAATGGTTACTGGACCCGGGGTCCAATCAACAGTGCCATCGTCCTCGGCACCATTGCTGTTGGAGACAGGGGTGGCCTCCCCTTTATCAACAGTAGGAACAAACCCTCTGCCTTGACATCTGGGACACTCGCAATTCTTTCCGAACAGCTGCACAGCGTGCATATTGAGATCAAAGTCTTCTCCAACTGGGTCAGCGATTCTATAACGTTGATACGGAACTCGGATCTCTTCCCCGGCTTTGATATCCTTATTCGCCCAGACGACTACGCGGTTGGGGACCTTGCCATCGTATCCCCACAATGCGTTCTCAAAAGGGCGACAAGAATGATTGAACATACTTAACCCAGGGAAGAGGAAAAAGTTCCCAAAGGATGGTTCCATAGCCGAGAGATTTTCGTTCTTGTCTTTCATTCTACTTTGTAGGGTTGGATGCAGCACCGGCTTGGGACCATCTCGGTCTGTGAACATTGGATTCGCACCTCGTCGCGCATGTTCCCAAGGTACAGCATTGACTAGCAACTTCCGCAACACGGTCTGAATGACCCAAGTATCAAACGAGAGGTCACAGAAGATGTCCACTCCGAGGTTGAAGAGAATATCAAAGGGTATCTGGATATTACCGGCCAAGGTGAAAGGAAACCAGGTATCTTTCCACGGCTCATTCGTGTCGGTACCTGCCTCGAGAACGAGGAGTTCATTAATCTCATGAGCGAGGAGATTTGGGTCTTCTTGCCGGCGGTGGAGCGTGATTTCAAGTACGCTCTTCAAGAGCAGACTCAAAACAGTCCCGTGGCGTTCATTGGTGTGGGTGAAATACTGCGATCCCGCCCACGTCACTTTATTAGGTCGCATGGAATCGTGTAACCAGCCCCAGTCGAGGCCACAGAACTCTGGGAAATGGTATGTTTCACGCGCAATGGCCAAGCAATGGGGAGCCACGCCTTCTGATGTGGCGTCATTGGAAGAACAGAACAACAGACCGCCCTTGGTCGCTCTAAAATATCCTACATCCGTGCATTTGCAAATCATATCAAGACAAGCACAATCAGGCGGGTGTCCCCATACAGGATCGGGTGCCGGATTATGAATGGAGTCCCAGTTGTCCTCGATATGCCGAACCTCTTCTGGGTCAATCACTGTTTGGCAGTTGTCGCATCGTGGGGCATGCAGGGGGTCCTCACTTTCATCATCAAGCAGCCTATTGGGGATGAGATTTCCGCGAATAACGGGTTCCTCGTAGTGAATCATGCTTCCCGCTTTGATGTTTTCAGTGGCAAAGACCCCTAGCCCATTGAAGGAATTGTCCTTTGTGAGGGGTTGCACCTGGCATATCCGCTGGGGAGATTTCCCGGCACTGGGATTCACTGTGAAAATATTTGCATTGAGTGCAGTGATGAAATATGGCGATTCGCGTCTCACGTCTGCTTGATCATATGGATATTTATCGGCACCTGAAATCCATCCTCGTCTCCACTCGTGTCCATAAAGAGACGGATGAAGCGCTGAGGGATTTTCTCTCCTCTGTGCGATCTCGTCTTTCACACGAGCGCTCACTGTCATTCGCTTTTTGGGGACTGCCGCATCGCGGTATGGCAGAAGTCTTTGGAGTTGACCCTGCATATGGTCATCGAAATCATCCCAACAATTCAGTGCTGCGAGGCTGAGGCTGGTGATGCTGTGAAGGGCGTTCCTCAAAGTGGGAATAAAATAGTTGACACCATTTGCCTTCCTCATTTGCAGAACCTCTCTTGTCATTGGGACTCCCTTGATCTTCAATTCTATCATCAGATGCTGCTGAATGGCGTCCCATACCCGGGTATACATCCCAGGGCGTTTGTTTCTTTGAGTTGCCGTGGTTAGCACTTCGCAGAGAAGTTCTCCGCGATAGGCGTCCCCAATGGCGAGATCAAAATGACCTAGCAGATAATGGCAATACGCCCGGCTGTTCCAGTAAGTTGGATTATACGGGCTCAGTTTAATTGCCGCAGTATACATCTCAAGCGCAGACATATCTGTTTTCGTAGCAGGGTTCATTACAGGCCTTGGCTCGCGATGGATACCCCAGTGACTCAGGTTGCTTTGCTTCGAGAACCCAAAGCGCTCATCACATTCGTATTCCCATAGACGACGTTGTAAGTCTGTTTTCCTCCCATCTGTCTTCAGACCCCTCAATTTCAGTTCTTCTGTGAGTGCATCTTTCGTCCAAAGATCCGGGTCTCTGACGTTGAGACCGTGTACGAAGACTTTTTGTTTCATTGCGTCCAGCCCTTGCACGCCGTTGTATGTCTCGTTCAAGCCCTCTTCTCTGAATCTGGCTCGTGCATCCTCGCGCGAGACGGGCAGAAGTGGATTGTTCATCAGGTGCTCATAGACATTGTGAGCTAACGCATGCATCACTGATTCTTCTTCGTCGGCTGCTCGTGTATAAGGTCGATTGGCATGGGCCTTCCATGCACGTCCAAGGGATTCGTCGGGCTGCTGCCAGAATCGACGGGCAAGAAATGCATCATCTTCGGTCAATGCTGGCGCTAGTGGCGCCTGAACAAAAACATCTGGCCGCTTTGGAAATGGGGGTGGGTGGACGATGTCTCCCCCGGGTAAGACTTCGTATAACCGTTCCATAGGGTCCATCTTGATATCTTGGTATATCAAATAGTAAACAATAATTGGTAGGATAAACGTATGAACATATGGCAGGTCTCAGGGCTTCGATTTACACAGATCGAGTGGGACTGTGAGTCCAACACGGACCCTTGAGAGTATAAAAGTCAGTCAAGGCTCATCTTACTGCTGATCTGGCCGAAAGGCTTCCCGTGTCAAAGAGTCCCAGGGAACAAAGAAAAGATAAGATCATGTTAGTTTATTTTTGGAAATGAACTCGACTTGAAATGGGGTTTTGAGAAAATGCACCTGCTTCTGCGACAAAGAAAACCAACACTTGGATACTTTGCTATCAACATATGTAGGGGCCGGAAAGATCAAAATTCTCATGTCAAAATCCCTTCCGCTTTTTGGTGGGGAGCCCGTGGAGTATAAAGGGATAGTAAAACAAAGGATAGAAATCCATGGCCTTGGGGATTTCCTCGAAGGCTTGTAATCCTAAGCTTTGAATGTCGTAGGTGCCCGACAGGTATAGATGTGTAGAAAAGTTGCACTGGAGCGGGTGAACCGTGCTGACCCCCAGACCCCAACACAGCCTTGGGGGTATATTTAGACACTCTTAGAAAGACTGCCCCGGTGGACTCTTGAGTTTCCCATGTCTTTCTGAAGTGATCTAATTCACATCATGTACGGCCAGCCGAGTCGTTCTGATCCATCAGAGCCGGAATGGCGACTTCCTCAACGTCCCCCACAGCCATCGCAGTCGTCACAGCCGTCGCAGCCAGTACCTCCTCCTCCACCTCCACGTCCCCCAGTTCCATATTCACCGGCTGCTGGATATTCGCCAGCCACCTATGGACCGATCTCAAACCCACAGAGGTTGCCGTCACCGAGTGGTGCGGATACAACCACGTGGGGAGTGCGGTTCAACCAAAGCTCCGGTCCCCCGCTACCGGTAAGTCCGACGTTGGGTGTTAAATGTAAACAACTAACAGTCGCATAGCCTCGACCTCCAAATACAAATGAACAACAACATACCTATGGACAATCTCAGTCGCCTGCAACTGTTGCAGCTCCTTTTCATCCCGTCCAACCCTCTCCGCCCCCACATCCACCTCCACCGCCATATACACCAACACCAGCACCACCCAGTGTTCCACAACCACCTCCAAAAATCCCACAGGGGTTCCAAAATGCGCCAACCGTCCAAAGCGACCAAACGGGGCAAGCTCCATTGCTTGCTCAAGGGGTAGGACCGGCTGCGATGATTGGATCTTACGGATTCCGTCCGCCTAATCTCGATACAGGTACTACATCTACCGGGGCATCGGCGTTAGGCCCTGGAACACCATCAGATTGGGAGCATCTTGGCCCAACCCCTGGATACTTCGACGATGCAGCGTGGTTCCCCCCTCGTAGAGCGCCCTCTTTGCGTCACGAAGCGTTTCAACCACCATCAAGGGTTCCGGGCGATATTCCCAACGTGCCTGTGCAAAATGAGTCTGTCAGCGTCGCTCGCCCGAGAACAGACACAAATGAGACGCTCTCAAACACTATCTCCGGGGCGACACAGTCGGGACAGGCTACCTCGCATTCGCCTGTCAGTCCATGCTCAACACATGGAATACCAACACCACCTCCAGTGGCTCGCGTAGACACCACCAGCTCTGCCTTGTCTATCGGGGGCTCAGAAAGTATTGATAATGTGATAGATGCATGGGTCCGCCCATTATCTCCTGCGCATAAGCCAGTTCAACCGGAACCCCAGGACCGCCCCGGTGCATTTTATCAAACCAGCCCAGTTGAGCGCTCACAGTCTGCGCAAACCAACTCATCAGTCTTTGACCATTTGCGATCGAGCTCGAATAATTCTGCACGGATGGCTGAAGGATCCAGAAGAGCGGCTACGACAAAGAATCAAGATCCCTTCGAGGATATGGACCCTTGGTCTAGATCATCGTTGGAAAGATATGTCGCCATGCTTCGTAAGGAAGCAGTGGCTGACTTGGATGAAGAACGGTACAATATCTTCACGGCTTTTATGGCCAAAGAGACCAAACTCCGGGAGATTCTCTATAATATTGAGCATGAGCCTGAAATACCGCCGCCGACTCCGCGAGCTCCTCATCCTGCTTCTCATCAGCCGCTCTCGGTTTCAAATTCCGAACCCAATAAACAACCTGTTGAATCGGGACTGATACCCGTTGCGTCAGAAGAAAGCCCGTCTCCTCCGGCGGCAACAGCAACAGAAGATGAGGATCTCGATGATGTTGGCAGTGAGTACAGTTCAGGTGGTCGGCCTCTGCTCGCTCAGAAAGCACGACGGATCTCTCAGTTTCTTCCTAGTTTATCTGCTGTGCCCTCGGGTGCAGAGTCGACTCATCTCTCAAGACCATTATCGATCATGTCAACGGACACGCAGAAGCAAGCCTTTGAGCCCCTGGCTACGAACCCCCCACGGCCCATATACACGCCATTCCAGTACAAGGAAGGTCCCCAGCGAGGCTCGGACAACCTCACATTTGCTCGCCCAGCCTACCAAGCCTACTCTGATATGCGGCAAGCAGCTGTCAGTGGACGAGTCATGTCAAATGCACCAGCACCTACATCTCGTTCAAGTTCAAACACTGCACTTGGTTCTCCAACTCAGAACGAACATGACGAGACCTTTCTTGGTCTGATCCGTCACAAGAGCGTCGCTTATTCTAAACCGGCAGAGCAAACCTCTCCGCCTCTTCCATTGCTGCCAGAAACCCTTCGTCAAGGCCGGCCAAAGGCCCTCGTGGAAGAACTACGCACAATCGTTTCCAAACCTCTGGATAGACAGTCTGAAAACTCGTGGCACATCACGATTCGGGAGGAGCTGAAAAAGTTTTCCGATGATTTCTCGTACATCCGGCGGACCGCGAATCAATGGGAAGAAACAGCGCAAGCCAGACGGCAAAAGCTGGAACAGGAGCGTATGGCTCGTCAGGATGAATCCGAGTTACACATCGATGATCTTTTCAATGCAAAAGAGATCGGGTATGCAGACATCAATACCTTGGAGGAAGACTTCCGGCAAACTGAAGCTCGGGTCCAATTAGAGGAGGAACGACAAGAAGTAGACGATTTTATTGCGCATGTCTTCAACCCCTTAGATGAAGGCCTGAAAAGTGAAATTTCGGCGCTTCGCAAGTCCTACGACGCTGCTCTCGGTCAACTCGACCGTGATCAGCAGGACAAGGTCTCAAAAAGCGAGCGCGGCAGCCCATCTGTGACGATGAAAATGGTTAATGACATTCACAATAAGCTGGAAATTCGATTCCAGCAACGTCTTGAGTTAGCCCTTGACTGCGAGCGACGACGGAAGAAGGCTGAGCGGCGACCACTTGTATTCATGGGTGATGTGGCTGCTCTGCGAAAACTAGATGGAGAATTTGACCAGATGGAACGGCGAAACATTCTAGAAGCGTGTAAGGATCGTGATGACCGAGCCAACCGACTCATGGATTCCTTCGACGATGCAATTTTGCACGGGCTAGGTACAAATCAAACCCTCCTGGACGAGATTGCCTCGAAAGCAGCTCGGCTAGATACCGCTGCCCTCCGAGCCTCCGGTCTTTCGGTTTCTGAAATCGAGCAGGTTCTCAGATCTGCAGCCACCTTTGCGGCGTCCCTACGAGTCGATTCGGAGGCCATCATCCACAGCGCTGGGGTCGCAGATATGGCCCTTAATGACGCCGACTATGGAGTGTCCGTAGCGGAAGCTCGATATGCCAACTCAGAAGCGGATATTTTCCATCGGCTGGAGGATGAGAAGAAAAAAGAGGATGAGAAAATCCAGGAAGACTCGAATTCAAAGTTGCAGAGCATTCAGAAGGGGCCTGAGCAGATTGAAGCCACAATTCAACGTCTTCTCCTTGGCTTACACAACGATCCCCACACCGCCGCCCCGATCTCCCCAGTCCAAGACCTTCTCCCAACGAGGGCCTCGGGTGAAGTGCCTATACCTCCAAGTCTTCGCCCTTCAACTACTAGCCCGGGTCCATCTTCAAGTCCAGCACCCGTGAGTCAAAGTACGGATGAAGACTCAGAACATAAACAAAGGCTTCTTAGAGCGCTGGAGGCAGCCAAGCAGCGCAACGCTGCCAGGGGTCATCATTGATCAGGTGGGAAGCAAGCTGTGTGGAATATCCATGACCTGACGAATGGCGACGAATTTTCTTGCATTTCAATATATACCCTTTTGTCTTTTCTCTTGTCCTGTTCGCATGTTTGTGTTCCAGCTCGTATTTTGCAAGTTGATACCCACTTTATGCAACGTACTAGTTAAATGAAGACTAGGGTAATTTGCCTATTTGATCATTTTGCTCGCACACTCAAGTCACAGTTAAATCTTACTGTGTGGAGCCTTAATCTTGTCCGATTCCTTCTCTCGGTAGTTAGTTTTGTAAAATATTCTAAGCAGGCCTATATGGACATTGAAGTATATGCTTAATTCGGGTCAACAGCACAAAATCTGACGGAGTCTTTTTCCCGATGTCACACGAAGATTCTCTCTTAGCATTCTGATCTTTTGTGTCGGCTATAAACGTCACCATAGCATGCTATCGTCGCTACTACCTTCAGGGCTTCCAGGACGACGTTCACTATAGACATAACGGTTGAAATCACACATTTTTTCCCCCATCCCAGAAGACCGGTAAGACTCCGATACGTTTTGAGAGCCCCATGCTGATTTTTCCTCTAACCTTCCCTTCGCGCCACTGTGGCTGCGTCATAGACAGGGGCCAAAATCAGTCAAGTGATTCAACGTGCAGGAAGGGGGAGAAAACAGCGCACAGACGATATCTTCGAACCCTCAAGAACCGAGAGTTAGCCATCACCTACGCCATATGTGACGCGGATCGCAGTGCATACCAAGGCACAATTTTTAGGCGCCCAGGGATGGCGATTGGCAGGCGATAGCCAAGCCAGTGAGCTAGACGCCAACTGCTGCCGATCAACCATGTTGCGCAGTCAAAAGTGCCTACCGCAGCCTCAACAGACCTGTCGAGTTGTCTCGGTGCTTGGGCCGCATCAACTTGCAGGGATAGAAGATTAACTCCCAAACCCAATACATACACAATCTGGCGGGTCTTGCTGTGCCGCACAGTTCGCTGTGCGCCACGCTCGGATTTGCTGCGCACTATACGATGGATATCGATCCCGGACAACTTGCGGCCGAAAGAATACCGCATACAACATAGTCTCCTGCGCCAGGCCTTTTGGTCCACTCGGCATGTCGTCTTGTTCGGTTACAATTTGGTGATCCACTTTCTATGGATTTTTCTGCGCAATATGCAAGGCAGGCCCTTGCTATCACCAACCCCATCTTGGATGATGCAGATGTGGTATGGTTTCGGGGAAATAAAGACATTGCGGCGTATACTCCGTGTATAGCTAGCTTCTCCTCGGCCGCGCTCCGCCCCTGGGATCAGGGCATCGGAATTATCACCAAGGCCAAGAAACCAGTCATCATCCTCGTTTGAAATACGGAGTAAACTGTCACATTCGAGCTTGCTGATGAACAGGGATTTCCTGCGCAATTTTTTTGGTTTCTGTTTGGGGCCTGGTTGTCGCAGAGACAAAGAGCCCCGGGTTGCCGACCTATCCGAAAGAACCATGACATGACATGCTAGCAATTCTCCACTATGATGGAAACTACCAGGGTGCAATCATGGTCAAGGAGAAGCAACTTGTCGGAATGGTCCGAGTGATGCTGTTCTAGAGCTTCGAAACAATTTCCAATCCCCTTTCGGCTGCTCGGGCGGCGATCGCAGCTCCATTGTGCCTCTTACATTGTAAGGCACAGGCTGGAGATTTATCTTGTACTAGGAGTATCCCCGTTATCTTCCACGGTTTCCTAGGCAAGACCCCTGTCCTTTTTCCCTGCATAAGGGTCTATCTCGCCAACAGCGTCTACCTACTCCATATGCAAATACGAGATGCAAGCTTTGCATTGGTCAACTGTAGATTCAGCCACCTAGCGACACTCAAGGATCAACATACAACAAACCAAGATTTTAACTTTCTGTCGATTCTATTTGCATTCTTTTCCAGTTGCATGCATTGCTCTCAGAGGCAAAAAAACTGCGCATCTTTGTGAGAGATGACCCTATGTCCTCGGGTACCGTAGCCATGCCCCGGGCCACAATCTGTTTTCAGGTGCCAGCCGCTTAAGCATTCCATTTGACCCCAGGTCTTTCCACAAGATCCTCCATTAGCGGATGTCTGTGCGCTGCGTGATGATGCTGATCCATGAGATTGTACTAGGTAGAATTAAACGGCGCAGTCTTGTTGAAACATCATCCCTTCATCTCCTGCGGCACATCCCATCGAGCCTCCAGATTTCCCCCTCTTTGCCTGAGCACTCACCTTTCACTAAGCGCTGTTGGGGTAATAAAAAAAAAATCTTTGAAAAATCCAAGCTGATTCTGCTGAAAGAGAGATACAAATTATTTTGCAGGTGAAATTGACAAAAAAAAAACATCTCAATGGCCCCTGATTATTTAAAGCGGGCGCCATGGGAGCCCGTTCCATGGTTCAGTGTACCCGCTTCCGTCCATGGGTCGGGAGAACTCTGTGAGTCTACGAAAGTCCACTGGGAAATCATTCGCCCCTCTTTGATTTTAAGGGAAGGCTTGTCCTCTCTTTTTTTTCGTCATGTCCGCTCCAACAGGGCAATTTCACAGGCTGTCCATTGGTCGAAACATGCCAGATACAGCGCTGCCTGCTAGAATCCGCGCGGGGCGACCGGACTCTTCCGATAGTGATGAGGAGGATAGCTCCTCGGGGAGCTCCAGTGATGGGGAGGAGGAAGAGGATGAAGAAAGCAGTGATGAGCAGTCTGAATCCACTAGTGCCTCCGTCCTCGCATCGTCCGGCATAACCTATGATCTCAGCCAACTGGATTCCGAGTCTGAAGCCAGGGCCTTTGTGGGTTTGACTGGCCGTTTTGATGTCATCAACTGTCGCTCTACTCCCGCCGGGTATGACTTTCAGCTGTTGGATCGGCCGCAGGTGCATATAGGCTCCGACTCATTTACCTGCACTTGCCCAGTCTTCCAAGGTCATTCGGACGGGGCGTGCCAGCACATCTTTGTGAGTATGCCTTTTGGGGAAGCTTAAATAGCTCGGAGGCTTGAAGTGCCAACACTAACCCCCGTCCCTTGAACAGTGGCTCGTCGATCAACTACATAGCTGCTTCCTGCCCATACCTCGGTCAACAGAGGTGACACTGACTCCAAACGGACGTCCGGACCGCCTACCGAGGATCGAGGATCTCCTGAAAGGTAATCTAATGTCGGTTGCAACGCAGCTCAAGTGGCAGTGCCTACGAGATGAGCAGGATGGGATGACGCGGACAGAAAAGGTCCGGGACATCTTTTCTGCATTCAGCAAACGAACTCTCCCAGAAGACGCCCGCCGGGACTTGACGGAGACAATGGAGCAAGCTCGAACGCCAGAGCAATGCGTGGTTCAAGGCGATTTTGAGGCAACCATGTTCCGACTTGCAGTGCACGACGATGCAGTTTTCGACAGCCTCTGTAAAGCGATGCCCGCAGGCGCATGTGCGGCCATCTACTTCGACAAAGTACAAGAGCAGTCACGCCGACTGCTAGACGACTTCGACCGATACTGTGCCACCGGGGAGTTACCCGCAGACCCCGTGAGCCCAGGCTTGGGCATTGAGGTCAACGACGTCGTAAGACAGCTCCAGCGTTCTGTATCCCGGATTGCAGTCAACATGGCCGCACGTGCCCCGCATGGCTCGGAGGGCGCCGCCGAAGCCCTCGTGTCCCTCCTGGAGTCAGTCGTGGCTCGCAATCATGATCCCCTGGAAGGCAATCCACTGGGCCGCCAGTCCTTCCATGGTGAAGACGAGGATCAGCGCAATCTATATCATCTGCTCATCGGGTCGGTCGAAACAGACTCCGAAACAGACGCGCGGCACTTTGTTCTCAACGCGCTTGATGCCCTGCCGCCGGTGGACCTCCACCAGTGCGCCAACCGGCTGCGCGACATTCTCAGTAAGCTCGAGGTCAACCGTGCCCCGAAGCCATATCTTCTCCACCTGGGCTCGTTGATCCGTGTCGCTGAATCTGCTGCTGCTACTGCTATGGGATCTGGACAGAAGCGACCGGCGGCTGGGAATGGGAATTCCGGGGGATACTCAAAACGAACCCGCTGAATTTGTTGATCTTTTTATTTCATACGTGTGTTATCTTGTTCTGGGAGGCTATCGTGTTCATTGCAATACCCCGCTGCATCGTGTTCTTTACGTTTCATCAGCGACGAATCGCTCCAGTTCTATTTTGCTTCTCAGCCATGTCATTCATTTTCCCCGTGGACGTTCTTTTGAATTTTACTATCTACGATCATTTAGAGTTGTTCATTGTCCATAGTCATTTTAACATATACAATCACTCACAACATCTCCAAAGCAACATCAAAATAATCATGTAGGTATCAGTATTCAAATTCCCCCGGGCATGTCGTCATTGCCAAACCCAACACTGCGGCCTCGGAACCCCAGGTCCATGGTCCAAGCCTTGCTAGCCGGTGTCACTGCTTCCGCACAGGGGTAACTTAACCTATTTACGAGGCTGAACCATGGAACCAACCTTAAATGTGGGTCCTACACACTTCGGAAATCCTTTCAATTTGTTTTTTTTTTTTTTTTCTTTTTTTCCCTTTTGGGGTCAAACACTCGAATCGGACCACAATTGAATGCCGAGATCAAAGACCGTCGTACGAATGTCAATCTCGATCTGGTCGTTTCGCCCGATCTATGCTGTGTTGATTGGGTAGGAAGGATATAACTACCGAGTACTCCGGACTCCGGACGAGATAATATAATTCTGTTGGGTCCCACAATATTCCCCCCTGTTTTCGTTCTTTTGTTGGGCAAACTTCATAACTCTCGGGGAGTTGTCCTTTATCAGATAGATATCTTGTCCTCACCGCTCATATTCTCTTCGAAAAGTGTCCCACTAAGAAACCCGCTTTAAGCTAATGGCTCTGTTTTTCCATTTTCTGACCCACAGATTTTCACTATCGAAAGATATAGTGCCCTGACATCGCTAGGCGTTAAATTACCCCGAATGAGAGAGTTTGGTCTTGAATTATGGCATTGCGGTATTTCATGAGAATTATTAATAAATCAGGGGATTTAGCAGTCCGGTTGACGTTTACACTCGCCATGAAATACCTCGGTGCGATGTTCTTTTCAGTGTCTGATTCCCAGGCTTTCTGAATGACAAAAGGACAAGGGGAGACGGATTATGCAGCCTTATGATGTCTTGCTTACAGGGCTTTCCAGTGGTCTTTTCAGTGGTCTTTTTAGTAGTCCTTTCCGTGGTCTTCTGAGATATCTTTAAGATACGTAATTTAGTGTTCCCCCTTTCTAGTCTTATTGGTAGACAGCAGGAAAAGGCGGGAAAAGCATACTCTGTGTAAGGTACTTTTCTACGTATGACTCCTGACTGATTGATTATATGGGGTTGATAAAAGTACAAGTGTGCTTCGGTATAACTTAAGATATTATTGACCAGCGGATCCGTTGAGGTCTGCAAAACCGTGGGGCCGACTTTATTGGAGTAAACGGTTTGATCACGTGATGTGATTGTTGGGTTCGTGCTCGGCACACGTTCTGCAACAATCTTCCATTATACCAATGCTGGTATCTGCCTCCTTCTCCTCTTATTTTTGACACAGACAAGTTTGCTTGTCTAGTTCAGGCGTGTGTCAACGACCACTCAACGGAAAACTTCGACGCGAAGGACGCGGAGACAAATACTCGATTTATCTGGTTTTTACTGAAGAAATAAGACCATCAGAGCAGCGGCTCTTATTCGACTGTAATACCACGTACGTGGACAACTGCAATCAAGCTTGAAAGAATCCTGTATATAAAGTTTTTGCTCGGGGTCCAGTGTAAACCTCCGGGCTTTTTTGCAACAATGACATTCCACAGTGCAATAACCAACTGCAAATTTCCGTTCTGACCAGCGATAAGAACAGTATCCATAGACTCTGCCACAACAGCCTCCTCTCCCAACACAATTTTCCCAAAGTACTTGATATATATACCATTTTGGCTGTGAACGCTAGTGCTCAATACCTCTAGTCAGCGCGGAGTCCAAAAATGAAGACCTAATTTCCCACTCACGTCGTTCTAAGATCCAATATTCCTTCGAAAGTGTCGACAATTCCTCCTGTAGATCTTGAATAATAGTCACGTTACTTCCTTCTTTAGAACGTTCTTCTATTTTCTCTTTCAGGGCTAGCTTGCGTTGAGTATTCTCCCGAAGTGCAACCCCTATCTACAATAATCCCTTTAGATCTGTGGGCAATGTTGCTCTGTTTTCTACGTTAGCGACGGGAGTGTTTCGGTATTTTTGAAGAAGACATATATCTCCAGATATCTCCAGGTCAATATCTTCATTGGTTTTGTCCCCGTACATAGCATAGCTCATCTTCGAACATCGTTTCACTCAAGGATATTGGGTCTAGTAAAGGAGCTCGGGATTGGAGTTTTTGGAGAATCGAAGATATGATCTGCTTAGTGATCGTATCTACCGTAGGCAGAGCTCCAGGAATATCCTAGTTATATAGAGCAAAAAGTCTAACATTCAAATTGCCGCTTCCGAAAGAGGAATTCGTCGTAGTCATTACCCGATCTATCACCCGCTAGGCGCAATCGTCAAGATGACATTTATATTTAAAATAGATTCTAGAGTATCTGATTTTATAGGATTTAACATATTTTAAAGTCACGAGTGACAGAGTACCATGTTCAGGGGTATGAGATAGTCCTACACTTTGCCATCATTCTGAAATCATGGACTCTTTAGTAACGGATAGTAAAAGCCTTGATGATTTTTTAGCCAGCTCTTTACATGAACTATACGCAGTTCTGACTTTGAATACACCTGATAATATTGACCTAATCATCCAACCAAATGAGTCAAATTATTCAATCTGGAGTGACTGGAGTGACTTTTCAAAACTGAATGTATGGATGACCTCCGACATTTTCTCGGCTATTGACTCACCCTCACTCAGTTCAGCACCCTGCTGGCTCTTTCAACATCTACAAACTCACCACAAGCCAAAGTATCACCAAACAAGAAGAAAATCGAGCAAAAAATGAAAATGAGGCGAGATGTGCCCGAATCCCCTGAGATCCTCACTCTCACAAACTGGAGATCATGGAAAAATGCCATCGAGAAACACGCCCGAAAAGAAGGTGTTTGGGAGTACTGCGACCCCGACGCCCCGGCTAAGTACCATCCCGAGCTCTATGAACCCGAAAAGCCACACATTTCCACAGTCAGGCCCGAAGCAGAATCCCTCGTAGACCTCGGAGAGGATGACTTCATTGAACTCTCCTCGGTCGTGGATATGTACTGGCGGCAGATGCACGCATACGAGAAGATTCAATTCGGACTAGATGTCATCTTCAAACTTATAAAACATCATGTCGACGACAAATACTCGCATGTCATTAAGCATGCAAAAACACCGCTGGAGCAGTTGACTGCGCTATGTACTGAATTCCATAAATTTCGCCTGGAAAATCTGCAGCAGAGATGGGAACGTATACAAAATCTGGCTAGTGGGCCAGAAGTACAGGAGCTATTTGAACGATGGAACGCCCTGTTCACAGATTGCGATGGATATCTTTCTGCTCATGCTCGAAAGCAGGATGGCTTTTGGGACTGTGTTGAAGTAGCGGGATCTTCCTCCGCAAATTGCAATCCTCTCACTTCTCAGCGCTGGATTGAAACTTTCAGCCATGTTGAGTCGACGAACAATGGGGATGCTTGCACTCGGCCTCATTTACTGGATAAGCCGAGGTCTATTGCTTCTCTGCGCCAGATTAAAACCCCAGGCTATGATTGCGATCGATCTTGTTCGCCGCCTGAACTAGAGTCTATCGCTTCCCACCACTGGAGTCAAACCACCGACGATGTTGAGTCGTGGAACAATGGAAGTGATTGTTCTCTATCTCACTCACTGGCTGGACGGGAATATATTGCTTCCCCGAATCTGACTGAAACCCCCGGCACTGTTCAACATGAAAATGGCGTTGCACGACCTCGATCGCCGGTTAAACGGGGATTTATAGATTTGCCGCATTATGTCAGTGATTGTCAGTCTACGGTGTCAGTTGGACACTCCTCTCTGAGCCCTCAGCCTAGGTCAATGGCAGATCGCATTGAGCGGCCTGGAGAAATCTCTGGAGACAATGTGGAGGTAACGGCTCTTTTGCGACAGTTAGTGCGCCGGGCGGAAAAAGGGGAACCAATGTGTGAAGATTCGGATACATGGTAGACGGGGCCAGGCATGGTGTGTTTGATTTGGTTGGCTTCGGTATCCTAAGGTGGAGCGCGTATGTTTTTTCCGTTTTCGATGGGAAGTGAATTGCTATAGCTCTTTTCAGGTGGATTTGCTACCGTTGCTTAACGAGATCATTGGATGATAAAGTCGTACTTACCACGGTTGGTTTTGCACAGAGTCGAAATCAAAATCATGACTCCATTTCCTATTGAATCTTGAATCTTGAATCTGAAAGGATAGATCATTGAATAGTTGCATAGATGGTATATGATATCATGGGATTAAGTATGAGCAAATTAATAAGAACATGCAAACTGTATCGTCATTTCTTCTTCTTTATATCATCCATTCTCTCCGTCAAAGAAACTCCTTGTACTCCTGTTTGGCAACTTGGGGTTGTTCCGGACATCCGTCCTGTATCCGTTGCTTAAGCTGCCATTCGTTTGTCTTCCAGGGTTGCGTTTGGCCTTGTTAATATAGTTTCTTATGTTAGTTTCACGAATACCAAAGACTTTCACCTGGCCGTTTTGGGCGTATCAACCGCGAACTACTCTTTTGGTATTGTGTTTTCTTTGATTAAGTGTAACTTAGCTTCGACATATGTCTGACCGGGGATGTCTTTGGTTTATAGTGCAGATTTAGCCCAAATTTATCATATAACAGCACGGCCGGCTGGCCCAATGGCAAGGCGCTTGACTACGAATCAAGAGATTGCAGGTTCGATCCCTGCGTCGGTCATTCTTTTTTTCTTTGTATTTTTATTCCTCCAACGCAGAATGTCTCTTTTTTCGCATTTTCTCTGCATTTTTCGGCGTAGAAAAATTTCTCCATCAAATACAAATATTCTCAGTGTCTTTCGCGAGAAATCTCCGCTCAATTGGTGGGGAATACCAAAATTCAATGTGGCTGCCACCTGGATGAGATTTTTACACACATATATATATCTCCCCAAACCTATAATCCCGAGAAACAAGTATACGGGTTAGATCTCTAACTCAAATTGGACCATCTTCATAATTTGATATCATCAAAGACATCAGAATCCCCCTTCAACCACGGTTCCTCCACCTCGACGGACCTGATGAGCACCTGGGCATGTTCACTACGCGGTTGAATTTGGACGCGGAATGGGGATGGATGACTGATGATACCAGGTTGGAACCTAGTTGGGAGATCCATCTCCTTGCCATCCTCTCCAAGGCCTTTCGAGATATCGAAAACCGCGAGGGACTTTGCAATGGTGAGAAAGACGCTTGCGTCAGCGAGAAAACGACCTGGGCAGATGCGGCGCCCGAACCCAAAAATCAACTTCTGAGGATCCCACTCGGGAGAGGTGCCGCTCTCGTCTTGCAAGAAGCGACCAGGGTTGAATGACATCGGGTCCTTATATATCTCTGGATCGTGTGCAAATGACCTAGGAGGGAACGATTCAATTTCAAAGTCAGGCAAGAAAAAAAAAGAGATTGCCACGCTTACTGACCAGATGTTTGGAACCAACACTGCCCCTTTCGGAATACGATACCCGTCGTATTCATCCTCTTCCGTGCTCGTATGGGGAACACCCAAGGGCGCAACAGGATGCCAACGCATTACCTCCTTTATCAAAGCGTCCACATACGGAAGATTCGGACGGTCGTTCATTGTGGGAAGTCTTGAACCTATCACAAGATCGAGCTCCGCCTGAGCATGGCGCTGAACATCTGGAAACTGAGCCATGACGAGAAAGAAAGTTGAAAGTACCGAGACGGTCTGTCTATGTCGATTAGTATCAGGCACAAGTGGCCAAGGACGATCCCCTCACGGTATCTGCACCAGCGCCGTAAATCACAGCTGCTGTCCATTTGATGACAGATTCCTCGTCCGGTGCAATAGGACTATCCAGTGCATTCAAGTGTCTGGAGACGTATGAGTCCACATCCTTTCCCTTGCTGCGTTGATGAAGAACGAATGCATAAGGCTTTTCGGCTAGGTTGGTCAAAGCATCTCTCCATTCCCGCGCTGTTCGTTGAAATCCGGCCCCTGGAAACCAAGCGGGAAGATATTTCACTGATCATCTCAAGTAAGCCAGGGAAATTACCGTCCAAAGTCGGAGTCTGAGAGGAGATGGTTCCTTACATATAGGGATACTATCCACAACCCAAGCTCCAGGCTCCACTGCGCTGGAGAATTGAATGCTAGAAAGCTCAGCCATATCAACGAGAGAATCTGGCCCAGATGACCCGACCTTGTACCCGTAGACCATGTCTAAAATCTTCGCTCCGGTGACCCTGAATTTGAGATCAGTCAGTTTATCTATATTTCCCTATCTTTTCATGTATCGGATCATGAATTTGGATCACACCGTCGAATGTTTTCAATCAGAGAATCGGGCTGCCGAAGCGTCTGCGATAAGAAATGTCTGGCCCCAAGGTCAAGTTGATGATGCATGTTCATGATGGCATTTTTTGATCCCAACAAGCTTGTGATGTATTTCCGATGTGTACGAACCACATTTGCATCGCCATTGAAGGTCACTATGCGCTTCCAGTTGACCCTTTCCCAGAAAATGTCAGAAATGAAGAACATATTGCCAGGGGTATGCAGGTTTGTTGTGCGAGGGCCTTACAAATCAGCGCTAAACACAGCCTGTGGCCGTGACGAATGAATGGCCGAGCGTCTCTCCATCAGATCATATGCAACCTCCGACTTGTTGAGAAGAATGAGGGTCTGTCCCATTGTCACGAGTGAACTGATAGGGCCTACCAACCATACACCAATCAGAAACTATAACTCGAGGTGTGCCTGCATGAAATCACCATAGAGATCTTTGTGCTTCAACCAATGCTCCCATTCATGAGCTCCTTGCTTTGGAAAATCAAAGAGATTACCAATGAAAGGTCTTCGGGGAGGGCCAGGTGGAAGCGGACGAGAATTGGGTGGGACAAAACATGACTTGAGGGTATACAGCCCCAGCAACCCTAGAAGTAGAGTGAGGGTGAAATATATCACAATCATCGGTATTGGACGTATGGATGAGTTTGGCTTATGCTAGGCTCTTCTCGTTGTCAGTAAAACCAGTGAATGAATTTAAAATGCTACTTTATACTCTCATTTATATACGATTGTCCAACAACAGGATATCCAAAATGGAGGAGAGAAGGGGCCTCCAGCAAACCTAATTTTGTCTTCGTGTCTCTGATATAAGTACAAAGAGATAGATACAAATATTGAATAAACTGTATTATCTACGCCGTCGCCCAGTGAAGGTATGTGCACTTGACTTGAAGATCAGTATCGGCAGTAACGTGTCACTGCATGGAGATCTTGAGCAACGTTACATCCCTCAGCTTCATGCAAGAGCAATAGTCTGACATTTGGCTTTTGGATATGATATGCTATCTTGTTTTTAACTTTCGAATCGTAAACAGATTCCTGTTGTACTTGGTGCCACCGCTCCCCTTTTATCATGTAGCCTTTCAGCCCATGCAATGCAAATCCATATCGGGAGGTCATCCTATATGGAATGTACATCATAAATATTGCTGGGTGCTACATGGAGTCGCATGCCTCGTTTGACCGGAGAGATCATGAATGAACGTGCAAGGGATCGTCATTGCATATAAGTATCACTTGGTAAACATCCAATGGCTCATAGATTTCGGAATATACGACCATAATTTATTTCACTACCCCTGCTTCTACGTACAGGCTGCACTTTCTTGCTTGCCTATTTTTCAATCTACTATGCCTCTCCTATCAAAACCCCCTTCATCAGTCATCATAATTGGTGGCGGGTTCTCTGGACTGGCGATGGCATGCCAGCTCCAGCGAACCTTGGACTTGGACGACTATGTTATTTACGATCGGAACAGTGGTATTGGAGGAACCTGGTGGGCAAACACATGTTCGTTCATCCCTCCGCCTGAATTCTCCCTTTGTTTATCAAGTGCTAATAGAGACTTGTGTGCCATGGAACAGATCCAGGATGTGGAGTTGATGTTCCGGGGATTTGCTATAGTCTTTCGTATGCTCCAAATCCCGATTTCACCAGGTTATTCCCCCTCAGTCTGAGATATTAGACTATATGCACCGGGTGGCCAGTCATTATGGGGTCTCTGACCACTTCACTGGAAATACGGAATGGGAGGGGGCGGACTGGCAGGATGAGAAACAGCTGTGGCTCGTGAGATTGAAAGATCTACAGACAGGAGACCAGTTTACGCAAGAGTGTCGGATCCTCATTTCCGGCGTCGGGGCCCTTGTTAATCCCCGAACGATGGACGTAGAGGGCTCTGAGACGTTTCAGGGTAGCATTATACATACCGCCCAATGGCAACACAGCGTTGATCTTCGCGATAAGCATGTCTCTGTAATTGGCAATGGAGGTGTGTCATCCTACCGTCTGTAATCCAGGGGGAATATTCTGACAGCTCAATAGCATCTGCATTACAGCTGGTTCCAGAGATAGCAAAAGAAGCCAAGTCGGTCACGCAGTTTATGAGGGTATGTACACCATTCTGATATAGCTTACTACATGTCCTCCACTATGCGGGAGCTTCTGGATAACATTTGCATCACTACAGAGCCCACAACACCTCGTCGAGAGCTCAAACTACGCGATTTCGCCATTTTGGCGATTCATGTTTCGCTACTTTCCAATCACTCTCTATCTTGCTCGATTTGTGATGTTTATTTACATGGAAGAATCCTTCCTCCACTCACAACCCAGTAGGCCAGGGCGCTTATCGAGGGCTAATTCTGAACGACAAAGCCGAGAGTATGTGCAGAGAACAGCTCCTAGTATGTACCACATGCCTTCATGGGTTGAGCAATATTTTCAAACTGATCAATCGTAACAGAAAAGTACTGGGACCTTTTAACTCCCACTTTCGATTTCGGATGCCGTGTGGGTATTTCTACATCTCTTCTCTCAGCCTGTACTGAAACGATCCTACAGAGACGTATTTTCGACCGGGCATACGCTGCGAGTCTGCACCAAGATAACCTCACTCTCACGAATGACCCCATCGTGAAAATCAAACCCACCGCCATCGTGACCGGCTCAAAAGAAGAGGTTTATACCGATGTCATTGTAAGTGGACATTTCAGTTCACTTGATACAACTGTATGACCGTGTAATTGAACTCCACCCTACAGGTTCTCGCCACTGGATTTGACTTGTCGCAATATGATATTGAAATCAAAGGTCGTCATGGAAAGACACGCGAGCAACACTGGCAAGAGGCAGAAGGAAAAGCCACCTTTAAAACAGTAGCGATGAGCGGATTCCCGAACTTTTTCTATATTCTCGGACCAAACTCGGGCCGCATCTACACTTCGACCCTCGCCATGATTGAAAGGTAGGCACCGCCCCCCCATTGAAATCGAGCCAATTCCTTCATATACATGCTAAACAATACTTCTAATCAATATAGTCAAGTTGATCTGGTGATCAATGCCATTCGTCCAATCATACTACGCCATGCGTCATCGGTTGAAGTGAGGACCGGCAGAGATAAGCAGTATCAAGACAGTCTGAATCACGCACTGGACAACACCATTTATAATCGGTCCTGCTCTGGTGTAAGTCTTACTCTTGTTCCCAAGATATAATGGAGCTGACCATATTTCCGCGTAGTATTTCTTTGATGAGGGTACGGGAAAGAATTGGTTCATATATCCATGGGACTCTGTTCATTTGTGGTGGGAGATGTATTGGAATGCGGAAGCTGGCTGGGAATATCACACATGAATGTAAATTTTCTCCGGGATAATGATATTTTTTCTCGCAAAAGAGAAATTTCAATAAGGATCATGGGAATACGAATTAAGCGAGTCATGTCACTTAGGACTGAATCTAGCTACATGAAAATCGATTGATCACTTTAATGACATACTTGGCCTTTTTGATATAGAATACTTGATATCATGAATCAAATACCTAAAGTGCAAGGCTACGCACCCTTTAAAGACTGTATTAGAGACGAGGTCCGTCGACAATATACACAGGGTTTTATAGCTCCCAACGATGATATTGTGTTGACTACCGGATCATGAGTGCCCCGGCTCTGTCGAAAGAATTTAGAAGTATAGAAGGTTGCACCATGGGACTCGAAATGTATGAGCTTGTGAACCGTATAGATGTCTGCTGAGACAAACCATGTGTTGGATGCCTCCATTCTTAGGCTTCAACCAGTTCGTTCCACCAACTGGTCTACATAGTCACCTAACTAGCTTGTAGATAATCCTCTTTCTCCATTCTTTGCTTTCCAGTACCCACCAACAATGTCTTCTGGTCTACACATGGCGCTTTTGAACACACTCATTACTAAAAAAATCAAACCTAATGAACAGGTTCGCGTGACAGAGTTATCACATTGCAGATCTTAGCTAAGGTTTGCTTTGACCTGTGGCGAGGTCACTTCTATAGAAATCAAAAAAGAAAGCATTCGTCTTACCGAGCATTAATGTTGGACAATTGAAAATTGAAGGTTTCCCTCAGCAGGGGCGAAATTGAAAGAAAAGAAAAGAAAAGAAAAGAAAAGAAAAGAAAAGAAAAGAAAAGAAAGAATATAATAGTAAGAGAGATAGTAAGGAGAAAGACATATTCCACCTTCTTTGGTATTCCCTCTGTCCTGTACCTCAGGGGAAGGTAACAGCATAAGATGGGATTCGTTAGAGAACTTGTTTACTGTGCTACCTTGGTCGGTGTGCAATCGGGCTTAGGGCTCTGGGTCAAAGCCATCGTTGCCTTCCTCGGCTCAGCAATTCTCGTTGCCACTCTTGCCCTCGCAGGCCTTCTGTTATGGGTATTGCTGGATAGCAGAAGATTAGTTTCGACTGCCAAAAATCCTAACACCGTTATTGGACGGCCTCTATTGTTTCCAGCCACGCTCACACATACCAGAGTCTCCCCGGTCAAGAATAAGTTCAGCCACCGGGTCTTCTTAGTTGGAATTCCTATAGGTCTCCGAGGACAGATAGGCCCTTTTTTGTCTATAGATCAAGATGGCTCAACGCTGCGCTGCGTCACATTATTAAGGCGGTTCTTTACCTGGTTTGCTTTTGATCCCGTGCGCTATTTACAACGTGGGGACAATGAGCATGGTCTTCGGGAGAAGTTGGATCGATTTTTACGTTCTCAGGTGAGCCCTAAAACACTGAAAACGGGCCATTTGGACTAAAAAGCTCGACAGAACAAAGATCCAGCCAGATGGCCATATGCGTACTTGTTGAGTGTGCCTAGCTTCCTGTGGTGGGAGCGCAGTGTGGTATCCTTCTGGTACCTTTACTCACCATCACGGGAATTAGATGCCATGATCATGGAGATAAACAATTCATTTGATGAAAAACGCAATGTCCTCTTCAAACTCGAACCTGAGTCTAATCAGCCCTTGACGGAAATCAACGAATTGAAGACGGAGCCAGAATATTTAGATGAGAAGAAGAGTGTTATGTCGCTTCCTTCATTGCCCAGTGCAAAATTCTACAAGGGTGTCTTCGAAAAAGGCATCTTTGCATCTCCATTTGAGAGGGTGGATACGCCAATTTCCACTCGGGTCATTGACCCCGTTCAGATATCATTGTTTAAACCCACTGCCGCTATTGCCAACGTTGTTTCTACTGACCTGGCGGGAGAAAGTAGAATGGTAGCAGGGCTCAGCTGTCGGGAACCACCCATCGACCCAGTCAACATGACCGCAGTCGATTTGGCTAAATACATCTTTCTGTGGTCATTCCACACCACCTTGACGACCCCCCGGATTCTCTTCCAGGCTCTCAAAATTCAATATATTCAGGGTTTGATGCAGATGATGGATCGGCCTACGATTCAGCCAGGCAGTATTGCGCGCCATCCAACCCCCATAGAGAGGTATGTACTGCTTTCTTATGAGGGATTATACCGTTATACACAATTTTAATAGATTGATAGGAGACTTGAGCCGTTTTGGCGTGCCTTCCTGTCCCGATGTGTCGAGAGGTTTCCCGAACCGTTGGAACTGACATACATCCCCTCCAAATCAATTTCCAATGATCATGTGTGCCTTGCCTCACCTTCGTCGAGCATCAGATTGCATATGGCAGCCAAAAGCCTGACTGTAGAGGCGGTTGATCCCGGTTTCTACGCGCGAATAGTCAACTACGCCGATATTTGGGATGGCATCTCGCATGAACAGAAGCAGGAAGAGAACCCTGCAGACGCCACCTCTAGTCCTCTCGTTGTATCAGATCTCCAGCTTCTTCGTAAGTTGGTCGTCAATTTCCAGCAGAGGACTCCAGACACCCCGGTCGGGTTAGGGTTGACTCTGGCAAATTTCCTTGCCTGGTGCCGTGGATCAAGGAGTCAGATGGACTCTTTCGTGCTATCTTCAACAGCTCCATTCCTCCACTCACGCTACACACAGTGTGTACTCCGCCTTGGGATACTGCATCGATTTGCCCTGAACTCTCAATCACTTCTATGGAGTTACGAGGTCCTGGCTCGGTGGATGCTTTTGGGCATAGCCCAATCAATATGCTCTATGATAGGTGCCGTTCCATCTAGCTATCTTTCCGTGGTCAGTGTCATCGTGTATTTTTTTCTTTGGAATATTGGGCGCGTTGCAGTCAATGCACAACTCTTCCCTTTGGGTTTTTGAATGAATCACTTACACCTTCGCATCCTATGACGCGGCCACTCCACTTGTTCGTACTACAAAGTCATATGTATTACTTCGTTGATCCCTACAAAAGAGTTTGACTAGAAGATGGTGACCACAGACTCAGCCAACCTAGCCTCGAAACGGAAACTTTGTCATAATTGACCTAGAAAGATCTACCTACTCAGTATACGCAATAGGGTATAGTCCTGATTACCTTTTCTCATTTATGTACTTTCTTGTTTGTCGTCTAACTTCGGGCATTGTTTGCAAAGTTCATGTCTCATGCACCAGATCCCACACAGCATGACTGTCATGAAGTTAATTTGGTTAATGGATTTATTCAATACTGACATGTGCGGGGAGTGAGCTGACATCTCATCGCCCCGTCCTACATAAACTAGCATCTGAATTACTCCTGAGATCATTGTGGTGGGCAAAAATATTGAAGCATCAGGACTCATTCTCACTGCACTTCGACGTCGGTCTGCCCTTGATCCTATCTGATTACCAGCACTATACAATGCAGGTTTCATTTGAAGTCTACCGCGGGTCGCCCGATGGCCACATTGTATCGGACACCACCACTCGAACACTAGGACCCACTGAGGTCTACATTGAAATCACGCACTCGGGCATTTGTGCGTCGGATAAGTTCTTTTGGAATACATCCCAGGTTCTCGGCCATGAGGGTGTTGGAATTATCAGACTCCTGGGTTCGAATGTGACCACAGTCAAGGTTGGCGATCGTGTCGGGTTTGGATATGTGCGCAAAGTCTGCGGCGCCTGTGACAATTGTGGAACTGGTTTGCGTTTCTCCATCCCCGCCAATATTGAAACCCGACATTCTAATACCTGCTATTAGGCTGGGATCAGTATTGCCGGAATATTAGGTTGTACGGTGACTGTGACTTTGACGTCGGCAGCTTCAGCCATGGCACCGTCTGGGATGTCAGTTGTGTCTTTCCGATCCCTGATGGTTACTTTTCTGAAGATGCTGCGCCTCTCATATGCGCTGGGGCCACAGTGTGGAACTGCTTGAGTCATTTTGGAGCTCGGCCAACAGATCGAGTTGGCATCATTGGCATTGGGGGCCTGGGTCATTTGGCTATCAAGATTGCTGCCGAGATGGGATGTCAGGTCGTCGTTCTGTCTCGATCCGACGAAAAAAAAGCGGACGCGCTGCAATATGGCGCAGACGAGTTTCATCTTCTAGATCAGATTGATCGCTCCTCTTTTCAGCGGTTAAATCATTTGTTGCTTTGTGGAAGTCACATGGGCGACCTGGCATCGTCAGTCTCCTTCATTGTTGATAAAGCAGCGAGTATATACTAACTTGATGATTGAAAGACTGATAACCCTCATGGATACCAAAGGGACTATTTATCCTTTGACTGTTTCTTTGACAGACACACCCGTCCCATTACTCCCCATAGACCACGGTGGGGTCCGAATTCAAGGAAGTTTCCTCGCCTCCCGACATGATCTTCGAGAACTGATCGAATTCTGCAATCGTAAAAAGATCAAGCCCACAATTGTGAAGTTTCCTATGACACCAGCTGGGATTGAAGAGGCAATGCAGAAATTGAGAAAGGGGGAAATAAGGTATCGGGCAGTACTGGTTCATGAGCCAACTCAGGTAGCAAATCAGGTAGTAACTCCGGTAGGATACAGCGATTGATATTTACACCCAGATAGGCAATCGATCTTTCATTTTGATAGATTTATTTATAGAGAACACTAGCGAAAACAGAGGTCACGGGCGACTAAGTGATTTAAATCTATACTTACTCTGCAAAAACCAATATATACTGTAGAGGGACACATGAGAAATAGCGGTGTAAGCTGACTGAGCGGAATACGTGTATTTAAGTGCTAGAAGCAAGAGAATAGAAGACTATCCCACCTTTCTTCTACAAACTACCCCTGGGTCCTTCTCCTATCCTCCGTTACTCAATAACCTGCACTGGTTTTGCTCTGGTTCGCAGACAGGCATTACTGCGCGCCGATGACAGCGCTCCCCACTACAATACTTATTAAATCTGAGTATATCGAAATTGAAGTATATTAAATCTAGGGATATCGAATAGAAGGATTTACTATTTTGATATCAGAGGGAAATAGATATTCGTAGTATCATAAAGTATAGAGGTAGAGAAATCAAAGAATAGTTAACATTAACATTGAATCTACAGTTAAAATAAGAATGAAGCCTCGGAGAAGGTGGTGATAAGGACGGTAATATTATATGGGAGGGTTATGCCGGGTGGCATACTTAGTCGCCCGTAAGGGGGACGCAAATCTGTCCAACACAGAAGCAGCGATGTGTAGTGATCTGCACCGTGTTCATATCCCCAGGTGTGGCCCACCATTTGAACAAATACCCGGGTGTGCCTGCGTCGATTCGAAAGAATGGCATAAATAAATAGCACTCCCATTTCCTCCCTGACCGAATTAAAGAAACTCATTGAATTACTGTCTTTGACAAATAAAAAAAAAGTCAGAGGAAACCACGTTTCTACGGTCTATCGCATATCCTGAGATGGCGACGCAAGTACATGGAATAGCCTTCATTACAGGCGCAGGATCAGGTTTGAATTCAATGGAATATCATTTGACATATGCTTCCGGTTTCTCACTTCCAATTATAGGAATTGGCGCAAGCACAGCGCGCAAGTTTGGCCAATGTGGAATCTCTGGGCTCAGTCTTGTTGATATCAACATCACTTCTCTTCGGAGTCTCAGTTCCGAGATTGCAGTGGCTTGCCCCGGCGTGAAAGTCCTTGTTCAACATATTGACGTGACAGACGAAAGCTCAGTTAATAAAGCGGTTGAGAAAACAGTGCAAGAGTTCGGAAAAATTGATATCGCCGTTCACGCTGCTGGGATTGGAGATTCCGGACAGCCAACTCACAACTCATCGCTAGACGGGTGGCAAAATGTGATTAATATCAATCAGACAGGGCTCTGGTTGTGTGAGAGGGCGATTATTCGGCAAATGTTGCAGCAGAAGTAAGATACGGCTTTCTCTTTCCCACTTTCTAATTCCTAAAGGGCATGAACTAGATCCCGGGGCATTCGTTACGGGAAAGGCGTCATTGTCAATGTTGCATCCACGTTAGGTCTGACGGCGGCTCACAATGCGGTTTTCCCATCATATACGGCAGCTAAACATGGTACGTTGCACTTATTAGGATGAGCTTGGTTGAAAACAGAAGACTAATTTGACTGATTCCACACCAGCCGTTATAGGGTTAACTAAATCGGTCAGTCAACAATTTAGCACCCCTTCTAGTTACATCAAATCATTATGAACTAACAGTTGAACCAGGACGCAAAGATGTACGCGTCCCATGAGATCCGGATCAATGCAGTCTGCCCGGGGTAAGTGGTACCTCATAGTCCCTTCTCATTTCGATTTTTTCACTAAAAGCAATTGGGCAGTTGGACACTCACCCCGATGACTGAACAATTCGTCAGCGAACCCTCGATGGAGCGCGAACTCAGCTCTACTCCCGCTGGCAGAATGGGAAAGCCAGATGAGATTGCGGATGCGATCTTGTTTCTCGCTTCGCCAATGAGTAGCTTTGTTTATGGAGCTGGGCTAGTGGTGGACGGAGGTTACACTCTATAAACTGTGTCTGTGTATTTTAATTTTACTTACACTACACGGTCGACTTCAAGTGAGAATTTTCTGAGGGCAATATCACTCCGAATGGTTGCAAATCAACTATGATTCCTAACAGTATGTGGAGTTTTACACGCATTTCAATCTAAGACGAGCCAAATTGCCATGAAAGTAGGAAGAATCTCGTACAGCCTCGCTTAAGAGTGCTTTGAGTGAACTCCTCGAGTCATACCGATATGTGATTAGTTTGATCAACTGTCGGATGCCATAGGCATCCAGGCATATAGATCAAACATGTTTGATATGCCGTCATGCTTGCCAGTATAAATAGGATCTCAGTGTCCTATTCATACTTGCTTTCTCTTCTTCTTCTTTCTCTCTTAGTCTTGCTTCTAGATAGAGAATATCATCATCTTCTCTATCATTAGGTTATAAGCGCCTTTTTATACTAGTTTAAAGACTCCTAGCACTCTTCTATACTAGTTTATCCAGTAGTTTCTTATCAAGGAACCATATCTCCTTATCTAGGAGAATCATTAGGATTTCTTATCAAAAGAGATCTATACCTTACTTAGTTTATACCTTATCGATAGGTAAAGCGAACTAAAAGTGAGGTATTATTCTCTTAATTTAAGATATATCTCTTAATATTAGAGGGAGTATACCAATTTATATAATTTAATCACTATAGAAAGCTTATAGAGTACCTAGGTACCTAGTATTCTAGGTACACTAGCCGATCTACTAACTAGTAGAACTAGAGGTTTATCGCTATTAAGGAACTAATCTCCTAGATAGAGCGAAGATCGATATTAATAAGATTAACGCCCTAGAATATAATATAATAAGTCTAAGGAGCTAGGAATTAAGAGTTAGAATAATACTTAAACTAATAGGATTTAGTGACCTAATTAAAAGTGAAATCCCTAGACTAGACTAAGTAGATCTATTATATATAAGATAGGTTTACTAGTTATTAATTATTAGTACTTAGCTATTCTTATAGGTTAATTAGAACCTATAAAGGTAGATTAAGAACCTTACTTATATCCTAGAAGAAGCTAATACTATATTCGACTAGATAATAAATATAGTTTAAGGTAGAGATAAAGTAGATAATATATATAATAAGTAGTAGAAATACTTTAAAATTAAGCGATTAAGCTTTAATACTACTTATAAGTTTATCCTTTAAATATAAAACTAATACTATATAATTTTAAGGTTTAAAGTTAGTCCCTATCCTTTCTAAATACTATCTAATATACTTAGATAGTTATATAATAAAGTCCTAAAGATTAGCTTTATTCTTAAAGAAATTAGTAAGGTTAAACCTAGTACTATTAACGATATAAAACTTAATTAATATCTTTAGGAAATCTAAGTAGCTACTAATCTTAATAGTATATCTAATACTAATTACTAGGCTAAATATAGATTAAAATTAAAATATAGTAGCTAAGGAGGTAATTATAGAGGCTATAGAGGAAGTAATAATAATAATACCTCTATACCTAAAGATAAGAATAAAGACTCTAAAAAGAAGAAAGGCCTTTATAATTAGCCTCTAGCTAGAAAGGATATTTATAAATACACTTATAAGAAGTATAAGGGTATATATAAAGATAAGAATAGTATATACTCCTACTATAGGTATAGTCTTTATCCTATAAAATAATATACCTATATCTTAGAGGTACCGCTAGCTTTATAGATAGGTAGTAAGTAGGTTTAGACCTATAGTATTACTATAAAGGCGGAAAATAGAAGTAATATAGTGTTACGGACCTATCAGGCACCCAACGACCCAAACTACCCCACCAGCATCATGGGCCATCGAGAGCCAATCAACCTAGATCACATGCAAAGGACACCCCGGCCAACCAGAAATCGTGTCACGTGATCATGCAGGTAGTAGACCGGTCGACGGTAGAACGATAGATTCCGCCAAGACAAATCTACCAAGCTACCATCTACCCAACTACCCCCAGGAAGACAGGAGGATATATAAGGACGTTCATTCATGTACTTAGTCTAGTTCTTTGTCTTCAATCCTACATTGTTACTTGTGCATACCTATACGGACTTACGACTCTTGACTAAGATATAACTTGACAAACACTACGAGCCAGACCAATACCCCGGTATAGATCTACTCGGCGCTCTACCTGGCATCGATTCCTCGACACGACTTCTAGGGACTTAGGCTGCAGTAAGGCCTGCGGATGAGGCAACAGCTCAGTGACGACAGACGTATCGTTGACGTGGGAAACCCGAGGTGTATTAAGGTAACTATACCCTGAACCGCCCAACCTAACCGTGACCAGTTAGCCAGTGCGTAACATATAGCTATTATAGTAGCTAGCCCTAATTTTAGGCTTAATAATTAGCTTTTAGATATAGGATCTAATAAAACCCTAATCTATAATTTTAATAATTTCTATACCTATTATTAAGATAATCTAACTACTACCTATATATATAAAGACTACTCTAGTAAGAGAGTTATCACTAAGGGATATAGAGAAATCCTAGTTAAAATAGTCCTATAGAATAGAATAATCTATTCCTTCTTAACCTAGGGTTATTTTAGCCCTAGAGATTATAGGAAACTTCTTAGAATATAGAAGCTTCTTTAAGATTAAGGTATATCTTATAATATAAGATCGAAATTACTTACTAATAGTAATAGAAATACTATTAGTTATACCAAAATAATATCTAGAGTTCTATATCTAGTTTTATCTACTAATTATAGCGAAGAAAGTAAATAAGATTAACTATATAATTTTAGTATTATTAACTAAGTAACTACTCTAGAGATATATAGATAACTAGGTTACACTAGAAAGGCGAAGATCTTATTAACTTTAAGCTATATAGAGGAACTTAGTAATAATAAAAGATATAGAAATAAGTACTTTAACTATAAGGCCTATTTTCTAGGTAAATTAAAGTAAAAGATCTCCTAAGATATCTAGGAATAAGTATAGGACACTATATAGAAGTTCTATATTAATACTTAGCTAATAAAGCCTATAGGTCTAAATAGGGAGAAATACTAGTTACTAATAGTCGATAATATAACTCGATATATTAAAGGGATTATACTTACTTGTAAGCATAATAGTAATTGTAAGATATATATTTATATACTATGGTGTGTGAGGATAAGATATGTATTTTACCGGTAGTATCTAAGAGAACCTTAGATATATTATTTACGGTAAACTATATTATGACTCACAATATATCGCCATAAATCTAGGATATCATAATGAAGTCATTCTATTATTAATGACTTTCTATGATATTCTATACTGCTAGAGCTTGCCTATATAAGGAATGAAGGATTCCTAGCTAGAAAATAATTATTCAATACAACTTTTCTTACCTCGCACCTATTATTATCTACTTAAGCTAAGTATAAACCTTTCTATATCTTATATAATACAATATTATATAAGATAAAGCTTACCTAATACACCTTCCCCTACAAAATATTATAACCTACTATTAGGCTATAATATTATTTCTGCTAAAGTGCTCATATAGATCTAATTAGATTTAGCTCTCGTAATAAGTAGAGAAGTTAATCCTAAGGGATACTCTTCTTATACCCTTAGTAAGAATCTAGCTCTTAGAAGTGTAGGGTAGAGTTTAGACTATACCTATAATACTATAATTATAAAAATTATTACCTATACCACTAGTGATAAAGCCTAATATCTTTCTAAAGAGTATAATTCCTATAATATAACTTCTAGGCATAACTAACGCTAGGGTAGAAGATATTACTAATATAGTTAAGTACTAAGCTCCTAGCGAAATAGAAGACTAAACTAGGAGATCTAATCTCTAAAGAAGACTTTAAGAATTAACCTTATAAGTCTTAAGGATAGGGAGTAAGATATCTAAAATAAAGAATTAGGTATTAGCTATTAAGTAAGAGATTAGATCTAGCGAAACTAGATCTATAGAGTTAACTCTATTACCTAAAGTATAAAGAAAGGGATATTAATATCCCTTCTCCTTACCTATAATTAAGGCTTAGTAAAAAGAAGAAGAAGAAGCCCTATAGTCTCTAATACTTTAAGAATAAAATAAGGAAATTATCTTAATCTCTTTAACTCCTAATCTAATCACTAAACCTATACCTTATTAGTTAAGATATACTAATATTAGTATACCGCTAGAGAGATATTATAACCCTAATTAAAAATACCTCTCTATTAAGTATAAGAAATAGGATAGAGATAGTTAGAGAGCTATATAAAGATTAAGATTAAGATTACCTAGGGATCTAATAGAAGCTAAAGGATCTATAAACACTATAGTAGATATTACTATACCTATTATATTTAATAATAAACCGCTATATATAAGGGATATCGATATTCCTATAATATATAAATAGGTAGAGAGATCTCCTTTCTAGATATACTAGAAAGAAACTATAGAGAAATAGCTTAAGGACCTTACCGCTAAATAAATATAGACACTAATCCTAAAACCTCTATAATTAAAAGTCCTTCTAGGATAATAGAGATTTATACTAAAAATAAATATAAAGGATTAAGTATATAGGTTTAAAGCCTACTAGATAGTCTATAGAAACTTCTAGGATAAGGATAGAGCGGAATCTTATACTCTAGTAGTTTCCGAATATATAATTAAGGTTATATTAACACTTATTATAATATATAACCTTAGATAGAGATAAGTTAATTTTATAGCGGTATATCTTAATACTTTAAGAGAGTATACTAAGGTTATCTATATAAGGTAACTAACTAGATTTAAGTACTCTAATAGGATCTCTTACTTATTAAACTAGGTACTATTTAGGCTTTAGGATAGTGCCTACCTTTAGAATAAAGATATAGATTCTAAGCTTTAATAAATAGGCTTTTTACCCCTAGGTAATAACCCTTATATCTATATTAAAGGAAAAGGGATAGGCCTAATAATTATAATAATCTATATAGATAATTTTATTATCGCTATACTAATAGATATAGAGATTTAAATAGTAGTTTCTATACTTTAGAAATACTATAATATAAAGGACCTTAGTAAACTAAAATAGTATTTAAACTATACCTTAGTTAGAGACTATAAAAAGAGGATAATCTCTTTATTATAGAGTATCTATATATAAAAGGTCCTATAGATATTAGGCACTCTAGGTACTAAGGATATTCCTTTACCTATAGGATAGAGAGAAACTATAATTAAAGAAGATTTAGAGGCCTTACTTAATAACGATAGCTTTAACCACTATTAATTAGTAGTTAGAATACTTAATTAGCTAGTAGTTAAAACTAGGCCTAATATTCGCTTTATAGTTATAAGACTATAGTACTAATTAGCGAAACTAACACTATATAATATAGAGGTACTTTATTATATTATTAAATATCTTCGCTAATATCCTAACCTAGGAATTATCCTTATAAAGTCTAATAAACTATAATTTTTAGTATATTCTAATATATTATATACCGATTAGTAGGATAGTAAGTTAATAGAAAGTATTATCTAGTTTTTCGCTAGCTCTCTAGTGATATAGTTTACGAAGAAATAGACTATTATAGCTAATTCTACTACTATAGTAGAATAGTATATACTCAATTAGCCTAGGAGGGATACTATATAGCTAAATAAAGTGGCCGATTCGCTTTAATTACTAAGGCCTAATACTATAGTTATTTACACTAATAGTATTAATTCGTAGCTTCTACTCTCTAAGAAAGGGGGTAGATCCGCTAATCGCTAGCTTTTATTAAGATATTTCTTCGTTAAGGATACTGTTGTATAGGGTTATATTAGTATACATAGGGTGGAATCTAAACACAATATAGCTGATAGGTTCACTAAGGTATTGGCGAAGGATTAATTTAGGATTTTTATATAGTAGCTAGGTTTAGAATGAGAGGGTTCTTTTTCGCTTTATTTTCATGCTTCATCTATAAGGGGGATGTCGGATGCCATAGGCATCCAGGCATATAGATCAAACATGTTTGATATGCCGTCATGCTTGCCAGTATAAATAGGATCTCAGTGTCCTATTCATACTTGCTTTCTCTTCTTCTTCTCTCTCTCTCAGTCTTGCTTCTAGATAGAGAATATCATCATCTTCTCTATCATCATCAACAAGATCGTAGAGCTGAGAGCTTCTTGCCCATTAGACCAGTAGGGCGAGCGAAAAAAACGTCGCTCTAGAAAAAGTCATGATGACCAGAATCCATAACATGCAAACGCACTTTATATGATCATCCCTGAAGTACTACAATCGTAAAAGAAATTGAGAATACCATCTTCTAGAGAGCAATAACTCTTGTGAAATACACAGCAGAAGGCTTTCACTCAGAAAGATCCAACACAACCCGACCCTGTAATTTCCCCTCCTCAATCTCCTTAAACACCTCAGTCAAAGCATCCATCTTCTCCGTCCGATAATGCACCTTAATGATACCTCTCGCAGCAAACTCCATAGTCTCAATAGCCTCCGCCCGACTCCCAACGGCAGACCCCGTAATGGTCCATTGCTTGGTGACCATAGTAGACGGGAACGCCGTCGCAATAGCCTGCGGCTCATTCTCTGGAAGGCCCACACAGACCAACGTACCATTGAAACGCAGCAACGGCAGCGCCTGCGCATATGCCGCATTTACAGCCGTGCAGACAATTGCCGCGTGAGCGCCCAGCCCACCCGCTAGTGAATGAACATGTTTCGTCAGTGCGACGCCTTGATCGTCCTTTGGGAACTGCGTGATATCCACGAAATGATCTGCTCCAGATTTCTTGACCAGTTCCTCTTTGCTGCCGTGGTCAATTCCGATGACGCGCAGGCCCATGCCGCGGCTCGCGATCTGCACTGCAATGTGGCCCAGACCGCCGCCGGCCCCGGAAATCACCACCCATTGGCCGGGCCGTGCATGGCTGCGCTTCAGTGCGGAGTATACAGTTACGCCGGCGCAGAGGAGTGGTGCTGCGGCAGCCGAGTCTAGTCCATCTGGGATGGGGGTGACGTAGTTTGCAGGTCCTAGTGTATATTGCTGGAATGTGCCTGGAGTATAATAGCCGGAGATTTTTTTGGTTGAAGCACAGTCCGTCGGCGCTGGCTTGGCAGGGTTCTGGATGGGGATGATGTTAGGTTCGGAGAATTTATATTGAGGGAGTATACATACGGCAGTTTCCGCATGCGCTGGAAACCCATTTGACGCCGACTCGGTCGCCGATCTTCAGGTTTGAGGATTCGGTGCCTGCACCGAGCTTGACCACCGTACCGACGCCTTCGTGGCCGCCCACTTGGCCTGGCTGGGTTGGGTATGGAAATCCGGTCCACTGAGGGGTCTTCGTTAGTTCCTGAGATATAGCAAATACGATGCACGCATACTTTATTGGTCATGATACTAAAGTCCGAGTGACAAACGCCCGAGTGTGTTCTATTATTGTCAGTACTGTTGTGTCAAAAGAGCGATCAGACGTACAGATTGATCAAAACTTCACCGGCACCAGGCTCCGGAACATCGAGTTCCACAACCTTTGTCGAAACCGTCCCAGGCTGGTCATAGATGACGGCCTTTTGCTTGGTGGGGATTTCACGAACGGTCATAATGACTGGTCACTGGTGATGAAGGAAATGAGGTTGGATCTTGAACTATGAAATCAATTTCGATCTTGTTTTCAAGACTAGAGAGATTTCTACAGAGAAAACGTCTGATTCAATGCTGGAATGACTCTTAAGTGCATTCACGCCAAGTAATAAGAGCGGAGAAAGTAGATCAAATGTGGAGAGTCTGAGCTCAACCGCGGGGTTGAAGGCGCTCGGATTGATAGATCATTGGCACACGCTGGCTAATGCAGCGTGCACACGGATGCATGCGGTGCATACCTCGGAAGCTGGCTATTCAGTGCATTCGAATGTAGTTGGTGCCTAGGTGAATTGAGTAGTGAGATGCGGAGTCATAGAACCTCAGTTCTACTAAGCCGGGTTACGTATTTCTTTATGTACATTACGAAAGAAATATTAGACACTCAGGTATTCAATTCAAAAACCAATTTGAGGTGAAAATAGCTAGGGATTATATGTATCAAATAGTTTGTCATGTTTCTTGTGTGGATTATGAACAGAGTCTCTTTATTTTGACCCAATTCCATCATGTGAGCAGAACAGCATCGTCATATCCTTCTAGATCCTGCAAAGAACCTCCGAGACCTCGGCATATTAGTGACCACCCCCTAAAATCGTCGGAAATGTAGTTTTCCACGAGCAGAGCAGTACAAGGCTATGTGGGCATATACCCGTGGACAGCTTGGCTTATCCTTTCTCGAGTTGGCCGTATACTGGTACAATGAAGCTGCATCTTCGCCTCTTCTCCTGTATATTCAGGAAACTAGAATATAATTAACTCAAAGCACAAATGTAATCATTGTCATTACCGACGACTTTCGCTATATATTTTCTGCGTTTATTGATCCATAGCCAAAGCACCTGTTTCCCATCCGGTGTTCTCAATTTGTCGGCTTGGGACCGTAGTTTGCAGTCTAGGGGGAGTGACTTATATATATCAAAATGTCGCGTGAGGCTAGAAAAGGTACAGTATCTGCCCGACTGGAAAGGAAGCTAGCATCTGAACGATTTCCTACTAGGCTAATAATTCCTTGCGTATCTTTCATATTGGGAGTGCTATGTCCAGTGATCCAAGTAGTCAACCCTGATTCCCTTATATGCACATAAAACCAAACACCAGAAGACATCAATCAAGATGTCACCAGAAAGCTTACGCATAAGAAGCCCAGCCTATTGAAAGTCAGTTAAGCGGTCGAGCAGAAGATTGGGGGAGGGGGTGGAGGAAAAAAGGAGCCATACCGCAATACAACATAGCAAGGTTCTTCTCATCGCACGCCTGTTGAACCAATTCATTCACCGTAGCAGTCACGCTGAGTGTTTTGCTTAGTTTTTTCGCCACCACAGTCAAAGCACGATCAGCTTCACTGGGTTCATTCTCATTCTCATTCTTCGAAGTGAGATCGTCAGCTGCGCCAGGGAGAGCCGGAGGTCCATCACCAGTTTGGTTATCTTGCATCTGCATCTTCTTGATGCGAAGCGGAGAGACAGTCCAACTATACAGCGGATCGTACCGTAGTACGTCAAGGATCGTCATGATACTGTATGATTCTTGGCGAAGGGCTTCCAGGGTGAATTCGCAGCAACGCCGGAAAACGCCTTCGGTTTTGGTGATACCGAATCCATCAACTAGATCGCGCGTTAAGCGGAACGGAACTACCTCAGGAACAGGCAAGACCCGTCCTTGCTCAAACGCTACACCGAGATCAATATGTACCACCTCCCCGGTTTTCTCATCTAGCAGGATGTTATGTCCGTGCCGATCACCAAGCCCAAGCACGTGGCCCAGGATTGAGATGGCAGCGGTACTTCGTGTGTACGCTAGCCGCTTGCTAAACCAGTCGTCTGGGTTATTGAATTTTTCCATGAAGAAATATCTCAAAACTGGATGGAAATGCTCGGTCACCTGTCGGTAGGTTCTGACGCGTTGCTCAAAGGATTTGGTCTGCACATCGGCGATGTGTTTCCGGCAAGAGTTGGGCTTCATGTCCTTAGGGAAGTAATTTTGATGTGCGGGCATCAGGTAGTCATGCAGAGGAATCGTGTTCGGAACGAACTCGATGATTCCGGCGCTTGGTGTCAATGGAAGAACCTTATATGTTCGAATGCCTAGGCTCCGCTGGCGTGTGGGTTGGTGATCTTTCAAAAGACTGCTGACTTGCTCAAATACTTGTTCCATGATGGCATCTTGGCGCAAATCATCATTTCCTCCCTTGTACTGTGACTTGGTTAGTCAAGAATGTTGATGAAAAAAGACAAATCTTACCAATTGCTTGTAGCGCACGCCGTTGGATGTAACGGCGGTCACAATTTTCGGCGCGCTAACGCCGGAAGCAATCGTGAACTCAGGGTGGAATTTCGCGACGGTGGGAACGTTACTATAGTTGCAATCTGCGCGGAGGTCGATTTTCATTGTCGGAGGTGGTAGTTTGTATGTGATGACATCTTGTCCAAGGCGCTGCCCAGTAGTCAAGGTCTTTAGTGGGACTTTAGCACCACTTCTGTATTTGCTGTCCGGTTTGTCGATCGCAAATCTCACATAGCTGATGTTCACGTTGTGCACAGCAATCCAAGTCTGACCTATCCGACTGTCGTTCTTCAGACGATCCACCAGCTGATTTGCCGCACGGAAACGCGAGTGAGACGACTGATCTTTTCCTCCCTTGGATTTGCTGCTAGCGAAAATCTGGTACATGCCATGGAATGGATGCTCAACACAAATCCTGAATACTAATTGAGTGAGCAATGCCTGGAAGTCATCGGCCACATCGAGGAGACGAGATGATAGCTGGTTCATTAATGGTGCAAATTTCCGGCTGGGTACCTCGTTAAGATACCGAGAAACAGCTGAATTTGCCGTTTCACTGTCTGATTTGTCAAGCCAGAGTGCACAGAAACGTAGAGCATCACTGTTGTACGCATCACTTTCTCTCAAGCTAAGAAGGTAATTTTCAAGGCACTGCTGTAGGAAAGCCTCCCGACTCCGTAGCAAACGTTGGTACTCGCGGTCGTCAAGGTCAAACCATTGCTTTGCTTTGGCCCTATAGTTCTTCAGGTATTCTCTTTCTTTGCCTGTGGCGTTCTTCATCATGTCTTCCAGGCCAAGGACTTCTTTCTCCTTGCGATTACGTAGTTGTTCCACTCGCTTGAAATCTTCGAGTCCATCGGGGTTCAGTAGCTGCTGATCACAAAATGTTGCAAACCCATGATAGACCCGTCCGGCCTCTTCTCCGTCGGAACTTCCTTTCAACTCCTTGACGGCAGGATATAGGTACTCTTGAAGAATCGAGTCCGGCTTTTCTAAGCGCGCTTCAGCAACGTGGTGACCCTAAACATCATATTATTAAGATTTTAGATCGAAATACTGTTTGAGGATATACAGCTTACCAAAGTCACAAGAAGCTCAGCCCGACTGAGGGGGATTGCCTGCTTATGAAGGTCATTCTGGCCCTTCAGTTGCTGTAGCATGCGAATAGACGCGGTCATTTCCCCTTGATCCCACAGGACATTGGCAAGATCGAATTTTGCAGCTCCGTCAATGTTCATTCCCAATGCTGCGCACGGTTCGGCAAGCCTCGAAAGGCTCATTGCAGATTTGAGCGACGCCTGGGAGATACCATGAGTTCTTGTGATTTCCAAAGACCGTCGAATGACTTTTGCTTCTAGGAGTCGCGAATCCCCGAGACTCAGCTTTGCCCGTGATTTGAGGATGTCGCTTTTCCTGACTGATGAAAACAATGCCTCATGCCAAGACAGAATTTCTCCAACTTCATGATAGCTGCTCTAGTTAGTATGTATCCTGTAGCCAGTTTGAAAAAGGCAAACACGCACCTCTCGGTTTTTAACCAGCTGCTTCTCGCCATGATATTGTGCCATCCTTCCTCCATATCTTCAGGAGACGCAGAATGCAAAGTATCACTGATCTCAGTCATCATTCCCAACGCGCGCATTGAGCTCCGCAGCTGAATAGCGGATCCACTGGTTTTGAGAAGAGAACCCAGTGTTGTCAAAAGACCGCTCTCAATTGAGCCAGTGATTTCAAGTAGAGAACTAGAGGTATTGAGACTCTGGAATGTACGGAATATAGCGGCAGATGGGGACGAATCCAAAGGAGATACTGGAATATCCCATTTTTGAAGACTAGTTGCAGCTTGCAACGTACTTTCAAACGCGGCAGGGGCATCGTTGGCACTGCTAGAAGCAGAAAGCATCGTATTGGCAATGCCCTGAAGGTTAGTTGCATTCAAGGCCTTCAGGATTCCGTATGACTCCGTATTGTTAGACATTTGAATCTCACTGTCGTATCTTGCACTTTGGAATAAGAGATTTTTGAGCCCGGAGCTTTCGTACTCCAGCCGTTCCATGACGCTGCTCAAAGACGAGCTCTGCTGAATGCCATAGAACAAGTCTGGATCATCAATGTTTTTGAAAACATCATGCAGCAAGGCAGGCGGTGGCTCGTATCTAATGACAGATGATCGACGAGATGTCTTAACCACTTGGGAGGTTTGCACTTCCAGGAAGAGCAGCGAAGTTTTATGCAAGCCGCAGCGATGGGCAGCCAAAGATGCCTCTCCAAAGTCAACGTCAAGCCATTTATCGCGCTGGACTATAGTCGACTCATCTGGCACAGGTTGGTTACGAAGGTAAAGAATGCAGTTGATCACAAGCTGAGCATGAGGTAGTGTTTTCCCCCCAGCCTCACACAGCACTTGTCGGAAAGCAGCAGATATATCTTCTCGGACCTCTCCCCTTTCGCCTTTATCTTCCCTTTCTGACAGCAAAACATCATGAACCACATATGGCAACAGCTGCACTGCTAAGCCAGGGGTCACGTTGAGAACTTTGCGAAGAGAGCCAACGACTGGGTCTCCCAGAGCAGCATTTGTCAAGAACAGGGAAACATTGCGAGCCCAGTCAGCAACCGACAACCCAGAGGCGCTGATTGTTGCATTCTCGCATCTATCTTTCTCCAAATTCGAGAGTAGAACAGCGGGACATGTGTATGGGTTCCATATAAGGGCTTTCGCCAGAGATTCGGGAATTATCTCGCTACAGCCTTGGAAGTCTGGATAATTGGTGATGTTGCTGACGATTAGCTGCAAAGTACGCTCAACAAGGCCAGCTTCGAAATGCTTTTGCGCATGCAGCATATCACAAAGCACCCGAAGGATTCTGGCCTTAGAATGGCAGAAGATGTCAGACGACAAAGAATTCTCGGGGGATTGGAATAGTGAAAGATCCTGTTCTCGCAGGAGCAATTGATTGATTTTCCCAGTGGCAGCGAAGGATCTTCCGATGACCCGAGCGGCCCAAAGTCGATATCGAGGCCCTCCATTGGAGTTTTGAAGAGTGTGCCATAAAGATACAACATGGGAAGCGGGCTCCACATCTTCATTCGAGACCCAGTTCCCAGTTTCGGATGTCTGCTCGAACTCGGGACATAAGAGCGACAAAACAAGATCCGCCACCGGCTTACTCAAAAGCGAAGTCACAGAGTCGCGATCCTTGAGAACTTCAAAAACTAGGTCCTTCCCAATCTGTCCGCACGAAGAGTCCTCGGAACTTGAGAATTTTTCAGCAAGCGAGACAAGCCGATCAAATGATTGTTTCGTCTCTGTATCCCAATCGGAGTGACGGAGCTCTCCAAGGAGCTCAACCAGCCACTGGTAGAATTGTTTTGCGTTTAACTGCACCTTTCTGAATTGGCTTTCCTGGGTGGTGTTCTCAGGTAGCGACGAAAATATTCTGCGAAGAGTGACTAGTGTTGAGACAGCAATACCGGCAGTGAATCCTGGTGTCACCTCAAGATGCGCTTTCCCTGCCTCAAGTAGATACCAGAAGACCCCAAGTGCATCCTCAGAGCAATGAATGTCGTTAAGGAAAGGCCGTAAAGAGCTGAGTGTCATTTCTAGAGGATAGTCTTGAACCATGATGGGACCAGCCACACAGGCTAGGATTCTTATTTTGCGAATCACAGAACAAGCGTGAAGCGAGCCAAGGGCGGGATGTATGGATTCAAGCAGCGAACGGCAGATAAAAGATACCAATGATGGCGTCCATATTGATTCAAATTCAAACCCAGTGTGTCTGCAAAGGAACTCAATCTCATCTAGGAGATAGCGTGCTCGAAAGGAAGGCTGTTGATTTGCAGGAAGTGCGTTCTGGGACGTGCTTTTGTTGATTATTTGCGTCAGAATTTCGAGCGCATACCCGAAGTTTTTACGCTTTGAGAATGCTCGTTCAATCTGGTCATAGTAGTCCAAGGAGTTGAAGAACGCAGCAATAATTAGGGGGAACTGGCTCTCGATTTGCGTCATGAATTGGTCTGCCCCGAGTAATTTCCGCAGACGGATTTCAACACCTTTGGGCTGACTACCTTGACCCGGAGGAGTACTTATATCTCGTGCGATGCTGTATGCCTCGGCCTTGTGAAAAGACGTCGCCAATAGCTCGAGATGTGGAATTTCAAGGTGTTTCGCAAGCTCGATTGTCTCCTGTTCCTTGGCACGCATCATCATTTGTCCAACAATTTCATCTTTGACGTCTACCAGCATCTTTTCAAGACTACTGTACCCAAATATACTGAATGGCATAGACATGATACTCTGTGTCTCAGTCCACGTATACAGTATTTGAGACGAGAATAACCGGAAAAGTTCTTGAGCATCTTGCAGACCAAGGGTCTGAGAAACAGACACCATACATCTCTCAGCATACCACAGTGATAGGGGGACCTGAGCTGGGGTTTCGAATAAATGGTAGATACTTCTTCGTAGCAAAGTATGCCATCTGGAAGCCAATTGTGAAAGCACAAAAAGGCGGACTGCAATTCCCTCGATCCATTCCGGGTCTCGCGGCAAACTTTCCAATACATCATCGAAGATGGCATCGTGGTCCTTGAGAAGGAACCGCTCAAATAAGACAGGGATGAATTTCGCAACGCTGAATTTGACCCGAACATCACCCTCTCGAAGGATTGTGAATAAAGTTGTTCGTGGGGACGGAAGAGACTGCTCGTTGCCATATGAGGGGCATGTGCCAATCACCCCCTGAATGAGCTTGGCTAAGGCAATGTAGACCCTTGGGGAAGCTATTTTCCGAGCCAATAGAACTTCCATAAACCAATTGTACAAGTCCATGGCCGATTCTTTCAAGATATCGTCAGGCCCGTTTGTCCAGAAGTCGACAAAGCTAGACATCATGCAGATGCAAATGCAATGCGAAGTCTCGCACCGCTCCATTTCATAAGACTGTAGGCACTTTTCACCTACATTTTCGAGAATGGAGAGCAGTTCCGAGGGCTTCGATTTGGAGCAGAGCTGGAAAATTTCAGGTAAGACAGCTTGGGCGGCCAGGATATCGGCTTCCTCTAATCCATTCAGGTATTCAGCGATAGATGACGAGTCAGCATCAGCTTGCACTTTGAGAAATATCGACAGTTGGATGGTTACACAGCGCTGATATGTGACAGGATCAAAAAAGATAGGCAAAGAGTTTCGGCTCAAGGTCAGAATAGTCTGATCAGTGGCTAGTGGGGATTCGGCCACGAATCTGCCATCTAGATCTAGATCCATAGGATCTTCGGCTGCAAATGGATTCTTGGAGCTCTCACGGAAATGCTCAAGAATTTTGGTGAGTGGAGTAATGAGCTCTCTGAGATTGATGTGAATGGCAGAGGGGGTGTGAGAGCTTGTTAAAGGACCGAGGAGCGGCGATAGCACGTCCAGGCAAGATTCCATGAAAGCAGATTCTTGAGCATGAGCTGCCAGAAAATTGCATATACCGTTCCACAAACTTTGACAGTTCTGATGCAGATCTTTTGATCGAGGTTGAGGTTGCAATGATTTAGGAAGACATGCCATGAAGAGGGAGACGACAACACAAAACGACGCCAGAATTTGCAAATTATCTGGGGTGATATGTGATCTTTCTTCGTTCATGGCGTGCCATGCTTGCAAAAATACCTCGGATCTCACTCGAAGGAGATCCAATATCACTGTATCATCAGGATCTTGTCTAGAGTTCTGCTCAAAGGACCATGTTTCCTGCAAACCCCAGGGGTTCGCTGGAGCCAGACTCGTATCAAAGGCATACTTTAATAATTCACGGTTTTCATGAAGAAAAAACCAAGTGCGAGCTATATTCCCCGTCGGTCCCGTGACTTGATGACGAGGTATAGAGAAGCATCGATTAGTGCATGATAAAAAAAGCTCGAGTAAATCCAACGGACGGGCATACGCAGCTACTCGAGCTGCCTGGATTCGATCTGTCACTGAACCTGTTGACTATCAGAGCCAAGAATCGTCAAGGGAATTTTTAGGGTCTCGTACCAGCCCAAACTTCTCTAAGCCAGCCACATATCTGCATCGAGGCCTGCTGGGCTGAACCAGGATCAAGCTGTGTCTTCATTCGTGCAATTGAGGCCCATAGCCTTAAAGACGAGTCTGAAATAGCAGATAGTCCATTGGCAGAAGTCAAGAGTGACCGCATCGTATCCATGGTCACTCTGTAATCTAGCAAGTCCGACTGCAAAACCATACTCAATAGGTTACACGCAGCTCTCGATGTTACCGGGGATGAGAATGCACGCGTGGTGAATTCGACCACTCGTGGCCAGTGGGCCCTAATACCAGGAAATTGGGCAGACGCTCCGTTCGCAATACTGTTTTTATGCTCAAGTTAGGGCGTTTCGTATGCTTCTCGTAGGGTGATTGGGTGCGCTGTCTAGTCTTTTCAGTATTGATTCACATACCTCGTCAGAGCGACCATTGCCCAGGATGAGACAGCGTCATTGCCGTCAGATATGTTCGGAATGAGCTGCTTGATGTAGGTCTCAGTGTCGATCTCCGATTCGAGGAATGGGATGAGTTGCAATGCGCATATTTTCCTGGTGCCTGTGGCTGAGACCGAATCTCGAAATATGTCCTCAATTTCAGAACTGAAGCGCTGCCTTTTACTTGAGCCTTCGCGTGCTGAATCGGACTTGATTCGGGTATGAATAGCCTCCGAGAGCTTGAGCAGTTCTGCAATCAACCAGAGGACTGTCCAGTTATGCTCCGACCTGGAAACGCCGAGGCGAGGTCCATATACTGGTCTGCTTTTGCATGCTTCATTTTGATAGAGTACCGTTTCGTCGATTTGTAGGATCTCCTTTTCCGACCGTCTCACATATTCCGAATGAAGCGTACTGGCCAATCGTTCAATGCCATGTGCAAGAGATTCAGATGGGTCTTTTCTAGCACTGTCCACAAAGACGACCATTGAGAACATCAAAGTGGCAAGTAACTCATCCTTGAGATTCTGTAACTTAGTGGCCCATAGGCTTCGAATTACTGGAACCAGGCCCAAGAGAACTGAACGGACAAGCTCGGATTGATCAAACATGACTTTTGTAACGACTGTATTGATGCTATTAAACGCGAGCTGGTGTGCATTCCCAGCCACAGATGACTCGGCGAACTCCGAAAGTCCGTGAAGAATCTTTTGGGCCGTAGTTTGAAGAGGGGGATTCGGACTAGTTGTCAAGAGTTGAATACAGATTACAACTTCTTCAATGACATTCCTATTGCCAATGTGCCTTTCCCTGCTGATTGAGGTAGGTGCAGTGGTCATCCTCGAGGGGGTAGAGCGGCTGTCGCTGGCATCTTGATCTTCAGGGACGGATCGATAGCCGCTTCGAATACTCAGTTGACCGTCTTCATTCTCCCGGGAGCTAATACTGGCAAGACAAAAGTTTATGAGATTTTCCCAGTCTCCATCGTCAAGATGCTCCGTATGAGGACGGTAGCGTAGAAGCGAGGCCAAACACTTGGTATAGTCCAGGCTCAGGGGTTCCCACAGACCTTCCCCGGGGACTGGTATGGTCTCAGTAATGTGATCAACAATCGCGCGGACTGTTTTAGTTCTCAAATTTCTCAGGAAGAGGTCAACACCCATTCGGAGTACGGAAGCACATGTCGAAAGCCTCGATGCAGAAGATGTGTTTGTAGACTTTTGGGCTCGATTATATATTGACCTTTCTGCTGCGACGAAACGGAATAGTGATTCAAAGATCTTGTGGCAAGCTTTATCATTAAGTGTTTGTCTAGGTAGGTGGGTGGTCAGTGACTGTGGTAGCTTGGCAATGTCCATTTGGGGGTAGTTGACTGCCTACAGTTTGGAGCTCTTCTTGTTCTGTTGGAAGATGTGTTTCAAGTCTATCAATGGAGTTAGTATCAGTCTTTTTGTGGTGAGATAAGATAGAAGTCATCAAACCTGCCAAACCATCCGAGCGGGCCTTCTGTTTGTCTGATGAGAGTAGCCTAATCGTCTTGTCGAGAAAGACCTCTCCCATCGTGTCTCTTTTGGCGTCTTTTGCGACGACTTTTTTCGTGTCTGTTTGCGACGCACCAAAAAATCCTAGAGACCCTGAGCCTCAACACGTCTTCTTGCTGACAGAAAAAGACATCTCAGATCAATCAGCTAGTCTGGCGAACCAATCGAGTCGATAAGCGCGAGGTAATTGTGTTTAGTGGAAAGTGGAGTGGCAGTACTTGTCAAAGCTGTCCACCGCCCGAATTTTGTCGCGTTCCCGCCTTCCTGCACTCTCAGAACAAACAGAGAGCTCGAGCTTCATTTCCCAACTTCACCCCGCCGTCATGGCAGAGCTCCAAGATACTCGGAATGGCCTCCGTGGTCTGTATCAGGATCTCTGTGCTCTTTCAAACTCTCAACTCCCAAACGTTGATCGCTTATGTTTCGAATTGGAGACCCATATTCAAGACTTCCGCAAACTGCTAGACAAGCCCGCAAAGAACAATGCCAGCCGTCAAGCGGTTCTCTCGGGTAAGTGATCATTTGGTATCTTGGCTGCATCAAGAACTCCTCTTCGTCCGTTTTGAAAAGCTACTAACGTCGAATGGGATATCCTAGGGAAGATCACCGTTGCCGACATTGAATACTCAGTGAACCAGGATTTCCAACAAGGCGCACTGCAGCTTGCGGATGCGCTCGACATCGATGAAATGGAAGCAGCAGTTATGTTTCTTGCTGCCCAGGAGGATTCACAAACGCTAGACAGACCCCCACTCATCGCTGCGATAATTAGCTTCCACGAGCGCCGCCTTTTTACTCTTGAATGTTTACGTCTTATCTTCCGAGAATCGCGCGAAATTGAACATGAAACGACCCAACCTATCATGCACGAAACACTGGCCCACGTCCTGGAAATCAAAAACAGCTCTCTGCGGAATGCATCCCTCTTCGCGCGAAAAGCCTTGAATTCCATGGCCGACATCCAGAAATGGTTATCGCTTCTTGCTGATCAAATCCAAAAGGCCTCAGTCGTCGGCCAGGAAAATGATCGCGATATCATGGAAGCCATTGAATTCCAACGGTCGAGTTTGCAACAGCAGCATGAGTCACTCGGGGCGATTATATTCTATATCTTCAAAGGGACATACACAAGCTGCGAAGACTTCCGCATACTTGTGAGCCAGTTGAAGAATATTGATCGCTTCGACGGACTCTTATTTCACTACATTCCAGTCACAATTGTGTCATTTGTACAACATGGCTCCCCCGAAGGTTCTGGATCCGAGAAGGAGGCCCGAGATCTGCACACATTAATCACTTCATCCAAGGATGCCCCAGGCTGGAAGCTGTCGAACTTCCACGCTGCCCTTGTTGCTCTGTGGCTCTCAGTCTATAGTGGATGGTACTTTGATGGTCTTTCTTCTCCATCAGTCGACGCGGAAAAAGAATCCGAAGAGCGTACAAAGATGTTCATGTCATCTCTTGACGATGGTGCCCTTGATTTCATGCTCGCTATCTGCTCCAGCGTCAATACCGAGGAATGGGCGGACCCCGCGCGGAGCGAGTTAGTTACATTACTGCTTAGGGAAAGTGTTGTATCGTTGCCTGATCCCGAGCCATGCTCGGCCTTTATGAAGGAGCTTTTGATGGAAAATTTCGAGGTATTCGTGGAATCATGTGTTGCAAATATGCCTGACGCGGTCCGACGACTGAAGTCGGAAGAGGACTCACAACGACTGGACCAGATCACTGCCCTCAGGGATGGCCTCACTTCTAACCTCCACCGTGGCTTGGTAGAGGTGCGGACTCATCTTGAGTCCCTCCTCATGATCATCTCCTTCGCCTTTGAGCACCGACAAGACGCCGCCCAAGAATTTTGGGCTGATCCTGATGGGAATCTTTATGGCTTCCTCCAGTGGGCGTCGAAACGACAGACTGTTCCTCGGGTCAGCGCTTTTTGCGAAATGCTGTGTTCGATATCCGAAGGCGAAGAAAATGCAGCCGCAGCGCATCGATTTCTGTCGGAGGAAGACAAATTTATGTCTTCCAAGTTCAAGCGATCCACTACAATGAATTGGTCGCAAATGTTCGCTGAATTAAAGCTTTACGCATCTCGGGTCACTGAGAAACCTTCCGCTGCAACAAGCCCCCAAGGGGTATCAGGAATCTTTCTTCCACGGAAACCAGAGCCCGTGGAAATGAATGAGCCCGAGAGCCCAGTGATGCTAACATGCTATCTTCGATTGATAGGCCATTTGTGCAAGCAGAGTCAACCTATCCGTGAGTGGATGCTGCAAAATGAATCCTTCAATGTAGTTACCACACTGTTAGACTTGTGCAGTGGGCCGATTCCATCGCACCTTCGGGCAACCACTTTCTCAACTCTCTCAGCATTGATGACCGACAAAGTATCCACCGTTGGAAAAGAAACATGGACCCGTCTTGATGGGTGGTTATCGGGAGGAACCGGTGCCTCGGGCATTGGAAAAGTGCCCTTGGTTTCCAACCCTGCCGTGTGGCACCAGCAACAGGCCTTGCAAAAAATCGGAGAGAATTATGACCAGACGAATGCATTTGTTGTTCTTATCAATGCACTTGCTGCGCCCTCATCCGACTCAGTTGACGACCCAATGTCACTACCGTTCCCGGAGACCCTAGGTGGAACTTACCGCATGTCGGGCATCGAACCCTACATTGATTTCATCTTGGGACATGCCTTTTCACGGAAGATTCAAGATCTCAACGAATATCAATCCCGCCTGTTGGCATTTAACTGCCTGGAATTCATTGTGGCAAGCTTGCGATCCTTTAATGAGGACCTGGTTTTACTTCTGAGCCAGCCCTCCGTATCCGATTCTCCGACGCAAACTTCATCGCTGCTCACTTATGTTCGTTCCCATCCGTTTGCCCGCGTGATGGACTGGCTTTTCAACGAAGATGTACTCAAAGCTCTGTTTGCAAGCTCCAAACAAGATGTTTTGGACGTTGCTACCGCATCGCCTGACTCTGTTCTGGTTCTCACTTTGCACCGTAGTCTGGAGGTTATGAACCTGCTTGTGGACCTGCAATCGACTTACTTCAACATCGTCAAGTCTTTGGTACACTCCCAGCCCGGACCATCCAGGACCATCGTGGCAAACTCCTCGCTCGCTTCATTTGAGGACACTGTGCTGAACAACCTCACACTCATCCCATCACTTTGTCTTTATTGTGGCACGGCGCATGAACAACTCACCGTCACTTCCATGGCATTACTGGAAAAGCTTACTAGCTCCAGAAAGCTCAACAAGATGACTTCGCCTGAACTTGTCAAATGGCAATCCTCGAACAAGATCGTGGAGGTGCTTGCATCCGAGGTTGACGTGGACAGCATATCCCGACCTCTTGTCTTACAAATGGAACCTGATGTTAGAGAACTTGATTTCGGCCCGAATTGCGCCGGCTATGTCATTCGGGAAAGCCTTCTTGGTCTTTTGAACAGCTGCCTTGGAACAATTACAGATCGCCCAACGGTAGCCCATCTGCTGCTAGGTTTCGACTGCGTGGGCAATATTCTCGATGTGTCATCGGAAGGGCTCTTTGCGAATCAAAGTTCCCTACTACATGCCATCGTGAACTTCCTGAAGTCTTACCCGGAGATCCTTGATGCAGGCATCACATCTTGGCTAGTACACCTCAAACGTATGGCTTTTGAAGTATTGAAGCATTTGTGGTCATCGAAGTTGGCAAGCTACTACACCCTTGGCGAAATGCGTGCTCAAGCATTCCTACGCGACATGTTTGCCTACCAACCCATCATTAGCCCGAGCACTGCCTGGGATGGATTCCCTGTTAATTCAGAGGAATTCTGGGTCACCGATTCTGCAACTGCGTTAGCAGAATTCCTGCTTTACCGAAGTCACCTATTCACATATGCCGCAACCGAGGTTCGCTCTACAGCAAAGGCCAGATCACCAGCTCTGCATGCCCAGACTTTGTCGGTGTTGCTCGGAAACACGGTTGCGGACAACGGTGAACCAACTTCCAGTCCGTCTGTGTTTGATCTTTTCGATTTTGCAGATCTTGATGTTGGACGCGAGTTCAACATGCCCCGGCTCTACTTGCTCGATGATATTGTTGTTCAGTTGGGGAACAAACAGGAGGAGGGCGTGTACAGCATGGAAGGGGTAGAGGAGATGATACAAATGCGGAAAGCAGAGCTTATGGCCAATGGACCGCTCCGCCCGCAGGATGAGGAGCAACTACTAGCTGAAGCGAATGACCTCAAGCTGTTCATTTCTGCAACAAAGCGAAACAAGTTGATTCAAGTCAATCGCTATCACGCACTCCGTTCCTGGGTAGAGCTCATCGCGACGATGATCACTTGCTCTGCTATCGATGAAGGAAGCAGACCGGCTTTCATTCTACACTCGATCCAATTGGTTCTCCCTAAGCTCACAACGGCAATCGAGGCGGATGTTCCCGAAGCGCTTGAGTTGGCACGATTAGCTGAATTGTTAATCGGCAATCTTGCGTTTGAGGCATCAGCGACACACGTATCTCGAAGCGGGGATGTCATTGACGAAAAGCTCCACCAGCTCTTTCAACTCTGCATCCGAGGCACCAACCTGGCAACTGGAAATGTATTGTTGCGAGAAACGCTCTACACCATTTGTTCCCACTACATCACGCGTATCACATCGTCAAATAAGAGCCATGAAAACTTACGACGTCTCAGCCAACATGTCATCAAAGCGGCTGGTTCTAGCCTGATTGAGACCATGTGTGATGACGCCTATACTGGCCAAGAATCGTGTCGTGCATCCGCTCTTCTTTTACTGAACAGTTTAGCTGTTCTAGATCGCCAAACTGATTGTGTTCTGGCTGGCTTAATCTCGAGGTCAAACTATTTGAGTTTATTCCTGGATGCCTTGCGGTCTCTTCCCCTCGAACTTCAGAATGCTCAGGGAAGCGGTTAGTCGTTTCCCCTTCGAAGATATCACGTTATAATGACTAATCAAACCTTCAGACACCCCAGCACTACTTGCATACTACGAGTCGCTTTTGTCGTTACTCCAGCGGCTGTCTCAAACCAAGGACGGGGCAAACTGTGTGCTTAATTCTGGTCTCTTCCAAGCTGTCCACGAATCACGACTTTTTGCTGCTGATCCTGACATCGGTATCGGTGAGTCAATTCTATCCCGGCCCAAGTATAGCTTGCTAACCCCCTCAGATATCGAAAACCCCGATGCCCTTCAGAGATATTACGATCTTCTCCTTTCAGTCCTCCAGGTCATAGTGTACGCGGTATTCTCCCGAGGCATCCAAAACGAACAACTCAAGGAGCAGACCCGGATCTTTTTGGCTGAAAACCGGCCATGCATGGTTGGTATTTTCAAACGATCTGCCAAGATCGGGAATACATCAACCGCCCACCACGAGACTTTATGTGAACTAGTCAAGGCATATATGGCCCTTGTTACTGCCACAGATTTTATGGAGGTAAGTTTTTTTTTTCTTCTGCAATTTATGGGGATGAAATGTGACTGACTGAGTATAGTTTGAGGAGCAGGAAGTCCAACATATCGCTCGACCCGCGTTGTTCTCATGAGCCCTTGTCTACTGATGCTCACTAAAAAGTTGAGAAGAAAATGCATGTATCATTATGACCCGGTGGAGTGCAGGCGGTTCCCAGGTTGAGCGATTTTACTTTGAATTCATTTGGTATCCCATCCAATCCGTTGTGCGTACGGCTTCCGCGTACTTCGAGGTTTCGAGCTTTGTTATGGCCGTATTTTGTAGAAATTAGTAACATGCTCGTTATTCTAAAAGTAAAATGAATTTCTGGGTCAATAAGCTGCGTTCACCTGGTCGATAGCTCCTCTGTCCGAGGCATAGCCAGAAAGTACACGCCTGGAACGTTGCAATGAAGCCTTAAGCGCATTGTTGCTGAATGTGATGGATGATATCGATCTTGAATTGAAGACAAAGCTCGTATCTATACAGACATCACCACCTTGGGTCCTCGCATAATCTTTAGTATGCTTGTTGAGTGCATTATCTTTCTTGGTGTCTTTCTTGGTGTCTTTTTTGCCATCTTTTCTCATGTTCTAACCAACACAGCGAAAATATCAGACTAAAACAGCTCCGGGAAGAAAATCATAGTTCTGCATTCGATCAGATTCAGTCCCATGCACAACCAAGCCCTAACTTGCATCAATTTGATAGTGCTTGGCTGTATCAACTCGAGTACATAGGTCCATGTATGGTAGTGATATTATGCTCCTTCCTTATTGATAGTATATGATTTCGCTGCCCTAACTATACTCGTTTCCATGGTCACCATCTATCATCGCACCTTCCTGTAGAGCTTCCTATTCTGTTTATCAAACCATCATGCCTTCCTGTTACCATTGCCTGTTGCCATTGCCCGTTGCCATGGAATATCTAGATGCTATTTATCTTCCCCCCTCCAAGTCCTCTTCTTCTCTTCTTTTCCCTCCCCTCATGCCACTGGCTTTTTTTCATTTGCACTTGCTTTTGATAACCAAAACCATTTCTCATTGCTTTCAAACCGATTCATCATGCACCCCTCTTCCTTTGGCAAAAGGATTCCTCCTCCCCTCTCGCCTGTGTTCGAAAAGCAGGCCACCTCCTTCGAAGTCATGCCTCGCCACTTCGTGCTCTGATCGGGAATCCTCCCCCTCTGGAGAAACTCGCGTCCGGAAGACAGTACACTTCCCCGACGACGAGATCTCTCTTGAGCGGATCAGGATAATCCCGCCTCGCGAAAAACGTAAGAGCCCCATCTTCAAGAGAGGTCGGATTGCGAAGACGAAGTCGTTCATCATGTACACTTCGGATTCTCTGGGCTTCAACCAGCGGTTCCTTTACAGGCTTCCTGGACGCCATGGACCTCGGTACACAATGTACTCACACTGGATGAGTGTCATTCGTGCCCGTCGTCTTGCCGCTGCGTATTGCTCTCAGCCCCGTTCTCTGCGGTCCGCACCTTCCTCCAATGGGTCATCGCCTGAACCTGCCACCGATGGTTCACTGCATGACGTCTTTGATATGTCCTCACTGAAGGATGCCCTGCCTGAGCCTGCCTCGGCCGGTTCATCGCATGGGTCTGCCTTCAACATGTCCTCGATGCTCCATGCACTGCCTGATCCTGACCCGACTTTCAACATGACCTCTCTGATGGATGCCCTCCCGGATCTGGATGCCGCCTCCAATGTGTGCTCGTTGAAGAGTGCTGTGCTTGAGCCTGCCCCCGCTGGCTCGCCACCTGGGTTTGCCCCCAACACTTCCTCTCTGATGCGTGCACTTCCCGGCCCTGATGCTTCGTCTGATGTATCATCCCTTGCACTTGTGCCCAAGTCCGTGGCTGCTTCCCACTCTCGCAAGTCTCACAAGGTTCTTCCTGTACGTGCGGTCGAGACCCACGTCGAGGTTGGCCCCTGCTCGGTCACCTTCTTCCTATTCAACCTTTGTGGGCTCTCGGTTGTGGTGATGTGCTTCTGCCCATGGATTCTGCCAATCTTCCTTGTGGCCTTTGTGCTCCTGTTTATCTATGGGACATGCCTCTTTTGATGCTGCCCGTCGGCATTCGTTGTCCTCCCGGTCTTCTCGGCGGTCTTGACTTCCTCTCCCTTTCTCCTCCATTGGTCTCATCTTCTTCGTGTTGCTTTTTGTGTATGCGTTCTCCTTGCCTTGTTTTGTTCTGTTGAGGCTTTTGCCGTTTGCTTTTTGAGAAAAGAAAAAACCCCCAAAAACATTGCTTTTCCTGTTGTCCTGTCCTGTTCTGCTGAGGCTTTTGCCGTTTGCTTTTTGAGAAAAGAAAAAACCCCCAAAAACATTGCTTTTCCTGTTGTCCTGTTCTGTTCTGCTGAGGCTTTTGCCGTTTGCTTTTTGAGAAAAGAAAAAACCCCCAAAAAACATTGCTTTCCCTGTTGTTCTGTTCTGCTCTGCTGAGGCTTTTGCCGTTTTTTCCTGTTCTGGCTTTCGGTGTTTCATTTTGCTTTTTTTTTTTGGAGATATGGGGGCAACGTCTCTGTCTGTGATCGCGTGGAAGGCAGCAGAGCGCATGGTGGCTCGATTGAATGGCGACGAGAGTAAGTTATCATCAAAAATTCTATGACGCAACAGCTAATTTGTCAATCAACAATAGGTGGCCAGCGGATCTCGTCCTCGCACATTAAACCGATCAAACGTCACTGTCTGCGAGTATGTGGAAGGTAGCAGGACATGTGTTGGTTTCATTCTTTTCTTTTTGAAGGTAAATATGCTTCCACCATTTTCTCTATTCAACTGTATACTAACCGCATGGCTTCCGGGGGAGGGGTTGGGAACGTCTCTGTCTGTGATCGCGTGGAAGGCAGCAGAGCGTGTGGTGGCCCAACTGGATGGTGACGAGGGTAAGTCCTTGCCCAGCATCTTATGACTTCAAGAGCTGACATGACCGATTTCAGGTGGCTGGTGGGCGTCGCCGCCGCAAATCATACCAAACACACGTTTCTGTCTGTGAGAACGCGGAAGGCAGCAGGATATATGTTGGTTTCATGCTTGTTTCTCTAAGGTAAGAATGAACCCACTCCTTCCTCTTTGACTGCATACTAACCGCATGTTCTCCGGGGGAGGGGCCAGGGAACGTCTCTGTCTGTGATCGCGCGGAAGGCAGCAGAGCGTGTGGTGGCTCAATCAGAGTGGTGATGGGGGTCAGCATAATCTAGACTCTGGCGGTTCCATAAGCTAACATCCACAGTTGGTTGGTGGGTATCTTCACCACGAATCGAACCGAATGAATGGAAAGTCTCTGGCTGTGAGCATGTGGAAGGCAGCAGGACGCGTGGTGGCATCATTCTTCCCCTTCAAGGTAAATATTATGTCAATCTATATCTGCTTTTGACTGCATACTAACCGCATTTCTTCCAGGGGGAGGGGGGCCTTCGGGGACGTCTCTGTCTGTGAACGTGCGGAAGGCAGCAGGACGTGTGGTGGCTTGATCCTTTTATATTTCACAGTAAATATGATTCCACTCCTTCTTTCGTCTTGGATTTCACACTGACTCCTAGTGTTGCAAGGGGAGAAGTGCGGCGAACGTCTCTGTCTGTGAACGTGCGGAAGGCAGCAGGACGTGTGGTGGCTCGTCTTTTCGACGAAAAGAGTACGTCCATGACTTTGCTCATCAATTTACGTGGCTGCACTGACTGACTTACTAGTGCCTGGTGGTGTCCTCCTACCTTTTTCTTCTCTTATTTCATCATGTGTTCTTGCAAGACGAGGGGCATGGAGAAGAAAGGAAGTCGAAGCTGCGTATAATCCTGGGAGTCAACTGCTAAGAGAACCTTACTTGCTGCCTCAAGCAAGACCTCCGCTCTCCACCTAGTCCTCTCTCTCTCTCTTCTTCTTTCTCTCCCTGACATCCTGACATTAGCTCGGTTCAACCAGTGGTTTCTTTCCCATACTGGATTTTCCATAAAAAGATTAGAATGAGGATAAAACAATCGCACGTATTATCGCTTGAAATTTCAATGAACACTCATACCACAAACGGAGCTATGCCTGTTATAGATCATACTCAGAAAACCATAAGAAGTATTCATAGCCTCAACAAATTCACTCCCGTGTCTCAAAATAAGTCAGCAAGGGTATCACAAGTGATGGCCAATAGAATCCCAGCCCAATTAACCATGTGCGAGCCTCTGTCCAGACCACCGAAGATCTCTACCCTGACTGCAATATGAACGGTCTTGTCCGAGCAAGTTTCATGATTGCCCTCGGTGTTAGAAAATTACCTGAGGTGACGGCCAGTATTACCCTTACGGTATAGGTGTCTGTTTTAGCCTCAGTCTCAATGTACGCCGGCGAGGTGGTCATATCGAGCACCGTGGCTGTTGAGGTACCGGCTTTCTCTGTCGCTGTCATGAACCAAGTAGGATGTGATCCTGCCCAGGGTACTGTTGGAACATCTCTGATCGTGGTTGCATCATCTGTGTTCATTATGAAATGCGTGCTAGTTATCCCAGCAATAATGAAGATCACCAGTTCTATAATGTGAATATGACTAGATGATCGTCGTCCGTGGGTGGCCTAATCTGTTGAAAACCTAACAGTCTGTATAAGTGAGTGTCGTGGTGCCATTGTTGTCCGGTGATTCGTGGCTGTAGTGGTTGCTACCAGAGCAGTCTTTGTCAAGAACAGGGAAATTGGAGCTCGTTGTGGATTTTCTCGTCTCACAGGATAATTCCAAGAACAGCGATTATAGCTACCAGAGGTGGGAGCTACGCCCGGAGGAAGGTGCAGAAGGATGATTGCCACAGCCAAGGGGCTTATAGGAAAAGGGATTAGGATTGAGATATCATGTGTTGTCCCAAAAAGCAGAAAGAGAAAATGATAATTGAGATTGTCCTTCTTTTGTGTACGAACATGGTAGCATCTTCCCAAAGTCAATAGATAATACATGTGTCAATTCAAGGCGATTCGAGGCATATTGGCGATGTAGAGTTCCTTCCTATGGTAGCCAAATGAGGATTCCGTGTCCATACAAATCTGGAGGATCGGTGGTTCGGGGAAGCTCGTCACTTAGGGCTAATTACCGCTAAGCCCGATTCCGAGAGCAGAAATCTGACATGTGTTCTAGGGTCCTTCTTACAGTCAAAATTGATGGATCACATACCATTTTACATAGGATGGAGGTAGATACTCTGGCATCAACATCAATTATTCTTCGGACTACTCCACGTATCCATGGGACTACGACTACGATTTAGAAAATGAATATGGAAGCAAAGGATATTAAAAGGATATTCGAAACTACCCCTAAACCAGGCGACAAGTTAATCTGTAACAGACACGTAATGCAAGAAAGCGCCAGCATAACACCAACCCATGAAAAAGATAAGAGGAAACGGCATAAACTCACGAGACCGGTAACGAGATCAAGTAGATGTTTATGTATGTTGCAAGAAGAGGGAATAGTTGTAAAGAGACAACCCGGAAAGCCCGGCCAGCTGAGAACCAAAACTCTATACAAGTCGTGACGTGTAAATGCGCTGAAACAGATCCAGAGAGGTGTAAAGGGTGTGTTGTGTACGAGGTGACGGGGGAAGGGTATGAGACGCCAGAAACCAGAATGGATACAAGGTCGGGTGCGAGATATGAGATAAGCAAACGCTCAGCGTATCGAAGAATAGTTAAAAAAAAAGATGAAAAGATAGAAAGGGTGGATCATGGGCTGGGAGAGAAAGGATGTGCCATGTAAAAAGGGCAAATTCAGGTATCCGACGAATGAACTACGGTGGTGTCGGAGTTTGTCCAAACTCGGCATGGTCGCGAGGCTTGTCGCGGGATCGCATGTACATGGCATCGGAGTATGGGTCGGCCGCTGGGGGAGCAATCTCCCGGGGGAGGCTTCTGTGATGTTGCTGTTGGTGCTCTTGTTGCGTCACAACCTCTCGTGCATAGAACTCTACGAGCATTGTCCCGTACGACTCTAATTCTTCGACGGTGATGGCGAGTCGGAAGTCGTTCAGAAGGAGGAACTGTAGTTCCAAGTGGTTGAGCTCCACCAGTGGAAGACCGCCAACCTGCATATCCAATCACTATTAGCCGTAAGCCACAAGTCGGATATACGAGTCACATACCTTTGCATAACGTGAATTGGTGTAGAAAACATCAGAAAAGAACTTGCTCGCACAGGTCACGGCAGCGATGACCAGTCGATGGATATTAAAGCTATCAACGACGAAGAATTGGGAAAGTGCCTCGGCATCTGACTGAGGCGAAAGGCCGGGCGAATTTGAAGCATTCGATCCTTGCGAGTCCTGCGCAGTGAAGCCTGTTGAGTGGGGTGGTGTCGCCATCAGAGAATCCTGCATCTGATGGGCTCCTGGAGATTCGGTAGATTCGGACGAAGCTTCAGATCCTGCGGCGGAGTCCCAACGTTGGTGCATGTTTTCGAGCTGATCGCGGTTAACCAGCTCAGTCATACGATCAAAGTAGACTAGCAAGCTTAAAAAAACCTCGTAGGTTGTGGGGCAGTACTTGTGGATGCGAGTCAAATAACTCAAAATTGTAATGGTCGGGACATTCTTGCCGTGGAATGCGAGAACGCTGGTGGCCTGCGGGCTAAGGTTGGATGTGCCCTCGGGCGGGGGGATATGGCGCTGTACATGTTCGTGATGCATGTCGTTTGTGGTCGTGATCTTGGTCAAAAGCCCAGCGACCATCTCGATGATCTCCGTGACCGGCATGGAGCTAATCTCATACTGTCGTTGCGACCCAGTTCCGGGAGTGTGTGAGCTCGGTCCTACGAGGTCCTCATTGGCGAGACTTTGGATGTGAGATAAGCTTTGGACCCTAATGCGGCTCGGTGAATTGGCTTCCGAGCCTGGCACGGACTGCATGGACTGGTATGTGGGTTGGAGACGCGGTGAATCCGGCGCCGACTGATTAGAGTATGGGTTGCTCCCACCCTGGGTTGGCGGGGTACGTGTTGAGTAAGAGTTGGCAGGAAAGGCAGGATGAGACGTCATTGAACGCGGCTGTGGGGTGAAAGTAGGAGTATCGGAAGAAGTGCGAGAAGCTTGTGAAGGTGTGTATGAGTTGATGTAAGCCGGTACATCATTCGCATGCACAGGAAGCCGAGCAGAGCCTACGGACGGTGGGGCAGAGGTGGGGGTGTTTGAGGAAGTCGAGTCCATAGGCACGCAATAAGAATCCGAATTGATTGCGCCTCCCAACATGTTATGATCCGGCACGTGGTTGACGACGACGGAGCCCATGTCAAGGCTATCGTGGTCTGTTTTTCTGCGGGAAGACGGGTCAGCAAGGCGGTCGCAGCTCGGGCTATCTCGCCATAAACAGATGGGGCATATGGGACATATGGGGACATGAGAGAAGATGAGACAAGAAGAATAGAAATGATATACGCAATACCAGGGGGGAAATAGAAGAGAGGGGGTTTTGCATACACTTTTGATTACCTCCAAAGGGCTAGACAGATCAAGGAAGAACCCCGGGCTAAAACACGGAGTTGAAGATCAACAGCTGCCGATCGAATCCATTTGGAAAAGGAGATAAGTGACAACAAAACAGCAAAGAGCCCAGGAGAAAAGAAAACGCGTAAGTGATATGGGGGAAGTGGGAATTTGGTCAAGGTGGAAGTCAGTGAGGTCAGAGTGGTCCCCGAGAGATAAAACAAGATTCAAGTTTCTAAACAACTTTATAGGGTATAATTTTTGTTTGGACTACATATAATAAAGGAGTAGAGAGAGAAAAAAAAAGAAGGAAAGATACTCTTTCAAGAGATTAAGACTTTATTATCTACCTGTCATTAAAACTCCTTGATATAAAAGACGGTGTGGACTTTATACAAGGCTTTTCCGGTCTTATATTGACGAATGATAGAAGGACATGCGCGCCCGTGTCATCGACAAGCGATGATTCAGATAGAATGTCTGAGCGCTATTTATCCTGAGTTGTGGGAAAGTGATATCTAGTCCGGGGATGAAGATATAAAGCTTAGAAGTCCATGCATATTCCCCGATATACAGAATAACCATGCATTTCTCTTTGTCCATGATATAGACTTGCATCAAATAATGGAGACCATGGCAGTTTGTGTGCTGCATGGAGGATGTGACGTGTTCTGTCTATGGATCTCGTAAGGCCTGGGCAAATCCTCATGGAAGGTACAGATCCAGGAGTGTTCTACGGAGTACAGTACAATACCAGATAGACCAGGGTATATAAATATGGTGTTCTTCACGGTTCAAAGACACTACTCGGCAGTGATGACCCAATAGCTCGCTGGCCGAGCATTTCCGGTCTAGTCCTTAATCTGCTCGGTCCTTTTCTCCCTACATAGCCCGATGAGAATGGTGGGGGTATGGCAGCATCCGTGGACTAGTGCCAAACCTGTCATATTGGCGCTCAGGCGCAGTATATCCCCGGTGAGACCGCATAGCAGAATGCAAAGACCGGAGAACTGGGATCATGAAACCATTTCATTTGGGGATTGACGCGATATTAGAAGACTTATTAATTCGTCACTCCCGGCCCAGTGTAGCCGTTGTCTGGCAGGTAAAGATGTCTCACGGCACCGGCTTTGGTCAGGACCACGAGACGAATGACACCACCGGAGCTGCCGTCCCACTTAATCGCCTCCTGCAACGCATTCCGCACAAAGTCGATGCCCTCTTCCTCTGTCATCTGTTCCCGCCAGTGGGCATCGGTATAACCGTAGATGTAGGTCGAGCCTGAACCGCCGATAGCGAACGGCTGCTTGTGAAGGGATCCTCCCAACGGTATCGAGTACACCTGACCTCCGTGTCGTGCATCCCATCCGGCAAGAATGATACCCGCACTGTTATTCAGTCAGCGTGAATTTCGAGCGACCGCTTCGAAGACTTGAATACAAACCTCAGCGCGTCCTTGTTCTCATAACACAATTCCTGGAAGAGCGATGCAGCAACCTGTGTAGTTGGAGCCTCGGCGTTCGTTACACCATACATGTTGAGATGGTAGGAGACAATGTCGGCCACGGCCTGGGTGTCTGCGGCGGAACCCGATCGGCAGCACCAGATGGTGTCGTGAACCTGTGTCAATTTGTCGGTGACTCGGTTGGCAATGTAGGCACCGGTGGTTGTTCGACTGTCTGCACCTAGGATGACTCCGTCTTTGAAGTTGATAGCCATGCTGTTGGAACGTTAATGGGGATGGTTGCGGATGGTAAGGTTCGAGAGCTCTAGCTCAACTCACATCGAGGTTCCCAAGCTGAATGAGGAAGGATAGGTTAGTATGCGTTCTGTAGCTCTAGGGGCATGATTCTAGCTTACTTAACCTCACCAGACTTCAGGTGGTTCATGTCGACGTGAATGCCATCTAGAGATGTTAGCTAGTTGCTGCCGGCGGATGACGATAGCTCTGTTCACCTTCACCGAGCATTCCTGATGTTCCATGGGGGGCGACCATTTTGTGATGTGCTGGAGAGAAAATAGAAAACGTAGAAAGATGGCTTCAATAGACAAGATAAATCGGCAAAAAGAAGAAGGAGGTTAAGGGAAGAAGTAGAGGTGATGCTATCATGAACACAGGCAGAAGCTCACAACGCGGCAGCTCGGGCGGTGAGAGGCCCCAGCCCCTGCGATCGACTTATCATCTTCTCCCCCGCGAGACTCCTGAAGCTCAATTTGCCCTTTTCTTCTGGAATTGTTCTATTGACTTATCGTAGTCATCTCTGATCGCATTGACCATATCTGCTAGCCAATAATTCGCAATAACAGAATCTCTCGGACCTTGTTTTGTTGCATCCTCTATCTGGTCCCCACTCTTTAAAGTCCCAACTTGAGCGCCATGTCTGAATCCCCTCCGCCTCCGTCGTGGAGCATCAGCAACATGGCCAACAGTGCTGCGCAGTTCATGCGACTGCCAGTTCTCGCCTCATCTGGTCTGGCTGTTGTTGCAAGTGGGCTCCTCTATTTCAAGCAAAAGTACGCTATTGGCAGGCATCTAGGCTATTGTTTATGAGGCTAACCGTTTCTTCCAGTGAACTAATCTACCCCCGCAATGTTCCAGTGGATGCGCGCACAAATGTCCCCAGTCCTCGCCAATTTGGCATCAGCGACTTTGAAGACCTTCAGATTCCCACACCCGACGGAGAGTCCCTGCATGCCCTTTTTCTCCGGCGACGACCAACCCGCTACTCTCGCAATGTGACAGTTCTGATGTTCCACGGAAATGCAGGCAACATCGGTCACCGCGTGCCCATTGCCAAAGCTATACAGGATACACTTCAGTGCAATGTTTTCCTCCTAGAATACCGCGGATACGGAATGTCTACAGGCACACCGGACGAAGCCGGCATTAAGATCGATGCTCAAACCGGACTTGATTATTTACGACAGCGCCCAGAAACAAGGGATACCGAAATTATCGTCTACGGACAAAGCTTAGGCGGTGCCGTGGCTATCAACCTGGTTGCCACCAACGAGGAACAAGGTGATATCGGAGGATTAATATTGGAAAACACTTTCCTGAGCATTCGCAAGTTGATCCCAAAGTATGTTTGTGAATTATCAGCAAGATTCCCGGGCAAGTGATACTAACCGAGAACCAGTGTCTTCCCCCCAGCAAGGTATCTGGCACGTTTCTGCCACCAATATTGGACGAGTGAAGATGTGCTGCCTAAGATCACCAAAACTCCAGTCCTTTTCCTGAGTGGCCTCAAGGATGAGCTTGTTCCGTAAGTTCGCCCACTGCAAGCTCGGCGTTTAGTTGCTAATACCCGTTAGCCCTTCGAATATGACCCAATTATTTGCCATTTGCAAGTCCGAATGCAAGGTCTGGCGCACACTCCCGAACGGCGGTCACAATGACTCTGTTGCTGAGCCAGGATACTTCGAGCACATCCTTTCCTTTGTGACGGAAGAAGTGCTATCTAATAAACAGTAAACCGGCGTGACTTATCTATCTTACTTGGGATTTTTGAGTTCTCTCTGGCGAAACCTTTGCCTAAGGCCTTTCTTCCCATCTTTTACTTTCCGCCAAGAAGTTCACAAGCTTTGCTCCAACGCTTGGCTGTCAACCCCCTTCTTGACAGCCAATCTGGACGTCTGGTTTCGGCCCCCACAACACAAGAATCAATTGACAGGAATTGTTGATTATGACCATGATACCCCTGCCACGCAACCAAGACACGAATCTCACTTTGTATCCATTCAAATCATTACGGCCTGCCTACTATGGCCCTATATGTGGCCGTGATGACTTTCTTTATTGACCTCCAAGCCCTTGCGGTGATGGGCCAGACCTCCCATTTGATTGAGAATGGCTCTTTTCATCCTTCTATCTCTTCTTGTCTAATCTATGTTTGGTTTCTGTTCACTTCTAGTTTTCCCTTGTTCACTGTTATCATACTCGCGGTGTTTACAATATTGGTCCAGGATGGGGCGCTGGGTGTGTTTCGTTTCTCTGCTTTATTTTCGGCGAACCTTTCCATTTCGCCTTGCTTATAATCTCCGGCAAACATGCTTCTGTGCGAATACTGAACGGAGAGAACCCTTCGAAATCGGTACGAATGTAATAATTTGATTCATGAATATTTCGCTGTACAGTGGCTGCAGACTAAACAACTTATCAGCATGGGCAGTGCACCGGCCATCCAAATACACTATCAAGGTCCTATATAGTATAGCCTTTGTTGCAACAATTGCATTGCCGTGGGAAGAAACACGTACTTAGTCTCGATGCTATGCCTGAAGCTACCTAGGAATTTAACTTCTGACCAGGTCCAACCCGGCTCGATACTCAAATTCTTAAAGCGATATTTCTTGATGGTTGAATATATTCCCAAAGCGAGATAATTTCCAGCGAGTACATTCTTACAATCCAAGATAAGTTGAGGTAAAATAAATTTTGACATGCTGCATGGTGATATATATCACCAGCTATATTTATCGATTGGCCTGAACCCTGATTTAATATATCTGACCATACGTCAACTACGAGTCAAGTGAAAGTAAGTGCTATTGATTGGTTATATATATTTTTCCATAGTATTGGAGAACAAGGTATTATTTTTTTCATTTTTTACATCCGTTCCATGATCCCTGGTTAATTTTCCAGAGACCATATCCAATATCGAAAACACGAGAGTTCAGTATCCAGGTATATAAACCAGATAAAATGGAATAGAGAGATACATAAAATACAAGCCACAAGGGCTACAACAGAACGAAACTATGGAAGCTTCTCAGCCTCTACCAACAGTTCCTCGACCTTGAAGTTCTCAACATCACCCCGGGTGAACATGCGAACAAGCTCACTCTTACGACCAGAAGCCAATCCCTCGAAGTCGTAGAAGCGCTGCACACAGCTAACAAGCCAAGTCGCCTCGGCGGCCGAAACACCACCCTCGGGAATAATCTGGCCATGCATGAGAACTAGACCCTTCTCATCCGCCAGATCAAGGTGGTGAGTAACAGTAGTATGAGGCTGCGCGAACGCGCCGTGCATCTTATAAACACCCAGATTCGTGAAGATCACAGTAGAGGTGTGGTTATTTGAAGGAGACAGAGTCGATCCCTCAGCCGGTGGGTGGAAAGCCCACTGGAGGAAGTGGATATCGGCAGCGGTGCCAGTGACACCCTCGGGCGTTTGCTCTGCCTCTTCGGCGGTCTGCGGGCGCGGGAGGGGCAGGATGAACTGCGGGTTCTCGCGTGCGGACTGAATCATGCGCTTGTATGTGTCGAGGGGAATCGCGGCGGTGATGGCGTTTGGGTTACCCGCGAAACGGAGACGCCAGAGCGCTTCGATCTCCTTTGCTGGGAGCTCGCGGATCTTCTCAACGTCCAGGTAGGTGCTGAGGGGCTTGACGGGGCTGGAGTCGCCGGACACTTTACGTGCGACCTGGGCAGTGCGCGATTCCTGTGGGGGAGGGGGCGGGTGGAATGCTGGGGTTGTGCCTGGGACCGCGGTGGTGGATGTAGGAGTTTCGGGCTCTGGGGTAACTGGGGTGGATGCTTTGCGGCGGAGTTCTTGGATTTTTTTGTCATAGGCTTCCTTCAAGGACTCAATCGACTCATGTCCCTCTCTTAACGTAACGGTTAGTATTGGAGAAGGGATACTGGTTTGGGAAAAATTGCTCACTCCTTGGCCTTTTGGTCCAGCTTGGACCGGTACTTGTCCAAGACATACTTGGGATCGTGGTGTGAGGCGAGGAAGCGGACATCGTGGACCTGCGCCCACCTGCGCTGCTGATAACGCAGCAGGTGGGAGTTGCCGCGAATCACGGATTGGAATCCCTGCAGTCGAAATGATGGCATTTTGAGTTCGGACAGTAAATACAAAGAATCTCCCAAGGTAATCTGCAGATAAGAGAAATGCCGGGCTCCGACTATCAGATGACATAAGCATGTTATTTGCACATTGATGCCATATAATTAAGGCATTAGATGGAGACAAAAAGTGGAGCCTGCCAGGCATCAATATTTCCTAATTAGGAAATATAGAGGTCTATATATTTCACGGAAAGGTAGACATTTCACGAATCTCCACTGGGTAGACCAGCCGTTAGCTGCTATGCTTTCTGTGAGCTTAGGGCGGGGTGAACAGAATTGCCATATTGGGCTGTATCGGAATGACCGTACGTCTGTATGTTCAATACAGAGTCGTGGGGGTTCTTTTTGGGTTTTTTTTGACACTCAAGACTTCAGAGTAGATACCTACCCCAAGAAATACAGGAGCAAGAGCAACAATAACTATACAGTACTATAATTGAAACAAGGCTATTCTTTTCAACTATGATATCAACGCTTCAAACCTTCATGTTAGGCTCTGCAAGCTGTACTTATTGATCCTTTAATGCTGCAAAGAGTAGCAACAAGTCTACCTTTTCATTCCTTTGCCTTTAAGCACACAGCTAGACTCAAAATTGAATCTCATACAAACAAAAACATCGTCAATCATAGTATACATGTGTGCCTCAGGGAGCTCCAACATGCCATCTCTTTCCACCCCTATAAATGGATCTCAACTAGTACAACAATCTAGAATATTCAAGAAACATGTTGATTTACATTGCAAGCACTTGAAATATCTACTAATACTTGCAGAACCACGTTCTAATATGTTGCATCTCTGTACATCTATATATCCTCGTGGACCCACCCGTAGGCATTAGTCAGCATATCACTGCCCAACCAAGGTTTCCCATGTGGAATGGGTCCTGAACTATAACCTTAAAAACACCGTCATCTAACTCCGTCCAGCTGCGCAGAAAAACAAACCCCTCATCTTCAAATATTCTCATCTTTCAAACACCCCCATCTACCACACTTAACAAGGAGAACAAAAAATCAGCCAAAATGACAATTCATCAAAAGGAATTCTCCACCCCTCCACCCCATCCACCTGTGGGCACACCCCGGGATTCCCCATCCGCACTGCCCTGGTACTCCATAGCGCCGGGGGTATGGGAATTTTTACTAAATGGCGACGGGGAACACAAAGCTGCGCTGCAGTGGTGGGAGCCGAACACTACATCTGTGCAGAAAGAACCAATAACACATGCCTACATCGAAGAGGTCTGCACTCTACGAGGCGGGCTGGAAGATCTTACGCTCGGACAGTCGTGGGGTATTGGTGCTTATGCCTACCGATACCCTGGGATGGAGCATGGTCCGTACCGGTCGACCAAGGAGGGTTGTCTGCAGTTTGTGAAGGTTGTGCCGGTCAAGAATTAAGGTTCGGGATTCGAATGTGAAGCTGGGACCGGTGGAGGTAAATGGCTCCGTTTTTGGCTATCTGAGGTCTGCGTATCATAATTTGGCGTTTATTTGGGAGGGCGATGTCGAATTTTTAACTACTGGGTTTTGTGTCCTTTTTGCTTACAGGCTATGCGAAAATATGAAGCATGATGCGTATGACGCTTTTGATATGCGATATTGAAACGTCTATGATGAAACTCCTAGGTTAATGCAAATGTTCTCGCAAAGAATGAGACATGTCCAACGCTTGTGAAACAACTTTCTTGTTTCTCAGGTCATCAATCATCAAATCCTGTCCAAGACTTTAGACCGGTACATCATCTGTAACAGATGCCTCAGCCTGAGTGGGGCAATCTTCCGTCGGGGCCTCGGTCTCAGGAGCAAGTTCAGGCTTTCCTTCAGTGTCCTCAGGGTCCTCACTGATAGCCTTTTCCTGATCCTGATCCTGACCCTGTTCCAGTCCTGCTGCTTCCTCTTTCTCCTCCTTCTCCTCAGCCTCTTCCCAATCATCAACAACCTCAGTCGCAGGGGTCTTCGCACGCAAAGACTTTCCTACCCCGACACCAGATCTCAGAACTAAGCGCTCGCGCTCCTTCTTCACCCCATCACCATCAAGAGCAGCATAGATAGACTTGCTCACCCACGAGTTCTGCACAGGAGTTCCAGTCCTCGAACTAGCCCCGCTACCACCTTTACTCTTCGAAGCGACCTGAGCCCACCCACCGTCTCCACCGCTACTAGCCTGTAACTTGGCGGCGTCACGGGTGGCCTTAGCTTCAAGAGCGGCGACACGACGCGCTTCTTGTTCCTTGCTGCGTTCGCGCTCACGGAGCTTAACGCACTCACGAACACTCATGCCGCCAATACCGATGGTCGAGCCGCTACCCATGCCAAAGAGAGGAGCGGTCCATGCTACCGGTTTCAAGACGAACACGTGACGATGGGGTTCCGGGTCGTGGCTTTCTGTCACAAAGCCCCAGTCTGCGGCGAGGGAGTGCGCGAATGCGCGGAGAGTGGATTTCGCCGGCTGGAAGCGGAATGAGCGGGTGGTTTTGTCTGCTGTTGCCAGGGCGTGGAGGTTGGATTCATAGGTTTGGAGGGTGGATAGAGGCACTGAGCATGCGAGCTGGACATATTGGTTCAGAGTCTCCTCCGAGTAGGGGAGGTTCTCGGCTGTGATGGTCTGAAGCGTGGTTGTCTGGTTGATGTCGATGCCGAGAGCACCCGCCAAGGTGCGATTTCGCTCTAGACGCGCGCATTCGTCGTCACAAGTCAACGGGGTGAGCTCTGGCTGGCGCTGGGGTGATTGCACCTGGCCCTTGGAGGTCACAGCCTTGGCGGCGTTGCAGCGTCTTTCTTGCCGCAGTCTTCCACAGTCACATGTCACTGCAATCTTGGAAGAACATGGTGTCTTCTCGGGACATGCGTATGGGGCGTGGCATTGCTCTGTGCAAGGATGGCCACAGATTGTCTTGTTCTTTCCACAGGGCTGGCTGCAAGGTTTGTTTGCATCTTCGCAATCTCCTGGGCGATGGCAGTCCTTCCGGCAGTGATGAGAGCCACACTTGAGTAGCTGTCCGCATACTTGACCGCAGCGCGCATCTGTCAGCCAGCAGGGAACGTTTTTCAACACCCGCTTTCCGCACAGACACGCCTTCTCAGTCAAGAATGGACACTTGGGGCAGCTCTCCTCGTCGGTGTGGCAGGTATGTGCGGTTTGAGGATGACCGCATCTCTTTGGACGCTGACAGGGGAAGCTGCAAGCGGGTGGCTTTGCACCACACGGCTGCGGTGGATACAGAACAGATCTTCCGCAATTACACGAGATCTCTTCAAACACTGCCTCTCTGCAGGTATTGCAAGCACCCTTGTGACAAAGCTCTGGACATGTGTGCCTTCCGCATTTCAGCATCCGGCCACATATGCGAGTGCAGATGTGCTCTGCCTCGATGTCCTCTTCCGCGGGACGGAGATGGGGCCTGAGTTTACGACGCGCAGCCTGGCGCTCGTTGGCCCTTTGCTCTCCCGGACAACACCTTTCAGTACATGTGTGTCGACCGCAGTGTAGAGTCGCCTTGCACATGCGTGGGCATTGGGGAGGCTCATTGTGGCCTTGGTGGCAGATTGTCAGGTTGTTAGTGCGACCGCAGTTGCACTTGATATAAACATTGCGCAAACAGGCGCCACAGGATCCAACGTGACAGAGCTTCTCGCAAGTATGACCGCATGGCAGTGTCTTCCCGCAAGGCTTTTGACAATTCAAGATAGGGTCCTCGCAGGAGGTACGAGGTGTGTATCCTGGAATCTCAGATAATGGTGTCTTGCCACAGGCGCAATTGACAATGACGTCTGGTGACTGCGGACAGTGTGCAGGATGAGGATCTTGCGGGTGGCATGTCTTCTGACATGAATGTATGCCACAATCAAATGGACGATTGCAAGTCTCCCCACAACCAAAGCAACCGGTCCACTCATCCTCTGTGCCATCCTCGCGGATGATTCGACTTTCCTTCTCGTCGTCTTTAGACTTACACAGCATCGTCGTCTGCAGTTTTCCGCAGTAGCAACGTGCGTCAATGCTAGCCTCACAGCCACCACACAATCCTTCATGACACGGCAGCGGACATGTATGTTCTCCGCACGGCAGCAACTCACCACAGATCTCACCACAGCTCCATCCATTCTCATAATCAGTATCCTGACAACGCTTCTGCGACGAATTCAGGCCACAGAAACAATCTTGTACCGGACCCATAGCAGTGCAAGGTGTGCAAGGACCAGCATGACAAGTCGCGTCACAAGGATGGGGACAATTCTTGCGAGGTCGCGAGCAAGTTTGACCACACGAGTGCGGTGGCAAACCGGGAAGCGGCCTAGGGTCGACTTCTTTCTCACACCAGCAAGAATAGCTCGTGGGGAAGTTTTGTTGAGAAAGGTTACAACCGGGGCAACGCCACGCACGAGGAGTGAGGTCTTCTTGCCCATCTTCTCGAGCAGAAGCCCTCTGTGCAGCTGCACCCTCATTCGTGGACCATTTCTTGACACAACTTAGATGGAAAACCGTCCAACATAGCTCGCAAGACCAGACCTTTGACCTGCGACCCAGCTCGCTGCAACAGATAGGGCATTCGTACAGGTTATGTGCAATATCTTCGTGGATACGGGTAGCTAGGTCGTCGGCTGTGGACTTCGCTTTAGGTGGTGGCGGTGCCCTAGGCTGTCTAGCTTTCCCTTTTCCTTTCGACGACGGTGCTGATTCAGATGGTGGTCCATTTTGGAATGCTGGTATGCCTGGTACAAAATCCGGCACGTCGGGTCTTAGTGAGTGGTCATGTAAATGCCCCGCACCATCCAATGCAGGAATATTTTCGGCCTGGTCAGGTCTTGTTAACTGGGCTTCGAAGCCACGCGCTCTCATTCCACGGGTTCGCGCCTCTGGTCGTGTCGTTTGACTTTCGAGTCCTCCATCCTGACCCTGTCCCGCCCGGGGAGGTCCATTGTTTCTTTGTCTCCGGCCTCTTCCTTCTCTGTTTCCCCCTTTCCGCGAGCCAGTCGGTCCATCCTGTTGGCTAGATTGGGTTGCTGTGTTCGGTTGTGGCTGAGAGTGTGTAGGCTGTGCTTGCGGCGCGGCCTGGTTTTGGGCTTCACCCGCAGGCGCTTGTTGTTCACCATCACGCTTCGCAGAACCCCGCCCTCTGCGTCTATATGGCCTGGAAGAACGTGGGGGTCGTGGCCCGGCTGGAATTGAAGTAGCCGGCTGTGGCGTTGCCATGGTTGAAGAGGCGGCGGATGTCTGACTGCAGACTCCTGATGTACTCATATACTTCCGGTGTGTTTTCTCACTTGCGCTTGGCTTAAAGAGAATAATGTGAAAGACTGGGTGTGTTGGTCTATTGTAGGCTGACAAAATAGAGCAAAGCAAAATGAGCGGAAGGTAGACACTAGATAACCAAATGAAGGATAAAATCAAAGGCAAAAGCCCGCTTATAGAATGAAGAAGAAAATCGTAGCACAATGAATTATCTAGAAGGCGATAAAAGCTCTCATGGCAGAATTGGGCGGTGCAGTAGGCGGTAGCATTGTGGCAAGAGGCTCAGGCAGGTGTGAGTCAGGGCTTACATAACATGACTCATTGTGGCTCCCGACGGAAGTCCGAAATGCGGGTCTGCGATCTATCAATTCGAGTCATCCTCGTTTGACGGAGAGATAGAATGAACAGATGCAGTTCGTTGACCTCATTTGATGCATGCACAAAATGACGAGCAGGGGTTTGGCTCCACTTTGTGCCAAGATATTAAACAAAGACCTGGGTGCAGGAGGCTTATATGTCAAACACCATCCTGCAGCATATCAAAGCGTAAACTGGACGTGGGAGTATGCTCGATCCTGGATGAAAAAAAAATTAACTCATTCGGTCCTATGCCTGCTACAAAGGAATACACCAGAAAATATATCAAAGCACGTTATCAATGCAATTTAGTCCCGATTCCAAATTAATATAGACAAAAATGCAACATCGAAGCAGGCGCATTAAAATAAACATGGCGCTATGCAAAAGGACCGGCCCATTCACCTCATAACAAAGAACCAAACAACTCATATCCGTCCTATAGTTTGATTGAAATCATACACACCGAGTTCACGCTTTAAATGAACACAACAATCTCACCGCGCTCATTCCGTCTCAGTCTCAACGCGCGGAAAAGATCCTTCTCATCATCAGCCCGGCGTTGTCCATCATCATGGCCATCATACTCATTCGAGGCATCGCGGTGGAATCGCTTGAGCGCCTTGTTAACGGAGCAGCCACGTTGGCTATCGTTCGGGACCATCGAGAGGAAGTGATGGGCTAGCTCGCGTTGCAGCTCCTCGTCAGTGCGCGCCGGTGGCCGTGACTGCTTGTAGACAGTGACCTGGTGGCCGTGCATGTGGTCCACAGAGCCATGGCGCTCGTCGATTTGCTTAAGACGGCGGGAGGGTCTGTCGCCATCTGTGGGGTTTGAGCTCTTGCGCTTGGACTTGCGGGAGTCATCCTGGTCGTCTGCGCGCGAGCGGTGCGACTTCTTGTTCTTGCGAACTTCGAGCTGGCCGTCCCCGCTGGACGAGCTGCCACGGCGGGCAACGGCCTTGGAGCCGTGCTCAGAGCCGTTGGTGCTGGAAACGGCCGAGCCCCCCGAACATGGAGGAGACGAGACGGCCGGCGCGGTTCTTCATCGAGATGCCGAGACCTTGGTCGCCGTTGCCGTTGGCTTCTTTGCCGTTGCGGCGGCTGCGCTTGATCGGGGATGAGGTGTCTTGGTAGGCGCGACGGCTGGTTTCTGGGCTATCGTCACCGTCGGGGGACTGTGAGCGCATCATCCGGTTCAGGCCGCCGGTCAGACCGGAGTGGTTCAGCATGGGTGTGCCGGCGTTGTTGATGATGCTGGAGGGGGCATCCATCATGTTGGTGTCGTCTTCGCGCGGGGTGCTGAGTACTTCTGCTTGGCCGCGCTTGCGCTTCTTTTCGCTGACGGTACCGGGGGCCTTCTCTCGGCGCTCCTTCTTCTTCTTAGGTGCGGGCGTGACGAACTCTGTTGTCGACGCGTTCGGGGGCGATTCCAAGTGCGGGATATTGCCGGCGCCGTATGAAAAGCCATTTTCCTCGTATGCGATATCGTAGTTCTTACCCTCGTCATCCGTGTTGGGGTTAGTTTCGACGCGAGTGAGGGACTGAGTGGGCTCGAAGACGGATTTGGCATTGGGATCCATCTTCATCTGTGGCTGGGGGGCAGCAACTGAGACCTTAGATGCGTTGGGGGTCTCCTCGGCGACAAGGTAGTCAAAGACATTGACAGGCTTGTCGTTGTTGGCCGGGGCAGGAGCTGGTGTTCTCACCTCACCAGCAGGCGGGGGTGTGGGAGCAGGGGGAGGAGGAGCGTCCTCCACACGCGCTTGCTGGTGGCGGCCGTTGGGGGTTTGATTCGAATTCTGCTTTTGGTTGTTTTGTCCTTTCTTGCCCTTCTGGGGCTTCTCTCTATACAGCGCACCCTGATACTTTTGCGCCTCGCTCATGCATGACTGTAATCGGGAGTCTCGTTAGCGGATGTCTCCCTTGTTGATCCGACTGGGACTCTAGTCATATAGTCCAGCGACCAGTTTGCGAACATGTGACGCAGATGCGACGTACCGTATGAGCTCTATACTCTGTTCCATAGAAATGCACCATGCAATCGATACAGGTGAAGGAGGCGCCGCGACATTGGCCGCGATGGGGATCGAGCTTTTTCTTTGTGAGGACATCACCGCATGCCTATCAGACTGATGGTTAGCATTGAAGCGCAATGCATATCAGCAGATAAGACTCACCTCGCAAGAGAAGGAGACCATTGTTGCTAAATATAACCCTATGGGACGCTCAAACAAAAGGTCGGGGAGGGTCAAGTGGGTGTATCCCTTGAAAGAATTCCAGTAGAAAAGCGCCTAGGCGGGGGAATTCGCTTTGATACGAATTTCTCAACCTGTCGGCTTTTCCCTTTTCTCTTTTTTTTTTTTTTTCTTTTTCGCGTCGAGTTTTGGCGCGCAGATCCACCCTAGTCCAAATCGGGAACTGAACTAGGCTAGTCTGGGTAATATGAATGGGCCCGGCGCGTCGAGGAAGATGGAGGTTGTGCTTTTGTTAAAGTACTTTGGAAATAAAATAAGAGGAAGAAAGTGAGAGCCCCCCTGATTTATGATTTCCTAACTCAGTACATGTTCCAGGGTATCTGGAATGGTGCAGATCCCACGCGGACATGGATGTCAGGCCTGGCCGGTCAGGAGACTCCATGCTTTTATTTGTCGCTTCTTCCCAGTTGAACGGGCAGACACGGGGAGAATTCAAAGAGGATCCAAGGAAGCAGTCAGACTGGCCTCTCGACATATGCACTCTTGACGGCCGTACTGCTCTTTTTGGTCCAAAACCCAAAAATTCTTCGATTATCCCTCCATCTATACGTACTAACATCTGTGATGCATCATAATTTCGAGGGTTCTATCATGCCACATGAAACTTGACGATCTGTCGAAGGGTTGGTATCACGAGGGTGCAACCTGATAACATCATCGCCGTTGTTCATAGTGAAGAAGAACAGAAAGTCTAACCAGTGCTTTCGCCCAAGACAATTGAGCTTGGTACGACGGAATGCGCCTTTTAGTCTTCTTTGCCGGGATATAGTAGATAAGCATATTTGGTCATGCGGGCCATTCTCTACACTTGATCACCAGGTAGGATGATCTTTTCAGGTAGAATGCCCGGGTCATGTACTTTATCGGGATCGGCAATCTAGAGGATGCGGGACTTGTATACTACCGGTTATTGACTAGATTGTAGCTCGCTATCATTCACACTTTCGTAGGATTAGAAGAATCTCTTGCAGTATCTGTATTCCTTGACATATGGAAGTCATATTGAGCAAATCCCCCAGACATATGGCCCCAGAAAGAGGACCAGGAATCAAGCTGCGCTCAGGTGTCTGCGCTCGGATATCTACTACATATCAATACAATGATACCACGATAATTGAGGCAGGGATGGACCCCTCTATAGCAAAAGCCACATGCAGGATACAACAAGGGTATATTGATATTAACAGTCAACTGACAATCTATTACTGTACAAGGGAGACCAGCTCCGTTAGCGCGAACAACGTGTCTGAAAAGCATCCAAGCGCTTGACATATTTCACATAGCATGATCAAAGATTCATCTCGTCAACCGCGAGTCTTTCTAAATTGCACGTCAGCAACCCAACAGCCATAAATAATGCGCCACAACGGGATATCGCTTACTCCTCCTTCGAGATCTCTACAGCAGGGCCACCATGCTGCCCCGTGCCTTCTTTCGCAACATCAGGCCTCGAAGCAGTCGCCCCCTCCTCGTCACCACCACAGCCACAATCATAGAAATCTCCCAAATTGGCACAGTCAAACTCAGGCTTATCAAGCATAGCATTAACCTCATTATGAATAAAACAAGCCCAACCAGAAGCCGCATTTCGCGACGAGACCTGAGGCGGATACTTGCCCAAATGCTGCATGAAATGCTCAGCACATTCTCCACTGACGTCGTCAACCATTAGCTCCTTATCTGGCACAGAACGTCGCACCGGAACGGCAGCGAACACGTAGCTTACCAAGGATATAGCCGCGCGAACAAGTAGATGTAAGAGCGTAGCGCCTCCTTCTGGTCTTCTGTGGGTGTTTCGGGGAACCGCGCCATGACAGTGTGGAAGTACTTCCACGTCGCACGACCTAATTCCGCCCTGAGAAGCCACCAATTCTGTAATTAGCATATGTCTCACCACGGTCGTATAGTCTCAATGGGTCGCTCCCCGGATGTTCTTACTTGGCCGTCTCATTGCCGAGCTTGGGCATCACCACGTCGCCCTTCAGTGTGCTGGCTTGAATGGTTATCCCCGGCGCGGATGCTGGTGCGGAGTGGTCGATGTGGCCTGGGGCGCGGACGGCGGGGCTCGGTGGCCCTTGTGGTCTAATAAAAAGGAAGAATATGAGGCATAGTGCAATCGCTGCGCTGGTGACAATGCGCCTTGTGAGTTGTCGGTTCGCCATGTTCGGGGGAAGCGATGGTTGGGGAAAATGGATGTCGCCAAGGGTCCGGTCGCTGGAGCACCTGAAACTTGGTGAACAGGGAATATTCCTGCGCGGAAATAGGATAGAATATTTCAGCTGAAAGGATGAGAATGATTCTTAGAGAGACATTTGTACGAAAGGGATTCGACGTGTTGCCTACTTGGGG